CGCATCAAGCTCGCGTGGGTCGAGATCAGATTACCCCTCTAAAGGGTGACGGAATCATCCAATTGTTGGGTGATCCATAGTGCGAGAGGTTGGTTGGGTTAAACTGTATAACCGATAACCTTTCAAATAGTTGAAAATAACCCATGTGGGTAAGAATAACCGTGCATTTGGGTGACGTCCGTCAAATAACCTTCCGCGCGGCCCGTAGTGCCACAACAGTATGTTGTGTTTCAGGAGGGGGAGAGTGTAAGAGAGCAGGCCTCTTACCCGCCACGGATTTAATTCCCGCGTAACGCCGATCTCTGACGCGCTTGCACAACTGCAAACAAGCAGAGCCGAGGGACCCTTTTCTTCATCTCTCGTCTCTCTGGCTCGTCTCTTTCTTAAGGACAGCTGCTTGTTTGTGTGTTGTGCAAGTGAGTTCCGAATTTGATAGTTTCAATTGTCCTTGATACTAACTGGACTACTCAGGGCTCAGCGAGTTCTGACTTTAGTCCAGGTGAGCATCAGTACAACCCTTTTCTTCATCTCTCGTCTCTCTGGCTCGTCTCTCTCTTAAGGACAGCTGCTTGTTTGTGTGTTGTGCAAGGCTCAGCGAGTTCTGACTTGAGTCCAGTCTATGCAATACAGGTGACCGTTCGCTGCCCGACGCACTCGCCTGTTATCACCGCTTCTCAGCTTCTACGTCGATCCCCGTCGATCCCCGGCTTCTACGTCGGCTATCTCTCGCCCCTGGCTCTGCCCAGTCGTTACATCATCATCATCCTAGTGGAGGATCACTCTTGATCCTTACACTTCGTCAAATAGCAGTTGTGGCGAACGTTGCTATCGAGGACATCGACGAGGAAGGCGATGCATTCCTCGCCGCTGCTGAAGAAGCTATTGACAGCGTTGACGACTCACCAGTACCCCTCATCCTTGTCAACGTCGGTCTTTCGGCTGACTCCCCTCTCACCACAGGTCTTATTGATCCTGGCGCCGCTATCAATACCGTCAGTGAAGGCTTTGTGAAGAACGCGGGGTTAAGGAGGGAGAAAATCAAATCGTTACAAACCCGAATGGCGGATGGGAGACCTGGCCCACGTGTTGATACCAGAGTCCGCATGGATGTTTATATTGGCCCTACTCTCTACAAAGGCTCTTCATTCCTTGTCCTCCCCACCCCTCCCAAGTACTAGAGGGTGCTGTCCGGCTTGACAAACTTATGGTGGAAGGTCGTTCTGTTCATGCCAAACCTCCATTTGCCAGTCTTTTCTCCTTTGTCGTTGATGACCCAACTCTCTACCCTACTGCTATTGTTCCCCTTCATCGCCAACAACGAGCAGCGGCCATTCAAGCCGATTTTGCCGACGTCCTCCCTCGTGATATTGGCAATGTTGAGAATTACCCGGATGTTTGCTCTGAGACCTCTAAAGTATGTCATCGCATCGGCATCCTCCCCGACGTTAAGCCAGTTGCTTGTCCCGGGTTTCGCCAAGCTTTTTTTGTCGAGATTGAAAAGCACCGTCGAGCAGGTCGCCTTCGTCCTTCAAGTTCTCCTTGGGCGGCCCCTGCTTTTCTCACACAAAGGAGAATGGGAAATTTTGGTTTATCTGTGATTATCGCGGATTGAACTTAGTCACAATCCCTGACCAGACCTCGCCCCCTTTTATTGAGGTCTGTCCCTTGTCTTGTTCTTCCTCTTTGGTGTACATATGTTGATGGTCACTGTCCAGTTTACATGCACAAGGGGTCCTGTTTCCTTCTCCGCAACTAGAACGCCATCAACACAGTGAAGGACTGTACGCTCAGTCCTTACACTTTTTTGAAACATACTACCACCCCTTTTCACCAGCACCAGCCCCACCAGACCCCACCAGCACCAGCCCTACCAGACCCACCAGTCCGTGTCTGTCCCCACCAGACAACCAGCACCAGACAACCAGCACCAGACAACCAGCACCAGACAACCAGTCCCCCATGTCTCAGCCTGGCCTCCCAAAAGACGAGCCCGACACCTCGGCCCTTCCCATTGGAGGTGTGCTCCCAGACCAGAAAGACGAGATAAGGACGATGCGCAGAAGGAAGATGAGAAGGACGATGCGAAGAAAGAAGATGAGAGAGGCAAAGGGCAAGGAGACGCAAAGAACGGCAAGGAGGGACCGGAAGACGACTTGACAGGCTCGGTTGCTTCACACGATTCTTCCATCAACAGCACCCCCCGCCCCCCAATCCGCCAAGATACCCCCTGGCCCCAAACGGCCCCCGATCCAATCGTTCTGCTCGCCATGATGGCAAACATGCAGCCACAGGTTGTTGACCTTCTCGCCAATCAGAAGAACACCCCTGCTCCTGCTCCCGAGCCTGCCCCTGTGTAAGGATCCAGTGGTCAGGTCCCGGGGCGCGAGTTAACAAGTCCAAATACCAACAATGCATTATGATTCCAGGATTGGAATTGTGTTGCACTGGCTTTTGCTGCTCATCCGGTTAATTGATCTTACTTGGTATTTAGGTCCTTTACACCCTGCCCCCGAGCGCCCCCAGCTCTTCCGTTGCCCCCACAGGCTGGTCTGCCCCACCTTGTCTCGCTTCACCAAAGACCCTTTCGTCATGATAAAACACATTTACGCTTTAGAGGAGCATATCGACAACACTCACTACTTTATTGACCCAGAATTTTTTTGACCACTGGGTCATACAACAGTGCAACTTCTCAATCTCAGGTGTTGGTCAGTGGGTGACATGGGCTCACGAGGAAGGCAAGCGCGCCCTCACCTTCACCAGCTGGAAAAGGATCTTCAAGGAAAAGGTCCTCGACCCCAACTGGGTTTGTCAGGTGAGGTGTTTGGCCACCCTGAAGCGCATGGAGGGTACCACTCCTCTGCATTTTGACGCTTTCACTGCTTCTGTCTGTGATCATCAGCACCTCCTCGAGGGTTTGGACGACCCCCTCAGCAAGATAGAGGTGAAGCGCATCCTGATGGCTGGTCTGAGCTCCCATATGCTCATCCTTGAGGTGAAAGGCGCCATGGAGTGACAGCACTGGTGTAAAGACTGGGTGTGCAGTCCTTCACTGTGTCAATGATGGACTTGTCTTGAGAAGCAAGCAAGACCCCTTGTGCATGTAAATCTAGACAATGTCCGTCAATATATGTACGAGAAAGCACACCAAGGAGAAGAAGAGGACAAGGAACAGAGATGGAAAGGGCAGGTGGAGAATAAGAATGGATAAAGAACAAGAAGGGACAAAGCTCACCTGGACAATGTCCGTCAATACATGTACGAGAAAGCACACCAAGGAGAAGAAGAGGACACTGCCCAGGATCAGTCAAGAAGAACACCAGAACAAGACGGATACGCACAAGAACAGAGATGGAAAGGGCAAGTGGAGAATAAGAATGGATCCACCTTCACCGACCAATCCCAGCTCCAAGTCAACCCGTCCTTTGTGACCTCCTCGCCCTTCTCTTTTTTCTTCATGTAGGCAGTGTAAGCCTTCTCAGCTGTCTTTTTGGGCGGGATGAGGGCGGTGAGGACGGAGAGGGGGACAGCGAGATGAGGGATAAATTTTCGGACATAATTCAAAAGGCCGATAAAGGACCTGAGCTGTTTGACCGTGGTGGGAGCGGGCCAGTGCATGAGAGTTTCGATTTTCTTGGGGTCGGGGCCAATGTGGTTTTCAGAAATGGTGTGACCAAGAAAGGGAGCTTCATCGAGGAAGAACTGGGATTTGGATGGCAAACAAACAAAATCAGTTTGTTGTAACGCGGAAAGGACTTGGCAGACGCGCGTGTCGAGTCACATGTCGTCGTCTGCCCAAATAATAATGTCATCGACATATGCTTCACAACACTCACTGAGCAGGCCTCGCAGGGCCTCGTTCAGCCTTCTCTGCTGCGTGGCAGGCGAATTGCATGCACCCTGTGGCATGACAACCCATTCATAAAGGCCCCACAGGGTGGTGATCACTGTCTTCTTGATGTCGGGCTCGTGCATCAGAGTCTGAAAAAATGTGTCAGTCAAATCTAATTTGGCAAATACCTTTCCACAAGCAACTGAGCCGCTCTCTGCAGTATGTCCTCCACCGACGGCACTGGTGTGCTATCCTTCACCGTGACTCCATTCAGCCTGCGGTAATCACACAAAAAAAGAAACTTCCCATTCTCCTTCTGGATCAAGAACGCCGGGGCAGCCCACGGCGAACTAGAGGTACGCAGGCGCCAAGCATCGATGTGCTTATCGATCTCGGCTTTGAAGGCACTGCGGAACGCAAGAGGGAGGCGATAGTATGGGCGAGCCACTGGCTTGGTGTCGGGAAGAATGTTTATGTGGTGGCAAACTTGGGAGACAGAAGGGGCAGGCTTGGGATAGTGTGCCACATTGGTCAACTGGGGGGGGAGGATGTCAGCAAAGTCCGAGAGCAGTTGGGCGGTGAGTTCTTTACACTGAGTCACCTGCTCTGACGCCAACTCCAATGATACACCACTGATTTGCGTAGAGCCTGATCCCAACACCACCTCTCTGTCTCGCTCTCCTCGCCTCGTCGCCACACCTTCTTGCAACAACACTTCCAACCCAGTTGTGCCTGCTCGCAGTCGATGTTGTAGATAGATGAAAAGGGAGACCAAGGATCATACGGTTGGCTGGGCCAAGTGGCATGACCACGAAAGGCGAGTTGTGGTAGACGATACTGCCAACATGAATATCCATGAAAATTTTCTGAGTGATCTTGGGTCCAATGGATTCATCCGCCATCTTGGTCACTATAGGCAACATCTCCCTTGTCTTCAACCCAAGCTGCTCCACCAACTCCTTGTCCACAACGTTTACGGCGGCACCTGAGAGAGCAGATGTTGGAAAACTGGGGATTGGTGTGGACAGAATGCCCTTCAGCCATGAGTTTGTCTAATCGAGCAGCGCCTTCCAACAAACGATGCTGGAGACAGAAAGGGAGCCCGAGGATGAGGTTGACGTGGCAAGGAGTGGGAAGAATGAGGAAGGGAGAATTCTTGTACAGGGTTGGGCTAATAAAAACATCCATCTTGACTCTGGTATCAACATGTGGCCAGGTCTTCCATCTGCCATCCTCGTTTTCAATGGTTTGACCTTCTCCTTCCTCAACCCAGCTGCCAGCCTTGTTCCTCTGACGTCAAGAGACATCCATTGAGATGGGTGGGCAAAGCAGAGGAAATAGCAGGGACAGCGGGCGGCGGGGGTGAGGGGTTGCAGCCGGGGCTTGACAAGGCTGTTGGGCAGTAGGGGAGTAAGTGGCGGGAGGAGGGGTAGGGTGCTCTGTGCGAAACACACAATCAATGATAGAACACAAGAGTGGGAGTGAGATAGCAGAGCAACCAAGGCCATGATCTTCAAGGCAATCCTCGACACGGGTAAGGATGTGCGGGGGGGAGGCCAAACAGGAGTTTCCGCCACATGTCCAATTCTGTAATGGCACCGAGACAATCACCGAGGACCATCTGGCATTCGCCAACTTTCTCCTCAAACGCCGTCCACGCCGCCAAGGTGGCTCCCTGGCATTGCAATCCTTCAAACACTCATTGAGTCTCTGATTTCCAGTTTGGCGAAAGAGCCTGCTTCTTCTTGAATTCGTCTCGCCAACCCTCCCACGAAACGCATGTGGCGCCAGTCACCATGGACCAATAATGGTAGGCGTCAATCTTGGTGATGGACTTGTTCGCTTGACTGACCCGCCACTGGGAGCAGACAGGGTGCCGTTGGGGAAACGAGAGTCATATTCGGCGAAGTATTTCTGGAGGTCATAGAGGTAACATACGACGCCAAGATTGGATGCACAAAGGGATGACAACATGGGGAGTTTGGGAGGATCAACCTGGGCACACTGGGCCTGATGACGTTGCATTGACTCCAAGATGACTCGGAGGTCGTTGAACCCGACACTCTGACTAGACGTCTGACCATCCGAAGCTGGTGCCGTAGGGGTGGGGCCAGACAGCATATGGGGAGGCACCTTGCAAGGAGGATAGGAGGTTCATGTGTTGTCGTCTGTGCAAAGAGGAGTGGGAAGATCAACAACAGGGGGGCGGGGACCGAGGATGATCTTGCCCTCCTTGGCAATACAAAAGATCGGGCGGCCAGAAGCTTCTTCGGAGTTAAGAGGTTTGCTGTGTTCATCAAAAAAGACAGAGAGGGACTTGGATGTGATGGGCATAGGTGCGACAGGCGCAGGTTCGCCAGGTTTGGTTTCGTTTGGGGGCATTGTGATTGGGGTGTGAAGTCGAAAAAAAAGTGTAAGAGGTGTGTATCCTCTCCACTATCAATGACGACGAGGGGGCAAACGGTGAGAGTCTCAGCTATAGGCTAACTGGACGGAAAAACGGCAAGGAGCGGCGAAGATTGGTTGGGGCTGTGTATTCCTGAGCAGTGAACAGGACCCCAATGTATATACATGTCACACAGACAGAAGAACACGGTGACTCTAGGCAGAAGTCAGTCCTAGCTATAACAAAACATGCACACAGACACCTGAGCTATACAGCAAAGGGCGAGAGACGGGGAACGACAACGGGCAAATACGTACCTGGGCAGAAGTCAGTCCTAGCTATAACAAACTGCCCAGGATTTAGCTATGCAATCTTGTATACAATAAGAAAGGGAACTCACACACGCACGCAGACACCCGAGCTATACAGCAAAGGGCGAGAGACGGGGAACGACGACGGGCAAAGAAAGAGAAGCCACGTCGACGTTCCACCAAGTCCCCGTCTGCGCGCGCGGCGAGCTCCGCAAACTCCGAAATGACGTGGCATTACGCATTACGTAAAACAACAGTGGAGGCGCTTCTCATACATTTGTTTGAGTTCTTTCTGCCCTTCATCCCACAGCTCTATCAGGCCGCCTCCTGCATGCATGCATAGCAGGAGCGCTTCTCATTTGCTGGGTCAAGGCACTCAAACGCAACAGGCTGCCCTCCACTAATGCTTACTTGTATGCAGTCCAAACAATCAAGACAGAGAGTCGCAGCCAAAAGGGTCGACGGGTCGTATATGAGGCAAGCCTCTTACAATACTGCGACGACAACAATTCTGGCGCGAGCGTGATCAAATGGATCCGAGACGCCTAATTTTGAAGGGCGGTGTTCGCTGAGATTAAGTAGAGATAAGTAAGCGTGGAGGCGGCCATCACCGAAGTGGCGTCGACCGAACACATCGGACTTCGAGTCGAAAGACTCGGTCATGCAGGTTGGGGGCGATGCTGGCCAGAGTTCACTTCCATGCAGTCCTCACCAGCTACAAGCTACACCCTGATCTCTCTGGACCTGCCCATATTGTCCCCCAAGTGCCCACACAACCAGCCTTGACTGCACCGTGGTGAAGATGTACTCTGCGCAAGTCATGCAACATTGAGCCATTAACTATGCGAAACATATCACACAGGATTGCATTCTACTTCTTCCACTACTCTTTCATCTTGATTATGACAATGATCCAGCGACTACAAGGAAAAGTCTAGATTACTGAGCCTTGGCGTCGACCTTGGCAATGTAGGCGATAAGGTCACAGACTCGTCGAGAGTAACCGTACTCGTTGTCGTACCAAGAGACGAGCTTGACAAAGTTGTCATTGAGGGCGATACCGGCCTGGGCGTCAAAGATGGAAGACTCGAGAGAGCCAACAAAGTCGGTGGAGACGACCTGGTCCTCGGTGTAACTGTTCACTGTCAGCGACGTTATCGCCCTCGAAGAAGGCAGACTCACCCAAGGATACCCTTGAGCTCGGGGGACTCGGAGGCCTTCTTGATGACGGCCTTGATGTCGGCGTAAGACGCACCCTTCTCAATTCGGCAGACGAGGTCGACAACAGAGACATCGGCGGTGGGGACTCGGAAAGCCATACCGGTAAGCTTGCCGTTGAGGGCAGGGATGACCTTGCCGACAGCCTTGGCGGCACCGGTAGAAGAGGGAATGATGTTGGCGGCAGCGCCTCGACCACCTCGCCAGTCCTCTGCACCAAGAGTCAGCAAGGCTACGAAAGAGACAATGGAGGAACGTACTGTGGGAAGGACCGTCGACGGTCTTCTGGGTGGCGGTGGTAGCGTGGACGGTGGTCATGAGACCCTCAACGATGGTAAACTGGATACGAGTCAGCCCAGCTCAAAGGGACGTTTCAAAGGAACAGATGGGACGCACGTTGTCGTTGATAACCTTGGCGAGGGGAGCAAGGCAGTTGGTGGTGCAGGAAGCGTTGGAGATGATCTTGTACTCGGGTTTGTAAGCCTCGAGGTTGACACCGCAGACAAACCTAAACAAGTATTAGCTTCGCGTTGCCATGCCAAGAGCTCCACTCACATAGGGGCGTCGGCAGAGGGGGCAGAGATGACGACCTTCTTGGCGCCACCCTTGAGGTGGACACCGGCGGCCTCAGAGGTGGTGAAGACACCAGTAGCCTCGACAATGTACTCGGCACCGGCGTCAGCCCACTTGATGTTGGCGGGGTCTCGCTCGCCAAAGACGGTGACGGCCTTGCCGTTGATGTAGAGCTTGCCCTCCTTGGTCTCGACGGTACCCTTGAATCGACCGTGGGTCTGTGGGACGTCAGGCATGCGTGTAGATGGCCGCGTAGGTACTCACAGAGTCGTACTTGAACATGTAGACCATGTACTCGAGGTCGATGAAGGGGCTGTGGCAAAGATAAGTTTGTGGGCGGTACGGACATCAAAAAAGTGCGTACTCGTTGACAGCGACAACCTCGAGGTCACCGTGCTCGATGGCGTTCCTACGCAAGGGTTAGAGGCGAGAAATGAGGGCGGATTACGTTTCGACGCACCTGAGAACAATTCGACCAATTCGTCCTGGGCGAAGTGAGCGGGGGCCTGGGGGTGGGCAGAACATACTCACCGAAACCGTTGATTCCAACCTTGACAGCCATTGTGATGTATGTGTTTTGTGGATGAATGTATGCGTTGTGAGTGAAGAAGAGAAAGAGAGATGAGATGAGTTTGCGTGGAAGATGATAAATCCAGTACAAGAAATGGCCGCGGGTTGCCGGAGAGCTCGCACACTGTGGCATCTCTCCCTGATTGGCCGATTCTTGATTGGCCGATTCTCCCAGCGTTTCTCGTCGGTTCTCGCGAAATACCACGTCACCTGCGGCAATGAACTGTGGGGCTCCACATTTTATCTCCTACTTTACCCGCCGCGCTGCACCAGGCGCTGCCCTCTTGTTGGCGCGTTGGTCGCTTCTGGCTGGCTTCTGGCTAGCTTCCTGTTTCTGTCGAGATGGGCCAACGAGTACAGACGCGACATCACCCGCCCCCCGCCCGGCCGTCGCCTCAGTCGGGCCCGACCTCGGATCTGTGTGTGTACATGGAGGATCTCGTCCAGATATGTATTAAGAACACAATTCAAACGACAGAGGAACAACAGGCACGTAGCGTCCGTCAACCAGGAAAGGTCTGGGATATCTGGTATACATATCTTGATCTATCACGCGGTCACGCCGGAGCCAGAAGGGTCTAGGATTATCACGCACGTTTTCTCGCGTGGTTTTGACGGGGGATGGGTGAGGACTGGGCTTTTACCCCAAACGTATATGTGATTCAACTCCTGTCTTTCGGTCTTTCCAAGACGTTTTGAGGTGTATATATATATCATCTCTCTGCCAATGATATGACCATGTCAGCATTTGCATTTAGAGCCGGGCATCAATCCAGCGCTGCCATGCTCTCCGAGCCCACTCTACTTCGTTTTCGGGCAGATATCGTCATACCAAGGAAGGACGACACGTTTGTCGTTGTGTCGGTGGTCATTGCCCTCATTGGGACGCATAGGGAGAGCAGTAGAGACCTTCGACGCTTGGAGTTGATAAATACCGAGATACTGAGGCAAATAGAGTATGTTGTAGCGTTGGAGCTCAAAATAGGATATTGCAAGTGATGCAGCAACGAGGAAGTGATGCAGCAACGAGGAAGTGATGCAGCAACGAGGAAGTGATGCAGCAACGAGGAAGTGTTGCACCCCGCAGAAATTTAAAAAAACCCGCAGCAGTGAATCCAGTATGTAAATAATGGGATGTTGCAATCTCAATCCACCATGTAGAGCAGAGGCTGGGACAGCTCGAAGTATATGTCCATTTATATGCGAGTGACAATATTAGCCATGCATCCGTGGGAAAGCCGGTTCAGGGAAACACGTGCGCGACGATGGTCCAGACAGCGGCGGGGACCGCATGACGTCGGTGGATACAGCCGCCTCCGGAAAGAGGATGACGTGAGTGGGCTGCCGGATTCGCTCGCCTTGTCCCGCTCGCCTTTCTATCTCTTCTTCCTACTGCATCTCCATCTCCTCTCGTCAGCCAACATGTCCACCGCCACCGCCACAAACCCCGACTACCAGACAAAAGTCTTCACCGCCGACGGCATCCTCTTCGACATGGTAAGTTCAACATGCACATTGCATCTGCGGAATCTCACTCTCTGCAGGACGGCACTCTGACCGACAGTATCGCTGCTGTCGAGGCCGCCTGGACCGCCAAGGCTGAAGAGCTCGGCCTCGAGCCCGAGGACGTCATCAAGGCCACCCACGGCCGTCGTGCCAGTGACAACCTCCAGGACCTCGTCCCCGGTCTCCGCCAAGAGCACATTGACCGAGAAGTCGAAAAGTTTGAGCGATCCATTCTCGAGTTTGCCGACACCCCTCCCCGTCGTCGGAGCTCGTCATCGTCTTCTCGATCCTCCCATTCTCGCTCCATGTCCAACTCGATATCCCTCTCCCCCCTGACGCCCATGACCAACGGCACTCCCGCCAACGGTCGCGCCGCGCCCAACACTGTCCAGCCCCTCAACCTTTCCGACCTCGAGCCCAAGGCAGGTGCTTCCCAGCTCGAGGAGGATGTCTTTGAGGACGAGCTCGACGAGGCTGTAGATATGAGCGTCCGCATCTTGCCTGGTGTCAGCGAGCTTATCAAGTCTCTACCCGGAGACAAGTATGCCGTTGCCACGTCTGGTGCCAAGACCTACTGCCACGGCTGTCTCGAGAGAACTGGGTCAGTCTTTATCTCGTGTTGGAAATTCCTCTAACGTCTCTGCAGCATCACCATTCCCAAAGTCTGCGTGACAGCCGACGACCCCCGTCTTCTCCGAGGCAAGCCTTTCCCCGACCCATTCCTCCTGGCCGCCTCCGACCTTGGTATCGACCCCACCCGTGCCGTCATCTTTGAAGACTCTCCCTCTGGTATCCTCGCTGCCATCCGTGCCGGCTCTACCGTCATCGCCGTGTGTACCTCCCACAAACGCGAGCAGATCTCCCACCTGGGTGCCCACTTTGTCGTCGATACCATGGACCAGGTCGGCGTCAAGGTGTTGGAGGACGGACAGCTAGAGTTTACCGTCAAGCACTAGAGAAGTAGTTGTGTTTGATCTTTGTAGCCATAGAGCCCATCTTGCTTGTAACGCAATTATACATTTCATAGCCGCGTCGTTTCTCATAGATGAGTTCAAAAAGTGCATGCTCATTCACCATGTATACAAGATACCGTCTTGCCAAGTTGGCGCTTGAACACAACATCGGTTATCCGGCGTATCCATCAGCTGCCCAGTTCGTAATAACTTCGTATCACTGCCAGTAGCAGCCCGCGCTCTGGGCAACGCGTCATTTGCGATACATGAGGGCGAGAATCGGTCCAGCTCGCCAGATAAATGACCTTTTCAGGGAAAGCCACCCACCGCGAGTTCCATCCATCGAGACATTTCGCGCGTCTTTATTTCTTTTTCGTCCCTGTACCTTTCCGACGCGTTATGTCGCAGCTGCAATGGACGCAGTTATAGTGGACGCAGTGGACGCAGCTAATTGTCAAATGCATGGGGAAAAGAACAAGGTGCTGGTTATCCATCTCTTCTCATTCTTCCATCTTTGACGTCCACCACGTCATCAAAAACCACAAACAATCTTTGATCACCACACCATGGCGCCCAGCTCGCTCAACTACTTTTCGCTCGCCAAGCGAGGATGTGCTTACCACTCGGGGGACACTGTGAGTGAACTCCTGCTCCATCTCTCTCATAAGCTGACTTCGATACAGAGTGGGACAACCTACGACTCTAATGGAAAGGCCTGTGCCAAGTTGTCTTCTGGAGACAAGGTCGCCATCGCCGTCGTCGCCGGCTGCAGTAAGCCCCATTGCTTGCTACAACGGACCCATCACTGACCTCGTTCATAGTCGGCGTCACCATTGCCATCCTCATAGCCATCTACGCCCGCCGCTACTTCCGCTCCCGTTCAAGAGAACAGGCTTCACCTTCTTTTGCCACCCAACGTCCCATGTCTTTTGCCAAAGCTCCCCTGATGACCACCTACTCTCAAGACAACATCCCATCCCTTTCCCCCTCTCTGGGCTACTACAAGGGTTCCGGCGCCGAGAGCTACAAATCTTCGAGCGACGCCGGTTCCATCCGATCTTACCACTCCCACCCTTCCTCCCACAGCTCCCACTCTACCCGATCGGAGATGCTCTACTTTCCTGTCCTCTCTGCCGACGGGCATCTTCTCCCGCCTCCCCCCGCTTCCGCCAGGCCTGCGGAGCACGACTACGAAGAGGAGCTGCGCCCGCTTCCTTCGCCACCTTCCGATTCCGATGACGGCGTGTCGTTGTATGCGCCTGTACCCAAGACTTGGGAGCAGCAGCATCCCGTACCAAACCCATTTTTCCCGGAAGTTTTCAATGGCGAAAGCTATGCCAGCCGTCGTTGAATGCTGACGCAACACTGTTCTTGCTGCACCCATGTCGACCGCGAGTTGGCGAACGGGGCACTACGCTCGCATCTCCTGGTGCAAGGCGAAGTACGCTTGACCGGTCGGAGAGATGGGATCGATCCCGTGAGAGAAAGAGCGGCTGTACATGACAACCATAATTTGTAAGGCCTTTCGTTGGCCCGCCGAGTGCATTCTACATATTTGATACACTGTATGTAACGAATGATATCTGATTCGACTTGCTTGGATGATGCGTGCATTATAAGTGTGGAATGTACAACGATGTGTGGATTGCAGGAAAGATATAAACGTCTCAAGATGTGAATGCTTGGATGCTGGAGGATGCAGTGATGAAGTTTATTGAGATAACGAGTTTTGCGCTTGGAGTTGAGAGAACAGATCCTACGGCATGTCAGCATCATTCAATGTAGAAACGAATGTTTGACTGACCTCGGCGGTATGGTTACCTTCCGGTAGATCGGGAAGTCCATGTTCTGTCAGGATAAAGTTGACAAGACGTTCCATCTGCTCTTGCGTTATAGGCGTAGTGCCCGCAGGAAGCGCAGGAGCTATGGTAAATCAGCAACTGTGACCCACTTTTGTGGTACAAATATTCACCTCTGATTTTGGGTTTCAAAAACTCGTGCTGTAGCAGCTCTGGTATAGTCAATCGATGTTCCTTCCTGTACGCTAGACTCCTCTGCATCGAATCGATCGCTTCCGGGCTGACGGGCACCGCCAAACTTGCTGGGTCCAAAGGGTGTCCATCGAGGCCAAAGCCGACAGCAGTCTTGGGGACGGCAATCTCGGGATAGACTATGCGATGATTGGCATCGGCAATAACACCCATCTTCGCCAAGGGACCACCGGTGATATGCTGGAAAGGAGGGGAACCGTATATCATCTGATATAAGATACACCCTAGGGACCAGACATCGCTGGGATATGACAGCTAAGAGTCCGCGTCAGCCTATAGTCACAATGAGCGCGTAATACTGACCTTCAACACCTTTTGATTGTTCATCCGCTGAATCGCTTCTGGAGACATGTAATTGACGGTACCGATCTGCCAAATAGACGTCAGCTGCGGGCGCACTAATCATAGTGTCAACATACCTGCTGATCACGCTGAATGTTGACCGTATCGTTTGCTATAGCTTTTGCAATGCCGAAATCAATAATCTTCAGTCGCCCCTTTACCAACACAAAATTGGCCGGTTTCAGATCTGTGTGGACCACGTTTTCTCTATGTACTGCCTGCACAGCTTCCAGCATCTGCACGGCAGGTCAACGCAGAACTGTGTATGGGGACAGCTTCACTTACCTGTTCCCAGTAGAGACCGACAAAGTTCATATTGATGGCCTTGCCACGTTGCTCGTCCAGCAGGGCAGCAAAATCAATTTCTCCGCATTCCATGACCTGCACCATGTCAGCGAATACTTTGTAGCGTTTCGAGCTGCTTACCATAAGCAGCCGGTGTGGCCGATTGTACTGGTTGAACGTTATCTGGTGATCCATGAGCTGGATCACGCGAGCGTGTCCTCTCAGTCGTTTGAGAAGATCTATCTCGTTGGTATAGCTCTGGTAGGTCTCGGCATCGGCCCGTTCCAGTTGTACGACCTTGAGTGCGTAGATTATCTTCTTTTTGGGTGCTGAATAGAGTACAGAGTAGACCGTTGATGATCCACCTTTTCCCAAACGCTGCAATCTTTCGTATGGTACATTATTCACCTGACAGCAAGATTAGTCATTGAATCAATTCGTCAAGATGTGGGCTCACGTGGAATAGAGACTTTGGCTGGAGTGCCACTGGTTGCGGTGCGACCGGTTGTTCGGGAAGAGAGTGGAGCGGTAACGGTGCTGTTTGTGGTACCTGTGAAGCAGAAGGGTAGTCGTGGCGCGCTTCAATATTCGGCGCTGGGCGACCGGCATGGAGTGGAGGGTACGGCGGCGTAATCTGCCTGGCTGGCGCAGGCGGTGCGGATCTCGGTGGGTCAGGCGGTGCCTCTGACAGTGAATGCTGATGGGCCGATCTTTGCGTAGGTTGCCGGGGATCTGGATAAACACCACGCCTCGCTGGGGGCTCGGACGGCTTGCCGAAGGGACGGAAGGGACGGTCCTCCTGCACTTCAGCGATTGGTTCGGGGTGGCGCTCTATGGATCGGTGATCTCTCTCCACGCGGCTGATCGGCTGCCGTCCTTGTGACACATCAACCTCGCGAATGGTCGAGTTGCTCGTCGAGCCCTGCGCCAGCGGTGCAGAGCGGTAGCCTTTGAGTGGGGGGTTTGGCTGCGTTCGCTCGGCAGTAGGTAGTGATGGATAAGTCACCGGAGCACCTCGATCAGCACTACCTCTTCTTTGAGGAGGAGAGTCTACAAGACCATCAGCACATGTCCCACATTTCCAACGATCCTTGCTCACCTATCAAAGGCGGGGTTTCCTCCCTGACACCTGGCAGTTCATCTCCTTCAGCAAGCTCAGCCTCGTCATTGGCATCCACCCGTCGCTTTGCTGGTCCTCCAAACTTGGCCAAGAGGCCCATCCTCCGGCCTGTTGTCGACCTTGCATTAGGTAGTGTGCGGTCAACCGCAGGGGTTACGGTGCTGGGTCGCGAATGAGAAGGAAGTGTATTGACGGACGATGCGGACGACGTGTGCGTCAGATTGGGGCGAATGGTCGCATTCTGCGTCAGATTGGTCAGATCCTGTATGTATGTCAGCAGGTAGAAGATGCGACGTGATTGAGCGTACTGCTGACGTTCCCGATAAGGTCTCAGGCTCTTGATCTATTTTGGCCTCTTGCCTGGGAGGAACAGGGGCAGACACGACTCTTTGAAACTTCCGGGCGCCCCCATATATTCTCCCAGAGTTTGCGCTACTTCCGCCTGACCCAGAGATGTTTTGTTGCGACAAGGAGCGCGAGTTCTTGAGTATATTGCTGACTGGCGGGGTAGGGGCGAATGAAGATGGTGATATTGTCGAGCTGTCCGTCAGCGACGCCACATTGGCGGAAGACAGGGACGATCGTGCGGAATGGAAGGGCGGGTGGGGCGGCGTGGCAGAGTCGGGGGGAGGGCTCCTCGAGGAGAGCGAGAGCTGGGCGAGCTGGGGAGAGGGGAGTGCCGGGGAGTGCTCGCGGCTGCGGCTGTCCTTGAGCCAGTCGAAGTGGAAGTCGGGGGTGGCGAGCTCGATGGACTCGTCGTCCTGCGTCCACGAGGAGTCTATGGCGGCCATGGCGGGGAGAGAAAGAGGAAGAGGAAGAGGAAGAGGAAGAGATGGGGTGCAGAAGAAGACGCCCTCGCAACACTTCAGACGCAAGTCGCGTCTTGTTTATGTGATTAGAAACCGTTTATAAACATTAGAAACAGCTGTAATTATCAATTATGGCACCAACCCTTCGCGATCGTGTTCAGTACTTCTTTTCATACCCATTCTTCCTCTTTCTACTACTGATTCCTCCCCTCGCGCCCCCTTATGCACCGACGCACACCATTTCTATGATAGACTGAAGCGTGTCGCCTCACCTGTTCTCATCGTGGACAAACTCTATCGAGAGCGAAAAGGAACATTCACAAAAGCGCCGCACCAGTCTCGAGGGGCGACAGATGCCAACATATGAAAAGACTAGGAAAAAGAGATGAGAAGAAAACAAAATGGATGGAAACGGACAGGGCCAACAGTGGCAGAGTAAAGGGGGAGAAATAAACTTGTATTTGGTGATCTTGCTGTTGGGATGCGAAATGGGTATATGGTTGGATGTCGGTTCGAGAGAACGCTCATGATAATGTAGAGTAGAGGAAACTGTGAAGTTGTTTAGCAAATCATTTGGGGGATGGTGCGCAAAGAGCACGAACAGGTTGTTGGTGGCGGCAATCTGCGAACTCGTCAGCATCATACTTGACATTGCCTTGAATATACTCACAGCAATAGTGTTCTCGCGGGGATGCCAGCTCGCGTGCAGCTATGGACGGCGTCAGCTTAATTCTCTCATTCGTTTACTGCGCTCACAATCTTCTTTGAAAAGTCAATCCCTTCCGTCTGCAAACCTTCCTTCTTCCCGGGCACCTTGCCTCTCGCGCCGCCAATCTTCTTGGCCTTGAATGCAGACTTGTCGGCTTGCAGCACGACATCGTTGTCCGAGTTGACGTCGTAAATGCGGAAGTAGTTGTGGTAGGATCCTGTCAAAGCTTGGCTGCGGACGACATCAGATGTCATTCTCAGTACAGCGTGCAACTCACGTTCCGTCCCCGCTGAAGGTACACTCAAACTTGTCAAAGATGCAATCATTCTCGTACAAGTCGCAAAGCTTCTGCCGAAGGTGGTCGTGGATGTTGATGGTCTTGACAGGCTTGCTGTCCATGGCGATATCCCAAATCTTGAGCGTCAAGTAATCGCGGGAGAGAATATATCGCCCGTCTTGCGAGAATTTGACGTCGGAGATGGATGATATGATTTCAGAAAAGAAGGATTTAGAAGCGGGATCTTCTTCCTCCTCAAAGACTGCGTCACGATGAGCGCCGTGCCTACGTGTGAAAAGGCAAGTGACTTACGCTTCGCATGTGAATCACACAACGCAGAGTCTCGCATATCCGCGAGCTTGATCGTACCCTTCGAGCTCGAGTACATGAAGAGGTTGCAGTGTATGGGATGGAACTCGGCAGCAGTGATAACCTCGGTGAGCTCCTCCATGTTGACCGGCTTGATATCCACAATGTCTAGACGGGCGATCAGTGAGGATCCCTCCGTCGTGCCGGCGGAGACTCACTGAAACTCTGGTCGCTGATATCAAGGTTCCAAAGGTTGATCCTCAAATCGTCGGCCGAGATGTAAGTCTCCCCGTCCGAGTTGACGGAGATGGAGTTAATGTGGTAAGCGTGCGCGTTGGCGTACACTTTTCGCGGGACGGCTGCGGTTATGGAGTCGTGGGTCGTCAGGCGAGGGAGGCGCAGGGGGGGCTGGGAAGGGCCAGTGTTTTGACCATAGCCTTCCGAGTGGTTGTTCTCGGCGACCACACGAATCTGCTTGTCAAACACCTTCCAAAGTTTGATTGTCTTGTCTATGACTCCGAGTCAGATGTGCATTTTGAGCGTATGTGAAGACTTGCCATTGGTACTAAGAAGGAAATGGGCAGAGTTCTGCCTCTTGCACCATTTGATCCTGTTGATCTTTTCCTCAATCTCAAGAGACTTGAGGTAATCGAATTCGGGCTCATGAGATTGAAACTACGCCATATAAGTATACGGCGCGTCGATACGTCCAGAAAAGGCTCACCTCTGTGTAGAACTTGTACTCGCAGCCTCGTTTCTACCGACTACATCAGTGGACTGTTTCCAAAGTCGCAATGGACCTACCGCTTCGTTCCGCTCAAACAAGACCACGCGACCGCCCTTGTCACCAGTCGCGAGGTAATCACCCGTATGGTCAAACTCTACCGTAGAGATGATATCGGCTGCAGGATACTGTCAGTCTTATGCTTATGGCGAAAACACAAAGGAGCGATCCAGGATACTTGCCTTCCGTGATGTCCTCTACCTCGCCCTTGTCTCCGAAACACTGGGCGAACCGCCACTGATTGTTCGTCTCCGCATCCATGGTACCGCGGTCAGGATCTAGGATGGCGGCAGTCTAGCGGAAAGCGAGAGGTGGCTTGCGGGATGTGGCGGAGGGAATGGGAGAAAGGGGTGTCTGTGATGGAGGCCGAGGGACAGCGGGTGCTGTGGTGCGATGGAGGGCGAAAAGGCGCGCGGGGTCTGGGTGTGCTGGGTGTGCTGGGTGTGCTGGGTGTGCTGGGTGTGCTGCGGATGTCGGTGGGGCACGGGGTCGCTGCGCTGTCCTGGGCTGTCCTGGGGTGCGCGGCGTCGTTGAAATGTTTTGGACCAACCAAGAAACGCTCCTTGCCCGCCACGAAGCATGAATCAATCCCTGTCGCGCGCCTATGTGTCACATCACACCATTCCCCCCATTTAGCTCCTTTGTCCACCTTCTTTTGACTCGCGTCCACATGCCAGTCTGCATGCAATGGAGGGACCGACTCACCGGACCACAAGGCATTTACTCTCATGGCAAGGTATCCCATGTGACTTTGTTCTTTGTTCTACGTCCATCCTGTCCCGTTTCGTCTCTGCTGATCCTTGAGCTGGCCTCAAACATGGCACCCACCTCCTTCATTTTCAAGATTGTCGACCAGTTCGTCGACGGGGAAGTGACAACTATACGATGTGGTGGTCGAAAGTACACTATACCCTCTTGCTACAAAGACATATACTGGCCCCAATATAAGAAGAAGACACACGGCAAGCATGAAACGTACCGTGAAGTAGAGCATTTGGTGACGCAAGCTCGTCTAGCTGCCAAACATGGCGATATCCGGGTGAGTCGTAGACTTGGAGAATACGCCTAATGTACCAGCCATTCTACAGGATCTACTGTTTATTCGCAGAGCTGGGAGAACATTATGGTAAGGGGAACACTGGCGAATCTATGTGTGGATCAACTCACGACCCAAAGCACCTGACCTATGAGGTGAGCTTATGTTTGATCATGTTGCTCTCACGTTGATCAAAGCAAACTGTTAGTCCAATGTTGGAACATCCAAGAACATCGTCGTTGCCGACAAACAAGCAATGCGTTACTTGAAAGCTTATGCGTGGTTCATGGAGGGCATCGTCCCGTCTCCTGTAAACATTCTTGTTGGTTGGTACCGTTAGCTGCTGACAGGTATCGAACAGCTGGGAAAGTTCCGACTAGGTGCTGCAAGCGTCACCGAAGTCTTTCCGTTTCTCGGACCTGTAGTGGTCTTTTTGACAAGCATGACTGTGTATTGCCGTACGATAAGTAATGTTTCAGCTCCCTTCTGGGTCTGCAAAGAGATGCTTTTCCCTCTCTTATGGAGTATATTCTTCTCGTATGCTGCCATCCAACAATTAGCAGGGGCTACTGGCTGACAGGGCAAATAGATTCTTCTTCCCTGAGGTTGGTGATATCGCCGCAAGCAGTATCTCCCCCAGCAGACGAGCAGCTCGCAAACTCAAATACTTTCTCAAGCTTCGTGGCCTTCTCGCTAAAGATCAGAAGTATGACGATGGGCTCTACATATCCACCAGGCTTTCAGACGTTTTTCCGGAGCTACCCGGCGATGGGGAGGAGGAGCACGAGTGGGCGTATCCTGAAAAGCTAAGGGAAGAGCTTTATGGTGGGAAGGACTTTCTGCATTTGGTCGGTAGAAGGAATGGGGAAGATAAAGTCTGATGTATTTCCGACGCGCCGACATTTACTTGTATGAGAGAGCGATGCGCTTCGAGAAGCATCCGTCAACGCTGCGTCAACGTGACGTCAAGTGGCACATTACCGTGGGAATGTCTGATTCGGTGTCGGCCGCCGGCGCATTGCAAGTCAGTCATTGCGACAGAGTGTACAACTGTCTCTTCCACAAGTCTGACCATGGCCAAGTGGAAACCAGAGCCAACCGGCGACGATACAGCCAAGTATTCCCTCAGCGCAGAGTTTGAGCCAGCCCATTCAGGGGATGTCAAGGCCGTCCTTGCTGTCGACGACGATCTCTTGGTGTCAGCCTCGCGGGATTCGAGCGTGGCTGTCTGGAAGCTGGGGAAGGAAAGGGTGAGATAAAGACATCTCAGCAGAATCAGAAGAATTGCTGATCAGAGAGCTGTAGTTTGACCTGGTAGCACTTCTGGAGGGACATGGGGCATATGTCAATTCTCTGGCATATGTACCTCCCATAGCAGAGGATGGTAAGCATCTCTCCACCCCTCTATTCCCAGATCACAACTCATTTGTATCCAGACAATCGATACATAGCGTCCGGCGGCAATTCTGGTGTTATCCTTGTCCACAACCTCACCACTCTCCAAACTACAAGCAGAGCATGTCTCATCGGCCACGCACTCAACGTCTGCGCTCTGTCATATTCTTCCAAACAACAGAAGCTGATCAGCGGAAGCTGGGATATGACTGCGAGAGTATGGTCCAGGGAGAAGACGCAATGTGGGGAAGGCGAGGGGCAAGGGTATGGGGAGTGGAAGACAGATGTAGTCCTGGAAGGGCATGAGCAGGCGGTTTGGGATGTGGCTGTTGTGGAAGGGTCTACGGAAAGACAATATCTTACTTGTAAGTACACTACTCGCTCAAACCAATCGTACTGACTCAGTCCTTAAAAGGCTCGGGTAGGCGTATCGAGCTGTGTGTAATTGGCTAGGTCGCTGACGGGCTTCAGCCGATAGGCTCGTCAATCTGTGGGACGAAGGCGGCCAGCTGCTTCAGCGCTTCAAAGGATCTCCCGAGCCGGTTCGAAGCTTGGCTATACTACCATCTAACGATATCTTCGTCACAGCTTGTAATGACGGGTACGCTTCGTTCACCTCCTGTGTCACGCCTCTACTGACACCCGCTGTCCCAGTCTCATTCGTCTTTGGGACTTTACCGGCAGCGTTCTACAGGTTCTTCGGGGACACACAGACTACACTTATAGGGTCATTGTAGGAACTGACAGTCAGCTGATTTCTTGTGGCGAGGATCACACGGCTGTGAGTCTCACCTTTGGCCGAGTCGCATGCGTCTGATAGCCTTCCTTAGCGTGTTTGGCATGGTACGACTCAGCTTTATAACTTCCGCCTGTCTCTGAAGTATCCGTAAGACTTGGCTGACCAATCGCTGTAGAAGGAGAAGAGAAAGACATACTGCCTCACCCTTGCCAGACAGTCTGGTGTGTCGCTTCGCTTCCGAATGGAGATATCGCGACTGGGGGTTCCGACGGCGTCGTGCGCGCGTGGTCCAGGGCGAGCACGAGGATAGCCAGCGAAGATATCCAGAAGGTAGGTGCCCCCTCCTCAAAGGCTGTAAACAGGAGCTGACCTTGTGATCAGTCGTATCGAGAACGGTTGCCCGTAATCCCCGATAGGTGACTCCCCGTATCTCTGGTGGCATTTCTGTCCTTGCTGACCAGCTTTCAGATCAGTCTCGCGAGCTCCTAGTTTGACCGCAGCCCCTGAAGCTGCTGCGCCTGTTACTATGACCATTGATATTGACTTGAGGTATCTCCGACACATCACCAACCTAAATCTAATGAGATGCTGATATGCTTCCAGCGACAAAGATCCCCCCATACCCCTAGTCTACTCTACCAATGGTAAGCGAACCCCTGTTCCCGGATTCTCCAGAAAAGTTGTTGAGTACTCCCAGTGGAGCCTAGAGTTGCTGCTGAGGAATTTGGACACGCGCACAATTTGTCGGACAACTACATCAACCAAATCGAAGCTTTCATCAAGGCCCATCTAGCATAGATCGAGCTGCCAGCATCGTGCAGATCATGGTGTATATATATATGTGTGTACATTAAAAGAATCCCTGTGTACATTAAAAGAATCCCCGAATCTCTGGATTGTGACAAGAAGATGATGATGCCGTGACAAGACCGAGTCTCGTCGGCGGTTGCTATCATGCCCAAACTATTCGAGAGTACGATTCGTCCTCTACAGCACCAACCTCTGGTGAAAACCCTGAACGGAAGGAGCAAAGCTCTATGTCTTCGCCACCACGGGCTCGATGATCCAGAGAATAACCTCGTGCAACTGTTACGCAGTCCGGTGTGAGGTTTATGTTTATGTGTAACATTTCAACATGAAGACATGATAATCAATTAATAACAACTATGAAAAGAGCTTTTCCAGACACCTAAATGGACATGTACAGATTTCGTCAAATACGTTCAATCATAATTTCTTTCAGCTTTACATCTGCCAGCCCCTCAAGTACCTTTCCCTCCCCATGTCTTTTCACATCTACCTTTAGATCCTCCCAATCCTTGCCTTCCTCAGACTTGAAAGTGAACTTGAGCCTCTCTTCGACAGAGGCTGAGCCGGGAGGAAGGAAGAAGCGGAGAGGGGTAGTAGCGTTGAATGTGAGACGGGCGTAAGAGCGAATAGCTACGGTGTGCGGGATGGGGGAGAGCATTGGAGTCTGGGGGTTAGGAGGAGCAGCGCCCGGAGTGGCTGCCGTGGAAGCAGTGGATCGTGACTGTGGGAACGTCAGCCCTGACTCCTGCTTAGCAGATTGACCTACCCCAAGTAACGGCGTTCTCTCGTCGGTGATTGTTTGCCCGTTGGTATCTTCCGTCTCAATTCTAGGTGGCACAATCTTGGATCTGAACGGCCAAAGAATCACCCTCCAAATACTCTCAAAGAACCGCGCAATGACCCCCAAAATCCATGACCCGCCCTGCTTTTTTCGATCAGTCGATGAAGGAACAGTAGCACTGCGAGGGGGGACAAGCTCTGTCTGGGGAGTCACAAATCCGTCCAAAACATTGTTGGATTGGACGTCAAGGTCTTTGGTTATATCAAAGTATGCAGGGTTGTCGACGGGGTCGATCGAATGAATCTCGACTTCCTTTTCTCCCAGCTCGGCAGAGTTGGCTCCGGGAACAGCAATCCAGATGGTATCGTCGGCACCAGCACCACGGAGTTCAAAAAACTCGGAGACTCGAAGGACGTCAGCGGCAGCGCCGGGGTAGATGTGGGCGGGGATGTGGCGCGCAGAATTGTTGTCGCGTCCGGGCACGTAGGACGGAATAGATGACGAGTCTGAGGAGACTATCAGGAGGGGGCTGTGGCCGGATAGCCTGTCTGGGATCTCGATGGCAATGTCACGGGCGGCCTGGTGATACACCGCATCAACAATCACTTGAGTCGGCTCCGAGTCGCCTTCGGAAGAAATGTAGAACAGAGCTCCCACATTCTGACTGGTTTCTTTGCCTTGTTTGACTTCTGCCACAAGCAGATGGCTTTGGTCTCTCTTGGCTGATCCAACGGCCGCCCGCAGTACTTCTGTAGGTGTGGTGTCTACACCAAGTGCGTAGGTTGGAGACCATCCCTCCATGCCGATCGTTGGAAGTTTGCCGAATTGAATAAGAGGATTGTCGATGGGGCTAATGATGGCCTGATAGCTCGCACTAGCGTCCTCCGAAGGCGTAGCTAGCTTGGTAGACGAGAGTCGAGCGAAGGGGGCCAGATGGGGCGTGGGGGGACCATGCAACAATACAAGAGTAGGCAGGATGCGGCCTTTGTGAGGAATGGCATTCAAGCGGGGTGTTTGAATGCTACACGATGTCATTCAACCGGACGATTTACACGCAATAGTGACGTACCGTTTTTTACCCTCGTGAAGTGTGACAGCAATACCGCTCCAGTCCCAATCAAGGCTATCCTCAAACACGTCGTCATAAGGTGGATAAGGCCCCGATTTGATGGGTCCAGTCTCGTCCGCTTTGTCTGACGCCTTCAATCTGACCACACCGTTTCCACCCATTCCACTCTGCCAGTGAATGTGTCCGTCAGGATGAACATGCCGGAACGTATACGCAAAGTCTCGGTTAAGCTCGACAGAAATCACCAAAGTGGTTGAAAGAGTGGCGGGAGGCAATGATGGCTCTGGCAGGTCCAGAGACCGAATGGTGATAGAGGTCGTAGACACCCCGTTGGCCTTGTCGACACCGTTGACAGCCCCTTTCGGGACCGCTACAGCATGAAAAGCTTTGGCTCTCCACTCTCCCAGATGAGAGGGGGGATTCCCTTGGTCATCATCAAACGGAAGGTCTGTCCAGATCTCCCATTGGCCTTGAGGCTGTTCTTCGTGGTCGAAAACGGCGAAGAAGTTGAGATGGACGTAGCCGGTGCGGGCGTCCGGGGGAACGCGGATTGTTTTGACCTGAGAGATGGAGGGGTAGAAGTCGGGCATTGTGGGACAGGAGATGTGGAGAGAAAGAAAAGAAAGAAAGAAAGAGGAAGAATGGGCAGAGGACGGTCTTTGGACGGTCTGCATGAACGAGGCAGCGGGAGACCGAGAGGGTGGGAACCAGCAGGAACGGTGCCTCGTGATGACGGAATCAACTGGCCAGTCGCGGGGGGCTTCGAGGGGACGCGGAATTTACAAGTCAAAATGCAAGTCAAATGTCGACTTGGGTTACTTGTCTATCGAAGCTCTCCTGCGACAGCACAACTACTACACTCACCAGACACCGCATACATCCGCAAACATGGGTATCGTCGACAAGATAGAAGACATCGAGAGTAAGAGCTCCATATCGGGCCTATGACCACCGCTGACTTGTCCTTTCTGGTCGTTCTTTACAGAGGAGATGGCTCGGAGTGAGTACTTGATCCGCACACGTGTCCAGCTTTTTCTAACCCATACCCTTAGCCCAGAAAAAGTGAGATCCTCAGCCGAGTGGCATGTTTCGCAACTGACAATAAGTCTAGTAAGGCTACCGAGTATCATCTGGGACTTTTGAAGGTGGGTGCCTGCCATCTCCAGGGATATGCGTATAGCTGACGTTGTCTTCAAGGCAAAGCGTCAGTGGTCCAAGTATCGTCCAGAAATATACCCAGGCTCATCTCAAGGACAGTCGCCAAATACAGAGCTCAGCTCCTCGAACCGGAGAAGAAGTCTGCCAAAGGAGAAGGATTCGACGTTCTGAAATCAGGTGGTACGTTCTTGTATCGTTTGTCTATCCAAATGGCCGTTGACAGGGTCTGTATAGACGCTCGTGTGTGTATGATCGGATTCCCCTCCGTTGGAAAGTCTACCTTGTTATCCAAAGTCACAAAGACCGAATCTGTCGTCGGCGCTTATGAATTTACGACCTTGACTGTACGTATCGACCTCCGATATCTGCCCTTGCTGGGTACTGATGCATTGTGTAGGCTATCCCAGGTGTGCTCGAGTATGAAGGTGCCAGAATACAGCTGCTTGATTTGCCTGGTATCGTGCAAGATGCTGCCAAGGGTCGAGGTCGTGGTAGGCAGGTCGTGTCTGTGGCCAAGACGGCCGACATCATTCTTCTTATGAGTGAGTTGTGTGCATTCTACCGGATGAATCACTCAAGCTAATCCACTGCATCAGTCGACGCGACAAAGTCTGCTGAGCAGAAGAAGCAGCTGGAAGTTGAATTAGAAGCTGTGGGCATTCGACTCAACACCAGTCCACCTGATGTCGTTTTCAAGCAAAAGCAGGCTGGTGGTATCTCTGTAAGTTTCGCCTCTTTAGTCGCGATTCATGTCTGACGATAAGCGACAGCTCAACTGCACCGTCAAGCTCACAAAAACGGACGAAAGAACCATCCGCTCCATTCTCCAGTCTTACAAAAGTCAGCATTCCTCCCCACCACCGACTCTCAAAGCTAATCAAACCGAACAATAGTTCACAACTGCGACGTCATGATCCGCGAAGACATTACCACTGATGAATTCATTGACGTCCTCCTGGGCACACGAAAGTATATCCCCGCTCTTACAGTCATCAACAAGATCGACGGTGTCTCTATGGAAACGCTGGACCAGATGGCTAGGGAAGGAGATGGGCGAACGGTGATGATCAGTTGCGAGATCGATCTGGGATTGGACTGGTTATTAGAGACCATCTGGCAAGAACTGGGGCTTGTCAAGTAAGCGCTCTTTCTTGTGTACAGTGACCAGTCGCTGACGTTCTTGCTAGAGTGTACACCAAAAGACGAGGGGAGAACCCCGACTTGGGCGATCCCATCTGCCTCCGACAAGGAGCCACTATCGAAACAGTCTGTCACGGTATCCATCGTGGCTTGGCTTCACACTTCAAGTATGCGTTGGTATGGGGCAAGTCGAGCAAATTCAATCCTCAACCGCAAAAGGTCGGTTTGACCCATCATGTTCAGGACGAAGATGTGTGAGTGCAGACACTGTCTGGGAACCGGAATCGTCGCTAACAGGGTCCCATAGTGTGAGCATCTTTACCAAGTAGGCGCTATAGCCCCATCATTGTACTATAATAATACCCGTGTCGCATGCACTTTTACCATGACGGACCTGACGCAGATAGTATCTCGTACAAAACATACTGACAATTCATGAGAGGGCAGTCGCTATAAACAAAGCGCATAGGGGTCAAAAAGAAGGACTAGGGCTACTGGAAGGTGGCTTGGATATAAAAGTACGCTTATTACACATTCGTCACAAAGAAATCATCAGGATCCAGCCAACTGCGACTTCTCTCTTTTTTTGTGAGATTTTCTATTTTTGTGGCTTCTCCTCGCAACCTCCTGGGAACAACACGACGACCACACGGAAGGAAAGACTGATAGAAAATAGATTACACTTTAATGCCAACCTCTTCCCTGATAACATCAACCCTCTTCTCCACATCTTCAAACCACTTCAACGCCTTGTTCGCCTTCTTCTCCTGCTCCTCGCTCTCCTTGACCAGCTCCCCTCTAGCGTCCACAGCCGCTCTGAACCTTTCTCTGAGATCCCAAGCAGCCAGGCGCATGACCTTCCTGACTTCTCTGCTGATCCTAGCGGACTGGGCATCGGCGAAAGGCAGCTCGTCATCATCGGTGGCTGTACCCGAAGATGCAAGGAGGGTGTACTGAAGGTGGCGCCCGACGTTGCGTGGGATAGAGTTGGGCAAGTCGTAGACAATGTAGGCGACGGCGCCAGCGGCGGCCATACCCACGGCGGGACCAATCCATCTACGGGTGGAGGGATCAGAGACAAAGTCGGAGAAATGGACCAAGCCCTCGATAACAGTACGGAGACCGACAGTCTTACCGCTAACCATCGAGAAGGCGCCAAAGGCGAGGGAGGCAGCGCCAAAGCTTTCGGCAGAAACCGGGATGAGGTCGAGAGAGCCAGACTTGTGAGAGGGGAGGGAGGATCGAGCGAGGAAAATGTGGTGCTGGAGGTCAAAGATGTCGGTGACATTGACGTCCTTGAGATGAGTTTGATTGGCAAGGCCAAGACCGATGGTAGAAACACCCGACGGACGGCGGGCGGCACGAGGGCGAGCCGTAAACATGGCCTGAGGATTGAATTTACGGTTAGAGCGCTCGACATCCTCGGGGAGGTGAGCGTCGCCGAGAGCGATAACCTTGTCCACCCCATCGGCAGTCAGCTTTCGAGAGTCGTTCTCGGCAAGGCTGACCGCAAAATCGAGCGAGGACAAGAGAACCCTCTTGACCTCGGCAGCATAGTCCCAAACACCGAGCAATCCGGGGTAGGACGGAAGTTCAAGACCAGGACCAGGCGCAGCCAGTTCGCCCTTGGAAACACGCTCAAGCGCGGTGGTCATCGCCTTCTTGGTCCTGCTCGATGATGCTTCAGTCACAGACTCCTCCTCCTGGACCAAACCCTCCTCTAAACCTTCGCGGCCCCTCTTCATCTTCTCCAAAACAGGCTTGATGCGGTCAAGCTCGTTGCGTGCAATGTCACGCTCCTTGGTCGCCAAGACAGAGTTGGCAGACGCGAGAAGCTCGACGTCGGCAAGAAGATGAGTGACGTAATTTTGGGCAGGGCCAAGCTTGGACTTGGAGCGGTTGACGAGAACGAAGGAGCGAAGAGAGTGCTCGAGATGAGAGAAGGCATCATCAAGCTCATCGCCTTCGCCAGGAGCAACGCCCAACGCAGCCTTTGCAGAATCGACAAAGTGGACAAGAGAGTCCGCATCCTCGTAGGTTTTGGGACTGAGCTGCTTGATCTGCTCCATGACTAGTCGTCGGCAACGAGCTTTGTCTTTGAGCTGGTCGTATCGGTTGACGACGATGAACAGATGGGCCTTTTCATGGCCAGCCTGCCAGATGAACTCCTTGGCAGACAAGGTAAAGTGGTTGGCAGCAGACACAACAAAGACAACGACGTCGATCTCTTCCTGACGAGCAAAGTTGGCTGTCGTCTTGATCGAATCCCTATTCAATCCCGGAGCATCGACAAGGGAGATGTCGACGACGCCATTATGGAGGATGGAGGGGTTATTAACATCCTCAGCCTCACGCAGGAAGACTCGGACGGGGGGGCTAGACGCATCAGAGTCGAGGTCTGTGACAAGCTCCTCAAGCTTGGAAATGTCCATGACAGAGTATGTGGACTTGTCGCTGGGATCGTACTCGCCCTGATCCATGATATGGATCTCCTCCTTGTCCTCGTTCTCCTTGGCGCTGACAACCTCGACAAAGCGCGTCGTCAGAGGCTGCTCGTCCGTGGGCATGACCTCAGCTCGTCTCAACAAAGTGTTGATCAAGGTGGACTTTCCCGCATTCAGATCACCAGTTACCAGTACCCGGGAATGAGAATCGTAAATACGCTTCTGAAGGCTGGTAAGATGGTCGAGTGATGCTGAGATACGGTTGTCGAGCAGGGCAGAGATAGAGGACTTTTCGAGAGACGAAATGAGGCGCTTGGCATGTCGAGTCGCGCCCATATTCAGGTCGAGACGGAGGATGGAAAAGTCATCCTCATTGTCCTCGATGGAGGCCGGCTCGGAGACCAGAGTGGCAGATTCCGTCGACGAGTTTTCTGACGAGGCAGGCGCCACAGAGATCGATCGCTTCAGGGACTGCCTAGCCGTGGGTGTGGAGGAGAGGACAACGTCGGTAGAATGGGAGGGCTCATCGGCGAATGTCAGGGTACGTCGGCTCATGCCGGGTCGAGAGGCTACGCGACAAAGTCAGAACATGGTCAAAGGATTCGTGTAGAGATCAGACTCACGAGACCCAGGCTGAACGGACTCTGCTGATTTCAGATGGGGATATCGCACTGTCCATTGCTCGCCATTAAAGTTTTTGAGGTCTGCAAGAAGGTAGACGGACGAGTCTATGGCCTTGGCCAATCTGACGCGGTTGTTGTCAGCTTGTGAAAAGCATGGGCATGTGATGAAAAACGCACTTGTCTCTCTTCTCCTCATACTCGGTGACGATCTGGTCTGCGGCCTGCCTCTTCTGGCTGAGATCGGGGTCGGAGCTGAAGTGGGACTCTTTTTGGAAGGGCGAGTCGGGGGTGGCGGGGGCGGCGTAGGGGAGTTTGTGGGCGGGGGTGTGGGGGTGGAAGGGCTGCATGGTCGTTATAGCAGCGGGGGGGCGGGGGGCATCGTACGCTCGGGGGGTAGTGTATATGTATAGATGAGAGAGGAGAAAGAGGAAACATCATGCTCGCTCGTCGAAAACGCTTATGTAAACCGTAATTACGCAAATTAATTCACCAGAGTGGCAAATGTGGCGGCAGTCAACAATTGAACATAGTTCATCGTGTCACGGCCAATGCATGCATTACTACGCCTCATCACTGACTCGCTCGCTTCACCATGTCATCCAGAGACACCGCCCTGTATTCACCATCCTCCATATGGGCAAAGACAGCATTTTCCCCAATGTACACCGTCACACCACCACGTCCATCTACCCCTTTGCACACCTTGAACAGCGGCTTGCCTGTCTTGTCGTGCGACCGCCCAACAGGCATCAATATGAGATCGTTCTGAACAGCGTAATCTTCCGCAATGGACCGGAATGTGATATCGGGCACAATGTTGGCACCGGCAACGGCGGGAGCGGGCTTGGCCTTGGGTGCTTTCGAGGCCTTGCTGGATTTGTGCGGGAGAGGCTTGAAGACTGGCTTTTGAAGCTTGGACGGAGCATCCGCGCCCAGTCCGACAGCCTCGCCCATGAGCTGGATCCCGCTGTCGAATCCATGGGCCACCCCTGGTATATCGAGGACAGCTTGAGGGAAGCGCTCTTTCCACCATGTGAACCTGTGGCAGATTTAGTATCAGTCATTAACATACAAGTGTCGCGACTCACCAGGAGGCAACCTCGTTATGCTTGCAAGAAGGTTGAATCAGCCATATATATAGGATATTCAACCATTTGGGGAAGAACTCGGCCTCCAAGAGGTGCGCAAAATTAGACTGTCGGATGAGAGTATGCCAAGGCAATACCCAGTCCTGAAGCGGTACCATGTCTTGATTGCGCGGATTGATGGCAAAGTCGTCCCGTAAACAAGCCCCAAGTTTGGGTAGGACAAACTGCAATATAAGCTTGTCCCATTCACTTGTAGGATACATCTGAGTTGTATATCAGCACAAGCTCCGCGTGACACATGGTACAAACTCACCTTTGCCCTCCTCCATTGAGTAAGCTCATCGGGCACACCATCCTTGACAGCCCAATTTCGCAAAACAGATCGTATCCTTCGCTTGGCCAAATCCACAACGTCTTTAACTCTCTCTGAGCCCAGTAATGGTAGCCATGGGAAGACGATGGTGGAAAGTGACCCGGCTGATTTGCCTCGGCGGGAATCCCATTGTTCGACGGCAGCTTTGACTTTGGGCAGAACGAGCTGATCTAGGACATTGTCGAGGATGAACTGGGGTAGTATAGGCTGCCACGACTCGAGCAAGTGGACAGCTTTGTCGGGCCTTGACGGTTCCCAGTCATTGCTGCTGGTCGTCAGCAGCTGAGCATAAACATGGGCCAACTTTACGTACTTGATTGCTGACCGGACTTTGGGTGTCCACGATGCCCAGAGCAAAGCTTCCCAAGCGGTCATCATCCTGCCCCCGTTCTCCTCCTCCTTCTTTTCAGCCTCCCAACCGTTCTCCTCGTCGTATGTCACGGCAAGATCATCGTCATTAGTTGGGGTGGGGAGGTTGTAGGCTTTCCGCCAGGTTTTGAGCGATGTTAGGAGGACGTCGGATGATACGCTCAGAGGTTGCCACTCTGCCCACTCGTCGCGAAGCTACAGCGCCTTGTCAGTATGCCCACGAGGCAATTCTCAGTCATTGACGTACCACTTGCCCAATAGCACCCACTACAACATCGTCCAAGCCTAAAGTCTTGTACTCGTCTTTGTAGCTGTTGATCAAAGTATTAAAGTTTGCCTCTAGAGGGTCAAGCGACGGACTATCGGTAGCTGTCTGTTGGGTAGCAATGTCGTTGATACTTTGCACCAGTTGCTGAATTTGCTGCAATCTCAATAGTTCTAAACGTGGATCAGCCTTGTCAAAGATTGTCAAAGGATCAGACTTACCTTTTTCCGCATGCTCAGACTTGGCTCTTGACCGTTCTTCCTCTCGCAAAGCCCATCTGCGCTTCTCCTGCACAACCTTCCCCTCTTTGACCATGCCAGTCACCTCTCCGTTGGTATGTTCCAGTATCAGACGCAGATTGTGGCGCAGTTCAGGAAGACGGGTTGTTTCGGATGTCGGAGCCCAATTGGATAGTGATAGCGATGAGAGCGATTGTACCTCTTTCAGCTGTTGAAGGTCAGCAACATGTATGACCCGTGAGATGCAAATACTTACATCACCTCCGCGAGCATCCAGGACTAGACCAATGGCAGGCTGAGCAACAGACCCGTCCCCAGCTTCCGCCAACAGCTGCTCGTAGGTCTTGTGCTCCACTTTGACTTTGACCTTTTTCTCTCTCTTCCACCCTTGAGTGTCCTCCTTCTTCTCCTTGGAGGCCTTGGGCGCTCTGCCCCGTCTCCGCGAGGGGCCAACATCTTCCTCTTCTTCATCGGAGAGCTCTCCCTTTCTCCTGGCTTCTCGTTTACTGTCCTCTGTCCTCATGCCGCTCTGGATACCTTGTCCCTTGAAGACTTTCCCGACCTCAACCGGTACCGCCCGCCCATCTTCATCCTTACCGAGACCTTTACCGGCCTCCCAACCTTGCTTGGCAAGGAGTTTGGCACCAAACGACGATTTGATCCTGCTGAAATGCGCGCGCTCGTGTGCTGTGAGATCGACCTGTTTGACGGCTGACGGTTCTGGGGCTTTGGGGAGGAAGGATCGTTGGGCACGAGGAGGGCCGGAGGTGGAAGTTAGAGAAGGGGGAGGACGACCAAATGCCAAGGGGGTGTCGATTGGTTCGGGGCTGTCTGCCGGATTTAAAGCGGCACCTCTAGCACCCAAGCCGCCTCTCGGGGCTTCGTCGAGATTCGTGGCAGTAGCAGGAGCTCGCCCGTATCCCAGCCCCATGCCTCGCCTGGGCGCATCTTCCTCTTCCTCTTCCTCTCTCACTCGAGGAGAAGGAGCTTTTGACTCTTCCGCGTCCCCGCTCTCACTGTCGCTGGAGCTGTCGGAACCGCTGGACGAAGCTCTATGTGCGGCCTCTTCTTCCGCATGCTCCTGCCGTTCCAATGCCTGCAGTTCGTCTTCTTCAGCGGTCTTTTTGCCATTTGACACAAAGGTAGGTGCTCTATGAAAAGACACAATATCAGCAGTGCCTGACATAGCAGCAAAGGTAGACTCACTTGGTCCAGTCTGTCCGTGACGAACTCGCCCCTGGCTTCCTCCCCCGTCCAGATATCCCTCCCCTCCCTCCCCTCCCACCGCCGTCCTCATCTCCTTCTCCAAATATCCCCTCCCATGCGTCTTCCTTTCCGGACCTGCCGTCTGTCCGTCTGCGCTTGTTGCTCTTGTATTCAAAGAGGCGTCGTTCGGCTTTCGACTCCCCGTCCTCTTGCGAGTCGTATGCGCCGTCGGACTGGCCGGAGAGGGAGACGTCCGAGTCTGAGCCGTCTTCAAGGTAGGCGTTCTTTCTTCTGGGCATTGGTGGATATGGGCGAGTGAAGGGTGGATAATAGATATATGTAGATTAGTAGATTTTGGGATGCTGGGCGCGCGAGCCTTGCGTGCAAGTGCTTGCCTAACGGATAATGATATGATACCAACTAAGTCGCGCCAGCCACGCGCCTAAATTGTGCTTAACCCTGCGCGCCTAAGTTCCCGGATCTCGTAACTGATTTTGCCCGATCTGACTACTTTCAACAACAAAGCAAGTTTCTTACTAGTAGTCCCATTACATTGTCCCTTCTGTTCCCGTCCTATCTCGCCATCCCTCGCATCCCACCATGGCATCCCACAACCTAGACCTCCTCTTCGACCCCTCCATCATCCCCGCCTCTGTCCAGGACTCGCTGGGCGATGACCTCTACGTTCGTCTTCTCCCTCACGACGCTGCTGCTGTCCTGCTGACCTTTGCCGCCATGTAGCTGCGCCCCCTCGCTTCCACCGACTTCTCCCGGGGCCACTTCGAGCTCCTCTCTGCGCTGACTGTTGCCCCCACCCAATCACCGAGTGCATACAAAGACATCTTTGACGAAATGAAGGCAGCCGGCAATGTCTACTTTACCATCGTCATCGTCCACCGCCAGACCGACCAAGTGCGCTTGTATCCATGGGACGCTGAAACGTCGCTCACTCGTATTCATAGCTGGTGGCTTGCGGATCGCTCATCGTGGAGCGTAAATTCCTGCGCAACGCCGGACTGGTTGGACATATCGAAGACATTGCAGTCTCCAAGAGCATGCAAGGGAGGAAGCTAGGCCTCAAGATTATCAACAGCTTGGAAGATGTCGGCAGGGCTAGGGGGTGCTACAAAATCATTCTTGACTGCAGTGACAAGAATATCCGTGAGTGTCGCTGATACCCACCAGGAAAAGTTGCTGACGCTCGTCCGAAGCTTTCTACGAGAAGTGCGGGTGCGTAAAGTTCAGCCCAGATGATTAACGCTGACAAATTTGCAGATTCAAGCACAAGGAATTCCAGATGGTCCGATACATGGCCGAGCCCGCCGACGGCAGGGTGCAGACGCCCTCTAAACTCTAGATTATGTTGAGGCTGTACTCTTAGAAACAAGGACATTTCAACCCACTACACACCACTTTTAGCATACGGATACTGTATATAATATAGCACTGCAAACACGCATGACCAGAATGTATCATTTTGATCCATAATCGGGTGAATCTATCCGTGCCACCTGTCAAGAAACCATCACAGATGATGTTTATACGCTTATCCAGATGCTACTAGACGATACTCGCAGCCTATTGCGTATCCCTACATATCACTCTCCTTCACTGTCCGGCAACTCAATGGGCATGTGTTCAGATCCTCCTAAGGCGATACGTCTAGCTGCCGCGTTGGCGGTAGCATGGCGTAAAGCAGTCTGAGGAGACTGAGGTGGTTCGTTGGTGGCAGACGTCCTTTCTCGAGGGTAAGGGCGGCCGCTATCGATTGAAAGCCTGGAACGGCGGCGATTTGGTTGGGGCCCGCTGGCATGGCTGCTCGCGTGATGGGCACCCAGCGCGACACCGTCGCCGTTCTGCTGTTCTGCCACACCACCGCCGCTACCTGCACTAGGCTGGCCCACAGTGCCATGATTAGTCCTCGCTCCCTCCATCGTCGCCTGTAACGCAGCAAACTCTTGGTCCCTCGCCAACAAGTGGTTGTCCAGCGCCCGGGACCGAAGCTGCCCCATCCGTAGCTGGAAAGCCGGGTCGTTAGTGTTGATGATCTGGCCGTGGTCGTTGAATTGCACCATGGGGACAGACACACCAACGTCGACGGGAGCGCCAAGTGCTGGAAAGTGACGGGAGGCGCGACGGTTATCAACGTCGACGATGGATGGGAGGGGAGCAGCGTTCTGGCGTGTGCCCGCAGGGGGTGCGCGGCTGGGCTGAGGCAGCGTAGAGAGAATCTCACGCCATTCCCTGTAGCTACGTCAGACAAAGGGCATCAAGAGAGCACCGGCACTGCTTACTTTAGTTTTCCCTGGCGATCGACCAGTAACGATTCTTTCTCTGGCTTGTCCTCCAACTTTTGCAGCTTGCGGTCGATGATCTGGTCGACGAGGATGTTTGGGATTATGGGTCTCGAAAGGTCGATCGGACTTCTACAGTGAGGACATGTCGGTGGCTGTTGGAAGGGTTAGTGAACCCCGGGAGAGGCATATGGTACACACTTACAGTCTGTTGGACCCCCGCGCGGGTAGCGGCGTTCTGGGTCTTTATCCATTCCCATATGCATGGGCCACAGAAAGAATGCCTTCATCTTGCGTAAGCCGAATTTTCTACAGTGAATATATTGATCAACGTACCCACAAGGGACCAGAGACTGCGGGGCACCCATTACATGGGTGCAGCTGGCTCAATCAGTATCATGCCAAGCTATGGCGGGAACGTCTCACATAGTACACTCAAGCTCGGGGTATACCTCTTCAGTCTTGACTGGGATTCTGATCTCTTCATAAGTACGAATGATGCGGGTTGTGGGGACGGTGTGGAAGGAAGGCCTGATAGGGGTGGTAGGAGAGGATGGCTCGCGTGACATGGTGATTGGAGAGAGCGGCGTTGGGCTTGAGTTGTGGTGCAGGTTATGGCGAAACAAGAGCAGAGCTGTCCCGAAGATAGGAGGGTTCAGTGGGTCTTTCACAAGAAGCAAGGAAATAAAGTAAAACCAAAATATCGGGAACACAATTGCAACTCTCCAGCCCATGAACGTCATACACCAACAACCGACCGGGGGAGTCACGTTTACGCGTCGGACTCTGCCGCCCGGCCGCCGGTGCGATCAGGCCGGAGATCAAGCGCGCGATAACGATCCCTTGCATCTCTCTTCAGTCCTCTCATACACCTGGCCTTGTGGTGCGATCAGCTCTCAGCCATGTCCAAGTCTCCCATTACCTGTCACGGTGAGTTGTAACGACTGTGAAGGGCACGGCGCTTATTTGTTGAACACAGTGCTCGACGCTTCACAGGGCAAGCCCGCTGCTGGAGTCGAGGTGCGCCTCGAGCTTGTCAGCCTGTCAGGAGAATCAACAGAAAGCTCAGCGAAAGTTCTCTCTTCGGGGTAAGCTTCAAGCTGTCCCATATCACCACGAGCTCACTCCGAGCAGGGCGACAAACTCGGACGGCCGTTGCTCAGACCTGCTCTCGTCCGAGACGAAACTCCAGGCTGGTGTATACAAGATGGTCTTTGTAACCGGACCTTACTTCAAGGCTACAGAGACTAAAACATTTTACCCGTTTGTTGAAGTGCGGCCACTCGATATACCTGTTGTGTATTAGGACTGACACCCTCGCAGATCACTTTCAACTACGAAGACCCTTCCCAGCACTACCACATTCCCCTCCTTCTCAGTCCTTTCTCCTACACCACCTATCGGGGGAGCTAAGGAATTCTACTCCAGATTTGTATGTAATGTACTTGCAACGAGACAAATCCACCCATGCGCCGGAGCACAACCGGGTACCTCGATATGATAACAAGCAACGAAGCTGTCATTTTGCGTCATCCTTGTTTGGATCATATTTCATAAGACGTGTTCAAAAGGCATCATGGAGAGATAATCTATGAACAAGACGAGACAAGGTAGGCATGTTGATTATACAATCCATATGATACTCCTCCCCCATCATTGCCCGATGAATGAACGGAGGCCGCATGATGTACCACTACGGAGATTTAATCGAGGGAATAGAAGGCAGACCTGATAATCTATCCCAGGATTGTGATATAAGTTGAGCTGAAGGATGAGATGGGTCATTTTGAGAGGATAGGGATAAGAGCCTTTGCTTATTGATCCTGTATTGTGTTTCAGCCAGGTAAATATCTAAGCCCTCATGGTGTAATGGTAACACGAAGGTCTCATAAACCATGAGCTTCAATTTGAAGCGCAATCCTCAGCCCTGAGTTCGATTCTCAGTGAGGGCAGTTATCTTTTTGCATTTTGTTGATGTTGAGCGGAAGCAAAATACCACGTGGGGACGCGACTTGTTTGTGTCAAATAGTCCCGAGCGTGTCAACAAGTTGTTGCTCTTTCACACTCTTTTTACTGTGTCTCTATACCGTCATGGCTGGGCTATACCCCCTCGACACACCCGAGAGGGTCCTCAAGCGGGTGCAGGCGATGGAGGACATGGAACTCCCCTCCCTCCCCAGCTTCCACCAGGACGACCTCGACTACGACACCATGAGCGACGATTCTAGAGGCTTCAGTAATACGCACGACAACCTCCAGTCAGATACGGAAGAGGTGCGTGACTGCCGGTCAATATGGCAGGTGCTGACGGGATTCCCAGAATATGGAGACACCACATCCCTTGCGCCAGACTATTCTTCCCTCAACAGCCTCAACGGCCTCCACAGCCAAAGCCCATTCTCCCGCCGACTCCTACTCGACTGCCTCTGGGTCACCATTTCCCCCATTACATAGCAGATCAAGAGATGAGACCCCTTCTCCATACATGCCGACCGCTGCTCTCACCTCTACACCATCGTCTCGCCCATCCCGCTCCCAATCGCGCTCTTTGGCGGGCAGCACCGCAGAGAACACCATTGACACGGCGCGTCCCATTCGCCATGAGCGCACTAGAAGTGGAAGTGACTCAGTTGGGACAAGTACGGGCACGAAGAGGGAGAGGTGGCAGACACCCGGGGAGATGAGCAGGAGCTTCTCTGGAGATGAGATTGCAGCGTCCGAGATTGAGACTGAGCGGTCTGATTCGTCCATTCATGATTCTCAGGTGAGTGAATCACGGCCTTACATTATGTACGACCTAACAGCCGAGTAGCAAACACAGGAACACCAAAGTGTCCCAGACCTTCCTTCGATGATGGTCGCAGAGGAAGAGGGCACTCCCACCACTCGTCGCCTGTCCAGCGGCAACGTGCAGCTCGAGAGGCCACACCGCCGAGGCACTACAAATGTTACCCCGTCATTCGATCCCATCCACGAATCTGACGCGGAACGATTCTCCTTGCCCTCGCCTCGAGAAGAGCTGGCTGCGGCGGCCCAAATCTATGACCAGGCGGACATTCCCCAGCAAGAACGCATCCCGAGTCTTTCACGTAGCGAGGTCACCGGTACCGACTACAGCGTCAATAGCACTCCAGAGGGACCGGTTCGTAATCACGTGTCGATGATGACGCCCAGACCGGATGCTCCTGGAGAGTATGAAGTCACAGACGAGTACAGCTTTCATCCCGAGTCTCATGATGAGGGAGAGAATCCAACACTCGACTACCATCAAGAGTACGAATACACCCCTCAGCAAGAGGGTGATCCTTCTGACATGTCAGAGGACTATGGCACGCCAGCAAAGCAAAGCTCCCCTGTCAAACTTGCCCAGTCATCCTCTGAACATTCGACTCTTGGCACCGTCAGGGCCACCCCTCGAGTGGCTCGGGCCTCAGTGGCCGCCACACCTGTCGTCTTGCAGGATATCACGAGCTCTCGTCAAAACGCCCCCTTTACTCCCTCTCCCAACGCCACACCCAAATCTGATTTTGAAACTCCTCGTGCTCCACTGGACGATGCTGAACGTAGAAAGAGCCATGTTCTAGCTGTTCTGAACTCTGCTGTTCCCTCTTCTCGAATGCGTCGGTCTGTTCGCGGAACACCCCATCCCCTTCGAAGAGTGTCCACCGTTCCCGCGTCGGAGTCTATTGCCGAAGAGAACAGTGGAAGCGACTTTTCTCCCGCTACCCAACTGGGAACGCTCAGTCGCCTCACTGATGCGTCAGGTAACGAGTCATTTGTCTCTGTCGCCTCATCTGCCGATCTCACGACAGACGCTCGGGCGTCCCGCTTCCATCACTTATCCCGCGCCAATACCTCCTTTCCCATCCTTCCCGTGGGCCCTTCCACCTCTGCAGGTTCACTCAAGGGCCTTTCGGACCGCGCTCCGAATAGTAAGATCCACAAACATCTCAATGAGATGAACAAGCAGCTTTTGGGGACGAATGCCGAACTGGCCCGGGAGGCTGAAGCTTGGAGAGATGAGGTTGTGAGGTTGAGCGAGGTGTTGAAGGAGGCGGGTATCGAAGTCGGGAATTCGGATGTCTTGGCAAATGTCGGCTTGGACCGTTCTGGCTCTCGAGACGTGTCTCAGCGCTTGCCTTCTCCTCCATGCCACCTGCCTTCTCAGAGTCCAAGCTCAATAGATGGCTCTGGAGTGATCTCTCGGCCGTCTCTGCGTCATCGACAGAGTGCCTCTCCTTCAAAGGGCTCCCAAGACTTGCTTGACGGGCTAAGCCCCGAAGAGCGAGCTGCAGTGGTGCAGGAGATGGCCGAAAGGCTTGAGGGCTTGGAAGAAGACCTCATGGCTAGAGAACAGGTCATTGTGGACCTAAGAGCCCAGATGGACTCTGCCCAACAGTCAAACTCTCCTGACGTTCACGTTTTACAGAGCCGGATCGACGATCTCGCCCTGCAACTTGAACAAACTGAGCAAGCTCGCATGGACCTCCAGACGCAGTTTTCCACAAAAACAGAAGAGCACGCTCTCAAATTCGGCGAGATCTGTTCGGACTTTGAGGGTCAGGTCCAATCTTTGGAGAAAGACTTGGCTTTTGCCCGAGCAGAAGCTGAACGCTTGAAGTCGGAACGAGAACGCCTGGAGAGTTTGACGAGTGCCCAAGGCTCAGGTGCAAGGGAGGAGGAGCTACTGAAGCAGGTCAGAGATATGGAAGTGGAGTTGGAGGTCGTGCGAGGTGATGTCAGGAGAAGGGATAACGAGATTGCGACCCTTCAAAACCGGGCGAACAGCGCTCGACAAGAGAAGGAATCGGCAGACAGACACGTCTATGACCTAGAGCGGCGAATCGAAGAGCTTGAGCACTTGCATCGCGACGCCGAAGTCCGGATCAACGAAGCGGAAGCCGCTCTGGAGAGCTTGGGTGGCGAGCTCAGACAAGCTTGCAACGCTCAAGCTGAAGTGGAGAACAACCTAGCCCGGGTCAGCCAGGACCTCGACGAAGCCCATCGCTGCAAGGAAGAACAAGTTTCGCACCTCAACGAGCAGCAACGCGATATGCAAGAGCTCCACGAGATCATCGAGAAGCTCGAGGTTGAGCTCGAAAAGGCTGAAGGAAGCGAACTTGTGAAGGAGGAGCTTGAGAGAGTACAGACCGAGCTGGATGATGTCCATCAAGTGCTAGAAGAGAAGGGAAAGGAGGTAGACAGATTGAGGGCCAAGCTTCGGGTAGCAAACCCCGTCAGCTCTCTGCATTCTTCTCAACGATCTCTCTCCTCTACTGCTACCGCCAAACCTCCTCTTCCAGTGGAAGAATCGGCCGATTCTAGTTTTGTCGTTGTCCTTGAGGATCGACTTGACGAGGCCTATAGAGAGATCGGACGTCTCAAGCGCGAGATCAACGCCACTCCTCATCGCCAATCCGCTGTCGACATCCGCGATGCCAAAATCCAAGCTTTAGAACGCGAGAAGGCGGCACTTGGTGCCAGGTTGGCCATAGTGAATCAGAGCTCGACCGGGACACCATTAGCTCAGGCCAAGAGCGAGATGATGGACGCTGGGTCGCCTTTCAAAAGACCTACTCCTTTCTCCCACAAGACAATTGCTTCTTTACGAGCACCCAGGACGCCCGGCTCGTTCCACGAAGTGTGTATCTCTTCGCATCTATATAATCTTTGGCTAACTTGAGGCAGCCTTCATGGCTTCAAACCACTATCCAATCCAACAACGAGCCTGTACTACAAGCTCAGGTGGAATACCTGCAGCATGAACTTCGTGAAGCCAACAATCAGCTTGATCACAATTTCAGCAGACTTGAATCCGCTGGCTTCGGTGCCGTTGAGCTGGCCGAGAAACTCGCAGCGGCAGAGCAGCGGATAAGTGAGCTAGAGGATGAAATCAGGGCATTGCGTCAGCGCAACAAGGCGTCTCTAGCGGTGGTTGGAGCGCAGCGAGATGAGCAAGAGTGAGTGTCTCTTCTCTATACCCAATCTCAGGCTGATCATGCACCAGTCGCGAGGCTGAAAGCAAGCTTCAAAAAGCTCTAGCTCAGGTACATTTGCAGATGGATAAACTGAAGTCCGACATCTCCGCCGAGCGTTCGCGAGTTCAAGGTGACAATCGCCGCCTGCAGGATCTAGTGTCTGAGATGAGGTTGAAGAGTACTGCGGAAGTCGAGAGCTTCAAATCGGAGATGGAGAGGATGGCCCAAAATTCAGAGAATGATGTGCGCCAGGCGAGAGAAGAAGCATTCAAGCTGGGAAGAGAAAAGGATGAGATGAAGCGCGTAGGTCTTGTGACGAGACGATTCGGATACAGTATGCTGACAATCCCCATAGGAGCTCCAGGCGATCAAGTCACAATCCAGTCAACTGGAGCGCCAACTATCTGACGAGAAGCGTGCCTACGACTCTCTGTCCCGAAGAAACGCGCAGACTACCAGAGACGTACCCACTGCTGTCCAGCTACAGTCATTACTCGCTCACAAAGAAGAGTCAATCCGAGCCCTCGAATCTTCCCTTCACAACGCCGAAGCTACTACCCATCACCTCCGCCAGACGTTATCCGAGCGTGAACTCTCTCTCAAACAAGCTGAATCACGCCTTGAAAGGTTCCGCCAAGAACGCCAGATGGTCGCTCGCGAGCTTGGCGAGTTTGACAAAGACTTGCAGAGGCATAAACAAGAAAGTGACGCTTTCGGTATCGAACTTCAAGTTTTGAAAAAAGAGCAGACGGAAAAAGCAGGCAGACATGCGGCCGAGCTCAGCGCTCTCGAGAGAGGCCTCCAAGATGCCAAACATCGAGAATCAAGAATGAGGAGGGAATTGATGGATGCACAGGAAAAGCTTGAAGAGGTCGAAGGATGGAGGCAATCTCACGAGTGCGACACGTACGTCTACTAACCCGGTGTATTGTCATGACTGACATCACCTGCAAGTAGATTGTCCGAGGATATGGCGAAGCAGAAAGCTCGATTCAAATCCCAGTCCCGTGAACTCGCCGCTCAGATCAAGTATCTGAAAGCAAAGTACACCCGTGAATCTGCATTCAGGAATGCTTTGGCACTGCAAAAAAGATACCTGCTTTTGTTGGTTGGCGGCAAGTGTCTGAAGTGAGTCCTTTTAAATATATCTGTGTCACACAGCTGATGACACGGCTCAGCGAGCAAGCGACTATCCGAGCCATTGCGAAGATGGGCTTCCCAATTCCAGAGCCGCCCAGGCCCAGACGAACTTTCAAGGCGGTCGCGCTTGCTGTGATTAGCGTTATCAGAGCAAAGTAAGCAAACAATATGTATACGATCCGCCTTCTCATGCTCACGACGTATACAGGAATACTGCGCAGCGATGGCGATCGGAGGTTGCGCTGAAGAATAGTACCGTTGCGACACGAAGCGAACGGAGAAAGGTGTCGGACAACAAGGGGTAGCGAAACCCTCATTGAGAATTATGAGAGGGGATGTTGGGGATGTTGGTGGGGACTTTAAGGGGATGGTCGAAGCTTTTGTTGTTATATAGTCTTCTAGCACACGTTTTGTCCACTCACCAGCTTTTGTGGACTGCATCATTTAAGGCTGATAGATGACTCGATGAAGATTGGTTCATGTCAGGCCACGCACCACTCTCAGCCTGTTGTTGTAGCCTTCATCGATCGTGTGGGGACTATGCTACGATTAGATGCAATGATGATGGCGATGCATACCTCACCGGTTGTGAATCCGCAACTGCTCCTATATAGACCTTAAAACCAAACGCGTTGCAGAGTGGCAGTTCATGGAAGCGCTTGCATGTGCGAGAATGAGTCGTACAATACGCGCACTCCTTTGTGTCACTGTAATAGCGTCTTCTTCTCTGCCTTCTTAATGTATGTATAGCGATCGAGTCGATAAGTATTTGACACTTCAGAAGAGGAGAGGAGATACAAGGAAAGGAGGAAAAAGTACGCAAAAAGGTTACTGCCCTCACTGAGAATCGAACTCAGGGCTGAGGATTGCGCTTCAAATTGAAGCTCATGGTTTATGAGACCTTCGTGTTACCATTACACCATGAGGGCGAAGACAAAAGTCTGTTGCAGGCAGGCTCCTGGTCAATTAGGTGCTTGGCGACCCGATAGCCAGCCAATCTACCACACAAACTGCAGTGGAAAATGGTTGTCGACTGTTTCTGATCCAGCAGGCTTTAATAACATTTCACTATCATCATTGCACAATAGTATTGTAGGACTACCACCACCTGAACCACTTTCCAAAGCCATGCCTTCTCTGCGTCTCGTTGCCTAGATCTTGCTCCTGACCTTCAGCTTTCGGAGCTTCCACTACGGGAGTTCCCGACTCTTCAATATTCTCTAGAGCTCTTCTCTTCGCTGCTCGTTCCCCATCCTCTTCGTCCTCGATGCCGCCCTCCCATACGTCTCCATCACCAGTGTCCAACTTGCGCTTTGTGCCCTTCTCGAGGGAAGCTGGGCTGTCCTGCCTGTCTTCGTCCTCATTCTCTTCTTCATCACTATTCTCTGCGTGTCCTTCATCCCCACTCTCCTCATCCGGTCTATATGCGTCGTCGTCCCTTTGTCTCTTCTTCCCGACGAGAGCGCGCGAGGACGACATATCGGCTCCCTGCAGAGAGTGCGTTGAAGCAGTTGGAGAACCGGAAGATTGCACAGAATCAGGTGAAACGCTTCTCAGATCGATCAACACTGGTCGTTTTCCCTGGCGAACAACAGCTTCTGATTGGACTGTACTTTCCCTCTCATTGAACCCCGTAGGGCCTTCAGTATCTTGACCATTTTGCGTAGTCGACTCCTCGGTAGCCAGCAGGTTCCTCAGTGAGCTCCCGCCTCTCTTTTCGCGAACGGGCGGAGCCTGCTTGGCTTCTCTCTTCAGGCTGAGCCTCGTCGATCTCCTCGGCGTGGGATCGGCTTCCGGGCTATCCGTAGCGCTATCCTCGCCTACATCTGTCACTGAACCGGCGGGGGATCCCTGAGAAGGCTCGGGTTCTTGACTCAGACGTTTCCGAGAAGGTGTGGAGGGTTCAAGGGAGGCAGAGAGACGCTTGAATGAGCGGGCAGTCAGAGGATTGCCAATAGCAGGCTTTAAAGGGCTGACTTGGGATTTGGTAAGGGACGTGCGGCTTTTTGGCCCGCCTCGGGCGGAAGAGCTTTGAGGTGTTGATACTTTGGCCTCGGATGGTGGCAGTGGAAGCTTCGCACTATCGTCGGCAAGGAGAAGATAACAACATCCCTCGTCGAAGAGTTGGGCGCCCACTATCCTTCGGAGCTTTGTGGAGAACGCAGGTTGTAAAACCTCGTTGTCATGGCTCAATTGGCCCAGTCGCGCCTGCTCTTCTTCCCCTTCCGAAGGCACACCCTCTACCGTGCACTCTTCATGTTCAATCTCCTGGGTGTTGGAGAGGGAACAGTGAGGAGCGAGAATGACAGCAACAGCGCCTTCGTAGGTTAGGCGCAGTTTCTCGTAATAGCAGTGCGAACGCGTCACTGGGGGAGCGAGGGGCGAAGGTGACCCTTCATCTCTACCTCGATGGCTCTTGAGGCTATTCTTCGAAACCTCTCCAGCTTGTGTAGGAATCCGTGTGTGGGAAGAAGATCCGAGCCCGTGATGATGTCTCAGTCTCCCGACAGCCGAATCGGACGTAGCCAATGGAGGGCGTTCGGGAGAGGCCGTAGCAGAGGCAGGGTCGGAAGGCAAGCGCTCGTCGCGGACGCGTCCTTCGTCTTGTGGCTCGATCTCCAATGCGCGACCCTTGCCTTTATAAGCAGATGCGTAAGGCTTCTCCCCTCCAGTGTCAACATTTTCGTCTGCCACTTGTTCTGGCCCTTCTTCTATGGGCTCCTCGGCTGCCCGCTGATCGCCTTCGCCGAGCTCCGCTGTATCCAAGGGCAGGTCGGCCGCCACTTGTTCAAACTTATCGTCGGTACCCTCGATACCAGGCGTTTCGACATCCTGAACAACATCTGCAGCCACATGGGGCTCTAGTTCTTGACCTAGGCCAGCCTCCTCTTCCTGCTCGGCAAGAATTGAACTTTGAACGTCATAGTCATCCATGGGAGCCATTGGGATGTCGTCCTCCAACGGCAATGACGGGGCGTCCTCGGCCTCAATCTCTGAGGCTGCGTATGTGGGCGACTGGCGCGGGGAGTGCTCATCTGGCTCACTGGACTTGGAAGCTTCCGGATCGGAGTGCGCTTCTATCCTACTATCGCCAGATACTTCGGGTTCCTGAGACTCTGAAGGTGGCGAGGAAGGCCCGGAGAGGCTCCCCTTCCTGGAGGCCCCAACCTGAACACGCAAGCTTGGACTTTGCTCCCCTTCATCGTTCGGCTCAAGACCATGCGGGGTCAGTGGCACATCGAGATGCGCGTCCGCAGGAGGCAGACGGGGGTCTGGGAATTCTACCGGAGTTCCAGGTACAGCCCCATTGCCATTGGAGAAAGCAGCCCCAATCGAGGGGGTGGCGGCGCGAGAGACAGTGCGGGAGAATGTAATGTCTGGTCTGGGGTCGGCGGGAGGTTCGACAATGAGGGAAGGAGAAGAAGGAGGGTGTGGATCGGGGTTGTAGGCAAATTCTGCAGTAAAGTCTGAATCCGGTGGAGCACTTTTCGGGTCTGGGAACTCTACAGGCGTCTCTTCCCGCTCGCTCTGGTCCTTTGAGAGTGGGGGTTCCGGGACCTCGGACGGGCGGGGGTCGTTGGCGATCTGTGCTTCGACGGAGGGAGAGCGAGGTGGGTGGGGTTGTAGAGAGTGGGGGGAGAGGGGAGCGAGTAGAGATGTGGGTGGTGGGGATCTGGCAGGATCCGGGGGGGTTGAAGGAGAGCCGTTTGATGCGGGAGTTTGATCGCGTGCAACGCTAATGACCTCAGAATCTGGGAATACTGTGTTATGTCAGCAAGGTAGCTGGGCCGGAAGCTATGCAGACATACTCTCAGGCTGCTCCCCCTGGTCCACCGGGCTCGCCTGGCTGATGTCCGTCTCTTGTATCTCGATCGCTTCCTGGTGGTGCTCTGTTCGCGCTCCTTCGTCCGAAAGATCTTTCGCCTCATGAGCACTCTCCGCAGACGTCTCAACAAGATCCTCGTCGACGCCTTCATGAACCTCACTCTCCGCAGGGGCCGACTCGACAGGTGTCGCTGATCCTATCAGACAAAAGTCAGTAACGAATACAATAGAAGATTCGGAGAGGACATACTTGCGAAAGTGACCTCATTCCGGGACTCTACGCTTTCGATCACCTCTTCTCCTGCGCCAAGGATATCTTCCACCACTTGATCCGTATCAACAGTAAGATCTCTCGCGACTATCCGGATAGTCAGCGTGTGGATGAAGAATGGAAGGTAGCAAGACGTACCAAGAGGTTCGTCTTCAGGTTGCTCGTCGCCAACAGACCCTTCCTCATCCTCGCCGTCTGCCCGGCCCCATTCCTCTTCTTCCTCTTCTTCCTCTTCTTCCTCTTCTTCTTCCTCTTCCTCTTCTATAGAGTCGTCTTGCAAGAATGCCGCGTGCGCTGCGGAGATACGCCCCTCGCCGTCTTCTTCTTCTTCTTCCTCTTCTTCATCCTCATCCTCATCTTCATCTTCTTCTTCATCCTCCGCCTGATCGTCCTGTTCCGCCTCATCTTCTTCCTCTTCACCATCATCGGACGAAGAGTCGACATCTATGACTTCGCGGACAGTTGTAGTCTTGACCGTAATCGGTTCCTCCTCTCCTTCTTCGACATTTGCCCTTGCATCTCCGGACGAGAAGCTTCCTTGCTCAGCAGCTTCCTGATCTGCCTCCTCCATGTCTTCATCCTGTTCGAGTGGCTGCGATGGGTCTCTTCCCGAGACATCTAAAGACAATCAGTAAAGGGATCGATTGTATCAAAGAGCAACCCACCTTGATCACCGGCCACCTCGTCCTCTTCCAATATCTCCTCATTATTCAGGTATTCATCGCCCATCTCAAAGTCTTCTTCACCCTCTCCAGGTTGATCAAGACTTGGCAAGCTGGGCATCCCGTCGACTTCTTGACTTTGAGCTGGATTAAAAGAGCCAAATGAGGGCCCAGGCTGTCCCATACCACTCAAAGGTGCCCCCCCCTGAGCCACATGTTGGACAAGATCATTCAAAAAGGCAGTATCGATTTGATACCCGCTTTCCAGCAACGTGGGGTCGATATCCATCTCACTTTCATATACCTGCGTATCCATGCTAGGAGGAAGGGGAGCCTGGGCGGAGAACGTGGGATCAGGGGTGGATGTCGATATGGGCGCACCGGGGTCGGCATATGGGGATGGCGCGTGTGTCAGATCAGACAGTGCGGGCAGGGCTGAAGCAGGGGCAGAGTAGATACCGGTACCTGGGTATATAGATGTGGAAGCTGCTGCCGAGGGAACGGGGGCGGCTTGCGGTGGAGAATCGAGAGGATTGAGTATTGGTGAATGGGCCGGTAGGGGGGATTGGGATTGACCAACGTATTCGATACCGTCCAACTCGTCCGACTCGTTCCCTTCTTCTGAAGGCTCATTTTCTCGTCCATCCTCATATTCCTCCTCCTCATATTCCTCCTCCTCATCTTCCTCCTCATCTTCACTCTCACCGGTCCCATACTGATCCGCGTAAACGTCCCCGTCGGACCCAACGTACGCTTGGTGGTCCTCTTCGGGCACGACACCGTAGCGCGGGTCATCGTCGTAGAGCTCATCCTGCTCATCGTACGCGACATTGGCTTCGCGGTCGTCTTCATAATAATCGCCCTCTTCATCGAATTGTCCTTCATCGTCTTGAAGCTCGTCTTCGTCTTCGTCGTCGGAAGAGACCTCGACATGATTCGCCGCAGGGAGCGTGTTCTGCGGCTGGTGATTTATATCGTCCAGCTCCTCTTCTTCCTCGCCACTTGCATCGCTTTCACTCTCACTCTCAGCCTCACTCCCATTGTACTGTCCTTGCTGATCTATGGGATCATATTGCGTAGATCCCCCGTTGAGGAGTGGGGAGGGAGAGCGGGATGGGCCTGGGGAGTCTGGGGGGTTGATGCCTTGTTTTATCCTTCGCTGGAGGTCTGTGAGCCAGTGGTGGACGTCTCCGGGGGGGAAGATGTCGAATGGGCCGGGGGGATGGGGCATGGTGGATGAGGGAGCAGAGACAGCGGATGCAGTGATCATGCCTCCCGGCGGCCATGTCCGCTGCCTCCACTCTGGCAGTCAAGTCAACATAAAAAGTTGTCCCTACTATCACTCGCTCGCTGTAAACCATGTCGCCCCAGGAGCTCGTCCTCTCCTCGCCCCAGTCAGCCAGCACTGCCGCCATCCACCTCCACGACCTCCTCTCCTCCGCCCCCGTACACCAGTTCAAGTCCTCCACCTCCCCACAGCACAGCGTAGCCCATGTGCAGTCCCAGAACGCCCAGGGAGGTGCCATCTTTGCCGTGCAGCATGACAAGGCTCTTCTTAATGTGTGGGCATGGCAAAAGGTGAGTCAATTTGTTGAGATTTGTTACGCTCACTAACCTTCAACAGGACCAAATGCATCTGAAATTGCACTTGCCAGAAAAGATGACTGCCTTCACTGTCTCTCCTAACGGTCACTGGGCTGCGGGTGGTTCCCCCAATGGTCACATCTATCTCTGGGAGGTATGTAACCCCTTTCTTTCATCTCCTCACTACTGACCCTACTAGATTGCCTCTGGCCTCCTACTCTCGTCCCATACCGCTCACTACCGGGCCATCACCTCCCTCACATTCACCCCGGACTCCCGCCTTCTTCTGTCCACCTCTCTCGACTCCTCCTCGCAAGTCTACCTCGTTTCGCGCTTGGTGGATCCAGAAGACCCGGCTTCTGCTGGGAAACCGTATGGCACGCTCAAAGACCATACACTGGCTGTGAGATGTTTGGCAGTCGGCAAGGTTGCGGGGAGTGAAGGTGGGAGGGCGTGGACGGCTTCGGATGATGGAACAGTCAAGATGTGGAGCCTTCGTCCTCCCTTCGACCTCCTCTGTACCTTCTCTCTACCCCCGACATCATCTCCCGCAGCCATTGTGGTCGATCCCTCCGAGCGCTTCCTCTACGTCGCAACATCACAAGGAGACGTCTACCACATTCCCTTGTTTAGAAACAAGGGCACGATTGGAGGAAGCATTGTGGAAGGTTCGGAAGAGTGGGAAGCTGTCGGTGGAAGTGGCAACTCGGGTGTGCCCATAAAAGCAGAAGGGGCCGTCATTTCCGTCAAGTGAGTTTTTCCATGCTTACCTGCCACATCTGCTGATCGTCTTCAGCGACGCACAGATAACATCTCTATCACTCTCCCTCTCCTCTACTCACCTCCTTCTCGGCACCTCTTCTGGCACCATCCAAATACACTCCCTTCCCTCCCACCAACATCTCCGTACCCTCTCGCCGCATGCCGGTCCCGTCACATACCTGACCACAATCCTCCGGCCATTCGATTTGGTAGGGACAGTAGGGATGAAGGGAGAAGAAATGCCAATCATGGAAGTGAAGAGCTTTGAGAGGATGAAGGGGAGAGCCGCGAAAGAGGCACATGACCCTGTTCTCCTCGTACGACCGCCTTCCAGCGAGATGGCCACGTTACTGGGCGGACTGAAACCTACCGAGGCGAGACAAAAGATTGGTGGCAGGGCGGCTGATGGGAATATGGAAGAGCAGATGGAAGAGCTGGCAAAGGAGAATCAGCGCCTCAGAGAGGCTGTTGACCGGGCTAGCAGGATCAACGAAAAGATGTGGACAGGCATTCTGGATTCCAAGCTGGGTAATCAAGAGTAATTGTACGGAGTACGCTTGTATGCATCATCATTTCATTATAGCTGCATTCGGCACCCCTCGACACTGTTCCCAGCACGTCTGGTCGACGGAACAGCTAGCAAAGCAAGCCAAAATTCACATGCTCAATAGTGCATCTTCGAGGCATTATTTACATTGCTTCTCCGTCCAAGTCCTCCATGACTTCCCCTTCTAAGTCCTCACTGACAAATGGCTCTCCATCGAGATCCATTTCTTCTCCATCGAGGCCCATCTCCTCCCCATCAAGATCTTCCATCGCCTCGCCATCCAGATCTTGCTCGGCAGCAGGGTGGTTCTCCAGGGACGTCGATTCCCCAGCATTCGAGCTCGGGTCCACTCGCTTGAACGAGCTTTTGAACCCCCCACTCTTGAATCTCTGGTCGGCTTCCTCTTTCTTCTCCCTTGCCCGTCTCTCTTCTTCAGCCTTTTGTCGTTTGGCTTCGTCTTGCGCTTCAAGTACAGCCTTGTCGACCCACATGCCTTGTGGGGTACGTGTCAAAGAGTCAAGTGAACTATGTCCCAATAGCAGAGCACGGAATAGCTCGGCAGTCTCAGTATTGAACACGATCCTATCTCAATGTCAGCCTTTACCCAGGTCAATGGATAGCCCAAACTCACCACCTCTCCCATATATCCAACACACTCCCCACACTCTTCCCAAACACATCCGCACTTATCCGTCCCTTGTACGCTTCCAAACTGGTCTCCACCCCCTTCAAATGCGCCCACACAGGCGGCAAACGCGCCTCGAAAGCCTGACGATAGCGCCAGACGTTGGGCAAAGGCGAGGCAGAGTTGTGGAGGATATCAGATATCAGATGAAGGCGCGCAAGTTTTCGAGGGACAGGAGTAGAGGGAATGATGAGTGATTGAACAATCGTCTCTGCTATTTCATCTGCCGCCTCCGCGTGGGTCAAAGCAAACTCCATTGCCCGTGCAATCTCTCCTCTCTTACCACTCATCACCCTCAACATTGCTTCAAATCGTCTCTTTGCCAATCGGCCCAGCTTTCCTTTACTCGTACGCTCCTTTTCAGAGTCCTCGGCAGAGTCGGAAGAGTACATCGAGGCGTAGCCTTCATCGATGAACGTATGGGGCGGGTTCGGGATGCGATAGCGTGATGAAAGCGTAGATTTGTAGAGGTGGTACTCTGGGAGCTGAATACTCATTAGCCAATTGACTGAATGTATGACACAAAAGGCTTACCTTGTCGTCAAACAAGAAGCTGAATTTCTCACTGTCCTTTTCCTTCTCTCTCAAGACATCTTCGAAACCCCTTCCATGTTCTCTAACCCTCTCTGCCACGGCTTTGACAAACTTGGCTTTTTCCTCGGGTATGGTTTTGAGCCACGTCTCTCCATCGGAGTCTCTTCTTGGAGAAGGCGAGCGAGAGTAGGAAGATGATGACGAGTAGGAGTATGATCGAGCACGGCGTTTTCTGGGTGGACTCTGCGATCTCTCCTTTCTCTTTTTGGTGTTTCCGATGTCTGAATCTTACGTCAGTTTCTACCAGTCTTAATGGCTGGCCAGACACACCATATAAAGCTTTCGAAGGTTTTGGGACTGCTTTGCTCCATCCAACTCTCAATTTGTTGCCTTGGAACTCAGCACCTTCCAGCTCTCGTACAGCCGTTTCAGCGTCCGAGCGAGACATATAAGAGACAAACCCCGAGAGACCGCGGTGTTGGAAAGAAAGGTTGTCTTCTCCTCGAGCTGTGAGATTCTCAGTCAGCTATCGACCAGTCATCGGACCGGATACTTACGCCACATGATCTTCACGGTACCAACAGGGCCGATTTTGGCAAAGTAGAGCCCGACAGTGTCCTCCGTCATATTTTGCCTCGGAAGGTTAGACTGCTACGTATCAGCAATGCTCGACCAGAAGCGAAATGTGAAACGTACAACAAACAAGTTGGTAGTCTGCTCCGTGTTAGTGAATCACTCTGGTCGTTAGCTGATCGCTCACCTGAAGGTCTAGGACTCCGTTCTTCGTTTCTGATTCCCAAGCTAAAGCGACCAATTGTCAGTACACTTGTTACCAACGATTGCAGCGTCACCAAAGGTGCCGAGTACAGACCTGCAAGGGCAGAGACTGAGGAGCCCTCTTTCTTGGCCATGTTGCCCAGTCGTTGTTCTCGGGCGTCTTGGTTGCTGAGGGCTGTTAGCCTAGCCGCCAGATGTCGGAAATTGCCTACTTTTTGATTTCTTGGAGAAAAGAGTCCATAGCACGTTTCTTTCTCATAGGCCCATTGGATGCCGAAGGTGCTGCAGTCGGTGCAGCAGGCGCCACGCGTCTGGGGTCCACAGGTGCTGCGTACTGTGACGGCGGTGGTCCACCAAAACCCACAGGCCGAACATGCGGAGGCGGCGCTTGTTGAAATCCCATAGCAGCCGGTCCCCTGGGGGGCTGGAACCCTGTGTTGCCCTGTAACGCCCTTCCTCCTGGTCCCATTCCCGGTCCTGATGGGGGTCTGAATGCTGCCGGGGGGCGAGACTGCAATGCCATTGGGGCGCCTCCGGCCTTGACGAACCCCTTTCGAGGGCCCATAGGTGCCGCATTAGAGCCACCGCCGAATCCACGCATGCTGGTGTTTGGGTGGGAGGGCCCAGAGTTGAACTCTTCTTCGAATTCCGCCATCACTAACGCTGCAGCCCTAAAGACGTCGGTAAGCCGCGTCCTTGAGGTGACTCTGGTCTGCATACTTTTCCTCTTCGACACGCTTCTTCTCCTCCGCTTCCTTCTCCATATCTCGTTTCGTCTTCTTCGTTATTCCATGTGAGAACGTTTTACTCTTGAGGGCGGTGAGTTCAAGTTGGCGCTGTATACCAAGACAGTCAGCGATCGGTGTACACGAGTATGGTGAGTGCTGACCTTTGGCTGGCTGTCCTCGCCTTCCGAGTCCGAGCCGGCGAACTTTGCGAGGTCGATGCGACGACCTGACATGGTGATCTGGGAGGAACCAAGATAGAGAAGTTTGTTGATTCACTTATATTGTCTCAACAGTCAAGACTCGTCGTTGATCTTTCGGCCACCGGCCACTCGATATCAGACGGAACCAAAATCCGCGCTTCGTTTCCGTCAATGTGACGGCGTTGTTGCGAGTCTCGGAGGTTGCTCGGAGGGTACATATCTCAAAGTTCTTTGCATTATTGAACTTTTATATCTCAGTCGATCCCAATCGCCGATTCATCCAATCTCTGCCTCTTCCGCCAACGCGCCAGTACTTTTTCTCTGAGCTCGCCACCACCGAGACATAGGACAATGGATCAGTCACTATTCCAAGCCACTGCGGGTCATATCTCCTCGCGCTTCCAGACCCAAGAGGATGTCGAAGTCGCACGAGAAAACAAGAAAAAGGAATGGGAGGACGCGTACAAGAGGTAAATCAAATCCCCTTCGTGGGACTTGTTCAAAGTAGGGCTCACACGTACAGGATCGGTCAAGAGCCACCACCTCAAGAGCCGGAGGAAGAACATGATGGGCGAACCCTCTACGAACGATTGCAAACACAGAAGGTATGTCGCATCCTTGCCCATGAACCCTGATCCCTCGCTCATACAATAAATAGGAAATAAAAAATGAAGAATGGGATACCAAGATGAAGCTCTCGAATCAATGGCGGGGGCTTAACGCAGAAGAGAAGCGATTTCTACAAGACAAAGAAGAAGAAAAGCGGAGAGCACAGAAGGAAATTGAGACTCGTGAAACAGAAGAGTTGAGGCAGTATAGAGAGTGAGTGACCAACCATGGCTGTCTCGGCTCGACACACCCGCTGACGGTCTCATCTAGACGATTGGCCGAACGGAAGGGTGGAATAGGCAGCGATGCGCCTCCTCCGCCTACTTCTGCGCCGGCGGCCAAAGTGGTAGCCAAGAAGGTCCCAGTCAAGGACGGAAAGAAGAAAGATGTCAAGACTCTGATGAAAGGTGTGGTGGTCAAGAAGAAGGCCAAGGCTCCTGTGGCCACGAAACCTGCCACGGAAGAAGCGCCAACTGCCAAGATTGGGAGCAAGCGTGATGCATCTGATGAGGGAGATGAAGGCGGAGAAGATGAGAAGCGACGGAAAGTCGAGAAAGCAGAGTAGGAAGCTGAATGTTAGCGTTGTGTCAATATGGTGTACCTTTGCTCCAATTCTTCTGTTGCGCAATGATAATAAGGACAGCATGGAATCATGGATATGCGTTACACGCATGCATACAAATAGACCAGTGAGATTGCTGCAGTAGTTGAAATGAGAGCCACAAACAAAACGCAAAAAGATCACTGCCCTCACTGAGAATCGAACTCAGGGCTGAGGATTGCGCTTCTAATTGAAGCTCATGGTTTATGAGACCTTCGTGTTACCATTACACCATGAGGGCTGTTGTTTTTTTACGATTACACACCCATAGGTCCTGAGATGACTTTGCCTAGCTGTGAATAGTACCTTCATACAATTGTTACATGCCACACCTCTCTCTCTGGTCTCTGGCATCATCCCATGGCTCCCCTACATTCTTACATTCACCATATGTCCACATGTGGCCGCCATCCGATGCCTTCCCTTCCCAACAACATCTGTCAACAACGTCAGCCTCACTGTTCGTGTTGTGACATCTTTCGCTGCTTCTGATTTCCAACCAACAGTCGCGGCATCGAGGACATGCTATTGAGGAATACATGATACCTTGTTACACCGCTGGAGGTTGACCACTCTGGCTACCACTTGCAATCCAACAAAAAATAACGGGGACCTTCATCTTTCGATCGCTACTGCCCGCCACAGACATTGTCATTCAATGACACATCCAAGAGGTACCGTCACCTTTGAAATTACTCTGATAGTATTTCTCGGGGAGATACGGAAGCTCGCAAGCGATGGTGATGCCTGTAGTTGTGTCACGGCCTGCTGGGACGCAGCAGGGGAGAGGACTGGAAAAGGTGATTTTGGAGGGGAAAAGACCTTTTCGGTATTATCGCATAGAGAAAGAGTAGAACAGTAGGATATGAATTGAGTATGTACACCGCGCGTCCTTCAACCATCCACACAACTCGGCGCCATGCCACTTCAGGGAATATCTACGTGTGACAAGTTGTGCTTGTACTAGTAGAAGGAGCTCGGGCTGCTCGTGACTGTTTCCAAACCAGGTATGATGATCATGGTCACCGAACCGCAACAGACATCGAGACACACCAGTCAGCGGCATCGAATGTGTACAAGAGAACGAAAAACACATGACTGTTACGGGTTTGGCGATGATGGAACTGAACTGGAGCAGGAGTACATCATACCAACATCACTTGAAGAGTTGATAGTAGAAGTGAAGCCTTTGTCGTCTTGGTGATGATTGCTTACGACGCTGTACACCCGACCATTCGGATCATTACTAGCCCAGCAGTGATAAACCGAGCAGGATCTAGGAATCTCGATCGCTCGCAACGTAGTACTGTTTATTATTAGGAGTACGCGTTAACGGCACCATCCGTTGTGTCTTCATCAATTCGACTATTCGTACACATGTTTCTGAGTGGTATCCTCATGATTCACTGCTAAATACATGTCTTCGCACTTCTTCAACATACTATGAGCTGCAATGCCCATGCTATTCTGGTCCAATCACAACAGAAAATGACAGTGCAGCTCAGTAAACACTTACCGACCAGTACCCCGCCATCATCAACGGCACCGCTACAATGACTCCCCATCGCCTCATCGGCCTCATCTTCTCCCCCGCACTCCCATTAACCCACCCATCACTCGACCCGCTCGTGCCAACAGCCGTTTTTGACCCAGCACTGTTGCCCCACCCTGCATTGCTAGCATCAGCAGCGGTGGCAGTAGCAGAGATCCCTGCGGCGTTATTGGCGTTGGTTGCGTGAGTCCAGGCGGAGCCGCCATCTGCTGAGCCGCTGCCAATTGTTTGGGCGGAAGACGTATCGTCGCCGTTTGAGCTAGAGAGCGAGCCGCCGGAGCCGGAACCCCATCCACTGTCTTGCGACGATCCAGATGAACCTCCAGAACCCCCGGCAGCCGCTGAAGACGATGCCTGTTCACAAGCCTCGCAATCGCCTCCGCCACCTACGGTGGCATACTCTCCCGTCGATGTACTCTCCGAATACGACCCGTCGCTCGACACCCAGTAGCTCAAATAGCTCACCGTCATCTCTACGACACTTTCTACCATCGTGCTCCCCACGATAGGGGTAGGTGAGTATTGGATAATGTAGACCGTGCCTTCTTTGGTCTCTGTGGAGGTGATCGTTGAGGTCGAGTAGACGGTCGATGTTGAGGTGGTAGAGTCGGTGACGAAAGTGGTAATGTAGCACGGGACAGATGTAGTTGAGACTATGGTGGAGGTGATGGTATTGGCTTCGAGGGTGCTCTCCCCACCCGGGCCACCGCAGCTACCCGAGGTGCATCGCTCGTTCAATTGATGGTATGTAGGATTTGGGAGGGGCGTTGGTCCAAGGGAAGGTGTTGCAGTGGCGGTTGGGGATGGGATGGAGAATGAGGGAGTGGCATGGGGGGTGGCAAATGCGAAGGGAAGAAGGACGAGGGCTGTGAGTGGTCTCATTGAGGTTAGGTGAAGATGTGACGAGACTTTGGGGCTGTGAAACTGGGAGGGATGCTGTGAAGAGGGGTGGGGGGAAGGGTGTTGGGACGGGAACGTTGGGAGGAACGATATGACAAGTTGACGGTAAAATGATAGACCCTGGATCCCCGCACAACGCTGAGCAGTCGATCAACCCGCAAGGCATTGAAAGGAACAAGGAAGGGGCATCGCCCGATAAAGGACGATCGTCAGTGCGTTTCAAGATTCCACGACCGCCTCAATATGCTCTCCTGTCCTCTAGCCTCCCGAAATCCAAAGCCCTCATACAGTCAATGATAAACAGTCCATGCATCCCAATCCCAGCATCTCTACCGGACAATCTACTTCTTCTCCTCCTCCTTTGGGGGAGGGGGAGGAGGAATCTTGTAATCTTCTGGCTGGGTAGCGGGGTCACCACCACCAACTTGTTCCCAGGGGGAAGCGGCGTCACCAAAGTTTCTGCATGGTCATGAGTCCGGAGTCGACAAGATGGCAAAGGGACGCACCGGAAAGCCTGAGTGAGCTGGAGAGGCTCGTACACCACACGCTTCTTCTCGTCATCGTATCGCACCTCAGAGTAACCCTGCCAAAGAGTGAGTTTGATCCCGAGCTAATAAACGAAAAGACGTACAGTCAAAGGGAAATCTTTCCGCAGGGGGTGACCTTCAAACCCGTAATCCGTCAAGATTCTCCTCAAATCCGGGTGCCCTTCGAAAAAGACACCAAACATGTCCCAGACCTCGCGTTCGTACCAGTTTGCGCCATTGTAGAGACCACAGAGGGAAGGAACGGGGGTTACTTCGTCGGCGTATGTCTTGACTCGAATACGGGACTGGTGCTCGACAGAGAGGAGGTTGTAGACGACCTGCGATCTGCGTTAGCATCATGCAGCTGCTCATTCGGCGCCCGGGATTTGGCTCAGTCGTCAAGTACTCACCTCAAACCTGTACAGCTTTGTTGGGAAATCAACCGCAGTGATATCCGAAATCTGCCTGTATTGGCATTGGGTGTGGTCCCTGAGGAAGGTAAAGACGGGGATGACGGCGGAGGGAGGAATGTAGAGGACGAGTTCGTCCTTGTAGACGGAGAACTGCTGGATGTATTTGGGGAGGCAGGAGGTGATGTACTGTCCGTACTCGTGGAGGGGGGTGCTGACGGGGGAGGACCTGTCTGCGGGGTTGACACCGACTGGCTCCTTGTAGGGTGGGACGGACGGCTGTTCTGCGAGGGGGTGAGAGGGTGAGGGGTGCGCTGTGGGTGGGGACGTACGCTGTCTGAGGAATGCTGGGCTGGAGAATGCCCTTGTGGGAGCGGGGGCTGCCGGGCGTGCTGCTCTGAGGGCGAGGAGGGGGCGAGCAGAGCGGACAAGGGCCATGGTGGATGGATGAGCGAGGGCCAATCATCGATACTCAATTGTCTACAGCGCGGGCTTACGTAAACCACCTAGTACAGAGCCACGCCGGTGTTTCGCCGTATGCCCGCGCCATTCACCTCTATCATCTGAGCAGAGGGATGCAGGACAGGGGCAGCCACACGAAAGCATGTCCGACCTGTCCCCGCCCCAGCATGCTTCAACACCGCCGCCCAATGAGACTCTGACCCCAGACAGCACCGACAACACACCCACAGATCGCCTAGAGGGGGGCGCGGAAGCCCCCGTCGAGGGCAGCGGGGAGGGCCATGCAGAGGCTGCAGAGCAGGAAAGGGGAGAGGAGAAGGGGGAGAGGCAGGAGAGCTCGGATGACTCGCCGAAAATCGAACAAGAGCTTTCAGAAACGACAGAATCAGCACCGCGCCAAGCGTCTCCAGCGACGTCCGTGGCAGCCTCTGGCACATCGACTCCGCCATTAGGACCACTGCCAAAGAAGAAATTTGCCGCAATCAATGTCAACCAAAAGTTTCTGCAGAAAACGGCATCGCCGGTCCCTGCTCCGGGCGCTGTAAAGACCACTGGTGAGTGAGATGCGGACATGAGCAGGCAGTTTGCGGAATGGGCGTCGAGGGATGTATCAGAGTGACCTGGAGGTGGACACGAGCCGGCAGCTGACATCCCATTGAAGGCCGTCAAACTGCGTCCCCCGTCCCGATCCTGCCCGCCCCCTCCCGCCACCTCTCGACTAAATTGAATACCATGACCGCCAAACCACCCCCTGCCCCTGCTCCCCCGCCTATCACAAACTCGAGTCCATGGGCGAAACCAGCAAACGTCGCAGAGGGCGGTACACTGCACCAGCCTGCGCCCACCAAGCTGAGGGTCGGAGCAGTCTTGCCGCCCGCAGCTACAGGGGCCAGCGCAGCGAATACGTCCAATGCTTGGAGGACGAGTGCTGCTCCTCCTAAACATTTCGGTCTGTCGCGGGATTTTCCTACTGCCAAGGAAGTCGCAGATAGTGAGTCTTGTTTTATGACGTACTGTGAAATACTGATATTTTACAGGTAAAAGGGCAGCAGCAGCAGTAGAAGAGGCCACAGCAGCAGCGACAGCGGCTCATAACCAGGCTATCCTGCAAGAGCTCAACTCCTTCACGCAGCTTGACCCTCACGCTCACCGCTGGGATGTTCGTATACGTTTACATCGTCCCATCCGCACCGCTGACATCATTGCAGGAAGACAGCGATGAAGACGAGTTCAACCTACCCCCAGCTCCGCCCCCACCGCAACCACAGACGATACAGAGAGATGACACACCGGTATCGAAATCCGATCGCTTTGCCTCGGATGACTTTGATCGATCTTGGCCGCGGAGACCAACAGGAGAGAGAGTGCTGTTTGATGCCGGGATCAGTAGAGGGGCTCCAGTCCCGCCTGTAGCTCCCGCTCAAAGCGCGCAGGGTGAACAGGGATGGAATCCGAGATTGATGGGCCGAGGAGACAATTGGCGTGAACGCTCCGCTTCGTCCAATGGCCCTGCACCCTCAGCACCATCGGCGCCCGGTATATCTCGCAACCTTCCCCCGCATCTAACAGACGCCCCCACGGATCGAGAAAAGGACACTCAGAAACCTGCTGCTCCCGAGCCCGCAGCTGTCCCTCCAAGACAATTGGGTCGATGGGGCTCGGCGATGCAAGCGGAATCGGGATCGACAGGGAGGACAGGATGGGGCAGCCGGGCGACAGAGGAGCGTGCTTCTCCGCCTCACGTCCCCGCCCCTACCCCCTCTGCCGCTCCCGTCCCTCCTCGACGCTCCTTCATAGGTGTCCGACCTTCTCCCCCGACCTCCAACTCGTCTCTTCCCCATGTTCAACCACCTCATTCCCAGCCTCCTCCCAGCACTCTCCCACCAGTAGAAGACGAGCAGCATCAGGAAATGCATACCGCCGCTGAAAAGGCTCGTTTGAGACGTCTGGAAGAGGAAAAGGAGCGAGAGGCTGCAAAGGAGAGGGCCAGGAAGAAGGCGAAAGAGTTGGAAGACCGGATGATGGCCAAGGCTCCTGCGCCAGCAGCTGCGAAAGAGGTCAAGGAAGACAATGACGAACCCAAGTCGGTACGGCCAACGTCGATAGCCCAACGGCCGAAAGATCTGGGACTCCCCCAACGTCCCAGTCGCTCGCCCGCTGGCTTTGCCTCTGAAACTGGCAAAGACAAGGAGCGCGAATCCCGAGCAGAGACTGAATCCTCGTGGCGCGTCCGTGCGCCGAGCTCCCAGGCGACAAGAGCAGAGGACAACAAGGACGAAATTGTGACTCCTCCTGTCGCTATACCGGTGTCTACAGAGGCCCCCCATCCCGCAGAGTTGGCGTTGGACGGCGAGCTTGACAGATCTACGCCACACGCCCCATCAAGCTCATCATTTGATGGGATGCTGGATAGGATCAAGGCGGCAATGTCAAAGATGCAGGAGGAAAAGGATCAGCCGAAAGACGCTGGGGTTGCGCCGGCCTCTCCTGTCAAGAAGGAGGAGGCAAAGGAGGAGAGAAAGGTGATCTTGGAGAGGGAGAAGAAGCCCCCCACGGAACCTCGTGCCGATCGCCTCTCCGCTGCTCCCTTGCCTCCCGCTCAACCCCAACCGCAGGCCAAACCGATTCCTACAGCTCCCGAAGCCAAAGCTCAACCGCCAACAATCTCTGTCCCCACGTTCTTTGACATTTCGTATCCTGCTCCGCCTCGGTCACCACCTCCAGCCTGGAGAACAATGACTATCCGGGTTCCCAAATTCGACCTTCCTCACCGAACGCCTGTGCCTAAAGCCCAGATGGATTCCTTCTTTGCTCCCCTAAACTATCCTAAAGGCTGGGCGCGCTCTTTCAACCCACCCCTCGAGCTGCATCAAAGAGCCCTCTTTGGGCCTGGGAACCGCCCCCCACCTCGTGAGAATGAAGGTGTCGTGGACCGGTCGAGATTGCTTTTACCAGCGGGTAGAGTGAAGACGAAAGAGGGCGAGATCGTAGTCAGTATCTCCCCACGGGTACTGACCAGATCGAGGCCTAGGAAGATGGGAGTTGATGGCGAGGTTGGAGGAAAGAGCTCTGTCACTGCCCCGCCTGCTGCCGGGCAAGAATCAGGAGACGCTGTCACCCGAAAGAGATCGCCGTCAGCGAGATCAGCTGCCCAGGCCGAAAAGTCCGGCTCTGGGTACATCCTTCAAGGTGTTGGACTTACAATCTCCCCACCGCCTGGCGTTTCTCTCCCTTCGAGTCTCTCATTGGGTACCGCACTGGACCAATCCGAGACACAAGAAGGCGGCGCCGATGATAGGAAGGGCCGGGAGGGTGTCAGGTTCTTGGTCAGTAGCGAGCTAGAGGGTGACAGTCTGTTGGAGGAAGTCAACAAGATGAGCTTGGAAAGCGTTGAAGAGGAAGAAGGAAAGGACGGAGAGGTGAGTAGAATCTTGAACACCGTTAGCGCATGCTGATCATTTATAGGAACCCCCGAAGACTTCAGGGATTGCTCAATCCCCAGAGTCGAATGGCCCCTCTACACCTTGGGCCCAAAGCTCTCTGAGCTACGGTCATTCTTCCAAACCATCTATCACTCAGCACGACGCCATCAAATCTGTCTGGGAGTCCGACTCGAAACCCACAGCCGCACCCATCTCTTCCACGACTGCAAACCCTCCTGCTACCTCGTCATCGGCTTTGAGTGAAACGCCAATGTACCCTTCCATCAACACGCCAAGCAACAGCGATGTCGGCGCTGGTACCCAACCTCTTTCCTCGTCCTTTGTCGCTGCGCCGGGACCTTCCGCTACAGGCTTTTCTCCACAGCTTGGCAGCGCACCCTTTACTCGTCACCCTTCCAATCAATCACAATCCGCTCAGACCGCCTCTCTTCATTCCCACAACCCCTCCCAAGGCCAATCACCTTACTTTGGCTCTCCTCACGCTCACTCGCTGACAAGTCCTGACCCTACGGGCAGGGCTTATGCGGGCATGGGTATGTCGACTATGGGAGGCATGGGCATGGGTATGGGCGTGCCGCTGGGATATACGTCGAGACCGATGGGATCCTCGGCAGTGGGTAACGGAGGATGGCAGCAGAACGTCTGGGGCGGATTCAATGCTATGAACGGTTATGGTTATACGCAAGCTCCCCAGCAGACGCATCACCAAACCCAACCAGGGCAGGGGAAGGATAAGGCGTACCAGTCGTATACCGGCCAGCAGGCTCAGCAGCCTGCCCAAGGCTATGGTGTCCCCGGCTACCCGCGGATGAACCCAGCTCCCGCCCAAGCCCCAGGTTACACCTTTACGCCAGGCGGTTACTCTTCGCATACCATCCACGCCACCTCGCCCCAAGTACGGCCCCAAGGCAGGTTCGCCCAAGCCAACGGCGACTATGCTCGGCAAGCCCAGCAACAGCAGCAACAAGCTGTGGGTCAGGGCGGGAACGGATTCAGGATGAGTGCGAGCTCGGGCGATGGGGGATATTATGGAGGCGTGAGTGGGTATGCGCCTCAGGGTCAGACGGGAAGCAGTCAGTCTCAGCCTCAGGGTGCGCAATCAGGCCAGAGCGGGGCGCAGGGAAGCTTTGGGAGGTCTACGAGAGGAGGATTACAGAGGCGAGTGTGGTAAGAGATACAAGAAACTAGAGCAGATGTTTATTTGACATGATCTTGGGGTAGACGTGGTATGGGGAAATGGGGAACGATTGGGGCAGAGTTGAAGAAGTAGGAATAATCTGGTCAAACAAAGACCACACCGTCGCGTAGCGTGGCTATCAAAACATGTGCATAACAGTTGTTAATGAGTTTATGATGTTTGAGTGTTATCTAGACCTCTTATAAGCGTCTTTCATCCATTGAGTTGGCCTATAGGAAGGCCTTCTAGAGACGAAAAGAGAGGAGAAAAGGTAATACATGCGGTTTGATATCCTTCGCCTTGTGAGGCTGTCATAAACGCAAGGCTGTCATAAACAGGCAGACATCAAGCTGCCTCCGTAGTTTAGTTGGTTATAACACCCCACTAGTATTTTACCCACTAATGGGGAGGTCTGTCGTTCGAATCGGCACGGAGGCAATTGCTTTTTGCTTTTTGCTGATAACCGGGTCACCGGGCCACCGCGGACTTTGATGGACCCCGAAGAACAGCCAAGTTGACTGACATGACGTGCAAAGATAATACAGATGCAATGCATCACTACCACATGAGCATGGATGATTGTAATAATATAAAGACCACTGTTTAGTGTACTGTGCTATGTAATCCAAGAAGGAAGAAGGAAGAGAACCCAAATATGTACACGTGTATGAAAAGGTTTTGGTTGTTGTTATCTCTCTTGTTCTAATGATGCCCCACTCTCCTCATCGGCCCTGCCGATCAACAGCAAGAAACATCATTATACTACAGATCTTGTTCACCTCTAGCCGTAAGACCAGAAGCTAGAGACGGAGGGGTACAATGCTGAAAATGCTGGGCGGTTGCTACATGACGATACACTCGCTCGAGGCGTCGTCTCTTGTGGGCCGGGCGCCTTTCTTGCCTTTGGCGTTCTTTTGGTTGTTGAGCTCGGTGAGGCGCTGCATTGCCCTTTTGTGTTGTTGAGCTGTAGACCGAGGATTGTCAGTAGGCGCATTGAGCTAAAAGGTGAAAACGTACCAGCAGCGCGCATGTACCATCGCTTGGCGAGGTCCATATCTTGCTTGACTCCGATTCCGATCTCTGTGTAATCTAAGATATCTCACGTCAAAAGTGACTTGGTGGATCAAAAAAACACTTACATCCAACAGCGTACTCGGCTTTGGCGAGGCCCTTGTTGGCGGCCTTTCTTCCCCACAAGTACGCTTCTGTATCTGACTGTTTCAGAACGCCCTCTGTCCAAGGATCAGCCCCACCCATACCCCACAGTAGAATAGACTCACCACTCCCGGTCAAATACCAACCACTAAGCGCCAATTCCGCCTCGCTGTCCCCCTTCTCCGCCGCTCTGGTATACCAAGCAATACTCCTCCTCGGGTCAATCATGCAATTCATGTGCCCAAATTCGTGACTCTGCCCCAACTTGAACTGGGCTGGCGCATATCCCAACTGGGCCGCTTGTGTAAACAGCTGACAGGCCATGGCAGGGTCATGGGGGAGGACACCGGCCGTGCCGCCAGGACGCTCGTGGAGGAGGGCGAGTTCGTGGAGGGCATGGGGATTGTCTTCGTCGGCTTGTGAAGCAGCGCGCCGAAGCCAGACGATGGCTTCGCGGACATTTCTCGGCTGGGCCAGTAGGCCGCCAAGGAGGATCATACCGAGCTTGTACATGGCTGCCGTGTCGCCCAGGGCGGCTGCTTTGCGGTAAAACAGCACGGCACGCCCGGGGTCTTTCCGCGTACCAGCACCAATCTCGTTGCACACGGCAGAGCGATAAGTGGCAGCAGGATGATTGTGCTTGGATGCCATGAGATAGAGGTAGTATGCCTTTTCGTGGTCAACGGCGAGGCCGAGCTGGCCTGTACCGTACAAGTTGGCGAGGAAGAATTGGGCATCGGGGTAGGGGACTTTGCCTTCAGCAAGCTTTTTGACGTTGCGCAGAGACTCGGCCAGAAGATTGTCTCGATATTTCCTCCCCAGCTTTTGGTCACTGTGACTGATCTCGTCTCCGAGCTTTTTCGCGGCTTCGATGAGATACTTTGCAAACGCAAACTGCGCCTCGGGATCCGGGTCGTCCTTCATTCTCTTTCTGTAATCGTCCACATATTGCTTTGTATAGGGCGGCTTGTTGAGATCGACCGCGGCCTGTGTGCCCCGTCTCCGTGTAGAAGACGCGCCGACTTGTTCTGTGACGCGGGGCAGAGCGGGAACGGGCGGTATCGACCTGGAAGATGCGCTGGACATGTTGGTCGCAGCCGTGTTGGAGCGCACGAGTGAAGGGATGGATTGTTGCCGGGTAACCACAGGATGCGGCTGGCTGGCAGGAGGAAGGGAGGTGGAAGAGGAAGCGAAGGATTGTTCTTGGGGAGGAGGCGGGGGCAGGCCAAGGACGTCGCTGGCGGCAGAGTAGTATGGATTGTGGTAATCTGACTGCACTGGCGCGTACCCGCCATAGCCCTGGCCTCCCTGCTGCTGCTGCTGCTGATGCTGTCCCGCACCACCGTACGCCCCCATCCCCGAGTCCAGACTGTAGACACTCGCTGCGCCATCTACGTCCATCGGATAGCCTCCGGTTGTCGATCTCTGCTGCCTGGGGAAGGGGGCGTTTCTGTACTGCGGGTGGGGATGGGAAGGAGCCGTCTTGTGTCTCGCCACGGGGTTGGGCGGTAGGGCGGGGGTGATTTCGAGATTGTGGAAATCGATAGAGTTTGGGTCAGAGATGGGCCGGCGCCCCAGGGATGCGGCGGAGTGGCGGTTGTAGGCGTTGGGGTCGGGGGAAGTGGGGTAGTCGACGGGGGCGTAGGGGGTGGGGAGCGGCGGGGAGAGGGGAGCGCCCCCGTTCTCAGCGTCCATCAGGGCCTCGTAGGAGGGCAGCGGGGGACTCGGCGCCATCGCTGCGTGAGTACAAATAAATACAATACAATCAATACCATCATCCATTAGCAATCCGTGTAATCCCGGGATCAAAAGTGCACTCGCATCTCCATCTCGAACTGAATCGGATTTCTATTCGATCTATACGAAATGGACGCCTCAGTGAGTCCCCTGGCCGTCCCCTCCCTCCCAGAGATCACAGCCCTCTTCAACGCTTCCACCTCCGCCCCGACCACCATCATCCCTCCCTCCGCCGCACTCTTTCCCCACCCCACCGCCCCAGCCTCCAAACCAGTCATCCACCAAAAGCCCAACTTGATCCCTGTCTACGTCGAAATCCCCGCCGACTTGTTGACCCCAGTGTCCGCCTATTTGAAGATTGCCAAGGATGAAAAGTACAGCTATCTGCTGGAGAGTGTGCTCGGTGGTGAAAGCCTGGCGAGGTACAGTTTTGTCGGAGCCAGTGAGTAAAGTGTCTCTGTATAGCCAGCCGCGCTGACCCTTCTAGACCCCTTCAAGACAATCCGTACCGGCCCGGGATTCGATGTCGAAGGTGATCCCCTGAAAGCGCTCGAACAAGAGCTCGAAGAGTACCGACATGCCAAGGTGCAAGGCCTCGCCGACTTTACTGGTATGTATCCCCACACCCTGTGGTCCCCACTGACATGCCTCAGGTGGTGCCGTCGGATTCATCACCTACGACGCCATCTCGCACTTTGAACCCGTCACCGCCCCCGCTACTCCCCTTCACAACCCCATCCCCGGCCTCCCCGAAGCCTTCTTCATGCTCTCATCCACAAACATCATCTTTGACCACATCTACCAAACCGTCAAGATTGTCTCGCACGTCTACCTGCCCGACGGCACACCAGCGAGCCAGATCCCCTCGCTGTACAAAGAAGCGGTCGGCAGGATTGACTTTTTACGACGCAAGCTGGAGAACCCCGAGACCCCTTTACCCCACCAGCCACCCATCACCCTCGGTGCTCAAGCCGAGAGCAACGTCGGAAAGGTCGGATATGAGGGCTTTGTCACCCAGCTCAAGGAGCACATTGTCAAAGGCAACATCATCCAGGCTGTCCCCTCTCAACGGCTCACCCGTCCCACCGCCCTTCATCCATTCAATGTGTACCGTCATCTGAGAAGATTGAACCCCAGTCCTTACATGTTCTACTTGGATTGCGGGGATGAGCAGTTGGTAGGCGCTAGTCCAGAGACGCTGTGTAAGGTTGAGGGCAGGAAGGTGTACAATCACGCTATCGCTGGTACCGTGCGACGTGGAAAAACCGCTGAGGGTATGTGTTTTACGTTTCCCCCTCGGCCATGCTGCTGATACCACTTCACAGAGGATGCCGAACTCGGCAAGGGTCTCCTCGCCTCTGAAAAGGACCGCGCCGAACACATCATGCTTGTCGACCTCGCCCGAAACGACGTCAACAGAATCTGCAAGCCCGAGACTGTCAAGGTCGACGACCTCATGAGGCTCGAAAAGTTCTCTCACGTCATCCACTTGACTTCGCAGATCAGCGGTATGCTGAGGGACGACCAGTCCAGGTTTGACGCTTTCCGCTCCATCTTCCCCGCCGGTACCGTCTCTGGCGCCCCAAAACTCAAAGCCATCCAGCTCATCTCCTCTCTCGAACGCGAGCGTCGTGGTGTCTACGCCGGAGCCGTCGGCCGATTCGACTTTGACCGCGAGAACCTCGATACGTGCATCGCTATCAGGACCATGACATTCAAGGGCGGAAACGTCTACTTGCAAGCCGGTGGAGGTATTGTGTTTGATAGTGTGGAGGAGGATGAGTATATCGAGACTATCAACAAGTTGGGGGCCAATGTCAAGTGTATCGAGGAGGCTGAGAGTGAGTGTTTCGCCTTGTCAAGTGTGTGTGCGAATGCTGATGCTGTTGCAGAGTACTACGCAAGACTCCAAGGCCAAGACGTGTAGGTAGACGATATATAGAAGGGTACACATATCATGCATGAGTGCATGAGACATGTAGAATCGTGGTCTCATCGACAGGGTCGAAATCCAGAGCAATGTCAAACTTCGTCACCCCGCTTCCATCTTACCCTGCCGAAGCTCATGAGTGCGACGGTAGTCTGAGCAGCTTCGGTTCCAACGCCGGGGTAGTCCTGTCGTGAACCCCCTGTCGGAGCTTGATTATACGCGCGTGTATGTACTTGCTGGGTGATGTAAACGTACGGATCGTGGCATCTTGTACTACATTACATACTGGGGCTATCCGTTCCATCTTCACCATTTCCTACACAACAAGCCCTACGTAATTAGTCCACGCTCGGCCAAGCCGCCTGGCATAACGGACAGAGAGACTGGCAAGCATCAGTTTCCTTCTGCAGAGTCGAGACGATTTATGGCACTTACATGCATCTTCATGACTTCCTTCATACAAGACATGTGGTAGACATGGTTACAAGGTGTGATGGCGTAATCGCGTTCTCCCTTCTCTTCCCCTTCTTGACCTGGTCCTCCTTCCCGGAGAGCCACTTCCTGCTCGCCCTCTCCCGTCGTCACTTGCGCGTCCCCCCTTTGTCCTTCTTTCAAAAGTGCGTCATTGGCCTGTTGTTCGGAAGAGGGCATCGGGGTGATGGCCTGCGCAGCAAGATCAATGATCTCGTAACAGATAGGACATTCATAGTCCTTTTCTTCGAGCAAAGCCGGCACAGTTGTAGGTTGATAATTGTACCTTGGTAATGCCATTTATTTATGCTGTCCGTCAGCTTCTGGCCGTCTTCACAAAGTTCCAGACTTGCACTCTTTGGCAAACTACATGGAATTGTCAGCTTGGCATGACTTGAAAGAGTGGGAAAGGTGTGATGAAGCTTACAAAAAGTCGGGTCTCCTTCGAGTCTGCTGATACAGTACCCATATCTGGCCGACTTGCCAAGAAACAATGATCCAAACCCACTTCTTCCGCCCTGTCAAAAACGGATTTTTCTCCCAGGCAAACACATCTGAAACAGAATCATCAGCGTTTCTCTTTCACCCAATCTCCCTTCACAAAGAACAAGAGAAACAATATTACAAAGTAGCAGTCCGCTCCTCAAGATAGTTTGGCCAAGCACGAATTGCCAATTCCAAGGATGCGTCACTCCTGTAAATGCGCTCGATAGGATTGACGGGATCCAGAACGAGCTCGCCGCAAACAGCACCAAAGGAAAAATGCGGGGGCTGAAGATATACGGGAATGTCACCCAGAAAAGGGGGAGAAGAACAATGAGCCCTGATGTTGACTTTTAATTAGCGGGTACGCTTGGCGTATGAGTGCAACACTCGAGAATGAGAACGTACATTGGAAGAATACTCGTCTGGGCAGGACCCAGGGTCTGTTATGCCTTCCCTCCTCTCTCCTTCGCAGCAAACCGAGAAGGAGGCCGAGCGGTGAAGGTACTACTCTCACATGCGGCCAGTAGCCGGCGCAAAACTTATTATACTCAACCTAAACGCACATCAGCACTTTGTAATGTATGTAAGACGGCTCGCAGCGGGAGCGCGGCAAAGTGACACAGGAGAAACTCACAAGTGTGTTGCAACACTGAGATGCGAGAGAGGTCATCACCACCATCACCCCCTTCCCGGTTTTCTCTCGCATGCCATGCCCGCCTGCATGGAGCATCGCCAGACAGTCTGCCAAGAGCATAAACCACATTGTCAAGGCTAACACAGATGCAACTGTGGACCCAGTAGCTCGTGTGAAAGGTTCAAGTCCGGAAATCAGGTAGGTAGTGATGAAAAGGACAGTTTGGTACCCTGGTGAAATGAACTGTATCAGCTGCTCTCCTTCTTCACTCTGTAAGTTATCAATGTGGGAACCAGCTTACATCCGAAAGACGATGATTCAAAAAAGCCACCGCCTTCAAACCCCAAAGCCCAGCCACAGCCTTCAGCTATAGCTACACCGGCTAGGCGGGGTGAAGAAAGAACGTCGTCGGTGTTTGTAGAGGTGATGTCTGATTTCGCTAGGTCGGCAGAGGGAGGGAGGGTTATGTGTATAGAGAGCGGGCATTGGGTCATCAATCCCTTTTCTAATGATTGTTCAACATCTCACCCTTGAGACTCGATCGAAAAGCGACGCACCTTCAATGTCAAACCGCGTGTTGAACCACACGTGGCTATACCAAGCCAGCTGCTTCTTTACATCCATCTTCTCTGAGAAATCCGTCACCAACCCATCCAGGATATGACCCTGTCCCCAATCCGGAACTTTGGATGCTATCGGCAAGATGCGTTTTCCTCGGGGAAGGGCATAGAGGTTGATGGTCCCGTTAGGAATGTAGTGCATCCCGTGAAAGTCGTATCTGACCACGTCCTCGTTGTTCCACAAGCCCAACAAAGCAGGGGATGCGGAAGTTAGGGTGAGAGAGCCTTCGGCGAACAGCCAGTCGCCGGCGCCCCAAAAGTAGAAGGGGAACTCCCCTGAAGAGGCTTTAGTATAATTGATGCCTATAGGGGCGGTTTCGGTGAATGACATGTCGAGGCGGGTGGTATCTTGCCATCGCCATTTGTCTGCTGGCTTCTGGTCATCATCTGGCGGTGTGATAAGTAGATTGGTATCGAAGGGTGGATTGAGGGAAGACCAATAGGATGAATGTTGAGTTCGAGCGGCAGGGGAGGAGAGGGAGAGCGGATGGACTTGAGCCCCTCGATAGCGCCCTGTAATGTTCCGGGCAAAGACTTGATCTGCTGGATTATGTCTGAAGCTCGGCGGAAGTATGCTAGAGGGTGATAACAAGAGGACATCGTCCTCTCTCTGCGTCTGTATCAGCACTCGTTTGTCATATGAGACGGTAAGGACTCACATCAATCTTGCTCACTTTGACGTCTTTGGCGCCCGACTGCTTTAGACCGTCTGCGAAAGACTCAAACCAGTGCTGGGCCACTTCTTTCGCTTCATCTAGAGTCGGCGTGAGATTTCCATCGGGGGTGGAGGATGCGAGACCAGTGGAAGCGAAAAGGAAGAGGGGGATCAGCGAGAGGTTGATCATCCTGGATAGGACGTCCAAGGGCCGTGAAAAGAGCAACAGAGAATACAGATGCACCCCAGAGACAACGCATACCGAACGCGTAACCACTCGGCCGTCCACCGGCAGCGATCGAACGGCGAGCAAATGAAAACCAGTCATTTTCGGCGCCAGTTCAACAGGTAACAGGTCCGGCATAGGCACAAGGCACGTTCTCACGGAGATGCCGCAGCACCTGGCCTCGAGAGAGTTCAGCAGTGTGGGAAAGTGAGGTAGATGAGGAGAAGATTGCCAGGCCACGCAGTATGCTAGGCGTTGGTACATAGGTAAACCCAATGAGATATGAAAAAAGACCGGAGATGTAGTGTCGAAACCCAATGAGAAAAGAACAGATAGTGCACCTGAGAACTATATACGCAATTGACCTTTTGCCATTCTTCCCGGCAGAGACAATGTTGGACAATACGAGACAAGGACTGAGAACCAAACCATCAATCCTCCAGATACCGCACACCACCCTTCAAGTATCGCAGCTTGTAACACAGTCAGCCTTCAATCCTGATGGCCGATACGAATCGGGACTCACCAAGAACAACCTAAAGTCCTCTAGCACAAACGGCAAGACAACAAGTCTAACAAAATCGCCCACCCTTCTCGCCCTCACTTCAACTTCTCTGAAAGTCCTCTCGGGCAGCTCTGCATACCCAGGGGTGCACTGAGGCCCGAGGATGTTTGTGAGGTGGTCTGACAGTGTCTGGGAAGAGGTGCAGAGGTAGGCGAGGTTGTCAACATATTTGTCCGGAGTGTCGAGGCTATGATCGGGTTAGCGAGGCCACGGGCATGTAGCAAACGACAGACTTTTTGTTATTGGATATCTTGTCCATTCCTCTCGATATTCTCGAACCCCAGCTCTTTGTCGTCTGTTCCGCGTTAGCACCTATACTATTGCGCTTTCGATGAAGACGTACCGAGACACCCTTCTTTCCTTTCCATCCTCCAACCCCGACGCCACCCTTACTCAACATTTTACTCACCCCTTCGATCTCCTCCTCAAGCTCGTCCAGCGCTCTCACGAGCTCTTCTCCCGCCTTCTGCCACCTCGGGCTCGGACTGACCGGCGTGGACGCCGCACCAGCAGGACGGCTACGATCGCGCGGACCAGAAGATAACAGCTCAAACCCTGGACCTTTGAGGGTTTCTAGACACATGGCAAGGGTAGCCATACATCGCGTCTTGATATCTTGCGCAACAATCTTTGGGACAAACTTGTCGCCCTGTTCTGTCCCGCCCATGATGGCCGCCGAACGAGACCACGTGGAAGGATTCCACACTGCCGGGGTGACGTGAAGCCCCGGCGTGAGGTAGCATCCAGCATTATCGCCGTCCATCGACTGGCGCAGTAAGCGGAGAATGTGGAATGGCCTGAGCGCTTCTTCAGCAGGCTGAGGTTCGGGCAGGGGTGATAGCAGAGATGTTGATGAATACGATGCGTGAGAAGGAGTCGCAGTACCCAGGGCGGACGGGGAAGGTGTTGGTGATGGAAGAGGGGGTAGCGAACGAGGAGAGTTGGGGTGCAAGCTGTTGATAGACCCTGATCGCGAATTCAAAGTAGGTGGCACCAAGCCAGGTCCACCTGCTGTATTGATCCGCAATCCCTGGCTCCTCCCCATACCCATCCCTCCTAGTCCCATACCCATACCCATCTGCTGCAGGAGCGGGTTGGGCTGCTGTATGACCGGCGTCGACCTGTCCAGCCCCTGTCCAATCCCTTGACCGAGGTTCAAGCTCATCTGCGACGATATTGAAAAGTTGGGTTGGTGTCTCACCCCTGTTGTAGATGGTACTGGTGGGAGTGGTTCAGGGTCGCCTGGTCGGCCACCAGGTTGAGACTTGGCGCGAGCCCGGCCAGATATGAGAGAGGATATGGAAGCCCGGCGAGAAGCGTGCCGAGATTCTTTTCGGGGCTCTTCTTGGGAAGGAGTATGGCTGCGCTCTGGGATACCCTCTATCGAAGGCGCACCGGATGATGGGCGTGACCGTCTGCGTTGCGAGATTGTCCCTTGATTTGTACTAGGGCTGACCAAGAATCCTTGCCCAGCTGATATCCCCGAACCATTCTGACTCTGGACACTCCCGCTCCTCCATCTCTGATCACTCGTCAAGCCTGCTGAAGGGGGGAGAGGAGGTAGAGGCCGCTCGTCGCTCCCCATGCTCGGAGCAGGGCTCGCACGGCCTGAGGGAAGAGACAATGCAGGCTGCACCTGGGGCATCATCCGCTCTGTCGGTGTCGTCGCTAGCACTTCAACATCTCCTGGCCCGAGACCTGGCCCTACACCCACCGGCGCAACCCCATCTATCCCCGACAAGTCCGCTTCCATATCCAGCCCCAGACTGGCTTTGTGCCGACGAAATCTTCTACTGGACGGGGAGAGGGACGAAGACGTGCCGTTGGAATCCATAGACATTGTGCGAGCATGTGAAGAGTGCGATGCGTGAGGAGCTTGATAATGGAATGATTGGGATGGAGAGTGGGAGGGGTGACCAAGACCGATGGAACGAGGATTCGATGCCGGCAGCGAAGGAGGTTTCTTGGGAAAAGGTGTGTTTGTCGACCCGGCCACTCGATCCAGAGCCTGCTGGAGTGAAACATCGCCTTGCCCGTCAATCCTCGGCAGCCTCGGACTTGCGTTTTCCTCTGGCAACCCACCCGAGAGCGGCGGGGTCTCGAGGGAGATGGTTTGATTCTCTGGGCTCGAGGGCCCGAGCATGAGCTCCCCGATACCTTGCGTGGCTTCGTCAAACGAGCTTCTCGGCGCCGGTACCCCCTGCTCGTCGGACGCCTGTATCGATCTCTCTTTTCCTTCATCCAGCGTCTCCAAGACCGGGCTCGAGCCAGACGCAGACACACCAGCCGGCACAACCGTCCCATCTTCGCTCCCTTCCGTCCCCTCCGCGCCCGCCACGTCATCATAGCTCGTCAAAAGCTGTATTCTCGCCACATACGCATCATGAATCCCCTTCAGCGTCCTCCCTTCTTCCTCTGCCTTCATCCCCTTCTTTTCCTTTTCCTTCTTCTTATCTTCCAGCCCCACGCGCTCCATCACCGACTTTAAACGCGTGACGGCTTCGCGGTAAGCAGCGAGGGCGCCAACGACATCGTTATTGCGATCCATTTCGACAGCTTTCTGCGCGAGGTCGAGCGCGGTCTGGAGGAGGAGACGGGAAGGGGTACGAGGGGGTTTGGAGGTGCGTGCTGTCGACGTCGTTGATGCCGAGGTCGATGCGTGCGACGCTGGGATGGGCGATGCAGCCAGACCTGCATGGTGTTTACTGGGCGACCCATGCGAATGCACACGCGACCTCCCAGGCGAAGATGGTCGTCCCGAAGGCCGGAGCGCGTTGATAGTGCTCTGTCTCGCAGACGGTATTTGTGTCGACGTCCTCCGCCCTGTTGCGGACCCAAGCGACGACGACGCCGGCGCCGCATTCGCCATGGACGCAAAGGGGTGAGCTGATGGAGGTGGTAGCGGTGGAGGGTTGCTTGCTGGACAAGGATGGTCAGTGGAAAGCACCATAGTGGATATGCAGGACGACTTGCGAGGAGGTCCAGGAGGAGGGGGCGGGGATGCGCCAAACTTGTTGATCATCCTGCTCGTACGGACACTGGAATTTCCAGCACTCCCTCCAGCGCCACCCTCAGTGGGCGACCGTGTCTCCTGCCATTTTGCGACGTCCCCCAGAAAGCCGTCGGAGGCTGCAGTCGATGGGAGGGAGGAGGGGTAGGAGCGGGGTGGGGTGGATGGGATGGGGGGCTGAGAGCGGGGGGTGATGGAGTGGTGGGGCGCGGACATGGTACCCGCCAGCGATGGGATGTCAGAGAATGTCAGAGGAGATGCGCGGGGAGTCAGTCGCACGCGGAGGCACGCACGGATCAACAAAATTGATCCCGTCCTCTTCTTGCTCCATCAGAGTAGAGTACGAGTAGAGTACTGATGCAGGGTACATCGCTGGGGGTTGATTAATTACTCGCCACACTTCCAAAGCATGGGTCGCTAAGAAGGCAAACAAAGAAAAAAGAGCAAAGGGAGACAAGAAGAATGTCAGGTATAAGGTAGAGGAGAATCTATAAACAAAGGAAAAGACCAGGATGGAGGGTAAAGAGATTAAGCAGGAGGGGCTCGAGGAGTAAACTTGAGTTTACAGTGGTCCTTGGGGAAGATGCTAGTGAGACAATCAGCACGCGCCTACACAAACGAGGCCAGACAACTTACGCAGCAATAACCTGCACATCATCACTCAATTCAGTCTTCTCGTGCTCCCAGTCCATCAACACACTCGCCGTCCCCAGGGTCGCCGCCAAATGCATACTAGCATACTGCACACCGATACACTTGTGCGGTCCTGATCCCCACACCATGTAGTTTTGCGGCTTGCTCTCGGCCAGAGGGGACGAGCCGTCCGAGTTGGGCAGCCATCGTTCGGGGGCAAACGCGTCGGGGTTGGTGTAGACCGTGTCGTCGTGGAGCGAGTTCCAGAAGGCGGGGATGATCATAGAGTTCTTGGGGACAGTGTACTCGGGGGAGACGGGGAAAGGCTTGGTGGTGAGGTAGGGCACCATGATCACAGGTGGCCTGATCCTCAAGACCTCCTTGACGACAGCTCGGGTGTAAACCATGTCGTCAATCATGTCCAGCGTCAAACCCCTCTCGAGGTCGTTACCCCTGATCCTGTACTGCTCCTCCCTGATCTTGGCAAGTACTTCAGGGTGGTCGGCGGTGAGCTGGAAAGAGTAGACGATGGCAGAAGACATGGCGTCCTGGGAAGCAAAGAGGAAGGAGAGGAGGACCATGGCAATCTCGTGGTCGCTGTACTCGCGCTGGAGGAGCTTGGTGGTCTCTCCGTCGTCCTGAGCCTTCTGAGCGTTGATCATGGCCCTAGTCCACTCGTCCAACAAGCACTCGGGCTCGTTGGCAAAGTCGGCCATCTTGATCTTGCTCTCCGCGCTCGATCTGGTCAAAACCTTCATGACAGTCTTTCGGGCCTGGATGGCATTGTAGACCTTGGTGCCGGGGATGGCAAAGGGGAAATTGACCAGCTCGAGGGCGAGAGTAATGAGCCAGTACTTTTTGTTGATGTCCATCTTCTCTTCTTCAGAGATGTAGGGGCCGCAGAAGACGGAGAGCGAGGTGTCCATGTTGAGATCACGCATGGGCATCATGTAGGGAAAGGCAGGTTGGGGGTCGGTCATCCACTTGGTAAAGTAGGATCGGTAAATCTTTTCTTGAATGGGAAGGTAGGTGCTGCAAAGAGTCAGTCTTGTCTTGAGCGATGCAAGGAGACTTACGACAAGGCCTGCTTGGTGAAGAGGACGTTGAGAGCCTTTCGGTAGTCGGCGTGGCCCTTGCCGTGGCCAAAGACCCAGTTCTCGGGGAGGAGCACCTTCTTGGCGGAAGCGACGAGGCAGGGTTCAGCGTGGTTGGGCGAGTTCATGATCTTCCTGGCCATCTCGTTACTGGAACCGATGACAATAAAACTGCTCCTTGTCAGCGAACACTCTTCGTAGCGGTATGAGTAGCTTACATGTTGAAGACGGAAACAGCACTGAGCGCTCCAGAGTCCCACTGCGCCTTGTAGTTGGCCAAAGTAGGGTTCAAAGAGTCGGCAAACGCGCCGATGAGGGGAATGGTCCATTTGTTTCCCGGCAAGTGGGCCTTTTTGGAGCGATAGACGACCTGCTCGAGAACGAGAATGGAGAGAAGGAGAGTGAGGAGGGTGGCGGTGGTGGTTTTGCTGCGATACGATTAGCTATGATCGACAGGATCGTGTAGCAGGGCGTACGTGTCGAAAGTAAAGCTAAAGTTGGCCTTGGTGAGCCCTTCAAGACCCCAGGTCTTGATAGAGTCGAGGTCCGGGATGGCGGTGGGGTTGAGGATGGCGTGAGAGGCCATTTTGGTAGTTTTTTTTTTGGTGTTTGACGCGTGTCGTGGATCTGTTTAGGGTTAGTTTGTTGTTTTTAGTAGACAACCGAGATCCAAGATGTGATGGGAGACGCGCCAACGGGGATGCGTCTAAAGCAGCTCCCAAAAGTTCCGTCTACGTGGAAGTGGGACGACGCAGAGGAATCCTTTCCCCAATTATCCCTCTCAAACGCAGCCATCGCCCACCAAGATACCAGCTCCGTTCCGACCCCGCCCGAGAGACCGAGCTAGGAAAAACGCGTCCGAGCGCAGCAAGAAAGAGACTCACTCACCTGGGAGGTTGATGGCCAGGAGGATTGACCCGAGGCGTGGTTTATAGTGGGGTGGAGTGTAGGCTGAAAGGGGGAATGCAGGAGACGGCGTCTGGGGGTCGGTGGAGCGGGTCGGGGTTGTGGTGAAAAAAAATGGTGTGGGTGCTAATGGCCTGAGTCAGGATGGGCGGGGTGGGGTGGCTGTTGTGAGTGTTGTATGCCCACGTAGAGTACGAGTAGAGGGATAAAGAGCGTGGAGTGATGACTGATTAGTGGCTGCCCGGCTCGCTTCTGCTGCTCACCGCGACAGCCAAGCACAAAATAATCGTACCACCCGGGCACCACCGGCCCCACGTGCCAATCGCCCCGCGTGGATATCGCCGCCTTGCTGTTTGTCTGATCACCCTGAGCCAACCCTGAGCGCCAACTGACGCTAGATCCTTGTGCAGTCTCCATATCTGGATGAGGAGACATGTATACATTGTCCGTTTCAATGATTTCAGCCATTCTCGTCATCTCAGACGACTCTCGAAACTCGTATAATAAACAAGGTCCATTCCGGCTGCCTCTCAGATACCGGGGTCTCATGTCCTTGAAATCTTGCCATGTCTCGCTGTTCTCAGTGATCCGCCCTCAGAGCCATCGGTACAGCAACCCCCGTAACACAAGCAACGAACATAAACACAAACACCGCCATCCTACACGCAAACGCCCACTTATCCTGGTGTCCCGGCCATCTGACCTTGTAGGTACTCTTGCTGCTGGCGGTCGAGTCAGCCACTGGGAGGGATCGGACAGTAGCTGGGGGAGAAGGTGGAAGAGCGTGCAAGGCGCTCTGGGGCGAGCCAGGGTTGGAGATGGGCGTGAGAGGGCGGGAATAGTGTGGAGACTGGAGGGGGCTGGGAGCACTGACAGGAGCTGTGGCTTGGCTTGAGACACGGTCGCTGGAGGTAGATTCGAGAGACTGTGTGGTCCGAGACGTGTGAGCTTCAGAGCAGAACCAGCCTCCCACAATCCAAGCCAGAGGGAGAAGGAATCCAAACCAAAAGAGCATCATCGGAAGCTTGGAGGCAGACTCCTTCCTAGGAGGTGGGTGCTGGCTTTCTACGTCGTCCAACTGAGGAGAGTACAGCTGGTGGTTTGATTCCACTCGCAAGTGGCTATTGATCTGCCGGCGTTGGGGGACTCTGATGCTAAAGTAGTCGTCTGTAGCAGAGCATGCTCCAATAGTCGAGGGCTTTTCAGAAATGCTGGGGTATTCGTTCAACAATGAGGCAGAGTGTGAGGTTGGAAGCGAGGAGCCGCCTGGGGTGAAGAACTGATCACTGTCGACTCTGCTTCCAGGTTTGAGAAGACCGTGTAGAAGAATGACTGTATCAGTCGAAGCTTCCTGCTCGACCAGACGGGAAGGAGATGGGACGTTAGGGAGCATGGATATCTCTTTGCGATCCCCCTCTTCTTCAGAGTATTCGGCTAAGGGTATGATCAGTGACAGCGTTGAATGAAGACCGTGTACCCACAGTACAGAGACTTTTCTTTCATGGCGACTGCCTCGTGGTGCACAATGGACTTCTCATCGACGTCATCGGCATCCCCCTTATTCTCGTCGCCCTCGTTCTTCTCGTCTTCAACTTCCGTCACCTCCATCTTGACATCCTCCACCTTGATATCCGAATCGTCGTCTCCACGACACAACAATTGAGCCTCCATCTCACTCCCAACAATCTTGACCCATAGCTCATCCTTCTCTTTCTCCGTCAAAACCTCAGCTCTTTCTCCACCTTCCAACATCTTCAGCGTTCTCGTGATAATCACTCCCCGCTTCCGCTTAAACATGTCTCCAGTCTTCCCTGCTTTCGGAGTAGAAGTAGAGATAGCCAGCACGTCGTTCGACTGATTAAGAAAGCTGAGACGGTAGACCTTGGCACTGAAGGTAAAGCGGGTGAGATCCATGTTTGCAATCGTGCTATTGACGCCGGCGAGTGTGGGCGAGCCTGGAGCGGTGGTAGAGATGGAGTTGTCCAGCTGGGGAGAGAGGTCGTGGTCTGGTTCATCGAAGTGCTCGGGGGCGAGTATGGGGGCAGGAGGCGTGGGGAGCTCGAAAGGGACTTGAGAGGTCGTGGAAGACTGAGTCATTAGCACAACAGTTGACGATAATAGAACAAGCTTACCATGATAATGTCTGATCTACATTGTTTGGGGGCACTGGGGGACTGTTTGACAACCATGGCAGTCCGCGCGCCCACGTGAGGGCAAAGAAGTACAAGTGACAGGCAGTGTGAAGCTAGAGATGCGCTCCAGGCGGTGGCGTGGTGCAAGGAGTGACAAGAGCTTGACTAGTGGGGGAATATCGGGGAGAGGGATGTGAAAAAGAACAAGGAGAATCGAAGAGTGTTTCTCACTTGTCGCCGTAATAGAAATCATACGCGCCCCATCAGCCGGTCTTCGCCGAATGCAGCGCTCGGGCCTCTCACTCAACCCCGCTCTGTTCTATGTCTTGTGTCGATGCATTCCTAAAATACAGCATGCTATTTTGTATTTTTACGTTCCCGCTATATGGAAGAGCGTTTGTAACTCTGAATGAGATCCTATTCGATACAAGTCTGCACGCGCATGATCATACCTCGCGTTACAAACATCTCACCCCCTACTTGACCTCTGCCAATATGCCCTCCAGGTCATGCACCACGTCCGTCATCGTAGGTCTTTCTCCAGCATCCTGATGCCACATCCTCTCCATCAGATTGACGGGCTCGTTACCCCACGCCTTGCGGAGACCAGCAACAGAAGGGCGTTTCTGCTTATTGCCTACCGCGTCGTAGATGTAGTGTTCGTTATGGCCCTCCCAAGGGTATTTCTACGCGAGTCAGATTTGCGCTTGATAATCAAAGGAAGAGACATACCTTATCTCCGATCCATCCCGACATCATCTCCCAATACACCATCGCCGCCGAAAACACATCAACCTTGTAATCATACCTCGGCGTAGGATGCCACAGCTCGGGCGCTTGCCAATTCACCGTGCCCACCAAACTTCTAATCATCGACCTCGTCGAGTTTTTGACTCTTGCTAAGCCGAAATCGCCGACTTTGGCGGTGCCCGCGCGGTTGATAAGTATGTTGGAGGATTTGCAGTCACGGTGGATGATAGAGGGCTTGCGCGTGTGGAGGTATTCGAGTCCACGGGCAATGTCGAGCATGAGGGTGATGACGCGCTTCAAGGATGGTCGGGGAACGTTGCGCTGATACAGGGTTAGTGACCGAGTTGGGCCCGAAGAGGGAAAGCTTACGATATAGTCAAACAAGTCGCCATTCTCACAGAGCTCACTAACAAGCATGCACGGTACTTGGGTGGAGTCTTCGGGTATGCATATTCCTCGCTAGCAAGCCTTTAGCCTTCGTTGCAAAGATATAATGAAAGCACTCACAAAGCGCACAATGTTGGGATGGCTGAACTCGGCCAGCAGCTTCAGTTCTCGGATGTCCATCTCACTCAGATGTTCTCTGAACTCGGAGATGGCCACTTTGCGGCCCCGATACTTGCCCACATATACGCTGTACAGGATTAGAATATGTATTCCGGATAGACCCAAAGCTTACTCTTTGAAACCACCGCTTCCAATCTTTTCCAGCTTTGTCAGAAGCGACGCCTTGATGACGGAATCTTCCAAGCCGAGCTCTTGCAGATCCAAATTCAATTCTGCCTCCGTGCCCTTCTTCTCCTCTTCTACATCACCCTCATGACCCTTTGACAAAGGGGGTGTTTCAGGATCATGCGCGTGTACGTGCTCTCGCATCAGTACCGGGGTCGGCTTGCCTGGGACCTGGACTGCTGTGGCGATAGCGGGGAGGAGTTTGCTAGATTTGGACTTTGTTCGCGTGGTAAATCTGGATTTGGTGGATTTGCGACGGGGGAGAGCGGTGCGGGGAGGAGAGGGACGGGCGGTGGATGTTGATGAAGGTGCGCCCTGCTGTTCGTCGCGCTAAATGAATGTGAGTATAAGTCCCAAGAGGTAAAAGCAAAGCTTACCCATTCTAGAAGGGCCTTGGCCAGTTGTGGTTTGGTGCCCCCGACTTCGATACCTCTGGCTTCGCACATCTGGACCAACTCGTCGCGTAACAATCTTACGAGACTCGCGGCCGTAGCCTGCGACAAGTCGACATCTTTTGCTCATCAGCGCTATTCGACACTCAGAGCAAATTATACACTCACCAGGCTCCAGTTCGTCGTCATCATCATCGTCACTCTCCTCCTCCACCTCATCCATGTCTGGGTCATCCCTTGCCTCCTCTCTCAAAAGTTGTCTCCGGTTCTGCATCATGCCGAATGCTTTGCCGGAGCGCGTCATGTGAATCTGACCAGGGGTGACGTTGGGTGTTTGATCTTGATCTTCGACCTCGTCGTCGTCGCCGTTCATAGACACGTCGTCTACAGACGTGCGTGTGTTGCGGCGAGGCGGGGTGACGGGCGCAGCTTTGAGAGGTTTCGACTTTCCAGACTTTGGAGCTACATGGGATCAGTGATGTAATGCTCGAGGTGCGAATACACTTACTAGACTCTTCGTCTTCGTCCATATCCACATCAGCATCGACCTCCATCCCATCATCCGTATCACGTTCACCGCCCTTGATGGCCTCAATAGCCTTCTTCTTGGCTCCTCTCGTTGGCATACTCTTCCCGCTTTTCCTTGAGCTTGGAACCTTCATGGCCACATCCTCATCCTCCCATAAAGACTTGTTGCTTTGGCTTGCCTTGATCCTCCGACCTCGCACAGGTAGATCGTCAGGCTCGGCTTCTGTAGCCTCTGCGTCGGCTTCATCGGCAGTATTATCGACCTCATCCTCGAAATCAGTCACATCTGTCGACGGTTCTCTCATATTGGTTCGTTCGCCACCTCTTGGCCGAAGCCGTTTCACCAAAGGTGTTGCTTGTACGTCCCCCTCTACCTCCCCACCGTCTGAGGAGAGCTCAGTGAGCTCACTGTCCTCGCTATTTACGGCCGAGCCATTCGTCTTTCTAGTCGCCAGCTGCGCTCGCACGCGCTTGGCGCGCAGATCGGACCTAGTAGGACGTTGTTGCAACGTACGACGAGGGGTGACGTGAGAGGATGAAGGCGATTCGGTAGTATAACTGTCCGAGCGCCGAGCATTGGGATGAGACTTGGGGCTCCGTAGGTCATCCTGAAATCTCGCCCTTCTCCCTTCCTCTCCTCCCAAACTCTTACTCCTTCCTCGCAAAGCCTTCCGGCGATCTTTGTGTCTCGGCGCAGCACGCAACACGGCAGGTTCCGCGAGCCGGACACGAGATCGCGTGCGGGGCAGGGGTTTAGGGGTAGACCCGGGGGATATGTGGTCGGAAGAGGTAGGAGAAGAAGCGGGTGGCTCTTGAATCATTTCAAGAGTGGAGCGGCGTCTGATTGCGCGCCCCGGAGAGTGAGGGAGGGGCGATATCAATCGGCCTTTGGAAGACGGTTTTCGCTGCAAGACACGTCAAGTAAGGACCACAAGCTTCGAGATGAACTTACAGATCCCAGAATGCCGTCAACGAGATCTTTCTTGCCCATACCAGCATCGTCCTCGTCATCTTCGTCCATAGCACCGTCGGGTCCAGCGTCATTCTCCCACATACCCGCGACTTTCCACAGCCTGATGAGTTCGGCTTTTCGTAACCTATGCAGAGTGGGACCTGGAGCGCTTTGCAATAAATAATTATCACCTAAAAACAACATGGATGAGTTTTAGCAACGTGACAAGTGCTCAAGACGTACCCTCGGCAATGAACTCGGGCTCTCCTTCGTCACCGCTAGTCTCCACCCAGCTTCCTTCAGGAGAGAGGGACCCTCTTCTGGACCTCTTTCTCTTTTTGGGACTATATGCATCCCCCTCGTCTACGTCCCCATCCTCCTTCCCGGACGTATCGGCTCTTTCTCTGCCTTTACCTTTGCCATTCTGTACCGGCAGACGCCTAGATTTTGACCTTGTCGATCGTCCAAGCCTCGTGTTTGACAATCCCGCGCGCCCTCGATGACTTTCCATGTCGTCCTCTGTCAGACTAGACGAGTCCGAGTCATTGCTATGGCTTGCCAGCCCTAATGCACTCCCGGCAAGACGTCGGCGCTTTGTGGGGTGTCGCGGTAACGTGTGTCTTGTTATGAGCGGTATGGCTGATTTTCTCGGAGAGCTGACAAAATGCTGCGAGCGAGTGCGGTTGAGGCGGTCCATAATGTACAGAGTTGATGAGAGAGAGGGTGTTTGTCCAAGGGTAATGCCGGTAATGATAGTCGTAGGCGCGAGAAGAGGAGATCACTTGATCTCGCGTCTTTTTCGATGGATTTGCCTTCTCTCTCGTAGTGACGGCGGGTGGCGACTAGAGGGAAGAAATACGGGGTGTCGTGAAAGGTCAAGATGGAAGCAAAAGGTAGAGTTGTGCTTTGAAAATACCGGGGATACCCATGGCCAAAAACGCCAGGGTGACCGTGTCATCATTAGCGGACAGCGCCGCTGAAAATCCGGCCGCCGGCGACGGAATCATTGTGGCCATGTTGTTCGACCATTACTTGGAAATGTCGTCTCTTTCCCACAATGAGACATGCATAGGCATAGCTGTCGAAGTTACTACTATCAACTCTAGACGCCACTTTCACGATGTGTTGGGAAGACACATTCATGCCAAGCTCTGGAGGACTTGGGCGAGGGCCGTTTATCAACGTCATGATGAGAAGATGAATCGGAGTGTCTAATAAGAGGCTAACTATCGAGAATATCGTCTTGCCAGCTAAGCAGTTCTTACCTCCCATAAAGCAAAAAGCAAGGTGACTAAATGTCACTTTTGAGGAAAGTACTGTTGTTGACCGTCGGCGGACTCCGCCGAGCTTGGGAGGTTCGGGATGCCGTGTCTCCGTCACGCACATCATCTTGGGTTTCTCTCTTCTGCTCCTCACCAGCTCACACCATCACCATGTCCTCGCCCCAGCTCTATGCCATCGCCGACTGTACGTCCCCTCCCATCCTATCCCTCGCGGTCACGTCCTACTCTTCAGGCAAGCTCACAAATACTTAGTTTGCCTCATCCCCATGGGACTCCCCACGCCTTCTGTAGGACCTGAGATTGCCGAGGTTCAGAGGGTTTTGGAAAAGTCGGGACTCGAGTACACAGTAAGTCTGCTCCTCTTGTATATGCGAAGTGAAGCTCGACTGACAATATGTGCAGTTACAGTAAGCTCAATACTACCCTTATGCGAACCAGATGGATAGAGCAGTTCTGACGGCGCATAGCGGTTATGGAACCAACGTCGAAGGTCCTTGGGACGCAGTGATGAAAGCCATCGGTGACTGCCATACCGCTGTCCATGCTTTGGGAACACCTAGAATTGCTGTAAGTTGCCGGTTCCTCCTTTCGATGGAGACTGAGGACGGGCGGTTGATGAAGTGTTGTATAGACGGACATCCGAATTGGTACCCGTACCGACAAATCCATATCATCGGGCGGTAACGACGGCAAGAAGAAGCGCGTGGAAGACATCTTGGCGGCTGAGAAACAGAAGCAGTAATCTCGATCTCAGAACTGAATGAGAGGGATGTTGGAGGTGTATAATCTCCTGCATGCCTCCTTCTCTGTATTGTGACGATATGCTATCCAACACCCTACTTGACCTTGACCTCTTCTTCATCCCCATCGACAAGCCATTTGGCGAAATTGTCCAGACGCCCCTTTTCACCTTCACCATCTTCATCTTCGTCCTCATACGATCTGCCGCCGGATTTCTTGAACCTCTCTTTACCCGTGAAAAGACCTGCGTAAATCTGCCAGGAATGGTCAGTCAGGGGTGGTGGAAAGAGTGGAGAACTTACGACGCGACCATCGAAATATCGGTTGTTCATCTTGTTGATGCAAGCCTGCGCCGAGATGGGATCTTTGAACTTGATTGTCATCACCCCATCTTCCTCTTTCTACAATCCTTCGTCAGCTCTCACCCCATCTTGCAACATCCTATAACTCACGTCGTAAAGCTGCACCGACGTGACTTGCCCCAGCGTTTCCGCCTCTTCCCTAACCTCCTCCTTCAACTCCAACAATAGCCCAGGGTCCTTGTCCAATTCCTCTGGGACAAACATGCCTTTGAGGACGACGACACGGAGGAAGCGGGTGTTGGTAGGTTGAGAGGGGGCGCCAGAGGGACCAGAGTCTTCTTGGTCGGATTCGTCGTCCGAGTGCCAGGCGACTTTACTGCTTTGGTATTAGCACTCAAATGAAAGAGTGGGTCGGAAGGAGACGTACTTTTGCATCGTCTTGATGCGTTTCGTTATCCGCTGCTTCTCCTCCGCTGTCAGACGTTTCTTCTCTTGATGTTCTCCTTCCTTCTTTTCCTTCTTTTCCTTCTTCTCTCCTCCCTCCTTTCCCTTTTCTTTCCCACTGGTGTCTTTCTGATACTCTGCAGTCCCCACCCTCATAGCCGGGTAACCCGCTCCCAGCTCTAGCTCTGTATCATCTAGCAGCGTAATGGCGAGATCGACACTGCCTTCCTTGAAATACGTGACGAGGGCTTCACCTTTGAAGACGCCATCATCGTCATAGTACATCTTGATCTTCGGGTTCCCTTCATCATCGATAAGCAGGACACCAGCCTTATTGAACACATTCGCCATCTTTTCCACAGTGGTGTTTGGCGGAAGGTTGGTCACCCAAACACCCGTCTTCTTCTGGGCTGGTGGAGGCGCAGCAGCTTTCGAGGATTCCCCGCCGTTCGAGTTGCCTTGAGAGGCAGATTTAGCCGGCTCGGCGGGCTTGTTGAGCGTATTGGAGGTATAGTCTTTCTCGTTCTTCTTGCGTTTGAGATTACGTCGCTCTTCCCGAGCTACTACTGCGTTTGCGGGAGTCTAGGGCCGAGTCAGTACTCTGAGCGACAGATATAAAGGGGAACAAAGGGGCAACTCACGGACTCGTCCACGCCGGGCACGGAATAAGCTGCCTGCTGCGCCTTCAAGAGCTCTTCATCCACCTTGCATGTATCCGTTAAATCCAGCACCAGGAGAGGCTTTGAAGATATGACCCACGATGGACACCCAGACATTCCCATTCCACTCAAATTCGAGACCTTCGTCCTCGTATTGCCATTTCTGCGTGGTCTTGTCGAACGAGACGCGGGGGTCTTGCTCGAATTGGCCAGGAACGGGGGGTTGGTGGGGCATTGTATGTGGCTGAGCTTGTTATTTGTTGTAGATTGTAGGATATACGACAAGCTGAAGACGGGACATGAATACAGTGGGAGGATGTCATACCTGTGAATTGATTCCGTCGCGGAGAACGCGTCCATGTCCGTGTTGTTCACCGACTTGCGACAAGTGAACGGTGTAATTGTTATTCACTTGCACGCTGTCCCTCAACTCTCACCCGCCCATAATCTCATGACCCCCTCCCCGGCTCCCTCCAGTCCCCTCTCATCTGCCCCTCCCCCTCCTTCTGCGCCAGCAAAAGCCAGGGTATCGTCCGGCGCGAAATGGGCTACAAGCCCACCTACCTCCCAGGGCATTGTGGCAGGAGGTGAGAAAGGGAAGGCGTCAACCTCACCTGGGAATGGAACAAAGGAAGGGGAGGAGGAGATTGATGAGCTGGATCCCTCTGATGAAGAGAAGGAAAGCATCAGGCAAGAGCTGGAGACGAGTACACCAAAGAAGAGGAAGAGAGGGAAATTAGCGAAGGGGGAGAACACAGGGGTCAAGAAACTTCGAGTGTCAAGGGCTAAGAAGGAGGAAGAATCTCCAAATATCAGGACGACATCGACCAAGATCGAAGAAGTCTCAGTTATCGAACGAGCACCTACCCTCACTTCTCCCACGAGTCCGAGCAAGGAAGGCGAGGAAGAGCCCAAACCCCTCGAAGCGGCGCAGGACCTGTCAGGCGAATCCCAGCCTTCCCAAGAGGTGCACGGTACCGCTACTTCTGTTCCCCCGCCTTCGTCGATACCGAAGAGCCCCATAAAAACAGAGGTTGAACCATCGGTCTCTGGTGAAGATACAGTGCCAACAGAGCCAGAGCCAGAGTCGACCGGACCTTTGTTGCTCAACAGTACGACTGCAACTGTCTCCGAAGTAGCAAGCGCTTCTGCCTATGCTTCTGGCTCTAGCTCCACCTCTGCTCTTGTTCTCGAAACGACATCTTCCTCCCTCTCAATCTCCAAACCGAAATACGTTCGACCATTAGCGGCCCCCATCGATATCCCTCCCGGCGTCCGTCCTCCACCCAGGAAGAACCCCGGGAGACCGAGTAAGAAGTATCTGGAGGAACATAGAGTGTGGCTCGAGGAGGTTGAAGAGGCCAGGGCGAGGCTGAGAGGTGAGGGGGTGGAGGGAGGGGCGCAGTTGAGCAAAGACGAGAAAGAGGGTCTAGAGGGAGATGCCGGTCGGGTAGAAGATCTTGGAAAATCTACCAAAGGTTCAATACCCATACCGATAGGCGAACAGCAGCCAGTGGTAACTGGAGTAGAGAATCCACCAGCAGAAGAAGAGCCAAAGCTGGAGAAAGAGTCGAGCAACGCGGAGGAAGAAGAAAAGGAGCTGGATAAGGAGGAGGCGTCGGAAGCTCTCAGCGAAGAAAAGGCGCTTTCCCAAACTGTGGACGCCAAGTCACCTACCAAACGTCGGAAAACGCTTCACGAAGAAAAACCTCAACAGTCGTCTCCTGTCCCTACCTCTGCTCCTGCCGAAACTCCTACATCTCCCCGCGATTATGCTCCCCCTCCCCCGCCCGACCTGCCTGCAGGCATACCCCCTCCTCCCAAGAAGCTCAACCCCGGCCGGCCTACCAACAAGTATTTGGAAGAATACGCGGCGTGGTGGGAGTTGGTGGAGAAGGAGAAGGAGAGATTGGCCGAAGGGGAGAAACAGACGAGCGAGGAAGATAAGGACATGGCTGAGAAGGGAACGAGCCCAGAGAAAGCGCCGGTGCTGGGTTCTCAGGCGTCTAATTCTTCTGTCCGGGGACAGACGAGTGCTCGAGGCCGCGGCAGGGGACGAGGTCGAGGAAGGGCTTCCCTTGTCGTCCAAACCTCCCGTCCGACAGAAATCTTGCAGCCTGACTCCTCGGATGCTGCTGCCGCTGTCGCCATTGCTACCCCAACCTCAACATCAACATCTCGACCGTCCGAGTTTGTCATGGGAGAGCCGCCCTCGAGTGGGCATTCCGAGTCTTGGACACCTCGCGGTAGATTGAAGGTGAGAGGGCGGGCGAAAGGGACGGTTCGTACTGGGCGGGTGTCGGAAGGTGGACGTACCCCTACACACAACGGGGCGCTCAGTTCTCCTTTGCAAAATGGTTACGGGTCACCAGCAGGAGAGGGGTCGCCTGGTGCGGACAATCAGGGTGAAGTGTTGAAAAGTGGTTCATCTCGTGAGTCGGCTCATGGACGTGACAGGACAGTAGGGCTGACGGGCGCAATAGATGTTTCGGAATTCAACAAGTCTGCTCCTTCCATGCGCCTGAGTTCAGAGCCGAACGAGGTTTCCTCGCAGCCCCACCCCGCGCCACAACGACAGTCCCCAGAACCCCAAACGCATATCAATTTACCCTCTCCAACCCCAAACCCTCCCAGGCAAACCGACATCATGATACCGCCTGTCCGCCCCAACCCTCCGTTGCCTAAAGAAGGCCATCTCGCCTCTTTCCTCGTGCTCAACCCGTTCCACTTTCTTACGCCGTCAGACGAGAGACAGCTGCCTTTACCGCCAGTCCCTGCGGGGGGATTCAGCTTTAGGGAGAAGCAGGGAAAAACGATACAGAGGTTTCTGGCGCCGAGAAAGGTGGTGTTGGATATCACCACACCGGGGACGAGGATAGGCACCATACCTAGTGCGGAAGAGTATTACAAGTCTTCTTTGGAGTACCGAGGGGACAGAAAGGGGAAAGCACGCGCGCCGTCGAACTGGACTGAGGACGAAGGCCAACGAAACGGCGGTGGGGAATCAGAAGCAGACGAAGCGGAGAGGCTGGATGAGAATGGAAGGAAAGTGCATATGCTCTACCGGGTATTGGTGGTAAACAAGGATGAGGAGGAGGAAGCAATGGAGAGTGATGATGGGTACGCAGAGGAGGAATGAACTCTTGAATAGATGTGAGGGTGCTTCTGAATGATAGGGCTTTGAGCCGATAGAGCGGACGTGTACGAATAGCTGGGTTCAACTTTACGATATTGACGTTTCATGCAGTACATATGAATGTGTCAGACACATGGCACTCTGCAGGGATGCCAGAGTCATAGTCGCTCGGTGTTCGGCCGCCGGGAAGTTGCCCCGGTCCGTTCCGTGGTATGTCCCTGCCCAGTTCCCATGGCCGCAACTTGGCCGCCACACTCCCTGCCTGTACATTTCCATCTCATCTTGCATCTGCATCTCCACAATCCCAATGACAGAGCTCACCAAGGAGAACCTCGACAACGGCCCGGGTCAGTCTCTCAACCTATACTCTCCTCTTGTCCGAACACCGCTGACTCTCAATCCAGCCTCTCCCTCCTCGAGCCATGGCTCGCGGGCTCCTTCTCTCCACCAGCCTCAACTCTCTCGCCGCTCCAGCATGTCTGCCGGCCATCCGAACTCGTTCAAGCAGGTGGATACTTCGCAGATTGGCATCCCAATCGTTACTCCCCGTGAGTGGACACGTGTGCCTCTTGGAGCGTCTGCTGATTGGTGATCGTTCTCTTTCCTTCCTTCTCTTTTGGACCCGTCTTGTGTGGCCCATTCGTCTGCCTTCTCACGACGGTCATGTGGTCTGCGTGTCCCTACCCTTCGACCGCGCTGCTCGTCGACGCGTCCCATGACTCGTGCATCGCGAACATGTGGCATGTGTACACTTGTATGGCGTAACTACATACTCGCTCTCCGCGTATGATCGTATTGCTGGCATACTTCCATCCAACACGCACCATCCACCCCTCCCACCGTCAACATGCCCCGACTACGTTCCTCTCGGCCCCATCCGCGCCCCGCATCCGCCTTCCCTGAACCGTCCAAAACCTTATTGATCAACGTGATGCCGTTCAACAGGCAAAGAGCGCCCCTCTCACAAGCGTTCCCTCACCGGCTCCTACTTTCCGTCCCAGAAGGGCGTTGTTGATATGCCTGGCGAGTGGCCTATCGGAGACGAAGACACTTGGCGCAAATCGCTCGCAGACCTGAAGATTGATCCGGACAATACTCAGGATGTGGCTACGTCCATCGTTCGGCACATCAACACGAGCTTGGGCAGGCAAGCTTATAACGTTGATGAGGTGGGTGTTATATTGGCTAGGTGGATTCGAGCTGACTCTCCGAAGGTGGCAGCTTACCAGGCAACTGCATTGAGTGTGAAAGATCAGCTTCTCGAGTAAGTTTATTGATTACGCAATAGACGAACGGCCCTGATAAGATAACCCTATCAGGCGATGGAATAACACTGCCGCGTGAGTCTTTTCTGCCCGACTCTGGTTCTGCCTGTCTAACATGCTTTGTAGGTACCACACGGCCAAGGCTCCTAAGCGTGTCTACTACCTTTCCATCGAATGGCTCGTTGGCCGCTCTCTCGACAATGCCGTCCTCAACCTGGGTATGCGCAACACTTATGAGGAGGCTGACCGCAAGTTGGGTTTCAACTTTGAAGACTTGCTCAATGAGGAGCGAGATGCCGGCTTGGGTAACGGTGGATTGGGGCGACTTGCCGCTTGTTACGTGCGTTGAAATCGCCTTCGCGTAGGGTAGTTACTGATGAGCGTAGATTGACTCGATGGCAACTCTCAACCTTCCCGGCTGGGGTTATGGGCTGAGGTACAACTACGGTATCTTCAAGCAGCTCATTTCCAACACTGGTGAACAGCTCGAAGCGCCCGACCCTTGGCTTGACCGTGAGAACGTGCGTCCATTTCCTATTCTGGTTTGAATGCCACTCTAACCCTACTCGTAGCCATGGGAGATTCCTCGAATCGACGTCTCCTACCCCATCCGATTCTACGGTACCTCCACTCCTATCCCCGGCACCGACCGTTCCTCGTGGACCGGTGGTATGGAGTGTCTCGCGGTAGCTTACGATGCTCCTGTTCCCGGCTATAACACAAAGAACTGCGCGAACATCAGGTTGTGGAGCGCCAAGCCTGTGCAGGGCTTTGATCTGAACTCGTTCAATGGTGAGTCATGGGCAAAGGTTACCTGGACGGAATTGACAGTATGATAGCTGGAAACTATGAAGCGAGTGTGGCTGCTAGCAGTGAAGTCGAAAACATCGTAAGTCCTTCGCTTTACACTATTAAACCCTCTGGCCGTCCTTCAGACTCGTGTTCTCTACCCCAACGACAACATGTACGCCGGCAAGAAGCTCCGAGTGATGCAGCAGTACCTCTGGGTCTCTGCCTCCCTCCAAGACATCCTCCGCCGCTTCACCAAGCTCGATCTCCCTTGGTCGGCATTGTCCGACTATGTGTGTATCCAGATGAACGACACCCACCCGACTCTGGCGATTCCAGAGTTGATGAGGATTCTCATCGATGAGGAGGAGGTGTCGTACGCAGAGGCATGGGCTATTACCCAGAAGGTGTTTGCCTATACGAACCATACTGTCTTGCCCGAGGCGCTCGAGAGGTGGCAGCTCGACCTCTTCGAGTCATTGCTTCCTCGTCATCTTGAGATCATCTACAAGATCAACTTGTGGGGTTCCTATCTCTCTAACATATTTGTACCGGAGCTGACAACAGACGAAGCGAGTTTATGAACCAAGTTGCTAAGCGATGGCCCGGCGACACTGACCGTCTCAGACGAATGTCCATCATCGAGGAGGGAACCCCTAAATACGTCCGTATGGCTTACCTCGCCATTGTCGCCAGTTTCAAGATCAACGGTGTCGCCGAGCTTCATTCGCAGCTGCTCCAGGCTACCATCTTCAAGGACTTTGTGGAGTTCAAGGGAAGGGATGCTTTCACCAATGTACGTCGTTGCTGACTGCTTGCAAGGATAATGCTAATGAATATCAAGGTGACGAACGGCATTACCCCTCGTCGATGGTTACTTCAATGCAACCCCTCTCTCGCCGAACTCTGTACTCATACGCTGGGGTCAGATGACTGGCTCACCAACCTCAAGCTCCTCAAGCAGCTCTTGCCCATGGCTGAGAACCCGGACTTTAGAAAAGCGTTCGTATCGATCAAGAAGGACAATAAGAGGAGACTGGCGGACCTGGTTGAGGCCGAGTTGGGGATCATATTGGATGTTGACAGTGTGTTTTTGACGCAGATCAAGAGGTTGCACGAGGTGCGTTCCTTGTACTATGGTCGGACAAAGCTGAGGATAGGTGTAGTACAAGCGGCAGACCCTGAACATCTTTGGTGTCATCTACCGCTACCTCCAAATCAAAGCCGCCTCTCCCGCCGACCGCAAAAAGTTTACCAAACACACCCACATCTTTGCCGCCAAAGCAGCCCCCGGCTACTACGTCGCGAAGCTCGTTATTCGTCTTATCAACAATGTCGCCCGTGTTGTCAACGCCGACCCCGATATTGGCAACCTCCTCAAGGTTGTGTTTGTACCCGACTACTCGGTGTCGATTGCAGAGATCTTGGTGCCGGCCAGTGATGTGTCTGTGCAGATTAGTACGGCGGGGACAGAGGCGAGTGGTACGAGTAACATGAAGCTGGCTTTGAACGGAGCGCTGCTTCTCGGTACTGTCGACGGTGCCAACGTCGGTATGGATCTTTCCTCTCAAGGTAGATTGTCAAGCTGATTCGTGCATAGAAATCGCCGAAGATGCCGGTGAAGACCAGTCCTTCCTCTTCGGATACCTCGCCGAGCAAGTCGATGGTATCCGTTACACCAACACTTACCAGCCCACACCTCTCGAGCAGAGGTCAAACGAGCTGGCACAGGTGTTCAAAGCCATCGAGAACGGCACGTTCGGCGACGGTGGCACTTATGCGCCACTGTTGAAGACTGTTTACGAGCACGACTACTACCTTGTGAGTGTCCTTGGCATGTTCTCCCAAACTTCGGCTGACGGATAACAGGTCTCCAACGACTTTGGTTCTTACCTTTCGGCTGAGAAGCTCATGGACGATTGTTTCGCCAACGACCCCACTGAGTGGACCAAGAAGTCCATCCTGACCGCGTTCAACATGGGTGACTTCTCTAGCGACAGGTCGGTGCAGGACTATGCCGATGGTATCTGGAGTGTGGAGCCTTGTGAGGTGCCCGAGAACTTTAGTGTCTGAGAGTCGGTGTCTGTCTACCAGGCCGTGTAATTGCTTGTCCTGTAGAATTGCAAAGAAAGATCAAGTTTTTGTTGAGTTAGACCGGTACTAAAATGCATGTGACTATAAATACGAGACGAGGAAAGAACTTAGAGCGTGGGCATCCTGCTGTAGAACGCAGAACGGTCAGCAGTATCAGTACTCGTATAGCACTCGCACCCCAGGGCACAGTACGAGTACATATTGTACTGTGGCGGAACAAAGACAGAAGACACATGTTGAAGGACTTGGTTCGTTCGGGACACCGAAATGCGCCGAACCACGCTGAGATCCAGCATTCTTTTGCCCTGCCACTCCCTTCCGAGACTTGCCATCATCCCAAACATATCATCGACATGCCTTGTCGATGCTCCCCGCTCGCCAAAGGTCGCATCACCACCCTCGCCTCGCTACCCCCTGTGATCCGGGCTATGATCTTTGACCTGCTCCCCACCTCTCCATTATGCCCTTCCCACCACTACCCCAATGTCCTCCTCATATCCCCCAATATCTATGCTGGTAATGCGTATAGGCTCTATGAGTCTGTTTCTTTGACACAGGGAACAATGTTCGAGTTCCTCCGCGGACTGTACCCTTACGCAAAGCCGGATCCCTCTGTCGATCCGGAAGAGAATGCTCCAATGAGCTTGCTTTTAGTACTTTCAAGCCAGAAACGTTCACGACTGTCAATCCTGCTCACTACTGGGCGTATACCCGTGAAAGACTCGCCCATGTCAAGAATATCTCCTTTGAACCCAGTAGCGACCACTTTGAGTTTATAACGTTCGCATATTACCTTGCCAGCTGGCGTCGCGCTCGCTTCAAACCGCCCTCTAAGCGTCCTTCGGTGGTACTGCGAGATTTTGGGAGTGACGACCATCTTCGTAACATGAGACCTTTTCTCACCTCTTCGACAAGGCACTGTTCTCCGAAGGAAGGGGGGTGGACAGGCTCCTCCTCAAACCCAGGGTATGCTTGCACCTCCCTCCCGGATTGCCTTATTCTCTTCCAGAGCGTCTTGGCAAAAAAGCTTCTCCTGAAGATCTTTCCCGGTCACGCAGCGATAGGAAGAGCTTTGGATTCCTGGGGACTAGCTTGACGCTACTGTTGTGTATGATGAGCGAAAGAATGTATAAACATGACTAGCAGATGATGCAACGGCTTTGGCATGGTTATGCAAGATGTACATGACATTCCTACTCCAGCACAACCCCCTCCAACGCCCCCACCACCCCTTCCCAAACCCCTTCCATGCCCTCCCCAACACCCCTCTCCCCAGCCCCCAACGCCCTCCATCCAACACCTCCTTCCACCCCTTGTCTCCCATGCCACACTTTAGCAACCTCCTCCCATACCAACGCCTTCATCCATACTTCTTTTCCTCTCCATACTTCCACCTCGGCTCGAGCAAGGGAAATGTCATCTCGGAGTTTGGAGAGTTGGGATTCCCAGGTGGATCGTTTTGCTGGTGGGGCGGAGGGAAGGGGCGGGGAAGAGAGGAGGGAGGAGGATTTGGTGTTGAGGGAAGAGATCTTGGTCAGGAGTGAAGAGGTGGGATTGGCTGCTTGGGTCTTTGCCCATCTAGAGAAGAGCGCATGGAGAGCTAGATGGAGGTCTCTTTGTGATCTGAGAGACTCGAGATGTTTCTGTAGATTCTCAATCTGGACCAAGTTGTCAGTGGGCGATGTAAAGCAGTATTGAGAAGAGTGACTCACGCGCTTTTGTTGCACCCCAACAACTTTGTCGTATCCCTTCGCGACATCTCCTACTCCCGTCCCCAACGACCCACACATTTCACAAACGTCTCCCGTATTTGCATACTTGGGCGCATCTCCACTTTCTCCGGGACTATTCCTGTCCCCGTTGATCCCATTTCTGACGTGTGAAGAGGGAGCCCCATAAGACCAGAAGCAACACTCCTTCAGGCCTTCCCCTAAGCCTTCGAGAACGCCGGCTAGACGTTCACTATCGCCTTTCTCCGCTTGAGCCCTCGTAAGAGCCCGTTCGTATAGTGTGATGAGCTTGTGCAAGTTGGACAACAATTGTGGGAGATTGCTCCTCAATGCGAGAAGCTTGGGTTCTAAATCCCGCGGGACCCTGAGTGCCAGAGAAGGAGATGAAGGCCCTTCTTCTTCTAGAGCAACGGACGTTCGCTTACGCCAACCTTCAAAGCCAGGAGAAGGCAGAGTGAGGAATGTCGTCAAGCAGGGGTCTTGAGAGAGGACAGAGTGGGAGGTGAGTGAAGAGAGAAGGCGTTGAAGGGATAAGCGACGGGCTTCCAAGAAGGCGGCATCGGCTGTAGTGGTGTTAGTGAATGCCATTGTAGACACGGACAGAAGGACGCACGATTGAGGCGTTTCGGAGGGATAGGCGGAAGGAGACGATACGGCTGAAATATCGGTCAGTGATATGTCGAGTTGAGATGGGGAGGGGGCATACATATCGTTTGCCGAGAATGTCCACTAGCCACAAGAAGTCGCTGAACCGCCGAGTTACTGCTTGATCGCCTCGCTTCTGCAATCACATTATCTTAGCTGCGCTTGATCATCAGAGACAGAAATACTTACCGTAAAAGACAATCTGTATTTCTGGAGGAACCATCCCTCCTTCTCTGGTATGAGATCCACTGTCACCCTCTCAAGGTCTTTCCACCACCCCCTCGGCCTCGCCATATCCTCCGGCTCCAAGTCTTCAACTTGTATCAAGCTCAACCCCCCTGACCCTTGTCCGGGATTCTCACCGCCACCATGCTGCGATTCTAAAGCAGCAAGAGGATCCGGGGCGTAGGGGTCATCGATGTGTATCGACGAATCCGAAGCCATCACGGGCGGGTGCCGGAACAGACTTGAGGGTGGAGTGTATCCCGTCCTGTCCTGCGATGGAGTATCCCATGTTGGATAAGGGTCAGGGCCTAGAGAAGAATGGTGGCTGTTGGGTTTGGCAGGAGAGAAAGAGCCGGGGTGCGAGACTTTGGGCGGTGGTAGGTCGCCTTGGGAGAGCGCGGAGGATAGGATTTCGATGGATAGGTCTAGGGGGTCAGATATGTGAGATGCTTGGGCTAAAGCAAACAGTGCTAAGGCGCAGACGAGAGAGCTCCGAGGGGATGAGGGCTGGTCGTTTGTCAGGGTAACAATCTGCGCAAGGGATCAGCTTGAGCCTTGCAGTCGAAAGAGCACGGACCTTGGCGATGATGGGTGCTGGGAGGGTATCGGATAGATATTTCGATAGGGAGGTGACTGTTGTACCAGGGGGAAGCTGATCTAGGATAGCTAGATACTGGGCCGGAGGGTCGACTACGCTCATTAGCTCGGATCACTGATCTGATGTAGTACGCACCAATGAGATTCTGCAGTGCTTCGCTACCAGATCCAAAGCGCGTAGGAGAGGGGTTCAGCGTCGACGCCGGTCTGCTCCCACCTGAAGGCGAGGGTGCGCTACTCCAGGGATCGAGCTCATCTCCACCTCCTGATGCTGCTCCGGTGACGCTTCCGCTTGCAATGGAGCCCGCCGGAAGACCATTCGAGAAACCTGTGAACGACAGCGGGTCGTATGTATGGGAAGGAGAGGACGGGGAGAGGGGGCGGGGGTTGTTGAACATGGTGTTATAGGAAGAGGAAGACGAGGACGAGATGATAGAGGACATGGGCGCAGTGACGCAAGCGGCGCTCGCCGAACGATGCCCGCAGGCCATCCCGCCGGAGTTCACTTTCAACTTTCATCATCGTCCTCTTGAGCAAGAAATTCGGATGATGGCACCCGTGCCCCTGCGCCCGCCCACATGGGAACAGACAAGGAAGATATGGGTAGAGCAGGCGGTCCAGGAAAGAGACTTGGGAGCGTTGAGGAAGATTGGCGGCCTGCCAGGAGGGTTCGCAGGAGAGAGGAAGAGAGTCTGGTGAGCAGTCATGCCTGAGAATACAAGGAAAATCCAAGCTGACGATAAGACAGGCCCATTATTCTGAGGTTAGACTCTTCTGTTTCAGAAAAGAGTAACGTCGAAGCTTCAGATGTCAATGCCGAAGCGTCCACGAGCGAGGGTCAAACGACATCGATCAAATCCGCAGATGACTTGGCACAGGGTTCTGGAAACGCTTTGGAAGGAAATTCGAAAAGAAGTCCAGAAGTATTGACTCACAAAGACGAACAGCAAGTCAAACTTGACACTGACCGCTCCTTCGTCACATACCCCACAGGTCCGTTCTTCTCGCGTCTCTGCATGAGATATGAATGATTGCTGACTCTTTGGTGTGCTAGATATATCGCCAGAGACGAAGAAGGAACTTCAAGACGACCTTGAAAACCTCATCGTCGGTGTGTTGCGCAAGTATCCCGCTCTATCTTACTTCCAAGTACGCCCTTCCACTCGCCCCGCTCAGCAGAGACGCAGCTGACAAAAACAAAGGGATTCCACGACATCCTCTCCGTCTTCTATCTTAACTACTTCCCCCCCAAACCCATCCCCACGGGTCGGGAACGGTCCATGTCGCGCCGGCTCGAACGCGAACAAGCAAGAAGCCGGAGTCGCTCTCGATATCAAAGCCAGAGCCAAAGTCAAAGCTCAAGTATGATGGACTTGCCTGGGCTTCTGACTCCTGCGAAAACACCCCCCCCTCTTACGATGACGCCACCAGAGAATGCTATAGTAGACCCGGACTTGCGAGAAAGGGATACGGAAGAGTGGAGAGAGCTGAGAAAATGTGTGGAGGTGCTTTGCCTGACGAGGGTGAGGGACGCAATGGGATCGGGAATGGAAGGTATGATGGGGCTTTTAAAGTAAGTCTTCCTCTTCCCTGTTTGTTCACATATTCAAACCAATGACAGACTGCTCCAAAATCTCCTCTCTCACGCCGACCCGTCCCTCTACAACTTGACGTCCTCCATCTCTCCCTCCGGGCCACTCCCATTCTTTGCCCTCTCGTGGGTACTCACCCTCTTTTCCCACGATGTCGATGATCTGGAGACGATATCACGGATATTCGATTGGGGTCTGGGTAGAGATCCTAGCTGGGTTGTCTATCTTTCTGCAGCGGTGAGCCCCTGGAAGGAGAATGACAAAGGCAGAGCTGATATGATGATAGGTCCTGATAACAAACAAGCCTCAACTCCTCTCTCTCATCTCGCAACTCCCTCAAGAATACACCGATGACACCTCTCTCCTACATCCCCTCTTCTCCCGCCTGCCCCCTCTTCATCCCGATACACCCACTTCCGCATCCCCAACTGCGCCCAAGGAATCGAAAAAAGAGAAACTGAAAAAGACTTTGGAATGGTTCCATGACCCATCCCTCCCTTCGCCCTACGATCCCATCCCACTGTCAAAAGTATTCAAGCTGGGGGATGAGCTCATGGAACGGTTGCCCTGGGACGGCGAGGCTGTTCGCGGAAAGGACGTCTTTGGCCCGGGTAGCGTGTTGGTAAGCTACAAGGAAGAGCAAGCCGATGGCGGTCATTGGTCTGCAGAAGAATGCCTAGCGAGGATTGATGTTGATGTCATCCTCCCCGGCGCTCTGGACCCCCAAGAAGAAGAGGACGAAAAGCCCAGGAGAGGACGTATCGTCCGTCAACCCGGGTTCAGAGAAGTCCTCACGAGGATCCAACCAAGTACGCTGGTAGCGTTTGGAGTGCTTGCCCTAGGTGTGGGGATTGCATTTTATGGGGTCAAGGGAGAGGGGAGAGGGTGGAGAGGGTGGTGGGGATTGGGGAGGGCTGTGTGGGAGGAATATAGATATTAGATGATGGTATCATGTTGTTTGACTGTCCTAGAGTGCCGAGCTCAATTCGAAACTTCTCTCACGTTCATTGCTCTGTCTGAGGCGTCGAAAGCCGATGGCAGTGCAGATGAAACTATGAGACGGGAGGCAACAGACTAGTCAGTAGAGAAAGACTGAATATTGACGGGAAATGTCGGTAGCGAACAAAGCAAGATCGGCGAGGTGAACGTTGTGTTGGCGCATAATGAAAGGTTGAGGTGTTGAGGTTTCTGTTTACGAGATATGCCGAATGTAACATGCAGTTGTTGGCTGTAGTGACGCATCATCCTGATTGACTTGAAGGACTGTAGATCTCAAGTTGCGTTCAGCCTTCGTCAGTAGGATCTTGCTTAGTTGTATGGTGGAGGCCCAGTCGCGGGCAAACGAATCGCGCAATGATCGTTCCACGCCTCGCATCCACCACATCCAAGCTCAACAACTCGCTCCAAAAGTCAAACGGGGAAGAATTACATCTCCCTCATGTCTAGGTCTGTTTTTTTCGGGTTTTTTTCATCAATGCAAAGTGGCAGCCCTCCTCGCTCTGAAGAGGGCAGGGAAAAATCGTCCAAGAGGAGTCGCCCCGGGGGAAAGGAGAGGGAATAGAGAAAAAGGAAAGTCTCTAGATTCCTCTATACGAGCTTCTTGAAGATCTTGGGGGCGGCGCAACCCTAGGGAATGTATCAGCATCCGTCGCTTCAAGCGTTCTTTCGTCTCCCGCTTCGATGGGCAATGCGTATCGATCTTGACATCCTCGCCTCCGGCCTCACTCTAAACTCGTTCTGTTTCCTTCAAAGAGAGTAACACTCACGTCGACACAATGCAAAACGTGGAAAAACTCCTCCACACAGTCCTCTCCCGGGAATCCCTCGCCGGCCTCAACCTTCTCGGTACAGTGCTTGAAGTGGTGGACGTGCTCGCCGCATTGCTTCTCGGCGCATTCCTCACGGATAGCGGGAGCAAGCTGTGTTTTGCAGGATCGATGGTGGGATGGAAAAGGGATGGAAAGGATGCGTCGATTGTTGTGATGTACGTGGTTCGGGGGTGAGGATTCAACGGGAAATGTCGACAAAAGGGGCGAATCGAGATGGACAAAGTAAATCGGGATGAAGCAAACCGCTAGTCAGCGACTGTCCCTCATTCGCGCTTCGCAACACGGTCTCGAAAAAAAAGACTCACGTCCTCGGGCTCTTCCTCCTCCTCCTCTTCCTCTTCCTCCTCCTCGGCGGGCTCTTCCTCGGCGGCAGGAGCCTCCTCCTCCTCTTCTTCAGAGTCGTCGGCGTGGGCGCTAAGGACAGAATCGTCAGCTTTTGTTGTGTTGACGGTGTACGCGGGCGGGCAAGGGCGACGACGAGGGCCAATGGGAGAGGGGATGATGTCGATCTTGTGTGTTTTCGATTCCTTCTTGGCCCCGTACATCCCTCCATTCCCTCCATCCCCTCCCTCTCTTCCCCTCTCCACGCGATCCTCCCTCTCTCATCACGATCTGCCTCCCCTGCGCGCCCAGACCTTGTGTGATACTCACGTGGGGACAAAGTAGTTGACGAGGGAGCCGAAGAAGCCGGCAGACTCTTGTTGCTCGACGGGGGCGGTGTTGGGGGCGGTGTCGAGGGCCATTTTGGGTGGGAGATGGATGACAGAGGAGATGGGCGCAGGAGAGGCAGAAGAGAATCGCGCACAAAGTGATTGGATGCGAGATTTATGACTGACGTGGACTTTCCCTTTACGTAATGCGGAAACGGGACTCGCACGCTTAGCCACGCTATACTATTGCTCACTGGCTCATGTTGGTTGGCTCATGCATCGCTCGTTATATGTACGGCCCAGCTCAGGTATACATAGTATGGTACAGAATTGATCGCTACTATACATCTTTCGATATTAAAGTTGACCGAGTGCCATAGAGTCATCTTCCGCGTCACCCTCAGCCTGCAACGACGTCCGACGCAAGCATCCGCCTCTGAACAACCATCAGGATATGCCGGGTAGCGGTCGAGAGTCTCAGTCTGGTAATAGAATGAGACGCTCTTGAGTAATTACTGTGGTCAATAGGCCTCCTCTATATACTTTAACATCACATCTCAATGGTCACACCATAGATGATACATGATATAAACCCTCCTGGTGAAATTGAAGCCCGCTCCATTTCCTCTCCCTTTCCTTCTGATTGCCTAATATACAGGCAGAACTACACAGCCTGAAAGATTTTCCTTAAACGACACAAGCATCAACCTCTGAACATCCAGAAGGATAAGCAGGATAGCTCTCGAGCGTCTCACTCTGATAATAGAACGTGACGCTCTTGACTACACCACCTTTACATCAGTTTTCCTTTCTTCCATTCGACTGTCACTTACCTCTGAGGCTGACATCAGCACTGGGAGGTCCAGCCGTGAACGACGCATCGCCGTTGGACCAGTTGTTGATGATGAGGTTGGACGGGTTGATTGACGCTGAATATGCTCACGTTAGCCTCATGTTCGTTCATCGGAAGGAGAGGAGGAGCGCCGATTGTAAATTTACCATACTTGGAAGGACTCTCGAGATCTTGGCCGTCGTAGTGATACTTGGTGCCTCCCGGAAGCCAACCGATGCTTGAACACTGTTCAGTACAAATCAAGCAATAAAAGATGATGGCTCACGTGTAGTTGTGGTATGCCGTCGTAGGGTCATCAGGGAAGGCCGTCGTCTTCTCTTCATTCTCGCCCGCATTGGTTGGCTATATCGACAAACATCAGTACCTGTGCCTTTTCATGAACCAGAAACAGAGAGCAAAAGCGTACATCCCAGTTGGTAAGCTGGATCCCCGGCTCCGCGCCCTTAGGTGCAGAGGTCAAAAGCGACTGGCCGAGCATCTCGATATCTTGTTCGTCGTTCCCCACATCAGTTGATTGGGTATATGTAAACTATTCTCAAACAATCAGTGTTCATCTGGAACGCGAAGAAGAGGACAGCAAACGTACAATCGATTGACATGTGCCTGCACCACCGTCAAGCTGGGCTTCCATGGTAAACACTCCCCCACCTACAACTTCTTTAAAAGTGACTTCGGCCACTGTAACTTCGCCCCCTACACTTTGACCGCCGGGGACTGTAAGCACCATATCCCCGTCAATGATCTTGACGTTGTTTGTACTTCCAACCGACCTCGTTCCATCCGACCCCACTCCGCCAACTTGCCAGCCGTCGGTGACTTCGAAGTCAGAATCGGCGAGGGACGAGAGGGAAGAGAAGGATACGGCATGAGATTTGGGGAAATAAGCGTTGGAGTGAGAGGAGAGAATGTAACCGCAAGAACAGTCGCTGGAGGATGAGGTGGAGTTGGAAGACACGGTGGGTGAGGAAATTGCAGAGGAAGTGGAGGATGATATGGGTGTAGATTCAGATTCGGTTTGGGTAGAAGCAATGGTAGAAGAGGAGTCGCTGCTGTACGCCTTGTTAATGGTAGCAGAGGGCGGCGGCTCGTAGCCGTCTGTAGTGGCTATTGCGGCCGCCCCGAAAGCGTCATCTGTCTCCTTAGAAAGGGAGACAGTGACGCTTTCTTGAGCGAGGGATGAGGCACCCGAGAGGTCGCATTTGTGGGGAGCGGCGTGGATTGTGACGAGAGGGAAAAGTAGCGCGAAAAGGGTGGCGGAGAGGAAGTGGACCATGTTGATTTAGCGAAAGTGAGTAAGTAAAGAATGACTGGGGTGAGATTCGAGTGACTGCGAGCGGTGACTTCGATTCAGGGGCATCTCAGTCAGTATATATAAGTGAACAACTGGAGTCACTGAGGATCAGAGCCTTGGCGTGTATCAGAGTATAATGGAGCGCAATTCAAAGAGCAAGATGTATTGATGAATGGTATCAGAAAGGATGATGGAGATGAGGTGTCAAAGGGTGGTGGCCAATCCAATTGACAGTGCCCACAGCCCACCTGTGACGGAAGAAGGGGAAAAAGGCCTGTTGATTCTGCAATGTAAGATATTCACACATCCATCCATGGACGATTGATTGGCTTCAATCGCCGGAAGCATTGATCCTGCATTTACCCCTGCCTTCCGTCTGTGGCATTCATGTACGTGTGCGGCGTTCGGTAACAAGCCCCCTTTGATACCGTTGGAAGTAGTGGTGGTGACGGATTCCCGGAGGTAAAGTGGACGAACAAAACAACGAAGCAGGAAGCTGCTCTCTTTTAAGGAAGAAGAACAGCCGCATGAGTGGTGCTGCACTGTACATATGATCACTCAACAGCGCCTAAGCTTCTCTTCAATTCCGGGCATGTGATGCAATCGAAGCTATCTCCCAGGAACGCATCAAGCATAGCATGTTTGTCTCGGGCACATCCTGCCAAGCACCGCGTTTTGTATCTTCTGTACGGGTAAGAGGGCTATAAATCTGGCCCACTATGCATATCTTCCTCCCATCCCCTCTCAATGCTCTCCACCACCACCCTCTTCATTCTCCTCGCCGTCTCAGCCCGCGCTGTGCCCCAGGGCTGGCATCCCTCTCACTCCCACTCTCACACCCCTACCCCATCCACTTCCATCTCTTCGACCACCACCACCGCATCCACCGCATCCTCCTACACTCCTCCTGCTCCTTCCCAGACTTACCCCGTCCTTAACCTGGCAGAGCCACCTGAAAACTGCACCTGCGGCTATGCCGTCCAATCCCTCGGCGGCGCCTATTACCCGTTCCGATACACCTTCACCCCTTCTTCTCTTGATGACGGTACTATGACCTCTCCCGATGACCTGCTCCAATACGGTCTGAAGATCAACGATGGAAAGCATGCAGGGGGAGAGGGAGAAGATGGAGCTCAGTGTTGGGGCAGGTATCAGAATGTCAGGATCGAAGGCGATGATCTTGTTTTGACCGTCCCCGGGGGTCAGACTTTGGGTCCTGATATGGACTGTGCCGAGGTGACACACAACGTCTATCAACCTTTGGGGGTGTCTACCAAGCGGAAGCCAAGCTTAGTGATGTTGCGGGCACTTGCGAGGCTTTCTGGCTCAATCATACCATCGCCGATACGTAAGTCTCCTTCACCCCTGACAATGGATACAAGCTGATAAGTATAGCAGCTTTGCCGATGAAGTCGACATTGAGATCTTGACAGGTAAACTGGAGTCTGACGGTATCTACCACACCAACTGGCCACCTTTCGGCAACGTACGTCTCCCCCCCTTCCTCCTCTGACCATGACTGACGAGCGAACATCACAGCCCAACGACCCCTCCTCTCTCATATCCAACTACACCCAAATCGTCCCGTTCCCCGGGCTCGACACTCGATCACCAACGAGCACTTACAACAACTACACAATTGTCTGGCAAGCCGACAGGCTGGGACAGAATGGCACATTGAGGTATTACAACGGGGAAGCGCAGCAGAACCCGAGGACAATCGTGAGCCCCCTTATTTTTGGTACGATGGTGAGTGCAAGCTGATGATGGGACAGTTCCCGCCCACGCGATGGAATACAACATCAACGCCTGGTCTAACGGTGCCCCCGGCTGGTCTGCAGGCCCGCCCACGGCCGATAGCGAGCTTCGCGTCAAGTCGATCTTGTTGTATTACAAGACGGAGACGGTCAAGTCGATTGGCGATATCTCGGCGGAGTGTAGTTCCTCGGATGTTTGTAAGATCTAGGATCGTAGTGAGAACGTTTACGGACAGTAGTAGTAACAGTTCTTCGTGAAGTTGCCTTTCCTGCATGTATTGCATAATCTCTCTTCTTGATCAACCCCCAAGACTCCATACATAGTGGGTGGTGTGCGCTGATCTAGTCACCATCTCCCTGAAGAGCGACATTGAGATACATCTATACATGCCCCGGATGGTAAAAGCGCCGATCCTCCCATCAAATCACCAACTACTGCCCAGGTCCCTTCGCTCATTGTGATATTCTTTACGAGTACTGGCCATCATGACTTTCTCGAGCTGACCTCTTTTCCCGAACAGTCGTCCATTGCCATCGTTTATTGGTATGCTAGCAACATTTCCTGTTCAGTGTCTTTCGTCAGCATCAAATCCGATTCATAATTGTGTCGAAAAGGATCTCCATGAGTGAAGGAATGTCTATAGGTTACATGATACTCGCTTACATGGGCCCGCACTGCCCTCTTCGAAGGGAAAGGAGGCCGAGTGCAGCTCGGGAAATCGCAGTGAAACATATTGACTGCTACGTGTACTACGTACCTCCTTCCCAGCGCCCCAGTCCAGCCAAATTTTGCCGCCCGCGCGAGCAACACATCCACCTCCAGGGGCATGGCCGGCACGAAGGTGAGGCCAAGCCCCGAAAAGTACATCCGACTGCAAGTACAGTCCGCCACCCGCACCATCCAGCAGCAGATGGAGTGTCCATCTACAAGCTGCATGAAAGTTAGTATCAAAATCTTCTTCAAAAGGGTATTGTCACTCACACCGTCCCACCGGCCAGCCCCGCGGTGCGAGGTCTCTGAGCACGTCTAGGTACTCCTCCACCGGCTCTAGGTCGTCCAGAAAGGCCATGATGGCAAGTACTTGTGAAGAAGATCACGATGGGCAAAGGGAACTGGAGAGTGGTTGGTGATTTGATGGGAGAGTGGGGGCTTTGTTTTCATGGGGCGAAGTATCTGCGCTTGTCAGTTAGTTGCGGTGATCTTCACGGTGCAGAGAAGCACACATACGAACCTTCTAAGAGGATGAGGAGGCAGAGGGGGATTGAGACATTAGAGGGGAGTATGTACAAAAGAGAAAATGTGTTGCTGGCGTTATGTCTCCTGGTTACGCGTGGCTGACGGTTGCCTGACGAGATACACACACGGGCCAATCGTCCATGAGCTCCCACTCGAGTATGCTCATTCCTTGCACATGATGAATATATTAGTAGCACTTTAAGAATGTCCTGACCATGTCACCCTGAATAACGTATAGCATAGAAGCCGGATAACACTCCAAGTTTGCCGGCTACCGCTCACCTGACGAACCAAGACATATCTATACATACAATCCTGCCACTATCGTCACGTTTCTCCCACCTAGTCGCTCTTCTTCTCGGCCTGTTCTTCGGTCGTCTCCTTTTCCTTCTCGGCATTCTCTTGGGAGGCCTGCTCGACCAGGGCGGCGACAGCTGCGGCTTGGGGAGCCGAGGGCTTGAGACCCATACGAGTCGCCACATACTACACGAACCATCAGCTTATCCCTCTTCAAGTAAGAAAAGACTCACATCCTGCGCAACCACCTCCACACCCGTCCTGATCACCTCCACCAACCTCTCCTCCACCCACTCCGATCTCTCATATTCGACATCCATCCAATCTTCCGGCGTCGGCTGGGTGACAGTCGTAAACGTCAACTTGTGTTCCGGGTCTTCGAGCGTGAGGAGGAACTGCAAGTGCTTTGGCGGGGTGTGCGGCTTGTCGGGGGTGGTGGCATTGGACGAGATGGGGGGTTCGGGGAATGGGAGGGGCACGAGGACGGGTTGGAGGTAGAGGAAGATGGGCACGACAGTCACCGGTACGTCCGGGTGCAACCTCGCCCTCGCCTCGGGATTCTCCTTCTCCCTTCCCTTCAAACTCTCCACCTCCTTCTTACCCAGGTCCCAGGCAGCCTCCCAGCCCTCGACGGGGTTGATACTCCTCTCCTCGCCTTCCTTCTCGTCTGCACCTGGGGTAGGGGCAGGCGACCAGATGACGATGAGTTCGCCAGAGTCGGTTTGCTCAAGGATACGGGCCCAGGCGCGGTAGATGACGCCCTCGACGCCGGCGTAGCCTTGCATGGGGTGGGAGAGCCAGAGTTGGAGGGTTTCGTGCTCGGAGATGGGAGGAGCGACAGTATCGAGAATGGTGGTGAGGGTGGAAGTTGTAGTGTTCAAAAGGTCCTTACCTGTCTCCCAATTAGCATTGTATCACTCTGAATGTAGACTCACGGATCTTCTCAAGGTCCACGCCCTTCACGATACCGCCCAATCTTTCCTCGGCACCTTTTCTCAGCTTGTTCAGATCCACTCCCTGCACATTCTTCACATTCACGCCGTAGTGCTCTAGCTGAACAGTGACACCGCTGACACCCTCCGCCCTGACTTTCTGGTACTGCTCGTCGGCAACACGCTGAGCCTGCTGAAGAGCAGAAGTGGCCGAAGACCAGAGCGATCCCCAGCCGCTCGACACGGGAGCCTCGGGCTCTGGGGAGGAGGGTACATTGACAGCTTCCTGAGTCACAGGCGCTGCAGCCGGTGCCGCCGAGCCAGCAGCAGACAGCGGCGTACCCGACCTCGAGTCGCTCAGCGGCTTAGTCTTTCTCTGCATCTGCGCTTCCAAGAATGCCAAATGACTCTCCGCCTCATCATCCTCTGGCGCCTTGGCAGGGACAGCCTTGCCCGGAAGCTCGCGGGAGGCAGAGAGGGACTTGCGGGTGCTGTCCGTGGACACCCGTGGGGTCTCGGACGCGGCGGGGGTGTTTTCGGGAGGGGCGTCGAGGTTATCGAGGTTGGATAGGAAGTCGAGGGCTTCTTCTGCTTTGGTGCGTTTTCCTTTGGGGGGCATCGTGGGTTGTCAGAGTAGGGGAGGTGTGTGAAAGAGGTGAGAATGAAAGAGGTCATGCGCGCATCATGGTGGCGCGCAAAGCGGCGGTTCCCGCTCTGCCGTAAGCCGTGTTGAATGACAAGAGTAAGTGGGAGGGCTTTCATCTGAGCAAATGAGAGAAGCTAGGGTCAATAGCTACCAGCTGCAGGCATGGGCCACTGTAGACTTGGTAGACGCGACCCACTGCACCGCGCACTAAAAGTACTGGACGTCACTCTCGCAGCACGAACCTCCTCCAACAGCAGAACTATCCTCGTCCATGATGAGTAGGTCATGCATCATATTACATCGTGCCCCTTATGCATACCTCTCCTATCTCCCTATGACTCATGATCGGTACTCATTCTGCATCGTTGAGACCTGCAGAGGAGATCTCTTGTCGCGTCACGTCGGTGTCCCGGGCTATTAGGACTGCTTTTGTAATCTATTGTGATATTGCATTGCCTATTTTGCTTCCGCTAATGCCACTGCTCGCATCATCTCGCTGCGCCGAGTTGTCCACAAGTTGTCCATCCAGCTTGACCATCCACCAACAACCCCTAATGTCCTATCCAGCCGATCTGGGGCATTCACGCTCACACTCACGCTCATCCTCCGGATCCTCGGGCTCCCTCACCGCCCGCCAAAGCAGGCGCTCAAGTGCCGGCACAGTTCGGGCCCCTAGCAGCGGAGGCAAGCTCTTTGGGCTCATACGTGGCAAGAAGGCAGGCCAAGGAGGGGATGAGGACGATGATGAAGACGATGACGCTGCGGAACTAGGGGCGTACAGCCCTCATGTCAGTCCGAGTCCTAGTCCAGGACCTGGTTGGAGGTCATCCTCCGTCCGAATGGACCAAGAAGAAGAGATAGTCGAAATGGAGGCAGGGCCGAGTGACTATCTGGAGCGCGGATTCGATACGCCCTCAACGCTTTCCTCGGAATTGTACCCAGAAGCCGGATGGAGGCAGCCCAGCACCAAGCCCTACGACTCTGAGTCGATAGAAGAAGGACCTAGCGATTACTGGGGACCTGAAACACCACCCATCGCGCCGACGCATCCTCCAGAATCGTCTCTTGGTCAATCACCAGGTGTGAATGGAGACCTCTACGATGACGACGAGTATGAGCGGAGAATAAAGAATGTACTGGCGCAAGATGAGCTGGGGAGCTCGCCGAATCTGAGTACGAGTGAGGCGGAGGGGTTCCATCCCTCACGCTATCGTGAGAATAGTGCCGATATACGTGGGGTCGGAGTGGAAAATGGGAGAGATTCTGCTACAAATGGGCAAGGAGAAAGCTCTGTGGGAGAGGAGGAATCTGGACCGAGGGTGGCAGAATCAGATCGCGATGATGTCTCAATACGGACTCCCTCGACAGCGTCCCAAACGCCTGCTCGTTTAAGAGAAGGTCCATACCCTCCCGGATTCACTCCGAGCCCTAGCAAACGAGCTTCCTTCATTCGTAAGTCGCTCAAATCGCAATGCATGCGCGCTGACATCTTGCAGACCCTTCCATCTCCAGACTCCGTTCGCATATGCGCTCCTCTTCAGCAAACTCCCAGCAATCCATTCAGAACCCCCATTCGCTCAATCTGCGAGCTCCTAGCCACTTCTCTCAAGTATCTGCAGCGCGGTCAGATACAATGTCTGTCAGCAGTCTACCGTCCAAACCGTCAACCCTACACCAAGAAATCCCCAAACCTCCTTCTGAACCTGAGCAAGGCCCGGCTTTCCAATTCCATCCCTTACGGAAACTCTCTACGCACCTGTTCTCGAGAGATAAGAAGAATGGGAGCGGGAAGTCTTCGCCAAAGCCGGTAATAAGCCGCAAGGCCAGTTCTTTGCTGGGTTTGCCCATTGGTAGCCCGGTGAAAGAGACCATGGAGGAGCAGAAGCTAGGCCGACCGACTGCGCTCGACATCAATGGAATGATAGCTGTTGGGACGGATGCAGGAGTAGTCGTGGTATACGGCTTTGGGCAGGATATCAAGTACACCCTTGGTCCGGAGGATCCCAGTAAGTCTTGCATTCCTTCTCCAAGCGGAGTCTGACCCCCGTAGATGCTGCTGTCACATGCGTAACCATTTCCTCCGATGATACATACATCGCCGTCGGTCTCTCCATCGGTACCATCCACCTCTACGACCTCTCCTCCCCCGCCCGTCCTGCCCGGACAGCCCACTCGCTGTCTCTCAAGCAGATTCACTCTGGCCGACGTGAAGGCCACCTTCAGGGATCGAGAATCTTGCACATAGGATTCGTGGGCAAGAGACATACCAGTATAGTGTCGGGAGATGAGCATGGGCGGGCGTTCTGGTGGAGTTTGGGGAAAGTTATGGGCATGGAAAGCACGGATGTCATAAGGATGCTGGGGTCGTACCCTTCACCTGGGACGAACGACAAGCCTCCATACCCTCCCAAGAAACCAACAACCCTCTTTTCAACGACCTCACTCCCGCTCAACTCTTCAGCCCATCCCACCGATGAATTCTCCCTCTCTGCCCTCCTGACACCATCAAAGCTGGTCATCGTGGGGATGAAGCCTCAGGCAAAGACGTGGTTCCGCAAGATGCGCGACAATGCTGGAGGGAGTGAAGGTGGATTGATGGGGTGTACTGCGTGGCTCAAGAGTGGGGAGGTGGTTGATGGCACGACTAGTGGGGCAGAGGTGTCGGATCCTGTTTTGGCGTATTCCTGGGGCAAGGCTGTGAGGTTCATCAGGGCCAGAGTACAGCGAGAAGGAGATGAGGCTACTCCAGAGTTTGTGGAAGGGCGCAAGTGGGAGGCAAGCGAAGGTGTGAGAGCTATGGAGTGGTACGACCCGAATGTGAGTTCAGTCAAATTCACACTTCCCTCGATGCTGACAGGACTATGCAGCATCTCCTGGTGATCACATCTACATCTCTGGTTCTTCTAGATGTACGGTCCATGAAGGTGGTGGAAAATACGCCTTTGCAAACAAGCCTGTTGACATCGCAAGACTTTTACAAAGGTCTCCCCCCAAAAGCCGAAGGGGAGCTTGTGCCGAATTCGTTTGTCGGGAGTGTGAAAGCTCATAGGGGCAAGCTGTTTCTCCTTGTACGTGATTCGTGTGTCATGCCGCTCTTTGCTGATACTTTTCCAGACCAAGACCAACTTGCAAGCCGGCACCTTGCTGCTCTGGAACGATCGCATCCTCACCCAGGTACACCGCGGTGATTTCCTTTTCGCCATCTCTGTCGCTTTGTCCTACTACAACGGCACTGCTAAGGGGAACACCATCAACCTCCCCTCGGACCCACTTGAACGACAGGAAGTGGTTGGGAAGAGAATGAGAGATCTGATGAAGGCGTCTCTAGAGTGGGCGTTCTCGCCTGACAGAATGACAGACGATACGCACTTTAGTGCCGATGGCCGAGGTGTCGATCTGACCTCTCTCTTTGAGGGTCTGGCTACTTCCTGCATCGAAGCATGCTTGGCGATAGGCGACACCGAACTCTTATTTGACGACGCGTACGACCACTACTCTCAAGTAGGCATTCAAAGCATCTTTCTCAACATTCTCGAACCCTTCATCTTTTCCAACCGGGTCCGCGAAATACCGCCCGACATCATCAAGGCCCTCATTACAATGCACGACGAGAAACAAGAGCTTGACCTGGCCGAGTCTATCATTTGGCATGTCGACCCCATATCGCTCGATATCAACCAAGCCATTACTCTTTGCGAGAAGCATGGCTTGTGGGACGCGATGATCCATGTGTATACGCGGGCGATGCGAGACTATGTGGCGCCAATAGTCAAACTCATAGGGGTGGTGAGAGATATTCAGCGACATAGGCTGCATAGACCTTCTTTGGTCGGAGATGAGAGGGATGGGACGGAGGAACTGGCGCCGAATGCTTACAAGCTTTACGCGTACTTGGAGACTGTACTGTCTGGCCTTTCGTATCCCAGCAATGAGCCCTTGTCTGAACGAGAGGCCCATCAAGCGAGGACAGAGGTTTACTCTTTCATATTCCAAGGAAGGACCGTGACTTGGCCCCAAGGCTCTTCTGAGCTTGTCTTGACTGTCGACCAAGACCATCCCGAACCTCCCTATCCTTATCTCAGCCTTCTACTTCGTTTCGCCACCGAGGCCTTTCTCCATGCGATGGATATCGCTTTTGAGGATTCATACCTCAATGATCCCTCAGGCGCGATCAATCGTCAATCCATCGTCAATCTCATGCTGGATGTCATGGACCCTGAGTATTTCCACCCGGGAGATATCACCTTCCTGCACATCTTTGTGGCTCGGAACCTGCCCAAGTATCCTCAATTCCTGTTCATTCCTCCTTCGACTCTCCATCGCATCCTCGTTTCTCTCGCCAGCGACCCAGACCAGAGCACCCGCGAAGACCGACAAATGGCGGCTGAGTATCTTCTTTCTGCGTATACACCTCATGACGGCGATGCCATGCTTGCCTTGTTCGAGCAGGCCGGGTTTTTCAGGATATTGAGAGGGGCATACAGGAGAGAAGGCAAATGGGGGCAGTTGATCAATACACTGCTGCGCGATCCGGATTCGGACGAAGAAGTGTTTGGGGCATTGGAAAGGATTGTCAAAGATGCTTCTCCAGCTGCGTCGAGTGAGGTATCGCAAGCGGTGACTGAGGCACTACCTCAACTGTTTGAACTGGGAGTGCGGGAGACCGCAGTGTTGCTCGACAAGGAGCTACCAGATGTGCATTCTGCTGCTATTGAGGCTCTTGGTCCCACACCGCACAAGCAAATGGCGTATCTTCGATGCTTGCTAGAGCCTGATGGTGAAGAGACCAGCTCATCGACTCCTTCCACCAATGTCGAACTGCCGAGCCGTCACCTCTATATCGACCTCCTCTCTCGAAATGATCCTGGACATGTCGTCGCCTTCCTCGACGAACGCGGTCCATCTTTCTTTGACCTTTCACGCCTGTCCAAACAGTGTGAGGCTGAGCATCTCTACGAGGCTCAACTGTGGGCTCTGGACCGACAAGGGAAGACAAAGGAAACGTTCGACACTGTTGGTGACGTCTTGCGGAACAAGGGCGCCGAGCTTGGTGAAGGGGTCTTGGGCGATGATCTAGGAAGTGTCCACCTTGCGCTTGAGGTGATTCAAGGCGTGGCAAAGATGGGAGTCAGATTGTGCCAAGCGCACTCGATCCAAGCGAAGGATGGACATGGCGCGAAGAGGGAGATGGAAGTGGAAGACATGTGGCTGGGGGTCTTGCACGAGATCATCGAGCTCGTCCACGCCTCCTCCGCTCTCGCTTCCTCGTCCTCAGACGGCATAGTCCTCGATACTCTCCGTTCTCTGGTTCAGGAGACCCTCGCTTCCCTTGTCTCTTCATCCTCCCCATCTCTCTCCTTCCCTCGCTTGTTCAAACGACTCGTTGAAGCATCGACCTCCACCTCCAAGCAGTCTGCCAAGGGCCGAGCGTATAGCGAATTCAGAACTATTCTGGTGGGCATGCTGGATTCGTATAGGGCGGAGGGGGAGATGTTGAGCATGACGACGAGATTAGTGGAGGCGGATTTGGGAGAAGTGGCTAGTGACTTTGTGAAGGAGAGCGTGAAAGGGTGGAGAGCAGAGCTGGGGAAGGAATGCGGAGAGTGCGGATTGGAGATGAACAAGGAGGAACAATGGGTCGTTAGAGGGTCCGGGAGAGTGTTGCATCGTGTGTGTTTGACAGTCGATTAGGCTTGTCGCAAAATGTGTATAGCAGCTTGGCATTTGTACTGTAAGAGTCCTCTAGAGAACACTATGATGCATGACTATCAATACAGATGAAATGGAAGCCACATCCGGCTATGATGATAGTATAGCGATGATGTCGTCTCGGCTTGATATTTCCGCGAGCACGAGAGGTGTTTGCTCGTCCTGGTCCTGCGCAATAATCATCAGCTCATGATACCCAAGAAGCACTCCCAAAACACCAACTTTGACGCTCCGATCAGCCCCGTGCTCTAGCAACAGTCTGGTCATATCAGGATAACCCCTATCCGCTGCGAGATGCAATGGTGTATAGCCCTGTAACGAATCAGATGATGAATTCCAAAAGGATTAAGGATACTCACAAACTCATCTACGGCATTGACAAGTCCTTTGTCGTTTTGTAACAGTCTCCTTACCTCTACCGAGTCGTTTGTCGATACCGCGTCATGTATAGGACTTTCAGATCTGACGAAGAAAACGATTGTTAGCCGAGATCACACGTCCTGCAAGAATCACTCACTCTTCCGCGCTCTTCTTACCCGCGCCCTCCATGACGCTCACCGACCTCCATCCATCTTTCCCTGAGCCACCTTTTCCAGATTCGTCCCCTTCATCATCACTATCGCTCAGATTCTCCAGATCAATATCATCCTCTTCTCTGATCACGCCGTCCCATCCGACCTGCTTCGCAATATCGACATAACGCCCCTGGGCTCTTGCCTGAGCATCTGCAGGCTCAATATTCAACGACGTATATTGCTTGAAGGTTGATGCCCAAGCGTCAAACTTTGCCCTGTTGGTAGGGTAGAAGATCGAAGGTCGGGATGAACTTCTGCGTAAAGTCAGTGGACATGTACGACTTTCGGGGGCTACACTTACGGTCCTTCATTGGTGGTGATGAATTTGAAGAGCCCGTACAGCTAGATACGAGATTCAATGTTAGTTATGTTTGGCTGATATCCCGATAGCCAGGTTCTCACTTCGAGTTTGGTCTCATTCGGGAGACCAGCAGCTGCCGGGGCGGAGGCGAGCCAAGGGGAAGCGGCTTCGAATCGTTCTCTGGGGGTGTGATCGGTCATTTGGTGAAAGCAGGTAGGTATGTTCCAGCGAGGGCAGTAGCGTGATACAAGGATAGGTGGGCTGATTCGATGAGAAAGCGGGCAAATTTATGATCAGAAAGAAACTGGAAAGAATGCAACTGTCAGAGGCATCAGCATGCAATCAGCATGTCTGCCTCGCGCCGTGTCTCGCGCCGACGCGACGGAACCAAATACAGGTTACTGCCGCTGGTTGCTGACGAGGGTCCTCAGATCGGCAAAAGTACCAAATGAATGCAATACATAGTTGGGCTAGCAGGTTAGTCAATCGAGAATGATTTCAGCTAAAAAAAAAAAAAAAAAAAAAAACATAGAAAGTCGCCGAGTTGAATCAAACTACATCAGATATGACCTTCAGCTCCGTAGGCATCGTTCTGTGGTCATCACAGATTATACCGCATAAACGGCTGTACCCCTCTGCTTACCCACTCGTCTTCCAGCTCTACAAACCTAATCCTCCTCAGTCTCTCAAGTTCCAGGATGATTGGATGGCGCTTGACCAAAGCGGCACGGACCTGCGCTACGTTGACAGTCTGAACCTCTGCAACATAGGTCTGTTTATGGTAGTTATCGAACACCCATGCTCCGATCCCTAGTTGAATACATCTCATGAGGCTTTTCATGGACCAGGCCGAGTCGCCCCTCAAATCTTTCGGTGGGAAATCAAACACCAGCCGAACAATCCGTAGCTGAGACGACTTTTGGTACTGAAGCTTCAACAACGCTTCAGGTTTGTTGATCCGTGGTGGACTCATTTCATCCGGGGGTCCGAAATCTGGACGCTTGATCCACACGAGGCTCCTGAGCTTGCCGCCCATGATTTCGGCCAGTGCGTCCTCCGGGATCGCATACGTAGCGCCATTCAAGCAGCGTTCTTCGTATGATATGACAAGGTGTCTCAGTTGCTTTCCCACCGCCGCGGAAACATCGTAAAGGCTCTTGGGCCTGCGCCCGAAATACACTCTCTTAGTGTGCGGGGGAGCGTCCATGAACCCTTCGAGTTCTATCTCGAGCACACGAGCGTGGGGAAAGAAACGTATCTTCTTGCGCTTCGTGGTCCTTTTCTCTCTCAACAATGTGGATTTCATTGTCGAGTAGAGTCTGAGATGCCATTTCCGCTGTTGCTCCAGGGCTGTTGCTAGTCGCGTGGGCAAGGATGCAAGCTGCTCCAGATGCTCCACATCCGTCACCACTATCCTCATCGTTCTCACCACACACGCGCGCAAAAGCTTCTTGGTCGGGTTCGCCAGCGTTTGGAGGATGCGCTTATCCAAAACGACTTCCTCGCGCCATCGATCGAGCAGAACACGTAGTAGATGCTGTTTTGAAAGCAGCATGTACGTGTACGGATCGTCCTCGAAGAGGTACTTGTCGAGGATGATATGTCTGACCTCCCACAGTGTTTTGTGGAATGGGCTCGTCGTCGTCGTTGGGGCTGTTGCTTTCGGGTCGCCACCAACGTGCGGGGGTGGACCCCGCTTTGTGATGGGTGAAGACACTCTGGCTAATTTGATCCCAAAGTCGGTGGGGATGATCATATTGAAGAGGTACAGTATGCTCTACATTTCAAGTCAGGCTCAAGATCACTTTTCCCCACCTGAAGATGAACTTACGAAGCTTTACTAGGAGTCGGGTCAAGATAGTGATATTGGGTTGGATGAAAGAGCACAAGATATGATTGACGCCAATCATTGCAATATAAATGATGTTGCGGAAAGAAGTCGCAATGGAAACACGGCTTAGCGCTCACTTCCGCATCAACACGTCGGAAACAACTTGGCTCACTGTCCCGACTTTTCTGCCATGATTCATACCTATGTTACATACTCGAGTACTGCGTACAACTCTCCCATGATGCCACCATGCAGCTGATTGATCCGCTCCAATAAGAAGCGTTAACCAATCATCTGTTTCGTCGCCTGCCCCCGCTCCCCAAATCGAACCCTCCAAAGCCCAAATTCATCCCTCTCCCACTTCGCAGCCCCATCCCAGCTCCACCGCCGCTATAATCATCCTCCTTCGAGCCGTAAAGCAAAGAATGCTTTTCGCCGTACTCGCTGAGAGCGTTGAGCTGGTTGGTGAGGGAAGAAAGGTAGGAGGAGAGCTGGACATCGCTGTATTCCTGGGACGTGATATCAGCGCGGATATGCGAGGGGCGGAACGAGGGTACGGGTACGTACGGTCATGAGTTCGTCTTGGAATTCTGCGGCGTCCATGGTGGGTAGAGTGGAGACGAGGGAGGATATTTGGCGAAGGATGGCGTGGTCGGGTTTGGCGGATTCTGCTTGATGTGTCAGAACGAGTTGAACATGTAAGAAAGGCATACTGTTGACGACCCCAGAGATGTACTTTTGCAGGATTTCTATCCTGTCGAACAACATCTTGATGGCATTCCGTTGCGTTGTCAGGTGGCCAACAGCTATAGACGATTAGCATGATCCAACAGAAAGTTTGTCTACATACCACTGTCCTCTTCCGCCGTTCCACCCTTCACAACACCATCCACCGCGATTCTCTCCGCCTCTCCAGTCTCAATACCATACCCCAGCTCCACAAATTTGATATCCCCTCCTTCAACAGCTTCAGCGCCCCCCGTGACGGCGACCTCTGCACTCTCGTAGATATTGAGGGGGAGGTTCTGGGCCTCGGGGGCGGGATGGGGGTTGAAGAGCAGGAAGATGGGAGACTCGGATGTGGATGAGATAATTTGCTTGTGCAAGAAGATATCATCGGGGGTGGGTTGCGAGCCTATAGAGTACCAGCCGACAATCTTGAGACTGGGGAAAACATCGTTGACTTCATTTGATTAGACCCGCCCACTTCACATGTGGGAGACTCACATTGCGACTCTCGAGTTTGCAGGAACTCTGTATCAAGAGTATAGGCACCCTTCTCGGCACCTCCTTCGCTCATCTCGACATCTCCACCAGTGGGAGTAAAAGTGAGCTCGAAAGAATTGACGATAGCTACTTCCCGATTGCTCTCTGTGCCCAGCAGCGCGCCAACCACTAGCGGAAGCCCGTCAGCATCTATACACGGTCTAGAGGAGTAGTCACGTACACTTGGGGGGCTCGGATCGAGAGGAAGTGAACTGTGCACGGTTCCAGACATCCGAGATGTTGAGGATAGCAAGGGGGTGGCTGTAGCTGTCAGTGGACTCTGGCGGGGACGGATGGGAGCTGCTCACATGTTTACGGCGAGGCCGGAGTTTGTCCCGGAAGGAAGGATGACTGGGTTTGAAGAAGAGGCCATGGTGTCTGAGGCTGGAAGATGATTACTAGAGAGGATTGAATCAATATTGAATAGCAATTGAATACAGTTCGACGAGCAAGATGAAGCGCCGAAGCCCCCCGGAACCCGGCCCCTCGCGCGTTTACGATATCATGGTCGTCTGCCCAAGTTGTCTCTCTGCACTGCATCTATCACAGAAAAGCTCACCGCATATGAGCATATGACCATGCCCGCATCCACCTCGGACGGTATCCAGGACCGTCCAAGTAGACCCCTCGTCGTCCGGTGTGGCTACGAAGGCTCTTCTCGGCGCGTCAACTTTCCTTCGGCAGCCACCTGTCGCCTCGAATCTCTGCGGCATCGCGTAGGTCAATCTCTTTCTAAAAGGGCCAAGCTGATCAAATGATAGGTTGAAGACTGCTTCTCGCTCTCGGCTTCCCCTTTCGCCCTGATATATACCGATGATGACGGCGAGGAATTCTCAATACGAAGTGAAAGCGACCTTACCGACGCCATTTCTTACTTCATCTCTGGCGATGATGATGCCAACATGTCAACATACTCTGGATCAGGAAGTGGGAGCCTTCCTTACCAATTATCGCTATCGAAAGTGACACTACGACTGGACGTTATCGTCGAATATGACGGTCCCAGTCTCAGTGATACTTCCTCGATTTCGAGCTTCCAGACCGAGTCCGAGCGGGACTCTGCCTACCACTCCAGTGCATACGGAAGTAGCTACAGGAGCAGTGTAGTGGAGTCTATGCAGGAAGCCATGGAGGACGACGTTACCGAATATGGAGAAGACGACGGGGCGAGCCAAGCATCGCACTCGATATCGGGCCGGATGAGCGGGCTGAGCTATGAGGACGACCGGCCTTCCCGCTACGCTGGATCAATCACGCCAAAGCGGCGGTCGGACAGAAGCCGGGCAGGCTCAGATTACCGGGGGTTCAACCAAAAGCAGCTTTCGGTGCCGCAGCAACCCCCATTGACTGGGCCAGAGAGCGACGCCGCGCCTTCGCTCTTGACGCACTCTGAATTGGGATCGAGATGGTTGAGAGAACAGTCAAACCTCAATGCGAGAAAGATCAGTGGGAACAGTCGGTCGGGCAGGTCAAATCGCTATGATAGTGATGAGGAGAGTTTCGGTAGCGATGATGATCGGTCCAACAATTTCGCTCTGGTACGAGATGCTCGAGGACGTGAGTATTTTATTTCCTTCTCACGAAGCATGCTCATGGGGTTTCAGGATACTACTACTCGTACCAGACCGACTCTTCGAACGCATCCGATGTCGATCTTGCCGAAAACGACGCCGTGTCCCGCCGACTCTCCCACAATTCCACTTCTTCCTCCGCCAGCACCACATCCCCTCCCCTGACCCTTCTATCCCACCTCCACGATCCTTCCGCCCAAATCACAGAACCCTCCGTCCCACCCGTGATTGCGCCCGATTGCTCTGCATGTGGCGTCCGCCTGGATTATCTACGCTATGTCTGCGAAACCTGCGGTGAAGGCGAAATGTGGAAAGAAAACGCCTCAGGAAAAGCAGCTTTTGTCCCACCCAGAGTACCGAGCGAGTCGAGCGAGCAGAGCGATGGGTGGTCGGATGCGACAGAATTTGCAGCTGCTGCGACTTCCAGCAACAGCGGCTCAAGGACAGTCTACGACACCGCCTCCCGCAGTCGGAGCGGTTCATTATCCACCACCGCTTCCCGCGGCTCGCTTCAAACTCTAGCTGGGAGCTCGTCTTCACCGACCAGCATCACCTACCGCCCGTTCCTTGGGCCTACGCCTCCACAGTCGCCGGACGCGGAGAATGGTCAACTGATACCGTCTCTTGCGCGGGGCGACCTGCCAACGAGAAAGACGGGGTATGAGCTTTGTGCGGGGTGTATTGAGGTGCATGGGATCCAGCATTCCAAGGCAGCGGCGAGGGCGGCAAAGCTTGAGCTGAGCAGTAGTGAATTTAGACATGCGAGAAGGGCGGGGGAGTTGAGACATACGTTCAAGGAGAGGATATGGGGACCGGTGGGTTGGGATGATGTCGGTGAGTTGACTGTCGAGCGTTTCATTGCTGTCAGCTAATGGTGATGCTAGAATATAACGAGGACACCGAGTGTACCATATGTCGAATTCCACTCTTCCACAACCGCTTCAAATGCGTTTCGTGCAGCAAGTTTGACCTTTGCCGGTCATGTTATCGAAAAGTGGACGAAATTCACCCGGCGCATTCATTCTTGTCACTACCCGATAAGCCTTTGCCTCGAATAGGACCGGCAAGGAGTGTATCTTCGGACGAAGATGGTACGCAGGGGGCGGCTGCTCCGCAACGTGAGTAGGGTATCAACTGCAAGGGTACATGCTGATATGTATCTGCTAGTGGCTAGACATCCGGGGGCGTTCTGTCACAAGTGAGTTGATGGCAATGTCGCAAAACGCATACTAACAACCGAATAGCTGCCTGCAAGACATTGTTGGGCCGAGGTTCCACTGTGCTGTATGTCCTTCTTGGGATCTATGCATCCAGTGCGAGGGTATTTATATGGCCGGTGGAGATGGGTCTGGGCATCTGGCGGATCATATCATGATGAAGGTGAGTCCTCCTACACCATCTCCAGGTATTGACCCGTCATAGATCCCCGTACCACTACCATCATCCGAAGTCGAAGCCGTGTCCCGCCGAGCTCGAGACAGATGGTTCCAACAAGATCGCACAGTCGCCACAAGCGCCGCCACTCCCTTCGAACCCTCTTCTCGCTCGTCTTCCCCATCTGGCGACCATTCCACCGTCTACGCTCCGACAGCTACGCGAGACAGGGGACCTTCCCCGATCCCGCCTAGTCAGATCATCAATGTGACGCAGAGGGACGCGCTGGACCATGGGATCAGGTGCGGGAATTGTACAGAGTGGATCATGGGGAGGAGGTATCAGTGTGCGGGCTGTCCTTCGGATCCTGCTGGGTTCAACCTCGTACGTGCTCTGACCACTCTCGAGAAACATATTGACACGGAACACAGTGCTCAATCTGTGAATTGCGCTCATACAAGGTCCACGACCCAACCCACGTCTTCCTCAAATTTGACCGCCCGGTAAATATCCCTCTTCGCTCCCGGCGCGCCATCCTCCCACCTCTCTACCGCCACCCCGTCGGCAAAGTGCCCTCCGCCGCGCTGGCTACGATCAACCCGCGCGATCCTACGGCTTACCTCAAGCATGTGATGCACAGGGAGACGTTGTGTGATGTGCACGGTGATCAGATACGGGGAGTGTGGTTGAGATGTGCGCACTGTGCGGCGGGCTTTGACATTTGTCGAGAGGCGGAGAGGGTGGCAGATCATGATTCGACTCATGGTAAGTGGGATTTCGCAGATAATGAGGAGAGGCCGACTGACAGTCGCATACAGTGTTTGTAGTGTTCAAAGCGCGTGTGGATATGACTACATTCCGACAAGTCGCTGATCTGGCAGCTACCCATAGCAAGCCTTTGTTGAGGCAGCAAGTTTACATATCATAGAGTGCTGATTGTTTTGTTGTACGATTATCACCTGTTTCTGAAGCTAGGTTGGTTGTAGATATGCATATGCTGGATTCTATTAACGATGGGGTGCGTCCACTAGACTAGCTGGGCTGATAAAGGTACCACTGAGCGCGTACTACTGCGGAATAACTTCCCGCAACAGACACGATATAATGACTCACATCATCTTCCTTCAAAGACGTTTTTCTCCATATCACAGCAAAAAAACATGCTCGTCCTGAATTTAAGGCCTGTCACGCAGTCAACTCAGCCCACAGTCACCTGTGGAGCCGCCGAGACTGATCAAACTTGGCTGAGCTCCATCACATCATTCTCGATGAGCACCTGTTCGACGAGGCTCCGGGGCTGTATGTGGCGCTGTCTCGCTGCCATTTCGAGCGCGCTCTCAAGAGAAAGCATCAATTCCAGTTTGAGGCTAGCACCAGGTTCTTTGACATTGAGCATTTGCACAGCCCAAGTCACAATCAAAGCATACGAGCAAGCTTGAAGGAAACCAAGAAGATTCTGGTTCTGGATATAGCTCTGCTACGGGAGTTTGCGAAGATGGCATAGAGCCTCATTAGCGGCGATGATGGGGACGCTGAGATGGAAAGTGACTGACCCAACGGCGCTGGATCCCCGAACAGACAAAGGTTCACCAAGATACTGAGAATGATGATGCTCCCACAGCACAAGTACTGCTTCCCAAAGCGCAGTCTCTCGAGGTGCGCATGTCAGCATTGAACGAGTCTTGTTCCTTGGCGGACCGCCTCTGGACCTCGCCCTTTGAATTCAATCTGGGCGGCATTTACCTGGGCGCACTTACTGGAGACAGCTTCAAGCACTTTATCATTAGATATGATGATGGGACAACCAGAGGCAACGAGATCAATATTCAGACTGCAGACTTTAATGATATGATGGGTGGCAGGCTCGAAAGTGTTACCCTTGTTCAATATGTGTTGCCAAACCCGTTTCCAGCCCAATGGGTGTATTCAACCAAGGGCTGTGTGACTTTATTCTTTGTCACTGAAGCGCCCCCTCGCTCTCGCTATAAGCGAGTCTCTGTTCAGACCCTCAGAGTTGTAGCTCTTGATACCTTGTCCCATGAGTCTGCACAGCCAAGGCAGAAGGTCCTGGACAAAGCGAAGATGTGGACCAAGTCTTGGGTCGTCGAGCAACCTGACGATCCATTCGCGTTCGAGTTCCAATGCGTACACGTGGATCAAGTAGAGCAAGCGATGATAGCACATTTCCCAAGCCTATCGGGCCATGTGGAGAGCGGGAAAGTGAGATTTGTAGAGCTGGACCAGGAGTACGCGATGGTCTGAGAAGTGAGCTATTCCATCGCTTTCGGGCCACGTTAATTGACCAACATGATAGACCTTTGACGCTGACATAGTCCATATGTGTGGCTTGTTCGGGACACCGAGCAGATGGCGCTGTAAAACGTGATGCAACGATGTGTCACCGAGCCGGCGGCCGGGGCGATGTTGCCTTATGATATCCCATCCTTTGATTGTTGACTGTGTTTTCTCGCTCACTATATAACACTCGACTCGGATCATGGGTCCACACATCCCCTCATAAAATCACTCACAATGGGTCAGCAAAGACAGAAAAGCAACATCGAGGCTTACCTCGAAACCAAACGAAAGCTCCTTCCCGCCCGTCCCACTCCACACGACGCGCTCGCGAGGTCCACCGAGCAAGGCGTTTATTTGATTGACATCAGGCCCACGAGGAATAGAAAAGAGGAGGGACTGATACCTGGAGCGATCGTGATTGACAGGTGAGTTCTTCTGTCTTGTGGTGGGCACGGGCCTAATCGTCCATTGTAGGAACGTTTTGGAATGGCGTCTTGACCACACTTCTCCGTGGTCTATCCTCGAAGCCCGCGAGCCTTCTTTCACCCCCATCCTTGTAAGCGCGATATCTCAAAGCTCTTTTAGTATGATTCTGACACTCTGCGTGTAGTTTTGTAATGAAGGCTACGCTTCTTCTCTCGCAGCACAGACACTCGTCGAGATCGGAGTCGAGAGGGCAACAGACGTGGATGGTGGTTTCAGGAAATGGAAGGATGATGGTCTTCCCGTATTAAAGGAAGATTCGTTGTAAATCTGCTAAGCATAGTCATGCATACGCCTCTCTACTCCACCTGAATGAGGATCCACAGTTCGCTATCACTCGAGAATCACAACAGACCTCGTCTCGATATTCCATCTAGCCACCACCCCTGGCTGACCATCAAACCTCTCATCCAGGATTGATGTGTGCCCCACAACATGACCAGGATTCTCAGAGTCGTATTGCTTGAACAACAAGACGTCTGAAGGTTCCTGAGCAGAGATGAAGTACCACTTGATGTCACCTTTGTTTTGGATCGAGTAAGAGCCCTTTTCCCTGCCGCCGATGTCAGTATTCTCATAAAGAAAAAGGGCCGTCAAGATACATACCGGTCAGGATATACGAAGCGAGTGTGGATTTTTGCTTCTTTGGAAAGAGACCGAGCGTCGGTCACAGCTATTTTGTGGCGCATCAAGAACAGTACCACGGACTAGCTTGTATATCAGCCACCGACACGGTCATGCTTGCTGTTGACTCACTCGGACGCCAGACATTGACTACAAAGAGACGGGGTAATTAGCACAGCTTGGTTTGTAAAGATGATCAAGACTTACCGATGAAGGCTCTATGTCCGATCCCTGAGAGAGATTCGACGAGTTCAGCCGCACTCTCAGGTGACAGGTCGATGTGCGGTCGCATACTACATACCAAACAGTCAGCTCGGGCATACGTGATTCTATAGAATATTTATAGAAGATCAAACACACAGAGGGAAGTTATTTGGAGATGTAAAGTCGTACTCATTCAAGCCCGTCTTGGGGGGTGTGCAGCCGTACTCGCTGGTTGTAGGTGATGACTCGTTTGGCGTTAGGGATAGCTCGTCGAAGTACCCTGTCACTCATCAGACCTCACTCTCTGTCATTTGGCCAATAGTCAAAGCACCACCCTTCTACTTCTGCATGATACCTCGCCAGCACTTGATTTTCAGCAAGGTCCGCTGGCGCCTCCTCGAGATTAGTGTCCACTCAGCGACTGAAATTCGGCCTTGCTCAATGTCGACTCGAATGTGATATGCTGGATTCCTGCGGCCTCAAGGGTGAAACTGGGGTGGTCACGGATGTCATTGATTCTGAGGGAGCCTCTACTCAGCCCAAGCATGGGTACGGGTCGGGACGAAACTCACATAACCTCTGTTGGTTTATAACAAGCGTTTGTCTGGTGCCTACCCATCTGGAGCAGGTGAGTATACATACGAGCTAGGAGTTGTAGTCAGCGCAGCGCAAGAAGTGCACAAGAAATAGCCAAAGCTGACTTGCAATAGAGGCTCTCGAGGGCCAAACTGTCTTCGCTTGAAGTGTAGTTGATGACACCGGCGGTGGGACCTCCGTATCCCGGAGCGAAGGATTTTTCGGGAACCATCTTCTTCCTATCTTCGAAGCCTATTCCGGAGTTGGGGGTCCGGTTGATGATAATGAAGACTGCAAAGAATGTTTAATTCTATCCATTTATGAGGGCGTGCAATGCGTCTGGAAACGCATAGGACCGATGGCATCTTCAATTCTAGCTCTCGGGCTCTCGGCATAAGACCTGCTATTGCGTGTTGTACAAGTACTGGACAACTCCGTATGCATTTCTCTCCTCTCGTTGGGCTCCGTACGATTGCATCTGCTAGACGCTAATAGGCAGATATGTATGGATCTGATCGTTGCCTTGGCTGTATGTACTTTTTTCTCTCTACTACCAGTAGTACTAGCTGCCCCCAGGAGGAGCAGCACTAGAAGCGGAAGAGTTGTTCAAAGGAGACATGGTGAGCAATTCTTCCAGCATTGACCTGGCTTGATATTTGACGACAACACCTCTCAAAGCTTCCTATGGGTCTTTCGGTACGTTGTTTCGTTGGTGTAGTGGTAGCATGCCCTCTTTGGGTGACCTGAAAGGTTCCATATTGGGGGTGGTCCTCGGTTCAACCCCGAGACGAGACCCATAGGTATTCTTTTTAGTCTATCTTACTTTTCCGTGAGGCCATCTTGCATCTCATCATGTCCAGAAGACTCTCTGGAAGAACATGCTCGGCCATAGAAAGTGCCAAATTCCGCGTCCCGTCTGATCCGCGAAAACAAGTCACTTATCGCTTGGCTAGTACCAGGGTGGGGGACCACCTGGGAATCCCAGGTGCCGAGCTTTTTGCTTGTCACACGGTCTGCTGCCTGTACACATGAGCCACTCCGAGAGTCGATACCAACGTCATCAACTCAAGTGAGGCGACGACAAAAGCAGAAACGTTATATGGAGCTGAGGGGCGTAGCGATACAAATCTTGGCATTGCTTGAACACTTCCTCACCAGCCCGTTTAACCGAAGCTTTAGGCTCACAGCTCTCTCCACACTTCCACAGACATCGACAGCAAGACTGTGTAAGAAAAGACCAGCTACCACTTCAACAGAGTCATCGACCAACATGCTCATCCAGGCACGACCCGGTCGGCGGCGATGTCCGTCTCGGGACTCGCTGCATAGTATGTGGTTCGCCCAAGGTTCGCCCCTTTGTGCTTCTTGCCTCTCTTCACTGCTCAAAGGTCAGCAATCTACCCGGCCTTGATTCAAACGCAATCATGCGGTTCCCACCCGTCATCCTGGCCCTGATATCGCTCTTCGCCTTCAGAGTCCTCGCAGACACCGTCCCCACCGACCATCTCGAACCGCAACTGTCTGACCTCTTCGGCAATAATACAGAGGGGCTGGCCTCTGACGGGCATACGAACAACTGGGCGGTGCTAGTATGCAGCTCTCGGTACTGGTTCAACTACCGAGTGAGTTTTTAGACGACCACATGGGTAATTGCTGATCAACGAGTCACGTAGCACATGGCAAACACCCTAGCAATGTATCGCACCCTGAAGCGGCTCGGCATGCCCGACAGCAACATCATCCTCATGCTTGCTGATGATGTGGCTTGCAATGCGCGCAATCCCTATCCGGCGACAGTCTACGCGAATGCGGGGAAAGCGCTGGATCTGTATGGAGAAGGGATTGAGGTGGATTATAAGGGTTATGAAGTGACGGTGGAGAGCTTCCTGAGGCTGCTCACTGGTGAGTAGACTTTCTATGGGGCAGGGAGAGTGCGGCAGGGAGAGTGCGACGCGCTGACATGGAATTCAGGCCGACATGACCCCTCCACACCTCGCTCAAAGCGTCTACTCAGTGATGCCTCCTCGAACGTCTTCATCTACATGACAGGTCATGGTGGAAACGAGTTCCTTAAATTTCAAGATAACGAGGAGGTTTCGGCGTATGATGTCGCGGATGCTGTGGAACAGATGTGGGAGAAGAAGAGGTAAGTACTACATTTTCTTCAATTCCGGGTGTGATACTGATCCTACCCCAGATATAATAAGCTCCTCTATGTGATCGATACATGTCAAGCAAATACCATGTACTCGAAATTCTACTCGCCCGAGATCATCGCCACCGGTTCTTCCGCACTCGGCGAGAGCTCTTACTCTGTGAGATCTTTGGATACTTCATGAGACTACACTGACTCGGATCAGCACCACAACGACCACGATATTGGTGTAGCCGTAATCGATGGTTTCACACATTTCATCCTTCAGTTCTTTGAGAGCCTTGGAAAAACTTCAAGGACCACTCTGCGCCAACTTGTACGTTTCATTCCCTGTACTTTCACTCTGATGCTCATGATACCTGACACCCTCTCAGTTTGACACATACGACCCAGCCAGAATCTTCTCCCACCCCGGAATCTCAACTGAGCTATCCACCTCTCCTCCCGAGGACATTCTCATCACCGACTTCTTTGGCGCCGTCGCTCGGGTGGAGGTGTTGCCGTCCAGCGCGGAACTGGACTTGGAAAGCCAGGCTGCCCTGAGGAGTCGGGAAGGGAGTGGGTGGGATGTTGCGCCTTTGGGGATTGGGGAAGGACAAGGGAGAAAGCATGGCAGGGAGGGGCAGAGGAGATCAGGTAGTGTGCTGCCTAGGCGGAAAGAGAAGGATGGGCAGTCGGCGTGGAATGGGCCGCTAACGGGGCGGGTTAATGGATGGTGGTGATTGGGTGGCACCTTGGAGTATTGTACCAGTATGTTGTAAACTAGAGTCATCTTGCATCGGTCTGCATACAGTATGCATTCCATCTACATATGTTCAAGAAGGAGATCTGTCGACAGTCAAAGTGTCATCTGTCGCAAATTTCTACTACTGTGTTTCGCTGCCATTTTGCTTGCTGCCATCCTCAGTCTGCGTAGTGTTTTGTCTGCTCTGAGCATTTCCACCAGACCCAGAACCAGATCTTCTTTCACGCCCACCGGGCCCTGTCATAGCGAATAGGTCCGCAATGGTCTCTTGGCGCGAACGTCCTTCCTGGAACGCAACACTGTTGATCTCAAGGTTGAGGTCCTGATACACCTCTCGCTGCTGAGTGGTCAAGCTTGAGGAAAAGTTGGTGCTTGTGGCGGAAGCTTGATCGGCGGCGCCCTGGTCTTGGGAGCAACCGCTGCCGTTATTGCCCCTGCCTGTGTTGTCGTCGGTCGCCATTTGGAGGGAGGCTACGAATATGGCTGTGGTCTAAAGTTGGATGGAAAACCAACGCTCCTGGGTCTTTATGACTCTTTTGTCTGCGGCGAGGAGACCTTCGAGAAATCAGAACCCAAGCCGCAGCAAGACCGGGCATTGGAAAGCATCGCAACACAAAGCAATCGGCCTGGGCAAGATCAACTGATAGTAGAAGACAGATTGACCAACTGCTGCTCCTATGGAGGCAATCAACGAAGCGATGTGAGAGGAGTGACGACGTAGTTGGAGTGGGAGTAAAATTGTGCTTCTATTGGAAGAAAAGATTTTGAGAGGGCCAAAGGACTTGTGGGAGTCATATTCCGACTCCCTTGTGGCATCAATGTCCTCATGGTGCCATACCTCGATCACGTCCCCGCAAAGAGGGCAAATGGACCGAGGGCCGAGGGTCTTACAGAAGGAATCTTAATGTCCATTTCTTCAAGAGCGAGATATGTGTTCTCATGTCCCCCATGAAGGTGATCTTGCTAATACGGATGTGGTGCTCGATTGAACACAGCATGAGAAGTCTCACCTGAGTATGTTGTCGCGACAACGCGCCATCGACAAAGTGACAAAATTCATATTGATTCTCTCATTGTTGTGACTTCTTCTCATTCTCAGCTATTTTAAACTCGTCAAGTACCCAGGACCAGAAAAGAGATCCCGGGAACAGATGTTTACCCGATGTGTTGGCCGGAAGGATCAAGGGGAAGGGCTAGCGAGACAACAACCAGACCAGCAAAAAGCTACCCTTCGAATCAGCCTTTGTCTCCGCACAGGTCTCATGTTGTTGAAAGACACTTACACTAGCACAGACAAACAGAGGCGCGGGCGTGTAGACATTCGCTGCATGAGGTCAAGCTTCAGCAAAGAGCATGTTGATTTCAGAACCTCTCGGCAATATGAGAGGGGCCTACCGTATGTCCCGATGATATTGGCGATGATGTTACAGACTCCGTTGATAGCAACACAGATCCCGTATCCGGTGGCTCTTGACCCAGTCGGGAGTAGCTCTGGCGTAACTCCGTATAAAGCTCCGAAGAAGATATCTGCAAAGGTTGAATTGCGTAGTCAGTTCAGATCCTGAGAGACGATGGCCAGATGACTCACTCTCGACGGCGTTGATGAAAGAGCTATTTGCACCACCAGTCAGTGACGGCACAGAACAGTAAAATTGTTTGTCCAAGCTCACCTGACGATCAGATTCTCGGTCCCTGTCTTGACCTGCGTAAACCCAAACAGGAACGCCATGGCCAACGCTGCCCCAATTGCGAGGGTTCCCGAGGAGAGGCCAGCCAAGGAAGGGGCCAACAAGACCACTGCGAAAGAAACATCAGAGGACGTCCTGTAGGTGTTATGAGAGTCTTACCAAATATTGATCCCCGACTCCCTGTTCCTTCAAAAAGTTGCTCGGTCTATGCGGTGCATTTTGAGGGTATACTTGACGCGCACCGACCGAACTCGCATCGCTTTCACCCACATTGAAACCTTCGGGTTACTCTCCGCATATCGCAAAGTTCAGACTATGACTCAGCCCCGGACCCCGAAAATGCTGCTTGGCGCTACGTCACTGGTCACTGTCCCCCCAATGCCCCATTGAGCAAGTGAAGAGTTACAACCGATGAAGAAAGGACTGCCACCATGTTGCACATGACTCGCTGTCGTCAGGTGGACGGAGCGGGAGTTCAATTATGTTGTGGTGCAGGAAGACTGAGGGGGGGGGATGTTGTGCCGGGAGAAGTCACACGGGTACTACTAGGGCCAACTGTGGACAAGCTCCATGGATGAGTGGCCACGTGACCCCGAGGAAAACGAATGCAAAGCTGCATGACAGAAAGAGAACATGAGACAGTGCCCGGAGCAAGTGGCCCGGAAGGCCGAGCACACGACGACCGCACACTGCCCTGGTGAGGGGAGATGTGCACATGTGCCCTGCGAGTCACCCTGTCTCACCATCAGCAACACCTAAGGCTCCCGGCGCGTACTTTATCTGATTTTGGCCCCCCTCTCAGAATGCTCGATCCCATCATAGCTCTCCATCTCTCGCCACAATCCAAAATGCTCACCCGTACACTTATCTCCCTTGCCACATCCCTCCTCGGCCTCACCCACGCCGCCCAGTTCTCCAACCCTATCCGGTAAGTCTCCCGCTGTGTCCCGAGAGTCTCTCTCACGGTCACCACATCTTTTACAGCGACAGTGGGCCTGACCCCTTCATTGGTAAGTCTCGCATCTTTCTTGTCGACTCCAAGGCTGACAACATGGCACAGTGTACGATGATGGCACTGCGTGCGTATGCATCACCGTCGGCTAGATGTGCATAGCTAACACAAAAGCCAGGCAATATTATCTCATGACGACCACCGGAACAGACTTGCGTCTCATCTCATCTTCCACCCTCGGGTTTGTTCATCTCTTCCAGACTTGCGAGTGTTACTGACAAAGAGTGTAGTGGCCTTCAAAATGGCACAAACACCCAAGTTTACACCAGCGACATCGAAAAAGAAGACAAGAACGTCTGGGCCGGAGGTGAGTCACCATCCCTCACACACAAATTCCTCCTTCAATCTTCGCCTCCCTCCTCGTCCTCATTGTACTCGCTGATCGTCTCTTGTTTCCAAGTGTAGAGCTGCACAAAATTGACGGCTCCTGGTACATCTACTATTCCTTCCAGGAACGTCCTTGGGTCGTGAAAGGCGGTGCTGACGTGAGTCTCGGTTTCGCCCAGACTGTCCTCCGCTGATGGCATATTGTATGTTATAGCCTCTGGACACTTATGCCGGTCCCCCTGTCAAGCTGTCTGACGAGTTCGGGTAAGCCTCATTCCCCTCATGGATGACGTTCGGGCCAAACGCTGACATGGAACAGTATCGACGGCACCGTCCTAACCTACTCTTCCTCCCTCTACTTCCTCTGGTCCTGCAGCATCGACAGCGGAGACTCCATCTGCATTGCCCCCCTCGATTCTCCCACCTCAATTAACGCCGACAAGAAAGCCGTCATCTCATCGCCTACTGAGGACTGGGAGCAGCAGGGGGGTGCAAATATCAATGAAGCACCTGCTGCGCTGTATTGGCAGGGAGAGACGTATGTAACGTTTTCGGCGAGTCACTGTAAGAGTGCCGGATACAGTCTTGGTCTTGTAAGTTGACTTGATCAGGAGTATGTGCTGGAGCCAGGCTGATGGGATGTAGCTCCATTTGACGGGTGACGACCCCCTACTCCCCGCCTCCTGGACCAAGACAGAAGGACCGGTCTTCTCTTCCGCAAACGGCGAGTACGGTCCTGGCCATAACGGGTACGTCTCCTTTCCCTTTTTCTTGTATGGGTCACAGTGGGGAGTAGTCGCCGATAGTGGATCGCATAGTATCTTCACCTCACCCGACGGCACGGAACTTTGGAACGTCTACCACGCTGTTACCAACTCTGCTGGATCTTGGTACGTTGCACCCCATCCCCTCCTTTTATCTGGACACTATGTCATTCTTCTGCAGAGACAAATTACTAACACTATTGACAGTGGCACAGATCGCCAAACCTTTGCTCAACCTATCGACCTCTCGAACTTCTCGACGGAAGGTCCAGTCTTTGGAAGCCCTGTTGCGTGAGTTCCACCCGTCTCCTCTTTTGCACCTCTTCCACCATCGAACTTTCCTCCCATTGGTTTCTACTGTCTCGGTATTTTGATCTGTCGCTGACTCGATCTCCAGGAAAGGCGAGACTATCGACGGTCCTTCGGGAGAGTAGATACTTCCCCACGGCATACACCAAACCGCTAGTCAATCATCTATCAATGTGCGGTGTATGAGTGTCTTTAAAGAAGGAAAACTAAGAAGAAGGGAAGGTAACGGACTTCATAATTGACAATAAACGACTGGAAAAGAATAATGATCAATATGGATATGAATATGCACTCTGTGATACACAATCTCATGAAGCCGTGATGAGGAGAGGTATCAGCTCAACTAGATGAGCTGGGAGCACGGATTGCCTGAGCCCCTGTATTCGTCTTGGTTGCGGTGTCTACTGTCCAGCAGCTCTCTATGTGTACCCTTTGGTTCCCGACAGTCCTCTGACCATTACAAGCCCGGTCTTTGATCCTCTAAGATCCCCAAGAAGATCGATTGAGCATGTGGCGCGTAACAGCTTGCTGCATGTTTTGAGGGGCGTGAGCTTGCAGATCTTGGCCCTGAAGATATCATCGCATGTATGCCAATGAAGATATAGGCCGCCAACGAAGAGGGCGTGCTTCTCTAGATCAACTTTGCCGAAGGCGCTCATACCCGATCTTCCCAGTCTGGCGTCTATCTAATGTCAGCGTTCAAAGCTACCTGCTGAATGAAGGGGCCGTTGGAGAAGAAGCGTAAGATGGTTCATGTAGAACTACTTTGTCGGGCATGATACCAGGCGCGCCGTAATAACGAAGACACACTTGTTGCGATATCTGCATCCCACGCATTTCTGCTGTGGAAGATGTCAAGATGAGCCTGCTAATAGGTCATCGGAAAATGCGACAAAGGTGACTTTCGGGTGTCCCCATAATATCGCTTGTAGAGATCTCTCATCTTTGAAGCCGGCTTCCGAAGTGTTTCACTGGATTCACTAGCCGAGCGCTCCGATAGAATGTCTCTGCTATACGTATGTCATGGAGCCTTGTGTTTACGATAAGCGAGCCAGAAGTGGGCATGAAATAGAGTATCGCGTGTATGTTGTTGTTCGTTTGAGGGTTGGTGATTATTTGCTTTGGCCGATTATTAACTCGTAATTAAATGATAAGATAGCAGAATTTTGTTTTCAAGAGTTACACCAAAGTTACACTTTTCATTGTCTTTAACCTGACCCAAGCCCACCTTCGCCATGTTCTACGTAATTGGACTCGGTCTTTCCGACGAGAAGGACATCACCGTCAAGGGGCTCGAAGCTGTGAAAGGATGCGAGCGCGTCTATCTCGAATCCTACACCTCCATCCTCATGGTCGAGAAGGAAAAGCTCGAAGCATTCTACGAACGCCCAGTCATCACCGCTACAAGAGAGCTTGTCGAACTCGAGGCCGATGAGATTTTGAAAGATGCCGACAAGGTCGACGTTGCGTTTTTGGTCGTCGGTGATCCCCTCGGGTACGTCCCTTCGCATTCGCTGGAGATCAGAGCTGAGGATTGACTTTAGAGCCACCACCCACACCGACCTCCTCCTCCGCGCCAAATCCCTCCAAATCCCCACTTCAGTCATCCACAACGCCTCCATCCTTACCGCCCTCGGCTCCACCGGCTTGCAAATGTACTCGTTCGGACAAACGCTAAGTATGGTGTTTTACACGGACAGCTGGAAGCCGGACAGTTGGTACCCGAGGTTGGAGGAGAATCTGAAGATTGGAGTGCATACGCTGGTGCTTTTGGATATCAAAGTGAGGGAGCAGAGTGAAGAGAATATGGCGAGGTGAGTTTTGTCTTCCGCGAAAATCGGAGGAGGGTTGCCGGCGAGAAGAAGAGAGGGGACAAGGAGGATGGAAGGGATATGGAGCTAGTGGGGAGAGTCGAGGTTTGCAAAAGGAAGAATAATGACAATTGCCAGGGGTCGACTGATCTACGAACCTCCCCGCTTCATGACCCCCTCCCAAGCCTTCAACCAAATCCTCTACACCGAATCCAAACGCCACCCCGCCCCCAAACCCCCCTCCGACAAACCCGCTCCCCAAAAGTCCGACTCTGACTCTGAAGACGAGGACGACTTTACCGACCCTTACCCCACCCTGCTCCCCCCCGCCGAGACACTGGCAATCTCCCTCTCCCGAGTGGGCACCGCCACGCAAAAGATCATCTCTGGCACGCTTACCGAGCTTGCCGCTTTGCCTGAGGAAGAGTTTGGGGGACCTTTGCACTCGATTGTGATAGTGGGCAAGAGGTTGCACCCGCTAGAGTTGGAGTATGCTGGCAAGTTTGCCATTGGGGGTGAGCAGGGTGGGTGGTGGAAGGTTGGCAAGGAGGTGTATGGCGTAGAGAGGGAGACTTTCTAGAGTGCGAGACATGCATGGAGTATACTATAGAGGTGGTACATGTGGTCATGAAGATCGTTATATCGTTAGAGGATGGGCTAGAGTTTACTGGTGCGAATGACTTTGACCGTCTGCCCCTCTGTTGGCGGTTTCCAAGACAAGCCGCGGTATAGCAACGTTGAGGGTGCTGTACCAAACTCTACTGGCAAGGTCAAATTCTAGCTCACAGAGTCAGTCAAGGGACGATTCAAGCTCGATAGACTTGCCAGCTCGTACACTGCGATGGCCCGTAACATTGAGAAATGATGGATCGAGTGCAGCGAGCAGTACCATAGCTGCACCTCTGTAAGCATATCAACTTGAATCAGCGCTGAAAACGTACTTCTCGCCCCACGGTACTCCCCATCTCCTGCTTTGTAGGCGTTATAGCAACCACATGCACCATCCGATCCATCTCATCCACCAGTCCATTGCGCCTCTCCGCCTCCTGCCCCCCCAGCCCCGCAGGATTCCCCTCCACCCCACTTCCCCCACTTCCACCCATCGCACTGCCCCGCCGTCTGCAGATCTCACTCCATGCCGTAAGATCTTCGCCGATCTGCCTCATGGCCTGCCGACAAGCCGGGAGCGAACGGGCGATGGGGCGGCGGGTGGTAGGTAGGATATTGTCGTAGTTGATCTCTGGTACCTCCGAGAGCGGTCTGGGGTTGTCATAGAGGTTCAATAGGAAAGCTCTAAACGATTCAATGACCTACACCTCATCAGCATCACTCTATCATGTCGGAGAACCACTTGCATGTCTAAAATGCTTTCCCACCGTCCCCCCAGGTAATAACGCACTATCCATCGACAGCTCTTCATCCGTACTGATATGACTTTCAAGTATATCCACGGCAGAGTCGATGAGGGCGATGGAGAGGGAGACGAGGGCTTCTGCGCGGTCTGGGTGTGTGCGGGATGGCATGGGCACGAGGGTGTGGTCGAGGGTTGTGAGAGGGGTTCGGGATGCCGAGGATGGTCCAGATTTGGAGTTTGAAGACATGCCGGATTGTATCTTGTTTGTAGTGGCGTTTGGTAAAGCTATACAAGAACGGAGGCAATGAAGAGTCAAAAAAAGTTGTCCGAAATCAAGATACGGTGGTCGGGTCAAGCCGACCGGCGGCGAATAAAGTTGTGACGTGATTATTAGTGTTATCAAGGCACTGATTAGGAATCCGGAATAAACGATTTGAGTGATGTTTGACGCATCGTGTTTATCACCGCCAACATCTTTATTCTCGTGCAGCAACGGTCTTGATATCCCAGAACCCAAGACAAAGACAATGATAACCCATGTATGCAAGATGCCATGTCATGCAAGCTTTTCCAAAATGCCACACAAAGACAACACAAATTGCAGTACAACCCATTCCTCTCAACATTCTCCCCAACAAAATTGTCCTTGACCCACTAACCACTTTATCCCAAGAAAAACAACGCATTCACAACAACCCAAACAACCCCCACCACCCACGCCACACTAACCACCTCCCTCCAACTCTTGCCCACCACCCCATTCCTCGCCTTCCTGCCCCACCTCACAAACCCTTTTGCCCTCTCTGCCCATTGTCTTACAAACGTCTGGGGGGAGGAGGCGAATGTGTATAGTACGGGTTGTTGGTTGAAAGCTTTAGGGGTAGGCGCCCCGAAAGAGTGGAGGCGGTTTAAGGGGGCACGGGGGGTTGTGGGTGATGAGATGGGGCCGGAGGCGTTGGGGTTGAGGGAAGATAGGTTCGAGCTCGATACCCGCTTCGTGGCGCCAAATCCTGCCGAACTCGCCGTCGGCAACCCCAACCCGCCCGTCGACGGTGTAGCGAGATAAGGCGAATCCGGCACACCGCCCGACCCGTTCGCCGAGTTGTTCCCGCCCATGTAGATGTATGACGAGCGCCGTGACATGGAGGAGGGTGTACTGCTCCCGCCTTCGAGGTCTTTCTCGTCTGTATCGAGCATGGTGACGATGGATGGCCGGGGGGAGCTGAAGGGCGATACGGGCGCACTGCTGCTTACTGACCGTGAACCATCGGCAAAAGCGTAATTCGGCGTCGAATTCAGCCTGACGGGCCGGGGGACGGACGACGACAAAGCTGAAGACGCTGAAAGGGGGAGGTGGGACGCGGATTTGCGGGAAGGCAGGTTCAGCGAGTTGGGGGCGTTTCGCCGGGTTGAGAAGGATGAGAGCGGCTTCAAGTTTTCAGAACTCAACATCGCCGGACTCGACCTCGCTTTAAGGTCTGATAACGGCACACTACCTCTCCTATCCCACTGCTTCCACGCCGAACGCAGATTGGTAAAGAACAGATAACACGCCGTCAAGATTGCGAGAGGCAGGTAGACGCGCCAGTAGACACCGAGCTGGTCGGGCAGGAAACACGGGCGGTCGGCGTATGTGGGTGGGAGCAGGTTTCCGCCTGGGGGATGGGGGCCTTCGGGGGGTACGAGGGAGAGGAGTTGGAGGCCTGGTCGGCGGATGCCGGCGGAGGAGGAGAAGGATTTGATGGTGACTTCTTTGACGCCTCCCGCGTGGGTGTGTTCGCAATAGTCGTGGTCATCTCCGCTATTTCGAGTTAGATCATGTCCACCGCATAGCCTGAAGGTTCACCTGAAGACGACAACGGGGTTGATAGCATCGAGCAAGAACTTGCTGGTCTTGCTACCCAACAGGTTTTGATAACCAGGTCCAGCACCTTTGGATATCCGTCCTCTTTCTCGATTCGGTCCGCATGTCGCCCGTTCAGGCCGGGCCAGAGGTATATGCGATACCAGGATAGTAGGTCCCGGCGGTCGGTCTACTCTCGTCAGCACGGGCCTTTAAGCAAAAAGAAACGACTTGCGTTCTCTCAGATCCTTTACAAATTCAATGACCCCTCCTTGGATACTATCCCACTCTCCAAACTGCATCTCTGCTGCATAATGCCGGTAATCCTCTTCCACCAGTCCGACCGAGTCGAGCATGACCAACGAATGGTTGGCTATCGATACGACCTGATTCGGGGGTTCAAAGTATTTCGCATACCGAGCGCGGGCTCTTGGGGAAAAGAGCCGATTGGGACCGAGTGGTATATCGTGGTTGCCCGGCACAAAGTGCATCGGGGTCGACGTTGGGAGTTGGAAAATAGACCGGAAGAGGTCGACATACGATTTGTACTCGCCCTCATCCATGACGCCCCTGCCCCAATCCAGCATATCACCCACGACGACCACGCCGTCTACTCTGCCGAGACGCATGACGACGTTCCAGCTCTTCTTCATGAAGAGAATGTCCATGTTTTGGCGTATCCAGCTGACCCATTCGTATGATCCTTCGGGGTAGGAGAGGACGGGGTGGGGGACGTGGGGATCGGCCAGGAGGACGACGTGGGAGGGGGCTGGAGAGTCGGGGTGGGCCTGGCGAAGGGCAGAATCGGGGAATCGGCATGTTGAGAGAGAGTGGAAGAACTGATCTGGGATTAGTATGTAGACGCGCCAGTTGACTATAGAAGCTTACTTCTCCAGCCTATACACTTTTGGTTAGCTTGTACAGATCTACAACGCGCGGATCACTCACCTCATACCAAATAACGAGCACAACCCATCCAAAACGCAGGGCGAGGATCTGTGTGCTCCTCGCTGTGAGGCCGGACTGCCTGCCACGTGGGGGGTAAGTGGGGGGGAATGCGTTGGGGGAGGGGAGGCGCGGGGAGAGGGCCATGGCGTGTGCAGAGGAGAGAGGCTCCCAGCGAGACTATACACGCGACGCGTGGCCACGTGGCATGCACGCGACAGTAACACCGTAATGCCGCGGAGGGGATGTGGCGATGACGAAACGGCAGCCCAACCCCCGCCGCATTTCATCTTCTCTCTCTTCATCACCCAACAACACATACATAGACAAGGTAGGTCCATCCGAGCGTGGATACAGCGTGCAGTAGGACAGGGGGACAGAGCGGGAGGGGCTGGGCGGCGCTGGGAAGGTGGCGCACATCCATCTCCCACGCTCCATGGGACCATGCCCAGCAATACGCATCACCGCTCTACTTGCCATCCTTGCACCAGCTATAGCTGGCTGCTGTAGCTGGCGGATGGCCAAGTGCGGGACGCCGGGGAGAGACTCGTCGCTATCGACGGGCCGCGAAAACCGCGCAGACCGACCTTTGTCTCGCTGGTGGGCGGTGGCTCGCAACGCTCTCTGTACCGGCGCCGGAGCCTCGTGCATCACTTCTCCCCACCTTGCCTCCCATCTCCACGCCACAACCATGCCCTCCTCTCATTTTCACCATCCATCACGTCACACGACATGTTGATGTCATCTCGCTGACACTTGTCTTTTTTACCAGATGGCTTCTCCCCAATCCCAGCAGATCAAGCAAAACTTCCTCAACAACCCCTACGCTCAGCAGGCGTTCGCCGTTGCTCACGGGCAAGTCAGCGCTCTTGACGCCGAGGTATGTCCCGCTGTGCGCAGTTTTAGTGCCGTTTTCTTATCTCCCCGCGTCGCAGCTCAACAAGTACCCCATCCTCCGTCAACTCGAGACCCAGATCAAGGTCCCCAAGGCCTACGGTGTCATCGCCCTCGGTGTCTCGTGAGTCCCCCCACATCCACCACCCGCATGTCTAACCATCTTCTAGCGCCGTCGTCCTCATCTTCTTCAACATGTTTGGCCTCGCCCAGCCCATCTCCAACCTCATCGGCTGGGCCCTTCCCGCCTACCTTTCCATCCTCGCCATCGAGTCTCCCCAGGCCAACGACGACAAGCAGTGGTTGACCTACTGGGTCGTCTTTGGCTCTTTGAACTTGATCGAGAGCTTGGGTTTGAGGGCCGTCCTTTACTGGGTTCCCATGTACTTTGTCTTTAAGACTCTCTTCTCCATCTACTGTATGTCCCCCTCTCTTTTGTGTTCTGGCAAAGCTGATGTGTGTGTAGTGATGCTCCCCGCTACCCGAGGTGCCGAGACCCTTTACTACCACGTCCTCCGACCCGTCATTGGCAACGTCAAGTCCAAGTCCCAGGCCAACTATGGTACCACCGACCCCTTGGCCAAGGAGACTGGTTTCAGCACCGCCACTGCTGCTCCCTCTTCTTTCGCCCGTACGTCCCTGTCCACATTTTCTAGAGAAAAAGCTGACTTTTGGATTAGACGAGAAGGCCCTCTAAGACGATCGCTCGTAAACAGAGACGAGCTGCCCCAGCTTTGATCTCACAAGTGTGACATCTTTTCTTTCTTGGACGTGACTAAACAAAAGACAAATCCTTTTCTTCTATTTTAATGTTTCTCGTGCTTTTCCCTTAACGTGGAGACGACATTTCCCCTTTCTATGACGAAGTGTGAATCAACAAGACAAGCAGCAGAATTAGAGTGGAGAGGCGATTGGAATGAAGGCAATGAATGGATTGATGGATGGGGATGGGATGGAAATGAATGTGCTTTGAATACACGACACGACTTTTGATCTGCTGGTACAGGACCAAGTTGGACGCAGCATGTGTGGGTGGGTCATGCTGACAGCAGATCGTTGTCGGTCAACTCTTATGTCCGCTTTCCTACATTCTTTGTGTGATTGTTCAGTTAGGGACCAGCACTAGGATGTCATGGGGGCGGTCAATTCTTCCTTCTCATATGCTCATTGCAAAGAGACTGCGATAACCCCACGTAAACAGACACCTTTATCGACATTGTCATCCACCCCCCATCTCCACCCCTCAAACCCTCTTCTTCCCATCCACCTCCCCCAAAATCTTGACCACCCTCCACCCCATATCCAACGCCATCCCCAACGGTATCACCAAAAACGGGACATACTCTGACAACAGGCTCATGATCTCGGCGGTGGTGTGGGGTGGCTGGATGATGGAGGAAGGGGTTGGGAAGAGGATGGTTTGGAGGCAGGGCAGGAGGGTGGTGGCTGTTGATGCGCCGTAGGCTATGAGTAGAGCTGCCGGAGTCGTTAGTATAGATCGGAGGGGGGAGGATAGGGGACGTACGATACACTCGCTTGTCATCTTATTCACCCCGTCAGCTTACTTTCCACCCTCCTTTTTTCGGGGGGGGGGGCGGGAACTCACTATAGTAAAGCCCCCAAGCCCCAATAGCAAAACAAGGTATCTGAAACCCCGCCTCCAGCCAAAAGAAACACCTCAACCATCCAAACTCTGGTCTCGCCGCGCCGAGGAGGATGGGATCGCGCGTGAGGGCTGCGGACCAGAGCATGAATTCTTTCAAGGGGAGGGGGATGAGGGAGGGGGGGTAGAGGGATTGACAGTCTAGGAGAATTGAAATGGGCTGTGTGTTTTGGTTCTGTTAGTGAATGAAGCCGGGGAAATGGAGGTGAATGGGTTACCAGGTGAAACTAAGTGTATTCTTGGGTCAGTGCGGTCATGAAGGGATGCAGTGAGAGGGCATTGACTTACTACGCAGAAAGCGAACCATATAGCGTCGAGCTTACGCCCGGCGAAACGAGACATGGCGGTATATGTACTGGAAAAGGGAAGGATAGATGGTAAGAACCAGAACGAGGAAAAGTCAGAGGTGACTATGAAGTGTTTGACGCGGCTTGCCGAGCGGTCGGCCAGGTCCGCTTGTGGCACCCGCTCGAGAGATGGATGGAAGTAGCAATCTGGCTTGATAAAAGCCAGGTGCGCGCATGCTCATGCTTGGCAGCCGCTTCCTGGGTTGTGTTCGGTGTACTCCAGCATCCGGTTTTGAACGGGAGGAGATGGATGGATCGGTAGAAGTAGTCTTTCCAACGTTCTCTCTAGATTTTTGAACTTGTCTACCTCATAATCCATCCCAATGAATCCCATGACCAGTATCGGCTATCTTGAAAGGCATCATGATGCAATGCCGAGAGCTTGCTGTATTCGAGGTCAACGTTGGTGTACGGGTACGGCAATTACACGGGCGACGCGAAGAAGGCCACCAAACAGCAGCGGGTAGAATTACACTTATCGATGAGGCGGCAAGAGCACAACGTCACTGCCGGTGTAGGGGGCACCTTGGCAGCTATGACTTTGGAGTGGTGGACAAGATGTTCGCAATTTGCTTGACCCACCGTGGTGGTGGTTTGGATGCAATGCTTGTTGAGATTTGCCTCTGGTAAATGGGGACTGTATGAAAGCGGGTTTTCATTCCATTTTTGGTACATACCAACTCGACCTCTCTGCAAATGTCCATGCCGTAACGAGAGTGCAATGTCTGATTTGACCAAAGCTCTCAATCTAGGGCATTACCGGAATACCATATGGCTGACCTTTGGGGCTAGGCGGCGAGGGCTGCTGCTACGTCCTTCTCACTGCTGTCAAACATCAAGATAAGAGCCTGTATACGATCAGATTCCTTCCGCTCCTAATGTAATGTATAATCATAATTCGATAATGTGGCTTGATAAGTAAGACTCGGACGGTTTGGCCGAGATACATCAATGCATGTTACGTACCACTACCACGCCACGACAATCAGTCATAGTCGAGAGCACAATTTCCTAAAAGTCTCCAAGATCCAAATCCAGCTGAACCGTCCTCGCCACATACTGCTGAGGCGTCTCGCCCTTTTTCTGTCCGGAGGCTGGGGGAGCCTGAGGGATTTCGACGATGTCTGCTGTACTGGCTTCTGCTTGTTTTTGGGCGGCACTGAAAGCGATTCGTCGGTCTTGATTTACTAGACAAGGAGGCAGAACTCACAGTTTGGCCTTCACAACAGCCTCTTCGGCCTTCTTCCTCGCCTGAGCAGCCTGATGCGCTCTCATCATCGACTCCTTCGTCTTCCTCTTATTATTCTCGTTGATCTTTTGAATCTTCAAGTCATAATCATCTTGTCCAAGCTGCTCTCCTTCTCCAGCGAGGAGCTTGCCCGTAACGGGGTCACCACCAAGAGCGATGATGTCGGCGTTGAGTTTGTCGATCATGGAGTGATCATTTCTGCGAACAGCGAGGTCTCGGGTATTCATGAGCTGGTGGATCTTGAGGGTGGAGGCACGGGCGAAGGATGAGTCTTGGGCTCGGCGAGAGGCGACGCGACGGTCGATTTCAGACTGTTGGGATTAGTATAGGTTGTAAACTGCGGCAGGCGGCTTACGTTGGTCATGGGACGGTCTCGCAACGACTTGATATCCTCGTGCTTCTTCTTCAAAGTACTTCTCTTTGGAGGCTTGACGCCATCGGCCTCATTTGTCAGAGAAAACCTTTGGAACTCGGTCTGGGATCACGAACGTCAACGTAAGCGTTTGAGAAGAAGTCCATACTCACATCCTCGATAGCACCATTGGAAACGTCTGCCATTCTGAATAATCTTGACGCCGACCCGTACTTGCACAACAACGCCCTGTTGTCTTTGATCTGTCTCCCCTGATACTCAATACTGTAAGATCCAAATTGATGATTGGTGTCGACTTCCATGATCTTGTGGATTCGGTACTTGGGCCGGCCGACCTCGTCCCGGTCTTGCGACATGAGACGGACATACGCGCCTATGATGTGTGAGCAAAATACCATCGAAAGTGGGGGAACATACCCGAAATGACATCCTCAAACCCGTCCTTATGCATCATATCCACCAGCTCATACCTGCTCAGCCTCGCCGCCTCCAACTCCAGCCGGTTCGGAGGCATAGTGTCCATCTCATCTTCTTTACTGAGCGTTGATGCTTTGGGTGCGGGAGAAAGCGAGGGTTCGGGAGAGTAGGAGACGGATCGGTGATTGTTTTGGATCTCGCCTTCTTCTGATGAGCCGCCTGGGGAAGGGGAGCGGCGGGAGGATTTGCGTGCAGCAGACTATGCAAGTCAGTACAGTCTCGCCTAATAGACCGACTTTGACTCACTCTGCGCTGAGCGCGCTCATCCTTGGCCTTACGCTTATCCTTCAGCAGGTCCAATGCTTTAGAAGCCTTGTCCGTCACGCTCGTATGCTTGCGCCTCTTCCTAGCCCTCATATCCTCATCGTCAGACTCATCTCCGCCGTGAGCAGTCTTGAACATCGCATCCAAAGCCTGCGAGTCCTTGAACCTCTGCATCTCTTCTAAACGCCCAGCCAGGATGTTTTCTCTCTCGATTTCCGGAAGGTTTTCCAAGCTACAATTCGCGCATCAGGATATACCATCATGACTTGGAAGGGCACACTTACTAGTCTCTATCGTCCTCGCTGACGTATTTCCCCTCCACAGGATAAGGGTTTTTCATTGGCTCTTTTGCGCGCGATTGGGGAGCATCGCCCTCATCCTCAGACTCCATCTCCATATCCATCTCGCTCCCTTCGTCCGAGTCTTCGATGCTGGGGCTATATCAGCGGTGATCCGCAACACTGATACACGGGACATACTACGCCTTGCTCTTTCTCTTCCCCTTCTTGTGGTAGGTCGGGTCATCCTCGGCCAGACCAAGGAGCTCGTTTTCTAGGTCGGACATTGTCTAGCGGTGTTCTTTTGCGGAAGGAGCGGTTTATCTCGCGAAGCGTGTGTCGTACGCTTCTGTTTGTGCCGGCGTATGGGGTCGAAGGATGCTGTTCGAGACTTTAGGAGGGGCAGCCAAGGGTAACAACAAAAGAGGAGGGTTTTGTATGCATATCCAGAAAGACTTGAAGCCAAGTCAGTCAGTGGCTGTAAGAGGCTATGCCCCTGCTTATGTAACACCTTTTGGTCCCGCTACGACGCGACTGTCTGTGCACGATAACAAAAACAAACGAAAACATCCCATTTCAACTATCCACATCCATTCTCCCTTTCTCATTTTATTCTCTCGGCGAGCTCGACTGTCGCCATGGCCCCCTTCCCATCTCCTGCCAAGCCACGTCCCATCTCAAGACACCGCTCAGCAGAGCCCCTGCCGCCACCATTACCGCCAAAGGCCATCGATCTCAACAGTTCAACACGGTCAGCAGATCAGGAGACCAGCAGCAAAGTCACACGGAGAGCATTTCTGTGTGATGTTGTGGTGGAGAAACAAGGAGAAGGTTGGTGGGATGATAGACTGAGAGACACTGTGTTGACATGATACGTCATGTAGAGACCGCCAACCTCCTTGCTCATCTGGGAGAGCCCTTACAGCCACTATCAACACTACCAGCACCCGATACATCATCAAAGAGCTCTCCGACAACACCCTCACGGCTTTCACGACCTTCAGATGCCGACGATGAAGAGCGGGAAGATGCAGTGCCAGCGTGGACGGCTGCCAAGCGACACGAGATGGAGAAACGATTGGAGAACTTGATTGACGAGTTGGTACGGACAGAGAAGAGCTATTACTCGAGAATACATGCTCTCAAGACTGTGCGTTGTATAAGTATCTGCCTTGATGGACGGATTTCTGACTGCATCTAGGCCTATGCCGACAGACTACGCTTGTACTCGAAGGACCCCAATCAAGCACTTATTCCGCCATACGAGGCGAAGGCGATGTTTGCCAATATCGAGGCAATCGTCCCTGCTTGTCATTCTTTTTACACCGACCTTTGTGAGATGCTGGCGGCTGGACGCGCGGAAGACACTGTCGGAGATGTGTGTTTGAAACACGTAAGTCTGGCCCAGTAGATGGGAATGGCCCTGACATACGACAGTTCAAAACTTTGCGAACTTTTGATCCTTATAGGACATATCTGAGCAAACAGGACGAATCTCAGAAGCTCTTCCAAGAGTCATTGAAGAAGTTCTCAGGATTTGCTAGTTTTATCGAGGTTTGTCATGTCTACATTATGAGTGACGAGCGCTTATTTTGCCATTACAGAGTACCAAATACCAGACCACAGGCATTGGGAACATCGGCCTGAGAGAGCTTCTGATGGAACCTGTTCAACGTGTACCCCGGTATACCCTCCTGTGGCAAAGTGAGTACTGTTGCGCCATACATGCTCGTCGCGCTGACTACGGATAGCTATGATCAAGTGTATGTCTCCATTGTCCACTCAGCGGGCCAAGCTCCTTGAGGCGATTGCAATTGCTTCACGAATCGCTCGATGCGAACCAGATCCTCAAACTGTTCGGGCTACTGTCATGTACAATCTGGAGAGGAACATTGACGACTTCCCGGTATGTCAATTGCATGTTTCCCTTATCTTTATTACTGACTCTTTCCCAGGCCAAGCTGTTCAGCAACAATCGAGACTATATCGACGCCATCGATGTCGAGGACAATCCAGCTGAATACCCGACAATGCAGTCACCCAATGGGCGGCCACTGTCGACAATGTCTCGTGGCTCCATGTCTACTGCCTCCACCCCCTCTATGCCGGGATTCGGCTCCCTCCCGAATAGCTCCCAAATCCCCCAATCCCCTCAATTCAGCAACTCTGCTACACCTCCTCTACATTGTACCCTGTTCTTGTTTGATGACAAGCTTATGATTGTCAAACGACAATCGGCATCAATAAGCGGAAGAAAGGTCACAGGGACGGACGACGTGCAAAGACTTGTCAAGTCTGGAGGAGGAATTGCGGTCAAAGAGAAGAACAATGGGAAGAGGGACAAGCTCAGCTTCAAGGGAGAGGTGGACGTGCTCGATGTGATGGCGTCGGATGTCGGCAACGGGGAGTTTCACCTCTTTTTCAAAAACCCACCAGTCGACCAATCCGGCCGCTGGTCTGGTCGCGCCTTCCGCTCCTACTCCACCGTCCACCCACCTTACTCCGTCTCCCTTGATCCCATCGCTACGAAACGAGACAAGATGCGGTTTATCCACAATCTCTGGGCCGCTCAAGCTCTCGCACGAGCCAAAATACTGCCTTCCACCGAGAACAGGGCGGTGCCCAAGGTTTTGCAGAGTGAACAGGAAGTAGACTTTGAGGGTGCGCAGTTGGAGCGGGCGAGATGCTTCTGGGACGTCTGGGACAGGTCTACATGGGGAGGACAGCGGTTGGCCAGGGTGGTCGTTCATGTCGATGAAGATGGGGAGGCTCCGGAGCTTCTTCTCGACCCGCGCCGCCAAGAGCTCTCGGTCTATCTGCAACCTATGGCCGGGGGGCTTTGTCGATATGCGCATTCTGTCCCTGGTGAAGAAGAGGGAGAGAGAGCGGTCATCGAAATGAGCGAAGTGAGAGCAAAGATTGCTTCTACGAGTACGTTCGTTGCCCTTACCAATTCAATTCTGACTCTGTCACAGTTCATGAACACGGGATCTTCAAGTTCCGAACCGGCACAACGTCCTGTCCCACCACTCCCTCCACTGGTACCCACCGATACCGACCATCGATGCTCAACCTTGACACAATCTCCCGTAATCTGTTCGGCGCGAGCAGCGTCTCTGGCCGAAGCGGTACCAGCTCCGACATGTTTAGCACTTCTAGCTCGAAGCGAAACTCCCGACCCGCCATGAGCCGCTCGTCAACACTGGAGACGAGCCTGTGTTCGATGGAAGGACCCGAGGAAAAGGAGAAGGAGAAGGAGCCCAGCAAGAAGCGGTTCTCCAAGATGCCGGCGTCCCCGGAATCAGCCGGGCTGATTGCCGGGGCACCATATCCTTCCGGTACAGAGAAGATCGGGCAGAGCGAAAAGGACTTGAACTCGAGGTTGGATGTGGCAAGGCAGAACAGTCACTCTGCTTCTCTCAGCCCACGACCCAGTAGCACCTCCGTGAAAACGGCCAAGCTGGGGTCCAAGAGTGTGGCAGAGCTGCGCAGAAGCCACGAAGAGTTGGCGGAGAAAACGGTGGCAAGAGTCAACACGAGTAGGACACCTTCTCCTTTGCCACATCTCTCGCCGACACCTGCAACTGGTCGAACACCGTCTCCTCGCCGGCCCTTGTCATCCGAGACGGACGCCACTCCTCAAGCTCGATCACTGCCCACGCCCAAACCCTCTCTGGCGGTGAATACTGCTCCGCTCGTCATTCGGAAGACACCCAGTCGTACGCAGACTCTACGATCAGAGGGCTCGATTGCTTCCCCGCATAGAGTCCCCAGTCCCGCTCCTAACGGGGCGACGCTGAGTTCGCAGCCTTCACTCTCACGACCTTCTGGACCTAGGGGCCCTGCACCAAGGAGCCCTCAGCCCCACCCCCCTCCTCTGGCGACAGCATCCAGTGCTAGCTCGAGTGTTAGCACTGGGTCGACACCTTCTGCTATCGGGTCAGGTCACACTCGCCTCCGTATCGTCTCGGGCAATGGCCGTCGTATCTCCCTGAACCGCGAGACCATCCCTCTCAAGGGCGACGAAGAGAATACATCGCCAGCTACCAACACTCCCACCTCTCACAACCTTCCCCTTTCTATCAAACGCCAGCACTCTGCCGACTGCCTTTCTCCGCGTAAACGTTCTCCCTCTCTCAACAAGAGTCCTCTACTCGAGACGCCTTTGCAGCCCCTGGTCATTAGACGGACGAGCGCGCAAATGTCGGGGGCGAGTACGCCCAGACGGACTAGTGGCTTGGCGAATTCGAGGACGGTCTCAGCTTCTCAGCATTCGATCACGAGCGTGGCCAGTGCAGACACTGTCAACACTGTCGCGACCACGAGTGCAGAGGATGTCGAGATGAAGGAGCATGCAGATGTGGTCAGCGCGGTTGATGCTACTTTGAAAAAGGTGATTGCAAGCTGTTAACGATACTGATCTGCGGCTCACAATTTCTAGATCCATGACGCCAGAGGCTCCACTAAACGGCTGAAATCTGAAATGTCGAGCTTGAGGAAGCAGATGGTCAAGGACACTGTCAAGTCCAAGGAGTCACTCTCGGTCAAGATGGACAGACAAGGTTCGCTCCCAAGATCACCCCACAAACGGAATATGAGCGTAAGTATCTTATGATGTGTCATCACATGTTGGCTCATTTGTTCTCTAGCGCATTGCCGACCATGACATCAACGATCCCTCTCTTCATCGACAGCCCTCCCAGTCCAAGAAAGAGATAGACACTATCGTCATGGACGAGTGTGCTCGCGGTATCGTGCAGATCGTGCAGAGGGTGGATGGACATTTGAAGCAAGCCGAGACTGACGCGGGGCAGGCTGCGCAGTTGGCCAGGAAGGTCATGGGGGAGAACGACGAGGTGAGTGCAGTCTCAATACGATTAGTCGCGTGCTGACCGTTATTTAAGAAGATGCAGGAGATGGTGTCGATGAGGAACCAACTGCACAGGTCTAGAGAGCACAATGAGCTGTTGCAACGCCAATTGGGGGATTCGCAGATTGAGCTTGATGTTGTCTACGAAGCGTTTAACACTGAGCTAGACGGCATGTTCAACGACGCTCAACTGCCAGAAACCGAAGCTTTCCAGGCTCTGCGGAACGACCTCCAAGTGACCAAGGCGAACAGGAACGTGCTGCAGTTGGAGAACCAGAAACTGAAGCGGGAGTTGGAGGAGGCAAATCTGAAGAGGGAGCAGTGAGTCCTATATGGCGATTCTGGAATGGGACACTGACGTAGTGCACAGGTGGGCGAGGATCTTGCGGACACAGGGTTTCAACGTGTAACATATGGTATCCTCTTCTTGTCAAAAATGGACACTTTCATTTGTATATAGTACGAGTGCTTGTTCAAAATGGGTGTCTGTGAACCCCAACTTTCGCATACATGAACGCATTTCTAGAGGTTATGACACGCATATTTTTTGACAGAATGGCGTGACATGCATGCAAGATACACAAGACGAGTCATTGATCCGATCTTTCCGACCTAGATGCTATATGCATACCCAAATGGTGAAGACAATATCTACAAACATAAACCCCCGCTTCTCTTCACAGTTCACCTTCCTCTTATATACAAGTCACGTCCCACAGCTCTTACTTGCTCTGCTCCTTGATCATGTCTTGGTATTCACACAATCGCAAGAGGTTTCGCTGGAGCATGGTGATGGTCATGACACCAACTGAGGGGACATAGATAGAAGCCTGTGATACTGTCAGTTTCTGACCTGTATATAGGAGGAAGGAGGACCTACTCGTTCTCTCACATCAGCCTCAAAGTTCTTCTCCCCGGCAACGTTCACACAGATACACCCATCCTTCAACTCTTTCGTGGGCACCTTGAAGCTGTCCACGGGCACGGCAGAGATGACAACATCAGAGATGTTGAGCGCCTTGGCAAGCGTCATATCCGGGAGAGGCGTAGTGATGTGGTGCTGACCAAGAGATCTCTTGTCATCTTCCGTGGAAGGACGCTTGGAGAACTCGACGATAGAGTCCAAGTCGACCGAGATGACGCGCGCACCGTCATTTGCGAGGAGGGCCGCAAGGGGTCGACCGACGACTTCCGATCGGTTGATCACAGTGATGACCTTTCCCCTCGCACGATCACCATAAGCCAGTAGCTTGTTGTAGACGCCGATATGTTCCAGCACCTTGACGATTGCCAAAGGTGTACAAGGCAAGATGCTCTTGACGGTGCCTTCTGGGGCGATATCGTCGTTGGCCGGCTTACCCTTGCTGGGGAGGGCTTCGGCAATGTGGGAAGCGGGAATGGGGCGGAGAGTGGAGGGGTTGATGAAACGGGTGTTGTGGTAGAGATTGAAGAGGAACTGGTGATTGAGACCTTCAACGTCTTTTTGGGGTGACAGGACGGATTGGAGGTACTGGTCTTGACGACCACCATAGATGGGGTAGTAGACCATAAGCCCATCAACATCAGGATCTTCGTTGGCCTTCGAGAGATCAGGATATGTGCGTCTTTCGACCGGCTCTACGCACCTCAAGGATGGCCTCCTCGACTTCAATTCCAACACCCTCGCCGTCCATACCCTCACGAGCCTCACCGACGAGCCTCAACTCATAGTTGATACCGAGCTGCTCGCAAGCCTTTTTTGTAAACTCGGCGTATGTCCTGGCGTCCTCCTTTTTTGTCGCGAGAATACCGACGAGATGGGGCGGGCGAGACGCGAAACGGGGGGTGGAGAGGGTGTTGAGGAGCTCAGACTTGAATGGGGTAGCCACCTTGGAGGCGGTGACGAGGATACCTTGCGAGGACATGCTGGCGATGCTCCGGGTAGTGGGTAGTGGAGAGGAGTTCGGAGGTGCCCACGAATATCGTTGCCCAAAAATCAGAGAACATGAAATGCCAGGTACATTACGTAATCAAACTCGATCCGTTGACCCGCCGACGACGCGACCATCACCATGCAATCAACCTTCTTCGACCTGCATTTATGTTGAGTCTGATGTGCCATGTGTTTGGCCATCATGAGGAGTAGACGTCGACTAATGTGGAGTAAAATCTGAAAAGAAGAAGGGTGCGTTTACTTACGGGATGATCTTGGCAATAACACCGTCGTTGAGTGATCTGAATGCAAGCACATGTGATATGATTCATAGGCAAGGTCATGTATATATATATCTAGATACAAAGATCATAACAAGAAAAAGGTAATGTATGTAATTGTCAGTTCATATACAAGGTCGTCAAAAAGGGTCGTCAAATTGTCCAAGCAGGTGGTAGTCTCTCCTCAAGATCCCCTCATCTCCTCCTTCGCACGCAAATCACATCTCTAGAATAGATCCCATGAACGTCTGGTTGTCGTCGTTGAATTTGTGGTGGTGATACCCTAGAGCCTCAAGTCAGTTTTGACGAACGAGCATGCTAAGGGTGGGATGAACGCACGGTGCCGGTACAGTGCTCGTTGGAGCTTGTCGGGATACAAGAAAGGTATTTACACCACTCGCAAGCCGCATTGGGATCATCCGTGTCTGTAACGATTCTTATCAGCATGTATCCAACATGGTTGGTATGAACTTTACGCACAAAAGTTCTTGATGGTGGTGACCATCGCCACAATAACCAGCACCAAGGCTACCACCCTACATCCCCATACGATATACTTGTGTCTATTCGTTTCAGAGATGGAGGGATAAAGGATAATGCCGCAGAGAATCCCCATAGCCCAGCCGCCTAGATGGGCGAGACCATCAACAGCGTTGGGACTGGGACGCCGTCAGCTGCCGTCCTGCTAAAAGTAGGGAGGTGGCTCACATATAGCCGATAGCGAAACCTATGCCAAACTCGAGGAATAGCAAGAATGCTTTGAGTCTCGGGCGTTCTTCGTACTTCCAATGCAAGACCAAATCCACCAACACGCACGCATTCTACTTCTCTATCAGCATCCCAACTCCAAACCACCCAAGTAAACAGCTTACAGTCGCAAACAACGCTCCACTCGCCCCCACACTAGGCACCCCAACTCTCGAAAAGTTGCCTCCCAGCACAAAACCATATATCCCTCCAAGCGTGTAGGTGATCAAGAAGGGGATAGTGCCCATTTCGCGTTCGACTTGGGCGGCAGGGTGATCTGGGCGAGCATGTTGAGGATGAAGTGGATGATGCCGACGTGCATGAGGATTGGGAGGATGAAACGCCACCACTCTGAGTAATGTTGTCAGTAAGGTCGAGGAATGGGGGAAGAGGCGACTTACGGTCTGGGGTGTTGCCGTTGAAGCCGCCGTGTCCGCAAATCTCTTCTATCGTACACGAAGTCGTTGGAGTGCTAAATTCTAGTCAGCATTTCAAGCCAATCAGCCAAAGAGCTCACCTTGAAGTATCATTGAGACAAGCTAGTTCAAAAGTCGCAGGCAATGCCGAGACATTCTTCATGCAAGGCGGGAATCGGGCGCCAATATTGATGAGAACTTCAGCCGAAGGACCAATCATGTAGTTGAACGTGGGCCTGATAGCGATGGGTGTACCCATAGCCTGGTAGTTGCGGACCATTTCGTAGATCATGACTCCGAGCATGGCTATGGTTGATCAGCAGAGAAACCAATAGATTGATTGTACGCACCAGCAGTCAGAGCCCACGTCGCAACCGGTATTCTCTGCCCGCCTAGCCCTCGTCTCTTCCTCTCAATCGCCTGTTCGATGGGATAAGCCCCCGTCTTGATTCCGACCATTGCCAGTAGCCTATCCAGGCCTGTAGGGAAGAGGAGCAAGGTGTACAAGTTGCTTGGAGTGGTATAGTTTGCAAAGCCTGAGAGATTGGCGTCTTGGGGTGGGGGTGGATATGGGTAGGGCGACTCTTGATAAGGATTCTTGTACGGATCAGAGCCATAGCTCGAGGCCGGGTGCACATTGCCCATCTCCATATCCTCAGTCCCCTTCGCCAAACTCATATTTGTCGACGCAGGGCGCATTCTCTCTGAATGATAATACTCTCCATCCTCGTCGATATAGCTTAGCCCGCTATAGCTCGGTTTCTTGTTCACGTGCCCATTCATCTGACTGCCCTCGCCACCCAAAGGTACGAGATTCGCCTGTGGCAGAGGAAATGCGGTAGGATGATGAGGTAGCGACCGCTGAGAAGCAGAGTCCCATGGACCGAGAGATGGCGAGGCAGTGACGATACGGTCTCGGTACGGCTCCTGATCTTCTTCGTAGGGCGTTCCGTAGCTGTACCCGTCGTTCGGCTGGTTGGCGCTCAAAAGCCCTACATCCTGCTCGCCATGTCTCGCCTCGTCGTGAGGCGCATACGCCCCGGACGCGCCCCTGTAATCAGACATGACACCTTGCGCCGGACTGTACCCGTCGTCGCGGTGCTCGACCGGCTCGAGGACGGTGGTGCCACTTTCGATGGATGATTGATGAGGATACGGCATCTGGGAGGACGTAGGGGTGGATGGGAATGCGGGGCCAGCGTTGGCGAGCGAAGAGGAGGCGAGGTATGGGTTGTCGTAGGAGGGAGGATTTTGGGATGATGACTTGGGGGGCATATTGTAAGGCGACTTGGAAGCGACTGTTTATTTGGTACAGCGCACAGCTTCAGGCGCCCGCAGTAAATCCTTTCTTTTCGCGTAGGCCGTGAGAGTCGTGGTTAGGATGGGAGGATGTCCATGAAAAGTCTTCTCCCTTCCCTGCGCTGAAACAGGGTGGCCCCAGGAACATCACAAACAGTGACAGCATGCCGCTCGCCAGTCGTGACGTGGACCGTCCGTCACTCAACTCCTGCATCATCCGCTCACTCGCTCTTGTCCGGCACTGCTTGCAGAGTGAAGCATATTGTGGAGTAGTGTTCGTGCCTATTGTACTGTGCAGTGAAGATTCTATCATGATGACAGGTCGATTTGGAAAGGTGCTCCAGCTCTTGTCTTGCGCTGACATTCAGAGCTCATCAGGGAAAACGACCAAATTGACGATGGCCTCTATGATCTCGGGTCTGCTGAGATCTCTCATGAATAGCTTCTTGGCGCCAGAGTCCCCTTGAACCTCCGCGCACTACACCGGTCTGCCTTCCTTGTCTTGTCTTGCCGCATAGAACACCGCATCGTGAACTCCATGCCATCTCGGCGCACCCACCATGCCTAAGATATCTTGCCTGCATACTGTACATCGCCAGAAGCAACAAATTCTACCCTGCATGCGCGCGTATCATCGACGCGACGCGACCATGATCGACGAGATTAATGGCGAGCTTCATTCTGCCATGTATTCGCCCAGATTTGTGTGGATCTCGCCATGAGCTCCGTTTCCACCCTATCTCGGAGCCTTCTTTCCTACTTGACCCGAGTGACGCCTTAGATCTTTGACCTTATCGGTCTATTTGTATCATTTGTGCCATTCGCTTTCCCTGTCGCCTGCTCGGGCAATGCCGGTGTGTCGGTTAATTGCGAATACCTTGCTGAAAATTAATCGGGGTGTTATACTTAAATTTCACAAACATTCATACAAATCTATGTGATATTATGGGTATTGGGCACGACTAAATGTTTTGGGCATTCTATTCCTTGATACCGGCGGGCAAGATTCGAAAAGAACGATGTTAATCGTCAGTGGAGATTCGAAAATCATCAACAGCGCTCTTTTTCGTGGGGGGCCATTGCATAATTGCATTTACATCCACCTTTCATCTCTCATCACCCCAACATCCACCGCCATGTACAGAGCGAGGTGAGCACTATCCCACATCCCTCTACGGCGCTCCCGGAGAAGAGCGAACCTCCACATCGCGGGATACCTGTGAGGTGGGGGCTTGCCCCTTTCTTTCCGCCCTTTCTCTTCTCTATCTCTTCTCTATCCATCCTGCTCTGCGAATATCACTCACACGCTCTACAGTTCCACCTCAGCCCTCACACGAGTGGCTGCGTCTCGTGTCGCCCTCCGCCAGCCTGCCCTTGCTGCCCGACAGTCTAGAAACCTCACGCGGCCCAGCATCACCGCCGAGGACAAGAACTTGGTGCCCGTACGGTCAGTCTATTTTCATTGAAGGACTGTATCATGTACTGCGGGGTGCAATGAGATGTGATTGGGGCGACGTCTCGTGTGGGTGGATCGGCCGACGCACACCTCTGACGTGCTGTTTCCTACTATGGAGCTGTATCGGTTGGATCATTCTGGCTTTGCCGCTGCCACAACTGGGCAGCTTATGTCAGGATGTGGTCCTTGACGTGTGCTCTCGGGTGGATCTTGGTTCAATCTGCGCCAGTCCCAGCTTTTCAGTCTCCCCGCCCCGTCACTATGGAGATCCAATGCTGACTATGTATGCTCTTCAGAACAAATCTCAAAGGTGTGTACAACGCTACAAGCTATGAGACATTCTCAGTAGCTACTAGGCGATACATCGAGGTTTGACGAATACTGACGCCCATTCTCCGCTCGCAGGTTCTGCCTTGCTGAATACTCCTCGTGTAGGTTGTCTACGCTTTCGTCGTTTCTTGCTAACTTTTGCTTTTAGCTCAACAAGGGTGCCGGTTTCACTCGTGAAGAACGTCAAATTTTCGGCCTTGAAGGGTTCTTGCCCTACGATGTGCACTCTCTCGAAAAGCAGGCTCTGAGAGCGTACAACCAGCTGTGCAAGGTGAGCATTGCCCGCAAAAGATCAACGCCGTATGCTCATTTTGTATCTAGCAACCCTCCGTTATCCTCAAGCACGCCTTCCTCGCTTCCCTGCGTGACCAAAATCAAGTCTTGTTCTACAAGCTCATGCAAGATCGACTCAAGGAGCTTCTCGGTGTCCTTTATACTCCCGGTGCTGCCGAGGCCGTTGCCGGTTACTCTTCCCTTTTCAGAAGACCTGTCGGTTGTTACATTGTATGTCTTGCCCTCACTGAAAAGGCTCCCCTGACGATGTGACAGTCTTTCCCCAATCAAGATGGTATGCGCGCCCAGCTCCAAGGCCATCTCTCCGATATCAACCGTACCGCCGACGTTGCCTACGACTCCCAAAACCCCAACGACGCCATCGACCTTGTCGTCGTGACCGACTCTGAGGCCATTCTCGGTATCGGAGACCAAGGTGTCGGCGGTATCACCATCTCCACCTCCAAAGCCGCGCTCTACACCCTTGGTGCTGGTATCAACCCCAACCGTATCCTCCCCGTCGTGCTCGACTGCGGTACCGACAACCACGCGCTCTTTTCGGATTCGCTCTACATGGGTTGGAAGAGGACCAGGATTAGGGGAAAGAACTATGACAAGTACATTGACAGGTTCATTGCCAACTGCCGAGAGCTGTTCCCCAACGCCATCATCCACTTTGAGGACTTTGGTATGGCGAACGCGTACAGGTTGATGGAAAAGTACAAGGATATTCCTATGTTTAACGATGACATCCAGGGTACTGGTGCTGTCGCTCTTGCGGCTTTGCTTTCGTGAGTATTTTCTTTATCTTCTGGCCAGTGCTAATAATAATACCCCAGCGCTATCAAGGTCAGCGGTTCTAGCCTCGCCGACCAACGTATTGTCATCTACGGTGCCGGCTCCGCCGGTATGGGTATCGCCGACCAGATCAAGGACGGTCTTCAAATCCTCAACGGTCTCTCCCCCTCTGAAGCCGCCAAGCGATTCTGGTGTGTCGACCGACACGGTCTCCTCGTCCAATCTCAAGGCAACGCACTCCGACACTCCCAGCTCCCCTACGCCAGGCCCGATGCCGAGGTGCAAAATTGGTCCAAGGAGGATGAGGAGAGGGAAGGTTACTGGTTGATGGATGTGATCAAGAATGTCAAGCCGACGGTGCTCATTGGCACGTCGACGCATTCTAGGGCGTTCAACGAGGAGTTGATCAGGGAGATGGGCAAGCACGTCGAGAGGCCTATAATCGTGAGTCTGTCTCTTCATGGGTTGCCGCCATGCTGACATGCTATAGTTCCCCATGTCCAACCCCACTGCTTTGTGTGAGGTCGACCCCACCGATGCCCTTGCCTGGACCGAAGGCCGCGCCCTCGTCGCCACCGGTTCACCCTTCCCCCCTGTTCCTCTCGCCGACGGCAAAGAGTACGTTGTCGCCCAAACCAACAACGCCCTCATCTACCCCGCCCTCGGTCTCGGTGCCATCCTCTCTCGCTCCAAGACCATCTCCAACTCCATGCTCATGGCCGGTGTCAACTCGCTCGCCTCGCTCTCGCCCGCGCTCTCAAATCCCGAGGCGTCGCTCTTGCCGGATTTGGCTGATGTGCGAAAGGTGTCGGTGGACGTTGCGGCCGCGGTGGTCAGGCAGGCTGTGGAGGATGGCAATGCGTACGACGAAGTCACCATCAAGTATGCCACAGGGAAGGGTGAATCGTCGCTTGAGGATTACATCAGGAGCAGGATGTGGGACGCTGTCTACCGACCGCTCGAGTTGGTTGATTAGGCGGTGATGCGAGTGCAGGGAGAGGAGCATGGACTTGTTGCTTGGTCTTTTTTTTGGTGTCTACATTACATAGAGTGTCTTGCGTTTTCTGCGGGCGCATTAGAATGTGCAAATGCATCATCATTTGTTGAATCATAGTCCGCACATATAGTACAGACTTCTCGTAGCTTAGGTGACACGTCGGCGGGGGCGCTTTCGCAAGTACGGCGAGGGTGGCGAATTAGTGATCAAACAGGGAAAGAGAAGATAACAAGGGCGTTCACAATATTACTTCTGCCCCTGTCTCGTTCTAGAAGCTATAGATTGTCGACAGAAGACGTGCCCTATACTAGCGGCGAGAATCGCAGAGAAAGCGAGGTCATATAAGGACCTTGCATGTTACAATACATGATAAGAGGCAAATGTTTCTCCTCCTCGTTCTCGATGATATCAGCCAGTCGATATAGTAGATACTATATGGTAGTTCAAATGAAGTATTCTTTCGGAACCCTTTGGTACACCTGCCCCTTGTTTTCCCCTTCTTCGTCTTGCTTCCAAAGATCTACATCGTCTTGGAGCTTGAAAGCGGCACAGCAGGGACAATACTGCGGCCCCTTGAAGATGCAGTCCTCCAGCTCCTGCCTTTGTCCCTTTTGGATGTCCCTGCTGTCGATGATAGCTACAGCACGGTCGTCGCAAGTGTCACGTTTCCCTTTCTCATCAGTACTCGTGTTGTAACAGGCCACTGAGTCTATAGTAGAAGACTTCCAGGTATGAAGGTTGGTGAATCTGACTTGAGGAACAGTCAAGCTATGTTCCAGATGAGCCCCGAACGTGCTGCAAAGTACTCTAATGTACCTGTTCCGGTAACTCTGGGATGCCTCCGCCACCTCGTCGACCAATTGGGACAGCCACCCCAAGCAGCACTCGACCTGTTTATCACCCTTGTTGTACTCGTCATCCACTTGCTCATCGTAGACCTCAGGAGAGAGGTCGAGAATGAGATCCAGGGGACCCAGCATGGGAGGGATCACATCAAGTTTGGCGTTGTGTATGATGAGCTTGTAGCATGTGAACGCCTGCGGTGCCCATGAAAACATGCACAGCTCTTGACCAAGCCGGGCGTTACCGTTTTCGGGCCAGTGGATGCAGACAGTAGAGATTTGCCAAGGGAGGTAGGTGTATAGGAGTTCCAGTGGGCACTGAAGCTCTCGTTCAGCACTCGCCGCTACCTCAGACACATGTTCCATATACTCCTTGCCAATGATGAGGTTCTCGATGCCTTGAAAGAACGGTTGAGGGGACTTTGGCATCTTGTCTTGTCTGAGGGAGCGCAGTTGTTCTTCGACTGGTGGGCCCAGATGCTCGGCGCCAGTTATGCGAGACGGAAGGTAAAGAGACACACAGTGTCTCGCCAGCAGAAGCTTCCTGAAAGCTGGCGGGTAGAAGATGGGGATGTAAAGAGGTGCTTGCCTCTTGTTAGATAGAAGTTCCAACAACGACGAGTCGGCGGGGAACTCGCAATCCGAATCACAACCTCTCCATAACTTCGCCATGTTTTCCCCGTCGAGAGTCATCTCGCGGTACAGCTCCTTGGCGTGGACGGCATAGACAGCTTGCTCGAGGCAGAGGAGGTCGATAAAGTGGGAATTGCAAGTGGTAGTGGTAAGGAGGAAGCAGAGAATTCGACTTTTGATCTCTGGGGGGAAGGGGAGGGGCTCGATTAGGGCGGGGTCGGGGGCGCATGTGCAGGGCATGTTGTTGGCCAGAGCTGTGGGAGGTTGGCTCATGAAGGTGACTTATATACCACCTGCTTACTTCTTGTTTTGCGTAAAGTAAAAAGAGAAAGAAGAGCAGCGATACCACCACCTGTTGTACGCTTGACGACGCGGTGATCCGAGCGCTTACTCGCCTTCCCCTTTGCAAGAAAGAATCAGCAACAGTGATATCGGCACACATTTCCCTGAGTGAGCATCATGAAACTGTTCTGAAAACTGGAAATATATGACGTGGGCCGAGAGAGGTAGCAGAGCTCAACAAGTCAAAGCGAACTCAATAGATATGTAGAAAGTAGACAAGCTCGTTGAATGACGAAAGCAGCAGAAGATGCAGCATAAGCGATCCATCGAACTCAGTATATACATCGACCCAGTACAGAGCATCCTCCGCATTGCCGACATCACCCGCCACTCCAAATCAGAGCCCAAAGTCCCTGAAGATCCTGTCGTATACGTCCTCTTTCGACACCCTGTCGTATACTTCTCCCTTCTTATTCTTGGCACCTACATAGTGCCAGAGGTCAACATCACCCTGTGGCACAAAAAGAGCACAGCAATGACAGTGTCGCGGGCCCATATCGCGGGGGAAGAAATCTTCAAGCACCATCTGCTCTTCATCGCTAAACCCACTAGCAGCGTCGTTGACGACAGTCCCAGTGTCGTCGGACCACCCGTCACCACCCAATTCGACGTCGGTGTTGTAGCGTAAAACGGAGTTGGGAGTGCTAGACTTCCATGTGTAAAGATTCGCGAACGTAAGGTCAGGAAGAGAACGGATTCTATCAGATGTGTTAGCTAAAGCGCTGTGATGTGGTCTAAGGATGGCTGTGGCGTACGCGTGTCCATCGTCTGCCGACGACAACAGCTCTTCAACCAAGGTTGTCAGCCACTTGTAGCAGACATTTGCCTTCTTGTAGCCCAAGCGGCGCTCATCCATTCCCTTGATGTATGGCTCAGGAGCGAGGTCGAGGACGAGCTTTTGGAGGTCGAAGATGGGAGGAAGTTGGTCGGGGTCGGCATTGTGAATGACGAGCTTCTTGCATACGAGGGTTTTGGACGACAAAAGATTGTTCAGCTCTTCTCCGAGCTCTTCGTGGGCTTCGTCCGGCCAGTATATGCAGACGGAGGACAGGGTTCGAGGGATGAATTCGGAAATGAATCCGAGGGGTGTCACGAGGTCCATATCTTCCTCCAGCGCCTCCGAGATGTACGCCAAGTACTCCTCCCCGATGATAAGGTTCTCGACGCCACAGAAGAGTGGTGCATTGACATCAAGCCTCTCCATGAGGGGCAAGAGGCGTTCCGGTACTGAGCCAGGACACCAGTCTGCGGCATCGCCGGTGCGAAGGTGCAGAGACGAACAGTGTCTGACAAGCAAGAGCTTCCGGACGGCCGAGGGATACGAGAAGGGGATTCGAGAGGGTGGGTTTTGCTTCTCGTCAGAGTAAAGCTCCAGCACAGACTCGTCGGGCAGCTCGTCTAGGTCGACATCAAAGTCGCAGCCCTCCCATAAGGCCGCGACGCTGTCGCCGTCCAGAGTCACCTGGCGATAGAGTTCCTTGGCGTGGAAGGCGTACACGGCCTTTTCGAGGCAAAGGAGATCGATGAAATGGCCATTGCAGGTGGTGGTAGTGAGAAGGAAGTGGAGAATTCGATTTTTGATTTCCGGAGGGAATGGGAGAGGCGTAAGTAGGCCAGAGGCGGTCGCGCAGGTGCACGGCATGGTGAGGGGAGAGCTGTGGGACGTGAGTAGGCGTGACTGATGGCTCACATGGGACTCACGATGTTACCCGCTGTATGACGAGAGAGGCGAAAAAGATGTACAAACACAAAATGAATTGTGAATTACAAATGTGTATGTATGTCGGACCAGACAGCTCCGAAGAGACACACACAGAGGACAGCTCCTTCGCGGGGGTCCAAGCGCTCGCTCTCGTGAGACTCTCCTGACTCCATCCGGGGCGAGGGAATCGATACATAGCATCATTCGCTCAGATTCTTTTGACTTGTGATGCATATTGACAATGTTCTTTACACGAAGTTTCTCACGACCTATACTTGACAAAGCTCAAATTTCAAATCTTCCACCACTTGTCCTTGCCGGAATCAAGAGGCTCGTCCTTCAACCACCTGCCAAACATCCTCAACGCTCCTTCTTGGTCATCATGAGGGACCATGTGACCCGCGTTGGCAAACGCCACGAAGGCAACGTTGCCAGAACCCTTCCCGCCAGAAGACTTGGTGTAGCCAAAGACGTCGCCGCTGGGAGATGTAAAGTTGGCGATGGGGGAAGAGAGGTATGCGGCTTGGTAAGTCGAGGGGAGGTTGTCAAGTACTGCAGCGCAGCCGATAAAGTTTACAACTGATATATGTCAGCTCATGCTCTGATGAAGATGGGTGGACATACGCATATCGGCCTCGCCAGAGTAGATCAAGACTCGGATATCATCATCCACCAAATCAGTCAAGAGACCACCGGCATAGTGCATCCCGTCACCGTGCAGCAAGCTATTGTACGTCAGCCTTGTTTCGACACCTCACCTACACACTCATCCACACTTACAAGTTCTGGTTGATCTGCATGTTGCAGCTCTGGAAATCCACAGAATCCGGCGCACCAAGCTCCTTCTTGACCTCTGGCTTGTTCAGGTATGTCTCCATCCAGCCCATCTCCTTGTAGCAGAGCGGTCCGTCCTTCTCTGGCGACTTGTCGCACGTCTTTCGCACATCGTACATGTTCAAGCCGAGGTTCTGGAGGTCGTTGAACATGGACCAGCAGAAGAGGGCGGCGGGGACGCAGGTGAATCGGCTGTTGGTGCGGTAGCAGCCGGAAATGAGGTTCTGGCATCGACTAGCTTTGGAGCGGAGGCTGTCGCATTCAGGAGAAGGGTCTTCGTAAGGAGCGTAAGGACCGTTACAAGCCCACCTAGGTTATGTCAGCTTGGTATCGACTGTTGCGGGCGACTTACTCGGGGACGGAACCAAACTGCGAATAGGGGTCGGTCAAACCGTTACCGATAAGGAGCGACTTGAGGTTGATCTTGGGAACGCTAAGCGTGGAGACCAAATCGAGTGCCTTGTTGTTCTTATGAATGACGCTGCCAATGTTGGGGATATAAGTCCCGGCGTAGGACTCGCCAGCGACGTGGAAATCGAGTTTGGAGTATTCGCGGAACTGATCATCGTCAGCTGCGGCCATCATATCTCAGACGAAGCGTACTTTGGAGATGAACAAGATCAAGAAGGCATACACGTCCTCGGCCGCTGCAGGCGAGTTGTTCACTTCACCCTCGTCCGCATACGAGTATCCCACTCCGATCGGCTGGTCGAGATACAAAACATTCGCGACCGAGTTCCAAGCGTAGTCATTCCTGGTCACGTTTTCGCCTTTGTCCTTGATGTTGCACCCTCCGAGCTCGAACAGTGCACCTGTGGAGCTAGAGCAACCGGGCCCTCCGTTCAGCCAGAGAACAAGAGGATCCTCGGCAGATTTAGACCGAGACCCTTGGAACCAGAAGAACAGGTGTCGAGTCTCGGAGATATCGAGGTAACCAGACAGCTGATCGACTGACGGGTCGCAGAGTTCCGGCTTGACGACACGCATGCGGTGCAGGGGGAACGCAGGGTGTGATACGGAGAGGTCTGCGCTAGGCATCAGCTTTGCTATACCAAGTACAGAATGGTTTCTGCGCTGGGAGAATCTTGGGCGGGGTTTTACGCGCAGAAGACGATCGTCGGAATGACAAACTTACATTCAATTCCGTTCATATCAACAGTGTTGACATTAAGCTCTCCATCAAGGCCATTCTCGATACCCTGCCATCCGTGCTGGGCGGAGGTCTTTGTGGCAGAGACGGCGCCCTGCAGCCATGCCTGGGCGAGAGAGATGGCGTTGGTGGCAACTTCTGAGGGTCGAAGCAAGCTTGGAAGAGCTAGAGTAGGAGTGGCCAGGAGGGCCAGAGTGGTGAGACGCATCTTGGGGGATGTATAGTAGAGCTGGAAAATGAAAGAGGATATGATCGCAGCAGCACAATTGATGCAACCAAGATGCAACGGTCCGTCATGATTGACGCATGCGGCAATCGGACAAGCCCGCCGCCGGGCACCCGACCGGCCCGGATTATTTCTCACCCCACTTTGGGTGGCCATGTGTTTCGTTCTTTCAACCAGCTTTCAACTTGCTTTCAACCAACTTTCAACTGTCTTTCGGTTGCTGTCCGTTCGTGGAGATGTCGAGCCAGCGTTGTTCTCTTCTGGCATGTCAGCTCTTTTGACGCCCAGCCTTCACCCGCTCGCTTCAGATCATGTACTTGCCCAGTTGCTGGCCCGGGACCATGCTTGCAAAGGATGTTTCGCCCCAAACTTTTTCCTCGTCTCCCTAGTATGTCGACCTACCTCTTTGGCAGTGTCCTGCCTATGGGGCGCCATCGCGTCTTGATGCAGGGGATCATAATCCTCCGCAGTGCAATCCAGAAAGCCTAGACTTTCTTCCGGGTTCATCGTAGAATTAGTGTCGCCGAGGAGGTGGGAGTTGCCTTGTGCGAGCAACACTTGTCAGATGCAGAGGGCAAGAATCCTTTCCGACAGGGCAGCCGATGAAATTGTCCCTAGGGGTTGTCCATTACTTCACCCCAGGGAGCTTTACCTCACTCGAATACGGCAGATTCACACCTCTTCGTCGGCACTCCTTCCAAAATGTACCCGGGAGAAAGACTAGGCTTTCTGGATTGCACTGCCGAGGAGCATCATCCCCTGTATCGAAACGTGAGTCTTTCTCTTTCAGATCTTTCCTACAATACTCATATACCGAGATCCTGCGTGTCGTAGCATAACAGGCTCTCTTGCAACGTCATTTCAGTTGTTTTATGCGAGTCGGACAAGCACAACGTCCGTGATGCACTCTGTAAGTCTGCTGTAAGTTGAAAGCTACTGTTTGATCGGCATTCCGCCCTATAGAAACTGACAATGGTTGATGCAGTGATTGCACCGGGGGTTCATCAAGAGCAAATGGAATTGCAACCCCTGTCCCACCAACAGACGCTTCAGCACATCACCCAGGCGGGCAGCATTCGAGGCCCTTTCGTTGGAAACGTGCAAAGCTCCACACGTAACCTGCGCTTATACGAACCACAGGAGCACGCTTCTCACGAGGGCGTCCAGCACCAATGTCCATCCTGTCCAGCGACCTTTGGCTATAAGACGGTTGCCGAGCGCCACGTACGCGTCTCATCATAGGCGACGTAGGCCTGCGCTCATCGGCCGCACAGTTCAAGGTCATCCACCAGGGCGTACGGCATAAGTGCCCAGAGTGCATTGGAACTTTCAATTTCACGGGGTCTGTCGCCAGACATGTATGTCTACTTACGAGTGACCTGAATATGCGCTTATCCGAACTTCAGTTCGATACCGCCCATCTACACAAACGGTATAAAAGTTCAGACCCTCGCTGTGTCGCGAGCCCCAATTCGCTGAAAGTTCACGTAAGTAACTACTTCTGAGATACTGCCTGGACTTACCGGTCCACCAGCACGACGCGGTCCACAAGGGTGACCGCTTCTACTGCAGGCGGCCCATCTGCGACAATGAGACCCCGTACAAGACTTCAAAGGCTCGAAACGCCAACGTACGTATTCACTTTCGCGGAACTCATTCGGGGCGGTCATTCGCGCTGATCGATACCCCAGGAGAAAAGCCATGATGGCGTCCGCTATCAATGTCGTTACTGCCCCCAGCAGTATGCGCATACTAAAAGCAGGAGTTGTCACGTACCTATATACTTCTGGGAGACCGAATCTGCGCTCATTGATCCTCCAGGAGCTCAAGGAGCACCGGTAAATATTCACGACTACTCCATTTAGCCGCGTTATGTGTACCTTTCACCAGGACTGGACGTTCAGACTGCTGTATATAGCTGGTTGAAAAGATGCATCACCACTTGAGTACAGCTGGCTCGCGAGTCGTGTCTGGGCAAGATGGAGGAACGGCTGGTCGCGTTGAACCAGCAGGCAACGCTCGCTGCGATATGCTACTGTTTCCTGTGATGCATATTGACAATGGCTCTGATACCAATTTCGCACGACCTCTGGCTGACACAGCTCAAATATCCAGAGCTCCGTCTTTTGTCCTTCTCAAGTATGCAAAGGCAGACCATCCTCAACGCACACGGTCACCCGACCGGTGAACGACCCTTTTTGCACCCCCCACTTTGGCGTGGCGGTCACTGAGCAGACTACTACTATGATGTTCTTTTGATCAGCATTCTCAGAATCGTATCCTGCTTGTGACTCTGCATATCCCTACAAACCGCCAAATACGGCCCCATGGAGTCTGATATAGATCCCAGGTTTCTCGACGACGAGGGTGGTAAGCGCTCTTCACAACAATCATGAATTAGCTCACCCCTTTTTATAGACGTCTGCCGAGTATGTCGAACCGGCGCCGAGGAAGACTTGCCACTCGTCTATCCCTGCAAATGCTCAGGCTCAGTCAGATATGTCCACCCGGACTGGTGAGTGGTAACATGCATCAAGGGGCCAAGCTGACCCACGTAGCCTGAAACAATGGGTCGCCCAGAGCCAAAAGAAGCACTGCGAAATATGTGGTCACAAATACACGTTCACAAAAGGTAGGATACCCTTGATATCTCCCCACAGTCTGCATACTGATGCCCCGCCCAGTGTTCCCATCCGAGCTCCCCTCGACCATACCGCCAACCGTCTATGCCCGTCAAGCGCTGCTATGGGTCCGGCGGCAGATCCTTTTCGTTCTCCGCATGTGGCTCGTCATCATCACTTGGCTCGTAGCCCTTCCGGCTACAAATATGACAGTACTAGTGGCTATGAATTACGCGACTGACCATATGTAAGTGTTCAGCTGTCCCTGTGATCTTGGCTGACAGATTCCAGCGGTGATAGTCCGCAATCTTTGTCCATTAATGCCACCACTACCGACAATTCAACCACGTCTTCAGCCAACTTCTCCTCCACCGTCACCAGTATTCTCCTGAATCCCTACTCTACCGCCTACCATTTCGGCAAAGACTCTTACGAGAGCTGGTTGAAGGGGGACGAAAATACTTCCATCGGTTACGTTCTCCGTGGCCAAATCCTCTCCCTTTCTCTCGCCGCCGTCCTCATCGGCCTCGTCCTACTCCGTGAATGGGTCCAGCAGCACAACTGGGCCGAAGCAGAGCAACCTCCGAGACACGTCGAACCCGATATAGACCCGGAGGAATGGTTCGTCATCAACGGTGTTGCTCGTCGTCAGTCAGAAATGATCTCTCGGGTGCTTGAGACGCTTCGCGGCTCCAATAATGGAGATAACACAGGACCCTTTTTCCCTGATACCGATGCCGGACACAGAGATAGGGCAGAATGGTGGGCCAACAGGAGGCAATGGGTCATGGCGCTGCCCGAACCTGAGCGAACTACTTTGCTGGCTATCGTGGAGGTGATGGAGAGGCAGCACCGTGGAGAGATACCGCTAGGTGACGACGAACTCGAAGATGAAGAATCAGACGATGAGGGTCTACACGACCAACTTCAAGTCGCTCAAAATGTCCCCATCCCTCAGACTCCTCAAGAAGCTCTTTTCGCCGATGAGACCTTTATTCCCAACGACGGTAACAATGCCGAAGGCTTGCTCAGCTTCAGCGAGTACATAGCTTTGAGAAGAGTCAACGAGGGAAAGGCTCCAACGACAGACCCCGCATCATCCGACGATTCCTCGGAGGACGAAATCCGATACGACAATGCTATGACGGCTGAGCAAGCCGATCAAGACGGACCGAGTAGAAAGAGGAAAGCAGATGATGTTGGGTTTGACGATGAGGCCGCACGTCCTCGAGAAAACATCACAGACGCACTCGCCGAGTATCGCCGAGTGCATACTCAGCGTGAGCAGGCGCAAGCACACGACGATGAGGAGCAGGATGACCTTCTGCAGGCTCCTTTCAGGCCTGCTTGGAGCAGACAGGCCAGCGGGGACAAGGCTCAGGATCAAAGGGAGCGAGTGGCGTATAGAGCCCCGGAACTCTTGCGAAACCAGAGCGATCAAGATCAGGGAACTGCCGAAGGATCGGGTCAGAACGGTTATGAAGCTCAGCCTATACATCCTCAGCCGCCTCAACCTCTGTTTGATGGGTTTGGTAACGACGGTGAAGGGGACGAAGATGAGGATGACGATTGGGAAGACGAGCCTGATGATCGTGGCCGCCTTGAGGCAGGCAACGAGTTTGACCTCCTCCTTGACGCCGTTCCTCAAGCTCCTGGGCCAGTCGTCAATGGTCAGCCCGCTGCCCTCGCTCAGATCCCCGGCCTGGATCTCGGTGTCCGAGTCCTTGGGGCCAACGGCGAGCCTATTCATCTTCCTCCTGGGAATGTGCAGGTTGTACCACCTCAGGATGTAGCATTCGGGGATGAAGAAGAGGACATGTGGGACCCGGAAGATTGGAATGGTATCTTGGAGGTCGTTGGATTGACCGGACCTATGGCTGGACTGTACCAAAACGTAAGTTCACCGCCACTTGACTGTACAGCGCCACGTGACTGACATCATTGAAGTTCATGTTTGCTTTCATCATAATGGGTGGCGCTATTGTCATTCTGGTCGGCCTTCCAATGTTGATCGGCAAGCTCTGCCTGTCTCTCGACATCATCCGCTCGATTTTGTCCATCTGTGGCCGTGTCATTCATCTGGTGCGCAAGGTCACCGACCCCGTTGTTGACATTGTCTTTGAGATTGTCAAAGACGTTGTCTTGCTTCCTTTGCTCAACTCGGGCAAAGCTGCGGAGAAAATCTTGGCCAAAAAGCTGGGTCTGCAAGTGAGCTCACGGTTTGGCTCGCAAGGCCTCTCAGGTTTGCCCTCAGTTCCTTCAACATCATCGCCTATGGTCCAAAAGCTAGGCGACCATCTCGCAGCTCTCGGCCAGTACTCGTACGACATCTATGAGTCTGTCATGACCTTCCAGCGAGAGATCGGCACCCGACAGACCGTCTCTGGCAGGGCAGCTTGCGTCGGCGCCGGCTACGGTCTTGTTGCCGAAGTCGTAGCTGTCATCGCTATTGCTGGCGAGGCTGGTATCGGTGGTGTAGCGGGAGACATGGCAGCTACGATCAAAGAACACACCAACTTTATCAAGGTTGCCATGTTTATGGTTCTCGAGCTCGTTGCTTTCCCTCTGGGCGTTGGATTCATGATCGATCTTTCGATCGTCCCACTGTTCCCTGGCGCGACCGCCATGTCGAGGGTGCACGCCTTGAGGACATCTCCTTTCGCCTCTTCCTTCATTGACTGGATTGTGGGCTCGATGTTCATGTTTTCCTTCTCGAGCTTGCTGAGCCAAGTGAGAAAGGTGACCAGGCGCGGTACAATGTTCTTCATCCGAGACCCCGGAGACCCGTCTTTCTCACCGGTCAAAGATATCGTGGAGAAGACCACGATGCACCAGCTCAAAAAGCTGGGGACGTCGGTGCTCATGTACAGCTTGGTCATCTTTGGAATGTTCGGAGTCTTCCCCTGGGCATTGTCATTCTTGCCGGGTGGGTTATTACCGTTGAAGATGGAGCCAAATTAGTAAGTCTATCTTCCTCTGAATGATACCCAAGCTAACAATGACGGTAGTAGTCCCTTGTCGTCAATCCCCTTCGACCTTCTCTTCTTGCACCTGATGTTGCCGCCTTCCGTTGATCTTTTCCAACCCCGGCTTCGCGCCAAACGACTCTTCAAGTTGTGGTGGAAGAAGACGACTACTCAATTCCGCCTGACCAACTTTGTCAATGTTGCACCGCACCCCGACGAGAGAACAGCACCCTTGACGGTAGCCGAGAAGACCCTCTGGCCCATGTGGGATGTCGTTTGTCAGCTGGCGTTTGGCAAATACGACAACAAGGAGACAATGGCTCGAGTCCCGGCCAGCGACTCTGTAGTCTTGGTGCCCGTTGAAGAGCGTCGAGTCGAGGGAGGTGTCTTCATCCCCCTCGATAGTAAGGGTGTTCCCGAGAACCCTCAGGACAAGTTACGCTTGCTCAAGCAAGACAAGCTTTCCCGAGAGGCTGGTAGGCTACCTATGAGCGACTACGGGATTGTCTGGTTGCCGCAGTACTGGAGAACCAGGATCCACATGTTTTTGGCTACAGCTTTGGCCAGCATATCAGTGGTGATTGCTTCGGCGACATTCATACCCATTATCATTGGGCGGATGGCTTGGAAGTGGTCTGGATTTGAGGTTCATGACGGATACAGCTGGGTGTGTGCATATACCTAGAGACTGTGTGATATAAGCTGACGCCTGATATAGTTCCTCGGAGCATACATAGCCTATGCAGCTTACGCTCTCGGACGTCAAGCTCGCAAGTACATCAACAGCTTGAACCGTGCCGACCGTCTTCGACAATCCATCTTTTCTCGACGCGTCAAGCGGACTGTCCGACGTTATTGTGCGGGGGCGTTTGGCGTGTCTATGATGTACGGTCTTGTGCCGGTACTTGTCGGTGCTGTCTTGGAGTCGTACTTGGGCGTCTTCTTTGGAGACAAACATCTTCCCGGCAGGGTCGTCCATTTCTGGGACATTTGGTAAGAGGCAAATTTTGTCACCGGTACTCCGCTGATATACATATAGGGCTTTGGGCACGGCTGCGTCTTCGCTATTGACGGGAGTCATCCTTGTCGTCAATCGTCTGGGGCGCTTCGACTCTCTGTCTGCTATTGCAACTGTATGTTATCTGACCAAACCCTTTCACCAGATGCTCATAAAGTCTCAGCAATTCCGAGAGCCCGCCGCGAAAGACTTTTCCTCCACGGCGAGCAACATTAAAACTCCAGTGCTAGTCTGCATCTCGGCTATTGCCTTGCCCTACGCTATCGGAATTTCTTCCCTGATGGTCCTCCCGCCCGATGTCAACATGGATGAGAATAATGCTTTCCTGTGTAAGTGACGCTCTCGTATCTCGGTCGAGGATCCCTACTAATCTATCCGTAGTCCGTTGTGTCATCATTCCCATCTCTTTCGCCTTCCTTCTCATTACATCCTTCAGCCAATACCTCGTGTCAGAGAGGGAAACCATCCGACAGAAGGTTCTTGAAGCTGAATATGTTCTCGAGGAGAGGGTAGAGAATTATGAGCCAGGGAGCGAAGAGTCTAGTGCCGAAGAAAGGAATCCTTTGGATGCTGCGGACCTTCCTCCAGATATCCGACTGCAGCTTGAAAGATATCAGCAAGCTGTGGCAGCCGAGCCTCCGCGGGTACTCAACAGGGGTGATGTGGAGATTGAGGACGGATCAGATGAGGGCGAGAACTGGGAGGATTTATAGCACGCGCAGTAGACGGAGAAATCATATGTACGAGTAGTAGGTTACATCTTCTTATGTATTTTGCATTGTCTCGACGGTATGGGGGCGAGCATACATCACAGGTTGGTAGGAACCACGAACAGGATATGATGGTCGGATTGCTTGCTCGCAGTTGGGACACGACGAGAGTGCTGGTCCATCTCTGGAATATAGGCGAGTATGAGAAACGGGGTTCTCGGATACAGCTGGACACTTTTGGTAGATACCAAGCATGCTACACTCGATCGCCCTCATCTCGACCCCGCCACACTCCTTTCCCTCACGTCGGTGGCGTCGGGACTCGAGTGGATCGCCGGCGGCCGGTGGGAGAAGGCGCAAGAACAACAAGCTGAGGGCGCAGTGATTTCCCTCTTGTACATTTTCTCCCTTTCCCCCATTTTTGTATAATACTAACCAAATATCCCCCCTCAACGCTGCACCATATGATGGCCCCCAAGAGACACATCCCCACTGCTCCAGAAATCCCAGACGAGCTCCCCGACTCTCTACCCATCCCGCCCCTTCCCGAGATCCACGATGTCTTTCTCCGTCGCCAGGTCTTCACCCACACCAGCTATATCGCAGCACGCAAGAAGGGCGAGGATTTTGCCAAGGAAGAGTTTCAGCAGGATAATGAGAAGCTCGAGTTTGTTGGAGACTCTTTGCTGGGTGAGCATCTTGGTTGGGAATTAGTGACGGAGGGCATGTGCTCTTGGTGGGAGACAACCCTTATAACATGATGCGTATATCCATATATCTCTGCCCTGTTGCTTAGAGTATACAACCGACTCCCATATCAAGATCATCTGGGGATATCCGCATCATGTTATCGGGTTGTCCCCCAGCAAGAGCCTACGCTCTCACGCCTCCGCACATATGCCTGCGAGGTCTACAGCAAAGGCGGATACTGACGATACTCCAGGAATCATAGTGGTTTGTCTTTTGCAAGATCTCTACCCTAACTTGAACCCCGGCAATTCAACGGTGCGAAGTCTGCCGAGATACCTGAAACCCACTGACACGCCTCTTTAGCTCTTGAAGTCCATCCTCGTCAGCAACCAAACCCTTGCCCAAATTTCCCGACGCTATGGCATGCAAGACCTCCTCATCACCGACGTCAGTGCTTCGGAAACCTTGAAGAGCGGCATGAAGACCGTCGCCAACATCTTTGAAGCGTACATCGCCGGCATGTTCTACTCTTACCTCCAACACGGTGCGTAACCAGGATAAAGATCAGCCGACGTATGCTCACAATATGATAGGCGACGTCACTACTGACGACACGCGTGGTCCCAAGACCCGGGGCGAAGGCATCACCTACCTCGAAGCCTGGCTCCGCCCCCTCTTCACCCCCATCGCCGAATGGGCTGTCGGCTACATCACGCTCGAGAGAAAGCGTCTCAAGACCGAATTAGCAGCGGTAGATGGGATAATGGATGATCAATTTGATGATGTCGCTGTCAAGATTTGCGCGAGTGCTAGATTGAACGAGTTCTTTACGGTGAAAGGAAAGGGTATACCGGAGTATGTATATGAGGAGGCAGCGGAGAAGGGGCTGTGGTCTTGTACCGTGAAGGCCAGGGATCGGGAGGGGGATCTTCAGTGAGTAGGCGTGGCTGGTACAGGTGAAGAAATACTGACGGTGATATAGCGTCGGCCAAGCCACCAGGGGCGCGAAGAAGAAGGCCAGTCAAGTCGCCGCGTACAAGATTCTCCGCGATATCGGTATCGTGTAGTGCCCAGCAGTCGAAGAGACGCATATGGTCGTGTATAAAACTCAGGCAGAACCCAAACGAAATGCAGAGTAGAGATTATGTCTGCATGTATGACTATAGCTGAGAAAGTGGTGAAACGTCTATGGAGGCGCCCGTCGTAGGAAGGATTGGGCGACATCTCGTGGAAACGTCGGGTTGAGTTTCCATATGATCCACATATCTCGCGCGAACTCTCCCACTCGCACAGTTGGGATCGGGTTTCTGTTCAAGCCGGGTGTCCCGAACGCTGTGCGTTCTGCCCTGGTGCGTTGGTGTGTACGTAACATTATTTTGGGTTGTTGACAACAATTGCACAACGGCCGCTTTGGACACTTCGCGTTCGCATCCCCGAAATCATCCACGATGGACTTCAGCTCGATGTCCGGCAAGTCCAGCATGCGGAGAAAGGTGAGCACAGCGCGGGTCCACATGCCACAGCTGACATCTCCAAGCAATCTAATGTGAGTACAGTGAGTCCTCGACCCGCCACTACCACCCCAGACCCAGCCACGCCTCTCAGAGTATACATCCTGACTTGCATGCGCTATAGTCACTGCTGCAAGCGTTCGGTAAACCGCGACAATCAATCACCCCTTCATCCATCCCATCACCCACATCCTTCACCTCGCCTCCCACAGCCAGCTCCTCTACTCTCCCAATCGACGACTTTTACAACCCTTCATTTGACAACGACACGACATCCCTGACCTCAAGGTCAACGAACTACCCTCCCGGGAGCTTTGTGCCGCCTGGAGGATCGCGCAGTGCAAGCGGGGGCAGCTTCATGGGAGGAGGCAAGGACAAGGGGAAAGACCCCGAGGGAAAGTCGGGAGCGGTATTGAGAAGGCCAGAAGATGTGTATAGAGTCGTCAAAGAGCGAATACTGAGCTGGAGTTATATGATGGAGTGGTATACCGGGTATGTGCGCGCATCAGATCGTCTGAGAGGCCGCTGACATGGCGCAGTGATTCACATTGGCTGAATACTGTTCGGATACCCCGGCCGGTCGTCGAATCAATACTGGGGTATAAACACTTGGAGAACAGGGCACGGAATCTGTATTCTCTCGGGATATCACTATCTGCCTTGTTCGACATTCCCGCCGCGAGTGACTTTTTGAAGGCGCTGCTAAAGCTGCTGGATGAGTGGGAAAGCTGGTCAGAAGGCAGTGGAGGAAAGGGAGTGGTGCGTTCCTTCGGGTGAAGCGCTTGAATTTTAACTAATGGGATGCTGCAGAAAAACCTATTTGGTGTCAGAGGACAACGGACAGCGAGAAAGGTCACGGGAAGCAGTATGATGATGTCTGACTATGCTCCGCCAGATGGAGCAGAGTCATACCTGCTGAACGTCAACCTTGTGCGTATCTCGCGCTTACATGCGGACCACTCTGACATCCTGCAGCCATTCACACCCGACTACTTCCAAGTCCACGCCTCAACATGCTCCATCGTCCGCGACCTCTACCGCAAACTACTCAACATGTTCCTCCCCACCTCCCCCGCCTTCCCCCACTCATCTCCAACCCTAAACCTCCCCTCATCTCACGTTTCTCTCATCCACCACTCTACGATAGTCCAAACAGCCCCGCGCGAGCCGTTCATCAACCCCAAATCGCCAGGCGCGAGCAGTATAGCGACGGCGACGTTTTCGAGTCAGCAGGGGCACGGGATCATGAGTCCTACGGCAATCATGTCTGATCAGCAAGGGGGTGGGGGGGATGCGTTGTTGGCGTTTATTGCGGGGGATGTGCCGCCCGATAGGGCGTTGGTGGGAGATGGGCAAAAGTTGACGCCGCAAATCGCAGACCTTTTCCAGAAAGTCGATAGCAAGCTCAAAGTACATCCACCTCTTCCCCTTTCTCCACACCTCAGCTGATTATCCTACAGAAACATTTCTCCATCCTCACCCGCGAAGCCGATAGTCTCGCCAAACGCGTAGTGGACGACCAACTCGATACGCTCCTCCGCAGTCTGTCGCCGGGCGGTAAAGCTATGCGGTTCGATGTGACGCCTGGGAGCAGTAGTGGTGGGTCGGGGTATACGACGGCGACGATAGGGAGGTCGGGGATTATGGAGAGCGATAGGGAGAGGGATTTTGGGACTGTCTGAAGTGGTGTCACGATTATGTATGGATTATTGTCAGTTCACTATGGTTTTATCCAGAGAAAGATCTACTATCTCTCGTGGCTCGACTGCCTGCTGGATCTGCAGCACTTTTATTACCTGAAGTTGATTGTCAAGCAATCTCTCACTCACATTCACCTCTATTTGGAGCAGCGCCTGCATTGCCAAGACAACCTCCTCTTTCTTGCCCTGAAGCGGAAATACGAGCATAAAAAAATCTCTGGATAGTCATGAAGAGACTCGTCTCTCTGGGGTGTGCTCAATAAGCATACGATGAGCTGCCGACTGATAGCACTGCTAGCGCTAGGCGTTTTTGCGGAAACACTACCTAACGCGACCCGCCTGCCACGCATACATGGGCAACCCACATCCGCCTCATACCCGCCCTTCCTCTCTGAATACATATATATGGCATCCAGAACGCCTTTAATTCTCTTCATTCACAACTCACCCTTCCAACAATTGGAAAAATATCCTCATGCCGCCCTTCATGTTGCTGCCTTACCACCCGTTCCCCAAACAGCCAGTCACCACGACGTTGGCTAACGAGCCTTCCTCCTCTGCTGATGATACCGGTGCGACCCCCGAGATGTATGTCCTTCTTTCTCTCTTTGTCATTTTCAAGAGTGCTGACACCGAATCAAGCCATCCCCAAAGCGGATTCCTTCATAGGAGCTTCTCGTTGTCTACTATCCCCGAGCTCGACTCTGCGTCCTCCTCTGTTTGCTCTTCGGCTCCATCCCCCGAGCTTCTTACCCCCCAAGAAACACCAGAAGCCAGTGTCTATGCTAAGCAGGCCGCCCACGAGCGAGGTCTGGGCTGGCTGTCGTCTTTGCTCGGCCTCAAGAAGTCGACGGCCAGTGCCACAAAAGTCAGCACTTCTGCGGCTCGTGTCACCATCGAGAACCTCCCATCTGTGAAGACGACCCACTCGTTCACTACCAGTCGTTCAGCCCAGCACGGTGAGGCCGACACCATCCCTTGCTGCTTGGAAGCTCCAATTTCCCACTCTGATGTTTCAACATTGGATCTGGATGCGCTCAGTAGCGTCAGCAGTGATTCTGATGACTCTTCTGATGAGTCTTCTACATGGTCTGCCATCATCCCGCGAGAAGTCTATTATGCCAAGACTTGGATTGCCGGTACTCGATGTGAGGCGAAAGCGCAACAACAATATGCGTTGAAAGACGGGAGTCTGGGCCTACTTCGGGCAGAGACTGAGAATGAGAAGGTTGAACGAATGGACGAGTGGTTTTCAAAATCTGACTTGGTACGTAACTCAACGTCTATCAAATTATCAAAGCTCATACCAGAATCAGACTGTCGGCGGGACGCACAGGCTGATCAAGCATCTCATGTGTCACTCGTCACCGACCACTCATGTCGAGAAACGTACCTGCAAAGCCGAGAAGCAGCCTATCAAGCGACAAAAGTCCACCATCGCTCTCCGTCAGATCTTGTCTCAGATTGATCTTCAAGCTTTGCAGGCGTCTTGGAACGAGGATGACGCATGGAGCGGTGATGCTTGGACTTATTAGGTCTGGATTGCGATACTTTACATATATCAAGGACCAACAAGACTAGAGGACCTGCCCTCTTAATTAGATGGTGGGATATTATTCAACTGCGTAGATTCTGCGAGGTATTGACTGGGGTGATTTTCGGAAGTTGTATATGCACGTTTGTGAAGCTACATATTGTCTGCCTCCAGATCGTCGATTTTGTCACACAAATGGCCACCACAAACAGTGTGAACTGTGACTGGATACGGGCGCCAATAAGCCCCTTGACGATGAGGAAAGTAAGGTGGCGATGGGTCTCTGAGACATGTTGAAGACATGTGCATGACAGTGCTCGTAAATCATTACCCCTACGCCATCTCCACATCCCCCTCTCCATCCAGATGCTCCACCCCGTTCGTCCCATTCTCCGCCCTATTCTCTTCTTCCACCAGCTCTGGCCGCATAACCTTCAACGCCTCCCCATCCCATCCACCAGCCGTATCATTCAACCACTCGTAAAAGTACTCGCAGCCCCCGGCTTCCACAGGTCCGCCTTCTTCGCAGAAATGGAATACGGGGCACTTGCCGCACGTCGCCTGGGTCTGGCCTAGGGGGATGGAGATTCGGGATGTGGCGCGGTACATGACGGCTGTATCTGACAGATCTGTCAGGCCTCCGGAAAGGCCGCCGGGGAAGATTTGAGCGGGGGTGGTGGTTTGGGCTACTGTGGCGGAAGGTTTGATGGGGATGATGGCGGTGTCTAGTTGGGATGAGGCGATGGAGGAGTCCGAGTCCGACGAGGACGAAGACGAGGATGAGGATGAGGATGAAGATGATGAGGCAGATGACACCGATAAGGAGCGAGACCGCTTCTTCTTGCCGTCAGTGACAGATACGAGCGCGTCGTCCGAATCAGAGTCGAACGACTCCTTGCTCTTCTTCTTCTTCTCTCTTTCCTTCTCCTTCCGCTTCTTTTCCTTCTCCTTTTCCTTTCTCCGCTTCTCCTTCTCCTTTTCTTTCTCCTTCCTCTTTTTCTCCTTCTCCTTCTCCTTCTCCTTGCGCTTCTTCAGCTTGGCTTTTTCTTTGGCCTTCATCTTGGCCTTTTCTCTCTCCTTATCCCTCTCTTCATCATCGTCGTCGTCGCTATCCATCTTTCTCCGTTTGCTTTCCCGACGGCTATCCCGCTCATCATCCGACTCCATCGCAACGCTGATGCCGCCAATGGGCTTGATCGCCTCCACCAAACCGTCCAACTCTAACGCACGCATGCACTCCATGACATTCTTGACGGAAAGGGTGGCAGATGTGATGCCCGATTTGTTGACGTACTGCCGCAGGGCTTCGGGAGTGAGGTAGGCATGGGCTTTGGCGTTGAGGCTGAGAGCGTTGGAGACAAGCGCTTTGTCTCTTTCGCTGCGTTTCTCCTCTTTCACATACGTCTGAGCCATGTCAGTGGGGCACTGTTACACGTGGACAAAACGTACCAGGTTCCTGACTCTATCTAACAGGACCGCCGAGATCGTGTCCACCAAAGCCTGATCATACTCTCTATTGTCGTCGAACCAAACTCCTCCCGAAATCTCCTCTGGCAGCTTCAAATGCGCCAAAATAAAGTATACCGTCGTGGGCGCATTGACCGGCTTGAACTGCTTGATATGTCCCTCGCTCTCTAGCGTCTTGATCACTTTCCGCAGGATGGCCACGGGCATGGTGTCGGTGCCGATGGTTCTGTTGATTTGAGATTGGGCGATACCGCGGTTGCCGGCGGAGCGCACGACGGAAAGGACGATGGCTTGCTCTTGAGTCAGAGTAGCCTTTTGTTTGGCTTCTTCAGGTGTCTGGGCATGGTAGACTTGGAGTTTGTCGTCGCCGCCTTTGCCTTTAGCAACACTCAATAGCCGCTGAGTGGTGTCAGCTAGGCCCTCCAACTGCGGATCCTGCTTACCAATTTCAGCAATGCATTGATAGAGCTAGTGATAGCTTTTTTGGTCATGTTGGGAAAGCTTGATTCAATTTGCGGCAAGCTCATGTTCTGCGCTACGTGAGCATTAACCTCTCCGAGAGTGCGTACCGACGTACCTTGTTCTTCGCAGCGAGCACCTTTTTCCAGACCTGCTGGTCTGCAGTAGACATGGAGCTCATGGCGTGCACGATATGACCCCCCGAGAGGCGAGCGAGGAGAACTGCAGAAGAGAAGAATATGGAGATGTTGATTGGTTGCAACAAGTCAGATTCAGTACGAAATCTTCGACGAAGCTTAAGTCTTCGGGCAACAGGGCGGTTACGTAAACGGGTCACTGCTCTCTATCATTTCCACCTCGTACTCTTTCTGGCATCGGCACGCTATACCCACGTCCACAACCACGACTGCTACACAACTCGCCCCCCCATGTCCTCATAATTCGCCATGTCCACACAAACAGACGTACTCGACAACATCTTCCAGCGCCTGGCGTCGAGGTATATTATCTCCCATCGCCAAGCTAGCACTACTGACACATCGCAGGTCGGAGGAGGTCCGCTCGCAGGCAGGAGATGATCTATCGGAACATGTCACAGCGTATACGGCAGAGTATCCTGGCCATGACGGCACCAAGGGCGTGTGGACGGAGGTCTTCCACAAGACATTCGAATTCACGAGGAGCAACAACCAGCTCGAGAGGCTCGGTGCCATTATGGCTATTGCTCAACTGCTGTCTCTGACCAAGGATGACACGCCTGATAGGGCACAGCAGAAGGTCCTGCGTCTGTACGAATGTGCGTCCAATCGGTCTTCTGGAATTGGCGTATACTGACTGTTTGGTAGACCTTCGACCCTTGACCACATGCGGCGATTCCACTGTCATGCTTCCAGCAGCATCCGTAGTAGAAGACATGGTCAGGCAATCACCCACTCTTCATACAGACACATTCCTGGGCAAAGAGATTGGCCAAGCGCTGGTTATGATCGATGGTGCGTCATTTTACTCACACAGAGTACGAGCTGACCCCAGCAGATACTCGAAATGAGATTTCCAGATTCAGCGGTACCCTCCTCCTCTACTCCTTCGCCCGCAGTGCCCCCGCCGTATTCTATCAGTACATTCCCAAAATCCTCGACAAGATCTGGACGCCGCTCAGAGACTACCGATCAGTTGTCCGCGAGCGAGCGTCCATGCTCCTCTCCATCTCCCTCGACACTGTCAAAGCACGAGGTGACCGACCTTCCACCGATACCTACAGAAAGATATATGAAGAGGCAAGAGTGGGATTGCTCAAGGCGAGCTCGACGGATGTGATTCTTGGGTCGCTCCTGGCTTTCAACGCCATGTTACAGAACCAGCACATCTCGATGGCAGAGTACTACCGCTCTATCTGCGAGCTCACTTTCAAATATCGGGACTCGAAGGAGGTCGCTATCAGGAAGGCTGTCATTGCGCTCATACCGAGTATGGCGACGTACGACACGGAGGACTTTGAGGCGCATTATCTGTCCAAGAGTATGAACTATCTTCTGGGGGCGCTGCAGAGGCAAGCAGACAGAGATATCGGTGAGTAATATCCACAGTTGAGGAGCGATTGCTGACAGTGTGCAGCCTATGTCGCTCTCGGCCACATGACTCTCCACCTCGGTTCACGCGTAAAGCCCTTCATCGAAGAGCTCATGAAGACCATCCGAGAACATCTCCGCATGCGAGGCAAAAAGAACGCCCCTTACGAAGCACCAATCTTCCAATGCCTCGCCATGTGCGCTACCTCTGTCGGCCCGATGTTGACCCGGCAGATGCACGAGGTGCTGGATTTGATGCTGCCATGGGGGCTATCTGAGCCGTTGTGTAATGTGCTCGACTCGTTTGCTTCGCATATCCCGCCGCTGTTGAGGACGATCCAGGAGAGGTTGTTGGACATGCTGTCGATGATCTTGACGGGACAGCCGTATAGACCACTCGGTGCGCCGGCCCCTAGAGGAGGAAGGGACGTAAATCTGCTCCAAGTAGGTTATTCAAAAATAATGTTGCGCAACAGTACTGATATGACATAGACGTCTGCGGGAGGACAATCCACCGACACGATCAAGCTCGCACTTCACCTACTCGGCGCCTTCGACTTTTCCGGCCATACGTTGAACGAGTTTGTCCGCGATGCTGCTCTGCCGTATCTGGAGCACGATAGTTTGGACGTCAGGCGAGAAGCCATCCAAGCGTCGACGCAGCTCTTCATCAACGACCCCATCTGCCATCAAACGAGCAGCCACTCAGTAGAGATTGTCAGCGATGTGTTGGAGAAGCTGTTGACTGTAGCCATCACCGATCCCAGTACGTTGTGTATAGATTATGTTGACTCCGCTGACACCACATAGACTCTTCTATTCGCCGCACTGTCCTTGACAGCCTTGATGAAAAGTTCGATCGCCACCTTGCTCAGGCCGACGACATTCGTTGCCTCTTTATCGCTCTCAACGACGAAGTCTTTCAGAATAGAGAAAGAGCAATCGCCATCATTGGCCGTCTGGCTCACCACAATCCCGCCTACGTCATGCCTCACCTCCGAAAATCCCTCATAAATATCGTCACCGAGCTGGAATACTCTACCAACGCTCGACAAAAGGAAGAGAGCGCTAAACTCCTTTGCCTGTTGATAGCCGCTGCGGCTGGTCTAGTCAAATCATATGCCCCGACCATCCTCTCTGTTCTTTTGCGTACTGCGTCAAATCCCGAGTCGTCTGTCACCGTGCAGGCTGAATGCCTCAAGTGTATCGGCGAGCTAGCACGAGTGGCGGGTGAGGAGCTCGTACCCTCCGTCAAACAGATTCTCGTACTCGTCATCGACATGCTGAACGACCAATCGTCCTCCGCCAAACGAGATACTGCTCTCAAAACTCTCGGTCAAATTGCCAGTAACGCTGGCGAAGTCATACGGCCATACGCGGACTATCCTCAATTGATGGGCTTGCTCTTCAGGTTTTTGAGAAGCGAGTCGAATCTGGATGTCAGGCAAGAAACGATCAGGACGATTGGTATGCTTGGTGCGCTCGATCCTTTCAAGCACAAGACGTTACTGGGTGATGTTGGAGACCCTATCGACGAAGGAACAACCTCGAGGGTCAACGATATTGTCTTGTTGAATCAACACAATTCGTCTGTGAACGACGAATTCTTCCAAACCGTTGTCATCCACTCTTTGGTGAATGTCTTGCATGATCCGGCGTACAAGGATCATTATCAAGCGGTGGAGGCCATCATGATGATCTTCAGGACGCAAGGGCTCAGATGCGTCAACTTTTTGCCTCAGGTACGTCTACATGGTCATGGTCTTCTAGGCTAATATAATTTGCAGATCGTGCCTGCGTTTTTGAACGTCATTCGCATAGCGCACTCTTCTCGTACCGAGCTCTATCTCAAACAGCTTGCTCAGTTTATCAGCATCGTCAAACAGCATATCCGCAACTACCTCAATGAGATCTTTGAACTCATCCACGAGTTCTGGAACCCCAACTCGACACTGCAGATCACTATCATCTCACTTGTTGAAGCTATTGCGAAAGCTGTCGAGGGAGAGTTCAAGGCATACTTGCCTAAGCTTTTGCAGCAGATTCTCCGGTCCTTTGACGGGGACCTTTCCGCCAAACACCTCCCCGAGCTGAGGCTCAACACTCTCTTGCAGATCTTGAAGGCGTTCTACGTTTTCGGGGAGAGTATCGAGGATTATCTACACCTTGTCCTCCCCGTGATTGTTCGGTCCTTTGAGAACCCTGCTGCGCCTGATTCGCTGCGAATCGCTTCTCTTAGGACGACCGGTCAATTATGCCGAAAGGTCAACTTCTCAGACCATGCCAGTCAAATCATTCACCCGTTGGTGAGGACCTTGGCGCATAGTTCTGAGGAATTGAGGCAGACGGCGATGGAAACGCTTTCCGTCTTGGTATTGCAGTTCGGACCGGATTACGCCATTTTCATTCCTATGGTGAACAAGGTACGTCTTCATATGTGTTCTTCGACGCGTGATGCTAATGAATGTACAGGCCCTGGTCGAGAACAGAATCACGCACTCTGGCTATGACGCCCTCGTTACCAAACTCTTGAATCGCGAACGTCTGCCTCCAGACCTTGGCCCCGTCGAACGCTACCTCAACGATACCTCCGCTGAGCCCGTTGCCGCCGACCAGGTCCCTCTGAAGGTCAATCAGCAGGCACTCAAGCTTGCTTGGGACTGCTCTCATCTGCTTACGACGACCAGCAGAACGGAGTGGATCTCGTGGATCATCGGCCTGGGACATGAGATGATGAGGGAAAGCCCTAGTCAAGCCATCAGAGCAGCCAGAAGTTTGGCGCTGAGTAGCGTGGCCTTTACGAAAGAGCTCTTCAACGTAGCCTTCTATTCCTGCTGGCAAGAGCTCTTCGAGAGTTATCAGGAAGATTTGTGGCACAACCTCGACCGGGCCATCAAGAAAGAGGACGTCCCCGGAGATGTTGTCAATATGATTCTTGGCGCCACTCAGTTCCTTGAACATGACGAGAAGGAGGTTGCCATTGAGAGTCGAGTTTTGGGTAGCGTCGCTGCCAATTATCAAGCCCTCGCTGTTGCCCTTCATTACAAGGAGCAAGAGTTCTTCATCGACCCCAGCAAGGAGGTCATTGAGGACTTGATCGATGTCAACCAGAAGTTGCAGCAGAGCGATGCTGCCTGGGGTACCCTCGAATGGGCTCAGACTCACATGGGTATGACGACCGAGGTTGAGTGGTACGAGAAGCTCGGGCGATGGGAAGAAGCCTTGCAAGTGTGGAATCAACGCGACTCGGATCCCACGACCACATTCACCGAATGGGAGATCACAGAAGGCAAGGTTACTTGTCTGCACGCTATCGGCGAATGGGAGCAGTTGTCCGATTTTGTTCAAGCACGATGGGCGAACAGGACAGCCGAAGAGAGAAAGCTGCTCTCGCCTTTGGCGGCTGCCGCCAGTTGGTCGTTGAAGCAATGGGATCTGATGGACGATTACATCTCAGCTATGAAGGGAGATGGTGCGGATAGAGCCTTCTTCAAAGCAATTCTGGCAGTCCATAGGAACCAAATCCCTCAAGCGCTCAGACAGATTGCCAAGGCGCGCGAGAGGCTGGATCCAGAATTGACGACTTTGACTGGAGATAGCTATGGTCGAGCGTATGAGTGAGTACTGTCTGTTCCTATACTCTTGACGATGCTGAATTATCTTAGCACTGTTGTCCGGATTCAGATGCTCGCTGAGCTCGAAGAAATTATTGCGTACAAGGATCATGCCGATGAGCCTGTCCGTCAAGAGATGCAGCGTCAAACTTGGAAGAAGCGGTAGGCAATTTTCAACTGAAACTATGATATCCTCTAATCGGGTATAGTCTCGACGGTTGTCAACGAGACGTAGAAGTCTGGCAGCGAATCTTGCAGGTCCGCTCTTTGGTGCTGAAACCCAACGAGGATATGGACACCTGGATCGAGTTCGCGGACCTCTGCAGAACGTCGGACCGTCTCAACTTGGCCGAAAAGACTCTTGCATCTCTTGTTGGATTCTCTTATCCTTCCATGGAAGACGTGAGTGCTGTCTCTGGAATACTGTCGAACAGGTAAACTTACGATTTCGGTAGACGCGAGGACGAGCACCGCCACCAATCATCTTTGCCTACTTGAAGATGATCTGGGCCAAGAATTTGCAATCCGGTAGCCGAGAGGAACGATTCGAGACTCTTCAGCATTTGCGCGAATTTACGGATCAGCTCACCGACGATGTCGGTATCGGGGCACGGGATGTGAATGGAAGCCTCATGCTGCCGGACCAGAAGGCTTACGGGTCGTACACCAAACTGTTGGCGCAATGTCACGTGGAGCTGGGGCAATGGCAAGCGCAAGTACGAGAGAATCAGGGATCCGTAAGTCAAAGTCTCCAGAATAGACGCGAAGTCGTGCTGATTGAGAGTAGAACGATCCCACCGGTATTCTACAAGATTACTCTCTCGCTACTGAGCTCGATCCGGAGTGGTACCAGGCCTGGCACACTTGGGCGTTGGCCAATTTCCAGGTCATCACCCAGCTCGAAGTGTCGCAGCAGGGTCTCTCGCCTGGCCATTTCACCACTTACATCATTCCTGCCGTTGGAGGATTCCTCAAGTCGATTTCGCTCTCTCCCGGCAATTCTTTGCAGGATACGCTGCGATTGTTGACCTTGTGGTTCACCTATGGTTACTCGAGTGGCGTGACGGCTGCTGTAATGCAGGGATTGCCTACTGTCAATGTGGATGTATGGCTGGAGGTCATTCCCCAGGTACGTATTGTCACACGTGTGATTCAGCTTTACTGACCATGGTTCCAGATCATTGCTCGAATCCAAACACCCCGACAGTCCATCCAGCAGCTCATCATCCAGTTGTTGAAGGATATCGGCAAAGCCCATCCCCAAGCCCTCATCTACCCCCTCACCGTCGCCTCTAAATCCAACGTCTCTGCTCGTCGCACAGTCGCTCAGAACATCACCCACAAGATGCGTGAACACTCTCAAAAGATTGTCGATCAAGCAGAGCTTGTCAGTACGGAGCTTATCCGAGCGGCGATTCTGTGGCATGAGATGTGGTACGATGGGCTGGAAGAGGCGTCAAAGCATTACTTTGGCGATCACGATATTCCAGGAATGTTGGCGGTATTGGAGCCTTTGCACGACATTGTCGAAGCTGTGAGTAATGCTTTCCGATACAAAGCGCTTTCTGACTATTTCATAGGGTCCTCAAACGCTGCGCGAAACGTCATTCATCCAATCATTCGGCCATGACCTCCGCAATGCTCGCGAACATCTGAAGCGCTACCGCATGACTTCCGACAACAACGAGATCCACCAAGCTTGGGAGCTTTATTATCAGGTCTTCCAGCGTCTCGGCAAGCAGCTCAAGCTTCTCAACGTTGTCGAGCTACAATACGTTTCGCCGAAGCTCATGGCTGTACGCGACTTGGACATTGCGGTGCCCGGAACATACCAGAGTGGCAAGCCCGTCATCGGTATCAAGAGCGTCAACCCCACGTTCAAGGTTATCGCTTCCAAGCAGAAGCCAAGGCAGATCAGTATGCGAGGTATGGACGGCAAGGAGTATGCGTACTGTCTCAAAGGTAAGTGGTTCAATATGAATCAGGACTCCATGCTGATCAACATCTCAGGACACGAAGACCTGCGTCAAGACGAGCGAGTCATGCAGCTCTTCGGTTTGGTCAACACCCTACTCAACACCGACCAAGAATGTGCCAAGCGACACCTTAGTATCCAACGATTCTCTGTCACGCCATTATCGCCTAGTGCGGGTGTCCTTGGATGGGTGCCTCACAGTGACACTGTGCACGTACTCATCAAGCAGTATCGTGACCAGAGGAAGATACTGGTGGATATTGAGCACAAGCTCATGCAGCAGGTGAGTGGGCGAACGGTCTCTTCGATTTTGTGGTGCTAACGAAACAACAGATGTCTGACGAAAGCTACGACTTCTTGCCCCTCTTGCACAAGGTCGAAATCTTCCAATACGCCTTGGACAACACGACCGGGCAAGACCTCTATCGAATTTTGTGGCTCAAGTCTCGTAACTCTGACGTCTGGCTTGAGAGAAGGACAACGTATACGCGAAGTCTTGCTCTCAATTCCATGGTCGGCTATATTCTTGGTCTGGGTGATAGACATCCCTCAAATTTGCTGTTGGATCAGGTCACGGGCAAGGTTGTCCATATCGACTTTGTAAGTCTTTAGCCAGCTTTTCGTTTCATTGCTAACCTCTCATTAGGGTGACTGCTTTGAAATTGCTCAACAACGAGACAAATATCCCGAACGCGTCCCCTTCCGCCTTACCCGAATGCTCATTCACGCCATGGAGGTCTGCGGCATCACCGGAAACTTTTCTCGAAGTTGTGAGGTCTCTATGGAGGTCCTTCGAGACAACCGAGAGTCCCTCATGGCAGTATTGGAAGCCTTCGTGTACGACCCTCTTATTGCCTGGCGTCTCACGGCGACTACAAGACCTGGTGGAGCGAGCGAAGTGCAAGATTTGGACGATGCGGCGGCGTACGGAAAGCAAAGGAAGAACAAGGCGAATGAGACTGAGATTTTGAATGGTACGTCCGCGCTTGGGATTGATGAGCATATGCTGACTCACATTCTAGATGCTGAGGGAACCGAGGTTAAGAACGACAAGGGCTTACAGGTCATCGAGCGAGTCAGAAGAAAGTTGACTGGAAGAGACTTCAAGCCCGACGTTGTTTTGGATGTCAAGACGCAAGTAGAGAAGCTGGTGGTCGAAGCGACCAAGACGGAGAACCTTTGTGTTGCGTTCTTGGGTTGGTGTTCATTCTGGTGATCGGGGATACGAATCGGATATTGGTTCGCTTTGGTGTCTGCGAGGAAAAGGGAAAGAAGCATGTGGACTTAAAGTAAGAAGGCTCGCCGAGCCTAGTGTGGAATATAAATCCTCTGTACTTTGTAGAAATTAATATGGCATTTTCTCTCTTGATTTATATCAATTATTGATCGCGAAACATCAAGGACAGTCTGGGGACAATGGACAGATGCCGGTTCATGAGCACCCCAGGGCCCCCACCTTCTGCCTCCACTTCGGCGGTCGACCGAGCGCGTGTCTGTCCGTGTCTTTCACTCTTCGCCCACGGCATACCTCAAGATAAAGGTTGGCAGCCAACTTCGCCATGCTCATCAACAGACTATTCGAAACAGTGATACCCCTATTACCATACCTCGGTCCTTTCGCCGTCACGCACAAGCCCGACATCAATGTCGTCCCTCTCCCCACTCAGTACACCATTGGCCAAGGCGCTACCCCTATATGTCTCTCCCCTAACTTCAGTATCAAGTCTGTGGCGGGTGCATTTCACACATATCCAACCGACCTGCTACAAGCAATGTCTGCCACGGAGGACCGCCTCAAGAATGTGACTGCTCGATATCTATCTGTCGCGGGAGGCCGGGAGTTCTTTCCTGGCTATTCTGACAAATTGTCCTCGTGTCAATACTTTCTTGATTCGGTATATGTTGACTTGACAGCTTACAATGGTACCTCGGATATTCTAGAGGAGGCAACGCGACCAGTGGAAGAAAGACCTTTGCTCGAGGCATATTCGCTGGACATGCCTCTCAAGCGGAGAGCTGCTTTCATCAAAGCAAGAGGCGCCCTTGGGGCGTTCCGAGGGCTTACAACACTGGATAATCTGTTCTACCGAGTCGAGGACAGTACCTCTGAAGGTGCAGGACGAGTCTATGCACCTTGGGCTCCATATTCCATCGCTGACAAGCCAGCCTTTGGATGGCGAGCGTTCCTGCTGGACACCTCGAGACACTATTTCTCAGTTGATTCCATTCTCAAGGTGAGCTATATTCCTGGTCGACGAGTCTGGTACAGTGGCCAAGCTAATACAACTCTAGACCCTGGACACCATGGCATCGGTCAAGCTAAATGTATTCCACTGGCATGTCACAGATTCCAACTCGTGGCCTCTTGACATTCCAGCTTATCCGAATCTGGCAAAGAAGGGAGCCTATTCACCTCTCGAGGTATATAGCGACGAGGATGTCAGAAATATCATCGAGTATGCAGGCCATGTGAGTAGACCATCCTCGGCGCTGGCCGTAGCTCACTTTCTAACAGCACGGGATCGATACCTTGTTGGAGATCGACACCCCCGGCCATACCGCATCCATCTATCCCTCACATCCATCACATGTGGCTTGCTTCGAGTCGACCCCCTTCCATCAGTATGCACACCAGCCTCCCGCCGGACAGCTCCGTTTTGCGAGCGAGCAAGTGATGAAGTGGACTGAAGGGTTGTTGAGAGAGGTTTCAGCTCTGGCGTCGAGCCAGTATCTCAGCACCGGAGGAGATGAGATTAATGTGGACTGCATGGTATGTGTGATACGTGGTTGAAAGATCGTTCCCTCAGCTGAATAATATATTGACAGCTCAAAGATGGTCCCACAGCCAGAGACCTCAAGAACAACGACTGGACACTCGACGACGCCCTCGACCGCTTCACTGCAGTCACCCACGCCCCCATCCGCGCAGCAGGCAAAACCCCAGTCGTATGGCAGGAGATGGTACTCGACCACGGCGAGATGCCATCTCTGGGAAATGATACTATCGTGGATATCTGGGTCAACTCGGCAGATGCGAGGAAGGTTCTCAATAAGGGGTTCAGGATCGTCCATGCGTCTGCTGACTACTTTTATCTGGTAGGTGGATGTTTTCAAAAATCATCCTGCTGACTACATGCAGGACTGTGGACAAGGGGGCTGGATCGGACAAGAGGGAGGCGGTAATAGCTGGTGCGACCCTCTCAAATCTTGGGCCAAGATCTACTCGTAAGTCCGCTTCCTGACACAGAACACTCCCATTTGCTGATGTCTGTCTCTTCCCCAGCTTCGATCCATTCTTAGATGTCGAGGACGACGAACGACATCTAGTATTAGGAGGTGAGCTTCTTGACAGAATGTCCTGAACCCAAGATTGACGCCATACCAGGCCAAACTTCTCTCTGGGCTGAGCAGGTACGCCAGCTCATCAGCCTAGCATGAGCTGATATTCGCGCTGATGTACTCAAAGACAGACGAAACCAATCTCGAACCTACTATCTGGCCCAGAGCAGCAGCGCTCGCCGAGGTCTTCTGGTCGGGCCCAGGACCTGATGGCCGTCCGCGCAGTCAGTCAACACCACACCAAACATGACATCTACTGACTTGTATTTTCCAGGCACCATTTCTGCCCTTCCGAGGATGCATGATGTGCGGTATCGGATGGTAAGCCGGGGAGTGAGGGCTGCTCCACTTCAGCCTCATTGGTGTGCTTTGAGACCTGGTATGTCAAATTCGTGCCATATCTCGTGATATTCGACTGATGGACGGATAGGGGCTTGTGTCTTCGGAGGATAGTGCTGCAGAGAGAGGTGTCGCATCGGCGTGTATACGCCTACCTTGGTGTAGATCTTGAGCGATCAGAGTATAAGGTCTCCAAAATATTGGCAAGATGATAATAGCAAGATCAGGTTGAAAGATGTCAATCAAGCGCCGAAGGATCCGAGGTAGATTTACATCGAGCGCTCAAAGAATACTGTACTCGTACTACTTTGCTACCAAACCCCTATAAGGCTATGATACAAGACCTGAGAAGTTGCGATCGATATGAAGATATACAAAGAAATGAATATAGCCGGCTTCTCCAGCAAAGGCGCTCTGAGCCTACCCTACGCATCGATACTGCCATAAGACGCTTTCCTGACCCTCAACGCCTTCTTCTCCTTCTTCGAACTCCTCAACTTTCTCAGGTAGGCAGAGAGTCCCCCAGCAAAAAAGAGCACCACAAAGACGCCAACGAGGCTGAGGTGGAGAGCCTCGGTGGAGGGGCTGAAGTGGTGACCGAGGAGAGGAGAGGGTTGGGAGTTGAGAGAGGTGGGATCATGGGGAGCGAGGAGGAGTTCGGCGGGGGTGATATCGGCAGGAAGAGTTGAAGGTGACTGGGCAAAGCTGTCTGCCTCGGCCCCGGTCGAAAGAGAGCTGGTAGATTCGGTGGAGTTCTGGAGAGAACGAGAGTCGATAGACCAGATATGCACCAACTCGGGCGTTCGCCAATTCGTCCACCATCCCAAAACGCCCTTCCAACCATCTTTCACCACTTCAACCAGTCCCTGTATCCCTTCTCGGATCATAGCCCATTCAGCCTGCTCCCTCCGAAGCTCTTCTCGGAGCTTGTCCCCAAATGCTTTACCGAGGCGGATGAGGGACGCTTGGTCTTGGTTTTCGAGGTCGTTGGCGAGCTCGATGATACGACGAGCGTCTTCGGCCGCACCGCCCCAAAGGTCGGATGTCGCATGGTCAACATCGTCGCGGAGCCGGATGGCTTCCTTGAGAGCAAAGTCGATCGTGGCACGGGTGTCGACAAACCGCCCTTGGAGGGCTTTCCCAGTCTCGAGGTGCCGCTTTCTCAACGCCTCCCCTATATGCACTTTAATCCACCTCCATCCATCTTCCGCCTGATGAAACACCAGCACCGCCAGGTCCTTGACATTATCAACCCCCTCATAGTACTCTAACAAATCAACGGCAAGAGGGATAATGACGAGACCGCCAGAGACGACCGCCATAGAGCCAAAAGACAGGCGGATCATGGTGCCGATGATGGCCTCTCCGTAACCGCCCATGGCGGCGCTTTGGAGGGTTGCAAAGATACCGCGGGCGGCGATTTGGCGGATGTAGGATTTGGTAGAGGGAGGCGAGGCGACCTGGTGTTACCGTCAGCCATGCACGCATCACCGTGAAGGAGGGAGGAGCAAGGGGAGAGAGGGACGTACCGGCGATGGGACCGAGTTCGCCAAAACCGATACTCCCCAGGATGGCTTTCATGAGGTATTCCCAGTAGTATGCCATGCCTGTTGCGATACCCGATACGGCGCCGGGGAGGACGATATCCCAGTCGCCCCATGGGACGGGCTGTACCATCGCGATGTGATGTATGTTTTGAAGGGGCGAGAGAGGGCGAGGCTGAAGAGATGGAGTATCAGCCGAAAGGAGAAGGGAGAAGAATTGCTTGTTATATATCTTGCGCCATGCGGCAGCAACGAGGACGGACGAGGCCGGGCAACAGTGTCTCACGAGAGGCCACATTTGCATCAACAGCCTTGGTGGCCCACTGCTTTCGTGTCCAGTGGTTTCTATGCTCGCACAAGATGATTACACCATGGACGCAATCTCCTTATTTGCACCTTGCAACAGTCTCCATCCCCCCTCCAATCTTGCAAACTGAGATCCGCAACCATTCCACTTCCATTTCCATGCTGCCCCGATAACCACGCGCTATTGTGATGAGAAGGAATGGCATCTGCATATCGATACAAAACCCCCAATAGCCCAAAGCGACGCTCCAAACTTCCAACTGTTTCCTTACTTGAGGGGAACGCTGATTCTCAGTCAGCAGCCATCCCACAAAAACTTGCAGATTTACGCACAATCGGTTGTCCTTCATGTTGGCACCTCGAGAGTGACCGACAGGCTTGTAGGTGATGGAGAATTCACCAAGGTAGTGACCAGTCATCTCGGGCTTGACCTCGACGGTGGTGAAGGTCTTACCGTTCTGCACTTCTGTCAGCTCCGCCCCTTTTTTCCCCTTTTTCACGCTCCACTTACGTAGACACCGACGACGGAACCGATCATCTCGGGGACGATGATCATGTCTCGGAGGTGGGTCTTGACCATGGCGGGCTTCTCGTTGGGGCCGGCCTCAGTCTTGGCCTTTCGGAGCTTCTTGATGAGACCGAGAGGTCGTCGCTTGAGACCTCGCTGGAACCTTCTGCGGGCACGAGCGTGAACAAGCTGTTGTGTGGGCGTCGAGTGGTGGGGAGAGAAAAAGAGACGCATCTGATCAGCAGCCAGTCTACACGTAGGAGAGAGGACGCACCTCAATGAAGTCCTCGTTGGAGAGGTCGAGGAGGTTGTCGAGCTCGACACCCCTGTACTGGTACTTCTTGAAGGACCTGGAGGCCTTCTTGGCGGCAGCTTCCTCTTGGGTAGTGAACTCGGCCTGGGACAAGCGTTAGTCTAGGGTAAATTTTATATCCCCTTTACTCGAATGTTGCCTCATGACTCTCTTCATGGTATATCTTGGTGCATAGACCGGTTTACTCACCATTTTCTGAAAGTTGAGGTTGCGGTACACGAGTGAGTTGACGAGTTGCGAGTAGTTCGAGGGGGGGGGCTATGGTCAGCAGGGTCCAGCGGGGGGTCTGCTACTCACGATGCTTGATGTGTAGAAGGGAAAAGAAATCCAAGAATCCATCGCGGGAGACAACAATTGCGCCACCCGCCGGCATTTCCCCCGGCGTTTCGATACTCCTCCATGACGTGTCACTCGATCCATTTGATCCCGCCCGTCTGAGCCAAACAACCTCCCTCACTTTCTTTCTCTGCTTTTCTCCTCCAACCTCGATGCACTGTCTAGCGGTGCTCTCTCCTCCCGACAAAACTTTTACGGGACGGACGAGAAACGGAGCGGGGTGAGAGTAATATGGGCTGGACTGGTCTGGTGGAAATGCCTTGGCCCTCGGGTTGGGGCTTGGAAACTGGTTTTCGTTGCTGTGAGCCTTTGGGCGTGAGCAGTGATGACTGGGATGACTCGACATTTCTATGCATTCGGTACGAGAATATGCATAATACAACAAGAAAACACAAGATGAATCACTCCATCGTCAACACACTGGTCAGACGTCAGCAGCATTCTCCATACCAGATGATGTACGCACCTCCTCTCGCTCCTCCCTGTCGCCGGGTAATACATGCTCCACTCAAACTCCCACCCTTCCTCCCCTACCCCACCCACAAACCTACCCGGGTTGAATACATGACACCCCTCGTACGTCAGATCATACCGTTCATACTTGTCTGCCAATACGACGGCTGAAGGCATGGGGTAGAGGCGGAGGGCGTGGTCGTACTCCCAGATCGTCGGGCGGACGGACAGAGGAAGGGGGGAGAGGTGCGTTTGATCGAGGATCGTTTGGACGAGCTACTTTAAAGTCAGATGGAGCAGACAAGGGGGGAAGAGGACGTACGTATCGCTTCATATCCACCTCGGCATCATCCTTGACCACCACCAAATTCCTAACCATCTTCCCCATCAAATCCTCCCTACACACCACAATCTCCATCCCAAAGTACTTGAGCCTGCACGGATCACTCACGAACCGCGCTTGCGGTACGCGTTGGAGCATACGCGAAGTGAATGCTGAGGGGATCGCAGGCCGGGGGAGGGTCGAGCTGGACCAAGGGTCGGAAGGGCCGGGGACAAAGACAAAGTGGCATGATTTTAAGAGAGGGATGTCGTGCAGGATTTCAGCGAGGGCGTTGAATCCCATAGTATACCTCTTCAGCCCTTCAGGCCCTTCCCACCCCCCCTGCGAAAAGTTGCCGCATAGCACAAAGACCATCGGCATAAATTCTGCAGCATTCGCGTACCCTTCAAACAACCGCTGCAACGCCGGCAGCGTCCTCGGATGGTCCAGCCACACGTCGCTGAGGATGACGAATGATACTTGGGTGTTGGCGAGTACTGCGGGGGTGTACTTTTGTTCTTCCTTCAGCGATATGGCGCCGCCGCCGAGAAAGTCGACGTGGCCGTGCAAGCTCCGCGCAACGTCCCTCTTTTCGCTCGGCGGGTGGCCCATCGCAAAGACGCGGACCGTCTCTTCCACCGTATACTCTCCTTCAATAAGCACCATACACCCTTCAGTGAAGAGCCCTTCTCCGGGTACCGCATCGTCCATATCAAGCGGCACGCGTCCCTCCCCATCTTCCAGACACAACGCTCCTTGTTCATTGCGTGACAACATCCCGAACAACAAGAACAGCTGTCCCGAGCGTCCCAAGAGGTTACGCGTCGAAGTCAATTTGAGGTAGTTCGCCCTATCATGCCCCCCAATAGCAGGCGGCGTAAAGTTTTCGTTCCTCAGTACAATCTCCTTGATGATCGCCCACCGTTCCCTCAAAAACGCCGATCTCGAGTTTGCCTGCCCAGCGATAGAGGGTAAGGTCCGGGCAGAGACGAAACCGGCGCGGACGGGGTCGAACCGCATGGGAGGCATGGAGAAGGCGTCGATGACGGAAAAGTGGGATTCGACGTTGACTTCGGAGGGGTCGGCTTCGCCGGAATCGTCTGGGGCCTAATACGAAGATGAACATGTTATACACCTGTTTGAAGGGGGAGAGGCACATACACCCATTTGGAGATTCTCAAAAGCCTTCTTTAGGGCTGGCAAAGACACCAGCGACGAAGAGTCCTCCGCCTTGAGATACTCTTTCGCCCAATGTTCGAGTCCGTTTACCCATTCTTCTTCCTCGATCTTGAGATATTATCGTCAGTATATCACGTTGCTGGATACAGGAATGGCAGTCACATGTTCGAGGATGTCTTCGATGTAGTGCAAGACTGGGGCTGGTAATGTTAGAGAGTGCTTGGTCGAAAAGATCTAACGCGTCGTGGTCAGTATCGGGTACTATGCGATGAAGAAAGACCTGCCTTGACAATCACAGCACGCATACGGTTTGCCATCCTGTATGCTCTTTATATCGCTGTTGCAAAATCACTCTCCTGAAAACAAAACATGACCCAAACGCGTCGTCGAACGCGTCGGTGGAGGTCTCCTAGCAGGGGATCAAATAAGAAAGTAGGCACGACGGGGAAACTTGCCATAGGCGCGCAGGACAAGGAGGACTCCCGGGGCCGTTTGGGACGGTGAGAAGATGGAAACCGTGTCGCCTCTCAACATCACCCAACATGGCCCTGAGAAAGCTGCAGACAGAGATCGACAAGACCCTCAAGGCAGTCGCCTCGGGCGTCGAAGTCTTTGAAAGCACATTCGACAAGCTCAACCACGCTTCCAACACCACCCAGAAGGACAAGCTCGAGAACGACCTCAAGTCCCAGATCAAGAAACTGCAGCGCATGCGTGATCAGATCAAGGCCTGGCTCGGCAACGGCGATATCAAGGACAAGACGGCGTTGCTGGAAAATAGGAGGTTAATCGAGACGCAGATGGAGCGGTTCAAGGCGCTCGAAAAGGAGACCAAGATGAAGGCGTTCTCGAAGGAGGGGCTGATAGCGCAGAGCAAGCTTGACCCCGCGGAACAGGCCAAGAGGGATATGGTGGACTGGATCGGGGGTGTGACGGATGAGCTGTCGCATCAGATCGAGGCCACGGAGGCGGAGCTTGAAGCGCTGCAACAGACGAAAAAGAAGAAGAAGGAGGGCGAGAGGCAGGATGAGCTGGAAGAGCTCAACGAGAGGCGAGAGTGGCATATCGGAAGGCTGGAGATTGTGCAGCGCATGTTGGAGAATGGCGGGCTGCAGGTGGTGGATGTGGAGAGCATAGAGGAGGATGTCAAGTACTTTGTTGAGGCCAACATGGTGAGTCTCTTGGCGTATCCCGGGAGGACTCGCTGACGATGCTACAGGAAGACGAATTCGACTTTGACAATGGCATCTACGACGAGCTCAACCTCCAGGAGGAAGAAGATTACCTTCACGACTTTGGTGTGCACGAGGACCACGAGGAAGAAGACGAGCCCGAACCGGAACCCGAAGTCGAGCCTTCCCCTCCTCCCAAGACGCCTGCCAAGTCTACCCCCCACCGCCTGTCAAAGTCCGACAAGGACCACGAAGAGCGAGACGAGTTCGCCAGTCCTCTCACCAAGAAGACTCCTTCGCGAAAGTCTACCGTCGACAAGGAGAAGAAGGAAAAGGAAAAGAAGGAGGAGCGAGAGAAGAAGGACAGGGAACGGGAAGAGCGCGAGAGGGAGAGGGTTGCAGAGGAGAAGCATCTCCAGGCCGGTCCCACGCCGTCCAAGCCTGCGCCCTTGCCACCCATCAGGTATGCCGCGGCCGCCGCTGCTGCCGTTGGCGGTGCATCCGCCTCTGCGCCTTCCCAAACCACCGCACCCCTCGCGCCTGAAAGCGATCACGTTGCCTCGCCCCAAGAGATCTCCTCTCTTCCTCCTCCACCGCCACCGGGGCTCGAGACTCGTTCACCTTCTCAACCCTCCGTGGCTCACTATACCGACTCTTCCGCTCCTTCCCGAGCGCCCAGCCTCAGCGCTGCTTCTGGTATCTCTGCCACCCCCGCCCAAACGCCCGGTAGCGTCGCCCCCCCACCCGGCTACCCCCAGTCTGCCGAGAGCTCGCATTCTGCCCAAGCCCAGCTTGCCCAGGCCCAAGCGACCGCACAGTACCAAGCTCAACAAGCCGCCCAGGCCCAAGCCCAGCTCCAAGCTCAGCAACAGCAGCAGCAACAAGCCGCTGCCGCCCAGGCTGCTCAACAGGCTCAGCAGGCTCAACAACAGCAAGCTGGCGTTATGGGCAACTTGATGCAAAGTTTCGAGGTGGCCAAGGAAATCTGTGAGTATGAGTGTTTTGTATGTGAATGTGGATGGGGGTGTGTTTTTCGGTATCCCAAGGGATGGGGAGCTGGGAAGGGCAAGTGGAAGAGCAAAAAGCATGTGCATAGGATCGAACAGGCGGGGGTGGTGCCGCCGCCTCCCAGCTTTATGGGTGGGGATCATGTGCAGGTGCATGGGGAGTGGATGCGGGGTGGGCAGGAGGGTGAGGGGGGAGGTGTTCATTGGTGACCAAGCTGATTCTGGTTTAGCCAAGAGACGGTCCGACGACGGGGACGAGCTGCATGCGGCGCTCGAAGGAAGTTACTCGAATATCCCTCAACAACAGGATGCCGAGCCGTAAGCCTCTCCTACTCTACCCCTACTCCCGCTAATAATACCCCCCAGTCCACGCTACTACCACCCCAAGAACCCAATCAAAACCCCATCCCACTACCCCCAAGCCCGTCTCCCCGCTCTGGAAGACAAGTCCATCTACTCCCGCCTGGAACTCGACCAGCTGTTCTACATCTTCTACTACATGACTGGCACGTACGAGCAATGGCTCGCGGCTAGGGAGCTGAAGAAGCAGAGCTGGAGGTTCCACAAGCAGTACTTGACGTGGTTCCAGAGGGCCCACAACCCCCAGGCGATTACGAGTGATTATGAGCAGGGAGGGTATTATTACTTTGATTGGGAAAATAGCTGGTGTCAGAGGAGAAAAAGCGATTTCAGATTCGAGGTGAGTATCATGTTGACGAGTCACTGCAAATGCTGATATTCTGTAGTACCGATGGTTATCAGATCACTGATCGTATAAATAAACAAGATTGTGCATGTAATACTTCCGGCCGCTAGTTCATTCACTGAACGCGCCAGTCTTGCTAGCAGACAAAGAATCCATGCCTCGAATACGCCCGACATCTATAGAACCAACACATTAACCAGGATAGAAACCCAACAACACGACAAAAGAACCAAGCAGTTCGAACCATCTACAACGCATACCGCTCATCCAACCTCTTTGAGATAGGATCATTCGACGTCGTCGCCTTGTACGCCTCCTGCTCCTCCTCACTCAACTTGTTCCACTCTCTCTCCTTCACCCTATTCGACCACTCATACTGAATGATCTGCAATAACGTGAATGCGAGCCAGATAGCCCCGAGGGAGACGGTAGCCGCCCAAGCACGGCGGTAGAGCGGGGCGTCGCTGGCGCGGAATACTTGGGAGCCGTAGACGCCGCCGAGGTTGGAACAGCCGACTGTGCTGGGTGTTAGTCTTGTATTGTACGCGGGGAGGGTGAGAGAGAGACAAACTGTATACGGCGTAAGTGATGGATCGTTCGGCTGGGGTACGGGCGTTGAGGGCTACCCAAGTGACATTGAATGACTGCCACGAGCTGGTCACGTGTGTAAGCTTTATAAGTCGACTGGGCAAGACCGGCAAGTCGAGGCTTACGGGGCAGCGGCAGTGACGACCATGGCGGTGTAGAAGCCCCAATTACCACCTGAAAGAATGGGGAGTTTCTTGATCGCTCATGAGCCCGGCTTGGAATGATGTGCAAAGAAGGAAAGCTTACATAGAGAGCGATGAGACCTGTAAGAGTCCACACCGCGGAGAATAGGATAAACCATCCACGTCGGTCCCATCTGTCACTGAAACGAGATAGAATGATGGAGCTGACACCGTTGAATATAGGGCCGGGGACTAGGAGCAAATTTGCTTCTGCCACACATCGTCAGCTCGGGTTCTTCCCCAATGTTGAGAAGCGTATACGCACTGATAGAGGTAAACCCCAAACTCTTCAAGATCGTCCCCGACCACGCCCCCGCCCCCTGCCCAGCCTGCAGACCCGCAAGACACATCACCAAATGCGGCCATAACCTCCAGTTCCCCAGTACGTTCCATATGTCTCGGAACCCTATCTGCAAGTGCAGCTCTTTCGATTTGAGGGGGTCATCGGCTTCCAGACGGGCGAGGTAGATGTCAGCTTGACGTTCGGAGAGCCACCCTTTCCCGCGGAAGAGGCCGGCGGTGTGGCGTGGGGAGGAGGGGAGAAAGAGGAGGGCGAGGATGCCGGTGGCGATTGTGGCAACGCCGTCGATGATGAAGATCCTAGGTATGGTTTAGTGAAATGAAGAGAAGGGATATGGGGGAGCGCTTACCATTGCCAGCCGCCGAGTCCACCTTTGCCGGAGAGTTTGATACAGCCGGCTGCTATGAGAGAACCGAAAGCGCCAGAGAGGACATTGCCGAAGAAGAAGAGTGAGGTACGCATGACTAGTTCTATTGACTCTTTAGCATGTGGGCGTGCAGGTGTAGAGGATACTTACCATCACGAGTGTACCACTGGGACAGAACATAGAGACTACCTGGAATGAAACCACTCTCCAAAACTACATGCAACCTATCAGCACTCGCCATCTTATGAAAGAATCGCCACTCACGTCCAAGGAACAGCCTGGCAGCATACCATCCACCCTTGGAGCTGACTTTGTAAGTCAGAGTCTCGGCCAACCCCCAGATGATGATCTGGATCGGGATCCAACGATGAGGACCGACGCGCTGCAAGACGACGTTGCTTGGGATTTCGAGGAGGACGACGCCGAGCCACAAGAGAGATGAGCCGACTTGGGGGGTGGTGTCATTGGTGAGGAGAAGATAGAGTTGATAGAGAGATGACTTACTGTTGATTTGGTCCTGAGTGATGCCAGTGTCCTTGAGTATAGTAGAGGTCAAAACGCCAGAGATGTTGGCGCGGTCGAGAGCCATCCAGAAGAAACCCAGCTAATGGAACGCTCACAGTCAGTTGAATCCTCAGAGCGGTGCGGTAGATGCGAGACTCACAGCAAAGATGGGAAGTAAGAAAAAGTCAGCCTTTCTCACTACTGCCCTTTGCTCTTTCAGTGTCCAAACGACAATCTTGGGTTGACCATCAGCGCCGATGATTTCCGCTTGACGTTCGCCTGCTTGGAGAGTGTTGACCTGATGATGAGTGCTGTCAGAGAGAGAGGTGGCCTTCTCCTCGTCTATCTTCTCGTCGGAATGGGAGCCGGAGATGAGGTCGAGGGATAAGTGTGGGGCGTTCTCGAGGACGACGATATCGTCAGTCCGGCGTTCTTCGCGCGACATTGCAAGGAGCGAGTTCTTGTATTTGGGGGGGGCAGAAAGGGTCGGTATCCTCTCTTTCATATATCTGAGCTTGTTCATGTTCTTTTCGGTGGAATAAGGGAGATATTTGATGTTGTCCTCCGAGAAAAAGGCTACAACAGCACGTCGTATGGTGAGCTCAGGGCATCTATTGGTAGGGATTGGGCAGAGATAAGATGAAAAGGCGACAGCATCAGGCGTGATTGTTCTTTTGCACTCGCCCGAAGGCGATTTGAGCCGAAGCCGAAGTGCACATCTCCGGGCTGGTCGACAGGCAGGTGGGAGGAGATGCCAGTTGTTGATCCACTCCGAATAAATGAATACCAAAGTTTCCGGACGCAAACGACCCTGAAAGATGCCAGATGGTGCTATGCATCAACCCTGTCACTGTCCTTGGCTCTCCCACTCCTCGAGCAATACTGCACCCGACTCGCTGGAGAGGACAATGCGGCGGCCACCAGATAGATGACAAATCGTCGGACCACCGAGCAAGACGTGATCAGATGCCATCCGCCATCTCCTCCCCTTCGCATCTCGCCGCATACATTATATCCCCTCTGGGGCTACGATGTGCCCCGTCCCACCAGTCTCCAATGCCTATCCCAACACCCCAACAGCCGCTCCGTATCGCCATCTCTGGTGGCGGGCCAGCAGGTCTCGCAGCTGCTATCGCTCTCCGTGAACTCCCTGGTGTCGAGGTCACCATCTACGAGCAAGCTACAGTCCTTCGAGAGATTGGGGGTGGCATTCGAATCGGATACAATTCCTGGAAAGTTCTTGAGCTTCTGGGGGTGGCCGATAAGGTCACGGGGCATATCAAAGTGGACCATCGACACATGTAAGTTTCTAATCTTTCATGATCGCAAGCTGACCTGATGTTGTTTAGGAACGGTGTCACTGGAGAAATGGTCTACAAGTACCCACCCCACGATGGCGAGTTCAAGTATCACGATATCCGCGCTCGTCGAACCGTCCTACAAGCAGCTCTCCGATCGAAAGTCCCCGACGAAGTGATCAAGCTGCAGAAGAAGGTGCAGAAAGTAGAGCAGCTCCCCACAGGCGGCGTCAAGCTTACTTTCAAGGACGGCACCGAGGCGGCTGCTGATCTTGTCATCGGTGCTGATGGTCTGCGATCTGTGAGTACATTTGTGGACATTTCCTTTCTGCTGACTGACATTTTGGAGGCCGTTCGAACGCAAACTTGGGGACAACACAAGACGTTCTGGAACGGCACCACCATCTTCCGATGCCTCATCCCTCTCCCCTTTGTCGACCACCTCTCCATCTCCAAATACACAGCCTTCCACCATGGTCCCGCCCGAATGTTCAAAGTCTCCGTCGTCTCTACCAAGGAGGAGATTGAAGCAGGCAAAGGGCAGTGGGAGTTGACGTTGAGGGTATTCGAAGATCCGAAAGAGGTGACGGCGCCAAAGTTTAGCTGGGGGATTCCTTGTACCAATGAGAGGGTTGCTGGCTATTTCACTGTACGTTTAATCATTGTGTGATGCGATATCGATAAGACTGACAGAGATATAGAAATTCACACCAGAGATCCGAGAGGCTATCGACCTCGTACCCGAAGGATCCTGGAAAGAGTTTTCAGCGTTCTCCGGTCCTCGTCTCGAGCACGTCGTAGCGAACGGGAATACACTCCTCATAGGAGATGCTTCTCACCCTCTTCTCGGTACGCTTCCCCTATTCTCAACTGCCACCGCAAATACTGACATATTTACAAGGGGCATTCGGAAGCGGCGCAGGCTTCGCCATGGAAGACGGCTACCTCATTGCCCAGATCTTGCATCACTACCTTCCCTCCCCCTCTTCCTCTTCCTCTTCCACCGAAGAACGAACCCAAGCTCTCTCAAAATCCCTTGCCCTCTTTGACAAGATCAGATCCCCATACTACGCCAAAATGTACCAAGTCCTCGACCAGCCGAAGAATATAGAGAACGGTAAAGATTTCGGCTCGTTCTCGCCGACGCCTGGGAACCCGTTGGGGTGGATTTATGGGCATGATATCGGTAGAGAGTGGGAGGAGATCAAGGCTACTTTGTAGTAGATTTTGTCATAGAATGGTATGAATAGACGCTTGTTGTTGTTGCTTGTTTGTTTCAAGTGGCTCTTCTCTCGTACGACTTCAAGTCGTGTTGAGAGAGAATCTCTGATGACCGCAGAAACGATGGAATGATTGTTAGTCAGAGTGGCGAGCCTCCATTCCTTGGTAGAAAGTAAATCAGAGAAGTTGCTTTGACGTTGATTAGCACGAATAGGCATAAGAATAGACAAAAGATACCCTTCAAGAGATTTCGCATTCTGATAGTCCTTCTGAGACAGAATATAGTTTGCAAGGGCACCACAACCAGAATTTGCGATTTCTCTGATCTGGAGGAATGATCACGAGTCAGGCTCCTCGCTCGAAGAAAGTAGTTTGCCTGATTGAAGGTCTCCCTGCCAGCCAAGGTCATTTCCCCCACAGTCTTTTCAGACAAGAGGATGTCGACCAACAACCACTCCAAAGCCACGAGACCTGGTTTCTTCCCAGCATCGTCCTGCACAGCGATACCAACCAGTTTTAGAGCGGATGGAAATTGCAGCAACAGCAAGTTCATAGCCCGTTTGGTGAGTAGCTGTTCATGGTATCGGTGTCCGCGAGTCTGCGCTGCCGGATGTGAATTGGGCTCTGTTGTCGATGTGGCCGACGACGTGGTGTTTGTCGGTAAGAGGGCGATCTAGGACTGATTCAGTTGCAGAAGCCGCTGTCTTGGCTGAGGAGAACAGATGCCGAAAACACATATTGGAACGGGTTCGAGCAGTATACACAGTTGGCAGCAACAATACATGATAGCATTCTGGGCAGAATGATATAATGTCGTTGGCGCGTTTGATTTTGTCTTTTGTACACGCGCAGGGGGAAAGGAGGGTGCGCCCCACTGCGGCAGTATCCAGGCGACGGTTATTGGCGCGGCGGCATTTGCATCTCTTTCTTCTTCTTCTTCTCATCCTTCTTTTTGTTGCTGCTCGTTCAACAATGTCAACAACGGCATTACCAGCAAACCATCCCACACTCCAACTCCACTGTTATATTCCTCAGCTATCACGCTTGGTCAGTACCAATTCCCATGACATGGGGACATGGGTAATTTGGGCCGAGGCTGACGGGAGCACCCAGTCATCGTCCGACACCGTTTCCTTCCACAACTAACTTCTTTGACAAGTGAACGTGGGAAGTCTTGCCATGGCGAGCACCGATCGTTGGAGGACGGCGTGAACGCCACAGAGAGGAGTGTTGATGACCGTCATATAAGGCGTGGATTCCTTCACATGTAAAGACAGAGACGGGAGAGGGAGGCCGAGAGGATATGGCCGCCGTCACAGAGTGTATCTCGCGCCCAATATTTCGCCAGTGTGTACGAGTATAGTCACTTCACTCGCCCTCTAGGGCATTCCTTGCTGTTGGAATCCACTCTCTTTCTTTCGCACGCTCTGTTCCTCCTGCTGCTTCACGCAATGTCTCCGCCAATATAGCGGCTAGTGGCGCGCGTTCGTCCTGTCTGTGTTGGACAATCTGCTTCTGGAAAAAGAAGAAATTCAGCTGTCAAGACTGGGGGCTGTGTGAAGCGGGAGGAGGAACAGAGCGTGCAAAAGAAAGAGAGCTGATTCCAGCAGCAAGGAATGCCCTAAAGGGTGAGTGAAGTGACTATACACATTGACGAAACATTGGAACGATGTCGGATGAGGACCGCCTTACCGGTACGAGCCCCATCCTGAATGAACGGAAGTTTTACTGATGTTTTGTACAGGCTGCCGCGCACACATTCCCTCCCTCTTGTTGGCAGTAAGGGTCGTCTACCCTCATCATTACTCGACATCTCACAGTCCCTGGACCGCGGTCCCATCAAGACGACGAATATCCGCAGCCGCCTGCGCCCGCTCCCCCTCCCCAACAAGGCTCCTCTGCACGTCTTCCTCAAGATCGAAGGCCGTGGTGCTGGAGTGGTTGGGGACTGGGGAGCTGCGGGACGCCGGCCTTATAGCCTACTCGAAGTGTTGAACAAGCAAAGCCTGCATGCCGTCATCCACCCGCTCTCGTGGCGCTCCCTCCACCTCCCTCGCTCCAGTCTCATCAACAAGATCCAGAGATCTATCAAGACTCGCACGCGGATGGGGCGTGGGTGTTGTGGTTTATTGTGCCTCGATCGGCAAGACATCAAACGGGTCCGCCATCCGATGGACAAGATGACAATATCCACTCTCCCAAGGTGGGCAGTGGTTCGACGGCACCCTCCTGTCAGCAGGAAAAGTGGTTGTGAGTGTCGCTCAGATTAGTTCACATCTCGATGATGACTATTGCTGATCGTTGACCGACCGCTTCCTTCTAAAGTACCTTCCGCTTCTCTTATACCCACTCTCCGATGACGGCACTAGACTTCTTGAGCCTATTCGCAACCGCATCATGTAAGGTCGGGTACTATGCTTGGGTAAGTATTTCTTAGTGCCTCAGCATATACGGATACTAACTCATACGACAGTATCGCCACATACCCCAGACACTTCCAACAGCAGGCGACCTTGGGCTGTCTCCGCATGACAACAACCATCCCACCCCATGACGTTGACTTGCCACTCTTCGCTGTGGCCGCTCCTCCCTGCCTTTCCAGGTCGTCAGATCCTGGAGGCCCCATTTCCTTGAAGTCTCAGGAATTCCCATGACTACAGTCGGAGGAGGCGCCAGCCAGATTCCCGACCGAGACGAAGGGAGTCTGAGTGTCTATGGGATGGGAAAATTCTCCTTCCATATTCGAGAGTTCGTTACACACTGTTTTGCATGACTCACCAAAGCCACTGTTCCGCCCACTACCCTCTGCATGTTGAGAAGGACGTACGGGAGCTTACTAACAGACTCTCGAATATGGAAGGAGAAGTTCCCCATCCCATACACACTCAGACTTCCTTCGTCTCGGTCGGGAATCTGGCTGGCGCCTCCTCCGACTGTAGTCATAGGAGTTCATGAGACTTCAAGGAAATGGGACTTCCAGGATAGAGGCCGAGGCGAGTGAACACAACACTAAGTGCCGGAGAGCCAGGTGGTGCAAGAGCACAAGAAGAGAGAGGGGACAGTGCTTGGCGAGGAGTTGTTTCCTGGTATGAGAGAGAAGAGGAAGAAGGGCCGAGGAACAGAAGACGAAAGAGCTCGAGTGTGAGTTCATCCACCCTTTAACAGCTCAAAGTCGTCGCACTGACACAGTTGCCCTTCAGGGGAGAGTGTAGATAGGGGCCGACAAAAATCTCGCAAGGTGCCAAGAGTGTTTTGCGTTCGATGGACGTCTTGAAACAAAAGGACAAGTCAGGTGTGGAGGAGCACGGGGATGTTGGAGTTTCTGTAGGCGAGGACGCGTTAGCTACATATCTCTTCTCTCTATGATACCTATATAAGCTATCCTATCAGCAGCAAATGTTGCGTGAGTAGACGTCAAATTGGTTTACGTAACCAGCGATCCGAAATCGGCAAGCGAGCACAAGGATAGGGACGCAGTGCATACGCTTCACATCTGGTAAGCGCCACTCTTGCCATGTCCAAACCTGTCCCCCAGACCTCTCGCATCGTTAATCTTTTTGCTCCTCTCTTGATCCGTCATCAACCTGCCGGTGATACCCATATCTCGAGCGTGATCCCAGATAGCAGGCGCATCGTCTTCGTTCTTTCCCTTTTTCGCGAGCTTGGAAGTGTGCTGGTCGAGCAGTGACGGTCCTCGCTATGCAACATCAGCAACGGCCTGGAAACAGACATATGGTGCACTTACAGTGTACTTGCCAAGCTCCCCTTTGATATCTTGATCCCTCCTCTTTCTCTTTCGCTCAGACTCTTCCTCTTCGGCAGTCATGATCCTATCTCCAGCCTTGTCCTTCTTGCGCTTGACACCCGCCACTTCGTCCGCGATACGTTGCGCCTTTTCTGCAGGCGTCTCGGTCCAGACGGAGCTGTCTATGTGTTTTTCTTCGGTATTACGTGAGAAGGTTGAGGGGCGTTTACGCAGTGGGTCAACTGTTCAATTCTATTAGTCAGAAGTCTTCCCATCGGAACAAGAAACCGACTGTTAGATAGAGACCCGCTTGAAGGCGGTACCAACATCCACTCCTCCCTCTTCATAACCTTCGGCTTCGCCCTCTCCGCCGCATCCTTCCTCATCCTCTCTTCCCTCTCCAAAAACTCTCGCACACCCGCGTCGGGATCATCGTCCGCATAAGCGCTCGGTACGGGGACAGGCCCGACGATCTCATCATCCGAATCGTCGTCTTCTTCGAAAGACGGCCCGGCGGGAGGAGCAGCTGAAGGGCGTGAGGGGCCGGATGCTGGGATTGTAGGACCTAAGCTGGGGCCGGCTGGACGAGGATTGCTTTGTCGATTTTGGAGGTGAGGAGGGAGGGCGGGGAGGTAGTCGTCTTCCTCATCGTCGTCTGCGGCCTGGGGAGGGGCGAGGTGCGGGGGGAGGGTGGGTCCGATGGGCATGGCTATAGAGAAATTTGTGGAAAGAGGTGTCTTTTGAACGTCTTTCTTGAATTGTTCTTGAAAGTGCGGCGTTCCGCGGGGCAAAGTACAGTTAATTACGCTTCGTATTAACGCATAATTACGTAAACCACGAACGCGTCGCGTCTAAAACATCAACAAACGGTTCCCAGCTTGTTTTTCATCCATCTCTGACAATGAGCGGTAACAACGACAACCCCCTCAACCACCCCCCCTTCTTCCACATCCCAGGCGTAGACCCCGCCGCCCCCATCTCCGCCCAGACAGAGCGCATCGACCAGCTCAACACCCTGCTCCTCCAGGACATCGATGCCAACTTTGCGCGATTCCATCAGATCATCACGAGCAAGATCTTGCCCCAGATAAAGCGGTATGCTATTGCCTCGGAGCCTACCAGGGAGGCTGCTCAGGTGAGTACACGAGGATCTTGGGGGAAGGCAGTGCTAACTTGGCGTAGTTCTGGCGAGCATTCTTTGAAACGGCCTCGGCGGTCCGTCTGTCAAACCAGCAAGGCGACACATCCCTAAATTCTCAAAACCAAGACACTTCTACCCAATACGATGACCAGACATTCACCCTCCGCCGCGAGGCCGACGATTCATCTGTTCATCCCAGCACCGAAGAGTCCTTCATGTTTGATCCGCCTCCCGGAATCTCGTCCACGCCCTTACCCGTCGGTCGTAATGGTCCCGGCGGCAGACCGAATGATAGCTGGGAAGACTCCATGGAGTCCCCGTTCGACAGGCTGGACAGGAAGCTGAGGGACGACCTAAAGATTGACGAAGGCGAGGGATACGAACAGTCGAGCAGCGATATGCCCACACCAAGCTTGCCGAGCGGCTACAGTCTTCCCAGGCTGGACGGTGACTCTTCCGTGATGAGTAGTATCAACGACTACTCTGTCGGAAACATCGAGCCTTCTCAAGCAACCACCGACTCGTCCGCGTCCTTCTCCCAAACCCACTCCCGCCTCGCTCAATCCTATCGAGCATCCCCCACACCCAAAGCCAACCGCCTAGCCAACCCGCCCTCTGCCGATTCCAACCCCTTCGGCAAAGACTTTACTGGCGTCGTCGATCTTCGCTCGACCCCGCTGAATATGAAGAAGAAGGGCCAAGGCTGGAAACCTAAAGCCTCCATCGTCCCGGGTTTGGACGATTCGGATTCAGATTCGGACGATGGGATGCCAGCTGGTATGTCCCCGCCCGTAACCATGAGTTTCAACCTCCCCCCCCGCGCCCAGGCTGTCATGAACGCCGCCAGAACCCCAGGCAAAGGCAAAGAGAAGGAATCAGCGGGCGGGAAGGAGAAGGAGGCCAAGTTTATCTTGGACGATTTGTTAGAGGAGATGAGCCAGGATATGTCGCCGAGGTTGGAGACGCCTGAAGCTTTGCGGAGATACTCGGTCATGCCGAGTGATAATATTCCGGGACGGCTCTTGTTTTCGGATAGTTCTATCCGGCCGGATGCTATTGGGGAAGAAGACGAGGATGAAGATCAGACTTTCCACGCTGCCCAATCTTCCCACTCTCAATCCCAATCACAATCCTCCTCCCACCCCCCCGCCCCCACCCAACAAGAACCCTACCCTCCCCCTCCCCCGCACGCCCGCCATTCCCTAGCAAACTCCTCCTTCGGCTCCAACGCTTCCTTCACCCAAATCCCCGGCGGACCCGTCGTCTACTCTGATGCCAACGAAGAAGACTCTTTCGACGAGGGCGATACCTTTGACGATGATGATTCGGGCGAGATTTCGTCTTTGCATGTGCCTTCGACGGGATCGTCGGCCCATCCTGGGTTTGGTATCAATTACCAACAGCCGGGGGGGTACCAAGTCCCAAGCCTCGGCCAAGGCCAGAATCAAGAGATGGTAGACGCATCATTCGCCTCCTCCGAAGGCGATATGACCAACACATCCTTATTCGGCGGGCGGGGCGGTAGAGCCCCAGCGGCGGGAGGGTTTGCGCTGATGACAAGGGAAGAGATGGATACGTATAGAGGGGGGAGGTTGGAAGATGCTGCTGGGGAGGATGTTATGCTTAGTCCTTTGTATGCGCCGGGCAGGGAGGGGAGGTAGTGGAGATGTTTTGATTTAGATGGTTTGTTTGCTGGTTCGGCGTGGTGGAGAAATATGTACTTGTACGGGTTTGACAAAACACGATCGAATATTACATTGCAACATCAAGAACGTACAACGATATACAGATCTAAACATGCTGGAGAGATAAATTATGCTGATGTCCTTGTCTGAAATCTTTACACTTGCTCCTCGCCTTCGCCTTCTTCTTCCACCAGGATGGGCTCGTAACCTTCCTTCTCGCGGGTCCAGAACCAGTAGCCGATGCTTCCAGCTGTGGCGAGAAGTAAGATACCGATCCCGGATAGTGTTACCGTCAAGAAACCCCATCTGCGTGGTATGTAAGCGTGGGTCTTCACTAGAGTCAAGGGGACGTACCGAGAGAACCAGCTGATCTCGTATGGGACGAGAACAGAGTCGATGATGAGCACACCCCCTCCAAGCGTCATACCGCCTCTCCACAACTTCTTCCATTCCTCATCATCGCCATCCCCGCCTTCATCATCTCCATCTTCGTCATGTTTGTCTTTATGGCCCTTCGAAGCCGCACTCCGATTCCTCCACGTCACACTAGCTCTCCCACTAGCCCCCACCCTGGCCGAATCCCCCCCAGCCCCATTCCTCGCATTCTGAATCCCCACAATCCAGCTCCCATCCCCCGCATTCCTGAATGCCAAATCCGCAAACTTGCTACGGCTTGACAAGAGCGTGCCGTATACCGTATCATCCGTCAGCGAGAGAGGCTGACCTTCTTGCGGGATGGTTTCTGGGGGTGGGGGAAGAGGGGAGGATGAGGATGAGGATGGGAGCTGGGTCTGAGAAGGGATGATGTGCAGTTTGAGAAGGTCGAGAAGGGCGGGAGGGTTGTTGGTATAGTATGTGAGGTTGAGTCTGCCGAATGCCTTGTCTGTTGGGACAAGCACAGTATAGGCTGGATAAGTCAGATCTTCACTCTCACCCTCCCCTTCACTCCCACCCTCCCCTCCTTCGTCCGCAGCTCTGACCCAGCCCTCAAGCGCAACTCTAGAAACCTCCTCCCCACTCGGCTCCCTCCCTTCCAAAACCCACCCAAGGCCCGCGTGGTTCATCAGATCCGCCATCGTACTCTGCTTTGACCCCTTGACCAATTTGGCGATCGTAATACCCACATCTGCGGGCATGACGACCTGGTCGATAGTGTGGATCACGCCCGTATCGGTGAGCGCGTCAGAGGTGGAGATATTGGCGGGGAAAAGCTCCCCGTTGGAGGGGAGAGAAGCGGACGAATCGTGTCCGGGCCACTTGTTCGGCGAACCTACGGTGAGAGCACGGTGTCTGCCTTTACCACGCTCAATGACAATATCCCCACCCTCAACAGTCTTGTAGACTTGTCTCCCAACATTCACATCTTGCGAATAAACAAGCCCATCAACAGCATGATACTTGATCACCTTCCGAAGATCATCTTTCCCATCAGGCAAGAGGAGCCACTTCATGGTCAGACCGAGGTGGTTGAAGGCGTCGTTATGAGGGATGAGGTAGGTGGTGGCGGGGTAGTGTTTGGTAGTTTTGGCCAAGTCTGCAGCGTAGAGAGCTGCGACAAATGTGGATAGTTCAAGGTCTGAGACGGCTGTTTGGAGGACGTTGTCGGGGGTGGAGAGTAGGCCGGAGATGAGGTAGATCATGTTGTTTCCAGATTTTACTGTCTAACGTTAATATCACCAACACCTCAATAGTAAATGGACTTACCAGGCTTTCCAATGACGGTCGCTCCGCCCAACCTCACTTTACCCTCCCCAACAGTCTCCCAATCACTATGACTGTTGCCGTCCTTTTCAGCCACCTCCACTCTCAGCCTCTGCCTCTCCCCACCCAAAGCGCTCGTGCGCATCTCGGTCGGTAACAACTGCCCATCTTTGAGATCTTGCGGCAAAAGCTTGCCGGGTAAAATGTGGTATTGCAGTAAAGCAGCGAGAGGCGAAACGTCCTTGAGTGGAGTGTTGCCAATGGGAGACATTGAGGCAGGAGAGGTCATCTCGTGCGCCAAAATATGGTTTGAAGACGCAGCACTAAAGCCGCCCCATTTATCAAGCGTATCAAGGACGTCGTCCGTGGGCGCCAGGATGGTATACGAATCCCCACCCTTCTCCGCACTGCCCTTTCCAATATAAGCATCCGACAGGTTGGCCGTGCGCAACAGTGAAACAAAGCGTGTAGCGTTGAGCGAAAGAAGCATCTTTTCTGCCGAGTTGAGCAGGTCGAATCCAGCGGGGAGGATGAGGTTGGGGATGATGTGGATGACACCGTTGGAGGCAAAGATGTCGATGATTTCGGCTTTGGTGTCGTTGACGAGGACTTCGTTGCGGGATGGAGAGGAGACGTTGAGGTGTAGACCGCAAGCGGCTTCGACTGTAACAAGTGTCAGTAAAGGGCATTTATCGTTCGAAGAAGAAACCTACAATCTGACTCTTTGCCCAGCAAATCACTCCACCCCACGCCCTTTCCATCTTGCCCAAGCACGACATTCTGACCAACGATCCTGCCAACCCCTTCATCGCCATAAGGCCCTTCCAAGTATCCTCTTTCGATATCATCAAAGGCGGACAGGAAGGCTTCGTTTGATGGGGCAAATACAGTCAGGTGGGGTGTTGTAGCAAAGGAAGCGGGGAGGGGAGCAGGTGGGCTGGACAGGGGCAGGATCTTGGCCAGGTATGAGAGAGATGGATGAGATCTGATAATTACATCTGCGCTTTTGTCAGTACTATCATGCAAGACAGCAGTCTACGCACCAATGCTGGGAGGTGGGTCCAAGACACCCTCGATACCCACCACCACTCCATTCCTCGTCCACTTGACCCCCGTCACATCATGCTTGCTTTCATTACCAGCCTTCCACCCACTACCATCCCAAACACCTACTCCACCTTCGCCTTTCCAATCAGCCCCAATTTTGCCCCTCTTTCCCCCTTCTTCGCTTCCTACTCTGGCAAGCCTAAGCCTCTGCCCGTGCCCGCCTAGGAGGCCCTCACCACCACGCGGCAGCCAAGGAGGTCCGGGCTCGGGCATAGGCGGTAGAGGCGGTTCTTCGTCCAAAGGGTAGAGCAGGGTGGTTTGTAGCGTCACATTGTTGACTTGTTCGGATGCCAACAGCGATTTCGGTGTGAGGGTATAGTTGAGCATGTGATAGAGGAGATGCTGCCGCAGAGCCCAATTCTGGTTGTCCATCGCCCGGACTTCTTCCTCATGGTTACCACTGGCTGCGACCCGAGCCAAGAGAACTTCCGCTTCATCCTGAAACCAGTCGTCCAAACCTTCCGGTCCCAGCCAGCCATGAATCAAATCCGGCCGATCGTCAACCTCCTCTTCAAACGCCTTCGAGCTTGGCTTATTCCGCTCAGCCCACTCCTTCCACGCTTGGTCCGTCGGCGCAAACACTGTGGCGTTGCCAATATGAGCCAGCATGGGTACGCTCTTGGAGCGCTGGAGTAAGCGGATGAATGTGGTATGTTGGGAGGAGGCGGAGAGGGTCGAGATGATTGATTCGGCTGCGGTTTCGATATCTGGCACATCCTCTTTATCAGTCTCTTTCCCAGCAGCGGACATGAAGCTCACCACGACCATCTTCCGCCAACGTCGCGCCCACATCGTCTTCGGCATGAGCTGGAGAGTCGACGGAGAAGGCGTGCTGAGCCGAGAGCGCGGCCCGGGCGCAAAGGCCCAGGAGGAGAAGGAGGCTTGGGGAGCGCATGATGCTCCTGTGACTGGATGGGAGGTTCTGGGTGCTCTCTGGTGCAGATGAAAGAGATGCATGGGATTGAAGAAAACGTTGTCTATGGGGTGAGTGGCAACAATGACGAATGCTTATGTAATCATACACCGCAGGAGTTCAATACAACAACAACAACTGAAGTTCAATTTGAGTTCAATTGCTTTCATGGATCGGGAGAATCGTCTCAAGGCTGTTAGGACATCCATTTTTGAGGTGTTTCATGCTGATATGCCTCTCCCAATCGCGTCCTGACCGAGCCATAGTCTCTCAACGTCTCTCTGTCGCAGGGTCGCGTGCAATATTCTACTGGCTCACCAAGTCTCCTTCAATCAGTAGTACTTTCCTGGTCCTCACGATGATTGTTCTCGCAGTTTTGGCTTGTATCGAGAAAGTCAGTTCTATTGCGAATCTCGTTTCTGTCGAGGAAGATTGGGTGAGTCGTCGCTTTGTTCTTTCATCCTCCTACGTTGAGCTCTATTCATGCCTACCGAGCTAGCATATACTAGTTGCCCTGGTTTTGCGAATCAAGCTGACATGCCGTCAGGTAGTGGTGGTCGCCGGCGACGACTCGTCAACTCTCGCCGCACTCAACTCCCAAATGCGGCATATCGACCTGGTCTGCAAGCTATTGGGACCGCTATCCATCGCCCTCTTAGACGGGGATTCAACGAAAGTCGCCATCGGCATCAACCTTCTCATGAACATTACTTCGGTCCTAGTAGAATACTTTGCCATCGCCCAAGTATATTCTCGGGACGACGACCGACTGAAATTACCGAAGTCGGTTACCTCGGCCTCCCGACGTCCGGCGAGCAAAACGAAACGTCCTCACCCACTCTCAACAAAAATTCGAGCGGTCTGCGGCAGTTCTCCTCCAACTCCACTGGTACAAGACCAACCCCGACCGCGCCCCCTCCCTCGCCGGCTCGTCTTTGCCATTTACTCGGAACGGCCCTTTGTTGCTGCTAGCGGCTTGGTCGTCAGGACTATCCTCAGCCACCTGGGCCTCCGAACGTTGGACTCTTGTACCCAAATCATCGTGCAAGAATTGAGTCTTGTTCTTGTCATTCAACCCACCGATCGAGCACGCGACGCTGATACCATCATTTCAAGGAAGTCGAGCCCGAAATCAGAGGCATCTTCTCCTCCATCGAATCCGCCTGGCAAAACGCATTCGAACTACTCACCTACACCTCCACCATCATCTTTCTCCGCCCCGACCAGTTCCATTATCCCGTTTGGCTCTCGGTCGGGGCGGTGGCGACTGCTATATTACTGTTTAGCAATTTTGTGTGGCATCGCCGGGGACATCTGTTGCATCCGGAGAAGACGGCGGGTATTTGTGGGTGTCATGAGAGATGAGGGAATGTGGGGTGATGTGTATAGACGACGAATAGGGTGTAATATCATGTATGATAGGGAGTATAAGAAGCAGAGCGCTGGGCGCTATAATGAGGGAAAAGATGGTGAAGAAGCTGGATGAGTGAGTCGCGCTTTCGAACTTATCGCTGTATCATGAGTACTCGAGTACTGTACGAGTAGATTATAGAGTGTGGACACGCCTGACGACAAGACACATTCGATACAAGAGCCGTGTGTGCATAGTATATATGCACAAGAAACAAAGTAATTTCCAGCCATCAAGAGAAACACATACAAAACCTTGCTCAGTACCCATCCAACTCAACCCTCTGATCCTCACCCACCGTGCCCCCAACCAGCTCCCCCCTGAACCTCGTCCTCACCCCCATCCTAATCCTCTCCTCCCACTCCCTAAACCACCCCCCTTCCTTCCTTCCCACCAAGTAATGCACGCCCTTGGGACCTTGGACGAGCTGAGGTTCTTTGGGGAGTTGGGGATTGAGTTTGTATAGAGAGGGAAGGCGGGATTGGGCATCGGGGAGGGGTTCGGAGGGGAATGTGTGGGGGAGGGGAGGGTAGAACTTGAGAGCGTCTAGTATGGAAAGTCAGCTGGGAGAAAGGGGGAGAGAAGGGAAGAGGGCTTACAGGTGGCTACAGTGACGTCCCATGGCGCACCACCTCGAGAACTCCATCGTTTCCAGAACCAGATTAGCGGGTAGATCATGAACAACCAGCTCAAGAAGTAAACAAAAGACTGAAGACATAGTGTCAGCAACATGTCGTCCAGAAGATAGGAAAGAGGCTTACATTGCCCAGGATACGGCTGAGAAAGTTGTTGGGGTGTACGATCACGACTCTATCGTCGACGTCGAGCGTAACTTCGAGATTGGGGTGAGAATAGCCCGTGGACCGGATAGCACCATTTATTGCTATGTCCTTGTCAGCTCGGCCTATACGCCCCCAATGGCGACACTCACCAGACTGGACACCATCCAGATCCCATCCACAAAGGTCCTTTTGAAGCGAAAACTCGTTGAGCACGCCTCGGTCGGCACAGTACGCCTTGCACCACTCCTTGAGATTGGCCCTCGCATGGCCCTGACCCTGGCCTTGCGTTGGGGAAATAGAGGTACCCTCGATGGAGAGCTCTTCATCCAGCAAAGGCTGCTCAGAGTCATTTTCGAGACGTACACTCCCACTCCCTCGGCCCTTCCCCTTCCCCTTGTTCTTCAAATACTCTTCATACTCTGGCACGTCCCTCCTATCCACCCACACGGGAAGACCCTTGCCCGTTCTCCATGTCTGCCACTCGACATCTTGCTTCTCCTCCCTGTGTCCGAGGCTCCGGCCCGGGAGAGTCGTGTTGGCATCTTCATTTTCGGCGAGCGAAATGTACTGCTCGTCTTCTCGCGAGCGACCGTGATGATTATGGCGAGATGGGGGGTGGAAAGCTGCAGAATACGTTTGAGAGTTTGTACCCCGGTGGGCGGGCTGCCATGGGAGAGCGGTCGATAGATGGACCTGAGCGCTGTTCTCAGAGTGGTCGATGATATCCGTCAAATCAATCTTCGCTCTGTCAGCTCTGCCACTTGATATAGATCGACAGGAGGACATACGGTGAAGTCAAAGTCAATAACGCTAGTCTGCTCGCCCCGGCGTACGGTACGTCCATCGATGATGGTTTCGCGCTCGCATGTCTCCATGTGCCACCCTCTGCAACGTACATTCACCTTGGGCGGTACAGACGCCATGTATCGGATAAAATCGTAGAGTGTATTTGCTTAGATGTTTGTCAGTAGATTCGTTGCAACCACAGGTGGGGTGCGTACGATTGGAAAGTATGGGATCCCACGTCTCAATACGGTTCCCTTTCTTGACCATCTGGACGTTCGCGAATCTCTGCCTGGCAGTGGCGTCTCTTCTCTCATCGCTTGAAACGGGCTCAGAGTTGACAGGAGGTGTGAAGAAGAATCGGATATGATCTGGGACTGCGCGGTGCCCATCGCCGGAGGGAGCAGTGCTGGATGAAGCCCCAGGGGCGGCGGCGGTGGCGAGGGAAGAGTCATAAGAAGGGGGAAGGTCAAAGTCGTCTTCTAGCGCCGGAGGCGGCCCGAGAGGACCTTTTCTGTCTTGAGCCATGTTAAGTGTCAAGAATGCTGGCGCTGGTAAGAGAGAAGATTGGTATTTGTAGATGCTTTTGAATGTATGGGAATTTCAGTGGTTGTTCAGTGGCGGCGGTGCTGGACGGTGGAGGTCGCCGGACGCCGGGCGCGTGTCTGCTCGGCAGTGCATTTTCTAATACGAGTACTGTACCATAATACGATATCGATCAAAACGATGGATCATTAATGCAGACAATGTCAAGTGCCCATCATGCGAATGCAGTACGAGCAGAGGGTTTCAGTTTTTTGGGACGAGCGTAGGATGAATACAAAACGAGCGGCTCAACCGCCGCGAGGTGACTACCCGGAAGTGCCCTCCACTCTGTGGGCGTTGAAAGACGGTCATCGGTGTCCCTATCGCTGTGCGTTCGCCGCGTTAGGTTGACTCTTTCGTACTATACAAGCTTGAAATCATGACGAAATCGCCCTCAAGCCGTCCCATATACCAGCGAGAGGCCTCTCTCCCCCATAGAGGTCGATCTGCATGCACTTTAGTGAAAGAAACGGTCAATACTGGGCATATCCAGAATTGACTGCCCCCGCCTGACCGGTTCCGCCCAGGCGACGGTCAAGGGGTGTCCCGAGCGCTGTGCGTTCAGCCTTGAGCTGCGTCATATATATCTTCAACCTTCAAGTGTCTGCCCCTGTGGTAGATCTAGTCGGCGATGTTCTATATGGCCGCACAAGGGAAATCCAAGCCATTTCCAGAGAATTGTACTGAAAAGACAGGTCCCACTGCTAGTCGGCCGCGGTTGAAGGTGCTCACGCTGTGCTCACGTCATGTCAGCGTGGTCTGGACAACATCTGCACGATCCATTCCGTGCTGTAATCTCATACAGAAGACCGACGGCGAGATCCGAAGTATATGAAAAGTATTGGAAATAAGTTAGATATGGAGGCGAGCCTTTGCGGAATCACTCATGAACGTGGCCACTTGCTGCCGACTGGTGTCAGCATCTGAATCCAGGAAGCTGTAACGGGCCACAGTGCCATGCATGCACTCGGGGGAGGTGCACAGGTCCCTTGACCCCTTCAGGGTACCAAAACAATGTCGAGCGTCCCAGCGATATGCTGGAAGAACTCGATTAGAGAACGCTGACAGCGAAGGCTCAGAACCTGGTCACAAAGGCCGGTCTCGGTGTCCCGAGCGCTGTGCGTTTAACACCTTGAGGTGATGCTTCTATGATACAGACTATACGAGTACGGTACCGTCTCAAGTATACAATTACTGTGTACTAGGGGGAAAGCGGTGAGAGCTACGAGAACAGTTTCATGCAACACTAAGAGACTTCAGCTAGGCCAAACGTCCTTCAGTGGAGTTCATGTGGCAGCGACCATCGTCACCAAGTCTAGTTGGGTGTCCGGAGCGCTGTGCGTTCACTGGAATGTCACCGTATACCATAAGCCATCCACCTATCCTTTTGAGACCGAGCTGGCCAGTTGAGTATCATTCAGAGGCATCATGTGTTGTGCTTCAGGGACTCGTGACATCTGGCCACCGTACGTAGAGGATATCGATCGTCTAAAGGAGAGACGAGACATTGTTTTCGGTTACCAGTATGTCTTGCAGCCACCGTTGACCGAAGATAGTATCCGGCTGTAGCACAATATCGAAAAAGACATGCATAAGTGGCAGCAAGCCAGGACTAATATCCCCATATGTAGACTCCCATAATCTCCCTACACAAAAGGCCTCATAAAATGAGTACCCTCTCTGTCCCCTTCACCTCCTTTTCGAATGTAATGACTCGAGTATGAAAAACTAGTACTAATAGAGAGCGCATGTATAGCTCTTTGCAAACGCCCGATGATTTGATGAGAAAAATGAGAAAAATGATAATTGTTCGAGTAATGAGAAGAAAAGCAAGGACACAAATAAAAGAAAACAAGTAAACAGACGGAAGGGTGAAGAAGACCGAAGACCAGATTTCAGAGAGAATCGACAGGCAGACTACCAAAAGCGAAATTAGGAGGGGAAGAGACAGAGACAGTACACATCCCAAAGAAGAACATAGGCAACAAAACTGCTATACGTGACAAGGGGTAAGGGATAGAAAACACGAAAAGTAGACAAGGAAGGGAAAGAAGCAGAAGATGATGATGGTCACCAGATAGAATTGCCACTCGAGAACTCAAACGTCATCGAGCTCTTCTCCTTCAACCCCAACCCCAGCCCGCCCCCAATCGCACTCGAGGTGCTCCCACTCCCAAAGCTACCCTCATTTCCACCAAAGAGAACAACAGGCTCATAGTCCTCCTCCATCGTAGGCGTAAACAGGTAGTCTTTCGTCCCCATCCCCATCGGCGTCGTCGCGGGCGAATGATCGCTCAGAGCAGAGGAAGAATAGACGGAGAGACGCGAGCCTGAGCATGACGATCTCGATGAACCTGAGGACGACATGGGAGCGTTGACGTTGGTGTTGAGGCTGAGGTTGGAAGTACGGGGTTTGGCGAAGGATGAAGAGGCCGAAGTGGGGTGGAATGAGAATGACTTCAAAGAGGATTGGAATGATGTCGGGGACTGCTTGTAAGAGTCATAAGAAGCACAAGGGTTGGCGAGGTGGAATGTAAAGTCGTCCTCTACCTCGACATTCATGAGTCGATCGGCTTCCACGAAGACACATAGTTCCCTTCGAAGGCGCCCCTCTGACTCGCATGAACCCTCTCCACCCCAATCGGCGCTATCACCCCTCCGACACTCTTTTCTAGCAATACCTCTGACTGACGCCTGTAACCCACGCCGGCGAGGAGTGCCCATTCTTCTGGTGTCAACACGCCGTGCTGAGAGTGCGTGTGAGGAACGGACAATCGTCTGTCTGCGCCAGTGGAGGAGGGGAAGGTTGATGAGTGAGCCTGAGGCGTAGGGGTGGAGCGGTTCATGCTGAAGTTGGGGTATGGCGAGAAGGACCCTCCGCGAGACGAGCTGGTAGGTGCGAGCACGTCGGGGTTGGACCTTTGAGCAGCATCGAAAGCCGGGGTGGGGGTAATGAGGCCGCGGAGTGAGAGTTCATGGCGGGTGAGTTTGAGATCCTCGATGCCGTGCGCAAACTACACTTTCGTCAGCCACTGTATGAGACGAAAGGGACGAGACTTACTTGACAACCTGCGCCGTACTTGCAATATCCACCGCTAGTCTCCCATGCTACACATATCTCCGTCTTCCAGGCATTAATCTCTTCCCTCAAATCTGACTGATGATGAGTCTGAGAATGAGAATGAGGAGGCGCAGGTTCGACCGGCCTCGGGCCGTATGACTTGACGGGGGTCTCGAGATAAGACTCATCGCTAGACGCCGAGAGTGATTGTCGGGAGAATCGGGGAGGGAGAGAAGGCTGTCGATAGTGTTGCTGCTCTTGCAAAGCAGCCGAAGCCACCGAAGCAGTAACAGCCGCAGCCGTAGGAAGCCTGACATTGTTGACATTCTCAAACTTGCTCCACAGACTCTCTGGGATCCCGTTCCCCTGCCCCGTGCTCTCGTAAGAGAAGAGCAGATACACTGAGTTGTCGAGGTCCCTAAAGCCCGCCTCATACAGAATATCTCCCAAAGCGAGCCGGATATCATTTTTTATCATCTTGTCCAAGATCTCTCCGTAACCAGAGCACCTGACCGCCTCGGGGTTGGCACAGGGAGAAGCGTAAGCGGTGATGGGATGAGGATAGTTGACGTTGTAAGGTTTTGGCAAGGGCAGGTCGGCATCGGTATAAGGCAGGGGAGCGAAGGAGAACTCGCGGGTGCCAGGGCGGCCGAGAACAGTAGGGGGAGGTCTGGCGAGGATGGAAGCAGTGTGGGCCGCAGTAGCGACGCGTGTGAGATCGGGAAGATTGGGCTTGGGAGGGGGAGCTAGCGAGGTATCAGCTTGAGGTGTTTGAAGGAGTTTCGAATGACGTACAGTGCACTGTTGTCTTCCGTAGGTCTTGTACTACACAATGGTGACTACCGTCAGCCAGGACTCCATATTTGGCGGCGCTGGTTTAGACTGTACCTTTGCTTGCGTCGCAGTTGAGAGACGGCATGTTGCCAGACTGGGAAGAAGGCTGTTGGGGAAGAATTGGGTGGGACATGGCAAATTGGCGTCGTGTGCGAGTTCGCGGAGACATTCTCGGGGCACTGCAAGGGTGAGATCGTGGCCGTACCACGAAAAGTGGGTGCTCACGTTAGAACAGCAGGCGAGACGAAGAAAGGTGTAGAAAAGAGAAATGAAGATAGGTATGCGCCTTTATATAACTTGCAGGAGTCATTAATCAAACACGGCTAGTGCGTCGTGTCTCTGCCGCCGAAAGGAGGGGCGTCCCCCACTGTGACTGCCGGAAAGGATGTTGAACGCCGTTGCTCGCCTCCCTATACATTCTGGTCCCGTCCCCATCAACAGATCTGCGCCCCGCTGCTCGTTGTTTGGCCCCGTCATGATCCGCTGGCCCCGCTGGAGTATGAGTCAGCTGCGACTTTTCTCTGGTTGCGATCCTCGGCCTCGCACGAGTAGCCCAGGAGAGAAAGGACGCCTCGGCAGAACAATGATCAGGTACGGTCTCAATCTCCCCTGCGAATCCTTCCCTCGATAGAGCCTTTTTCGTTTCAGTCCCCGGCTCGGACGGTGCGGAGCTTCGATTTAAGCTTGGGCAGCCTTGATTAAGCCAGAAGGTTGGAGCATGTCTCACCAGTTAAAGTGGCTGGAAAGGAGTGCAGACAAGGGGGGGCCAGATGGTCATCGCATCGGACGGGCGCATCACGAGGCGGTGTAAGAGGAGATGGTTGCCAGGTGAGCTTTCCGTGGAAATCAGATCGTCCGGTATCCGGCCCGTGTGTTGAGAGCGCAATGCTCATCTAGTATGTTTGTGACATCCGCGCAGATACGGAGTTTGAACGCACAGCGCTCGGGACACCGCGAAAACATAATTCATGCAGGGCAATCGGTACTTGCCCGTTTGAGTGGAGTTCCATATTATCTCACTCAACTGGTGTCTGGAATCACTCTGGATTGAAGTCTTCCGCGCAAAATGATGTCTGCGGGGGAAATCTTTGTGCATAATGGTGTCTGACCCGGAAGAGTTGGTTCTCAATGGTGCCTGGGTCATATCCATGACATTGGTTGATGATATGGCATTGATCGTCCCCATATATACAGCAGAACCATCTAGCACCGCTCAAGGAATGATGCATGGCCGAATTTGCATTGTTGAATGATGATTATTACACACGTATGAATGCATGTCGTATCATTCCCCATCTATGGTGATTATAGTCTATCGTACCAAGTAGTGCTATACAAATGATGTATCAAGATTATGCAATTGTTCGATTATGCTGATGCCGCCCTCTCCTCCTTGACCTCCTCCTCCTTATCCTGGAATAGTTGACTCGTGACCTTACTCTTCGCCCTCAACTTCTTGCCAAACATGAGCAACAAGAATGGAGCTGTAGCGAGGCCCAAAGCGACGCTTGCTACTAGTGTGGATGCCTGTGGGTATCCCATGCCTTTATACTACGTCTCTTTGTCAGGCGATTGAACGAGGTGGTGAGGAGGGAGGGGCTTACCATTTGACGGGCGAAGAGAGGGAAGACACCACCGAGGACGTTTCGACAGAAACTCTGGGCGGCTTGAGCAGATGACGAGTAGATCTCGTACGCATCTGCGAGGTACGTGCTGTGTCCCCTATCAGCACTCCGCCCTTCCCGACAAGGCAGCTGGAAGAACTCACAAGACCCCACTGTAGATCATGAACACACCCCAGTCCATAAATACCAATGCCACTCCCGGCACCGCCCAATGTATACTCGGCTGCCCTGTCCAGGCATAGACATACAACGCCAGAGGGAAGAGCAGACCGCCGTAGGCGGCCCAGTAGAGACGCGCCTCGGGTGGGGCTTTGCCGTTGTGTTTGGTAGCGGCGCGGCGGTAGAGAGATTCTTGGTGGAATTGGGCGAAGAGACCGATGGTGGCTCCGATAACCATCGTACTAAAAAGGATGTCAGGGATGCAGAAGAGCGATAAGAGGAGTTACGTACATTTCGAAAGAGCCAGCCTCGGCAGCAGAGAAACCGTACTGCTCGAATACCAACATAACAGAACTCTGCCCTAGGAAGATACAGCCCCAGGCAAAGCCGAACCATAGAGAAAGAGCGGTGACGATCGGCTCCGTGATCAGGTAATCTGCGACATTGTCAGCTTTGGCCAATTTCACATCGTCTGGGAGCTTGACGCACGTAAAGGCCTAATGATGGACACCTTGATCAGCGTCAACAATGCCGTCCTCTCCAAATCCACCACAGCGATATGCTTTTTGCCCATTTTCTTCGTCATGGCTTTGGCTCGTCGGGATAGCAGTACGTCGGCACGCGTTTCGCGCATGAAGAAGATGTTGTAGACGACAGACAATGCGGCGATGATAGCTTGTATCTATCCCATTGTTAGCTCAATTCACAGCGCCAAAGGGCTCACACTCACGCCCCAAGCCCATTGCAGGCCAAGCTTCTCTCCGGCCCAGCCTGAGAAAGTGATCCCAGTACCCTGCGCCCAAAAGATGGACGCAGTGAAGAAACTCATCGCGAACCCTCTTTGGTCTGACCGGAAAAGGTCGGCGACGGTACCGCCGACCATTGAATTTGATACCGACATTCCTACACCTTGCTGTGAATGATGTCAGTGGACGACATTGCAGAGGGTTTGGACGCACGAAGAAGCGAGCAGCAAGAACACCGCTGTAATTATGATTGGACCAGATCTGGGGTATCCACATCACCGCTGTTCTGCTGTCTGTCAGCTACTGTTCCCATCAAAACCAGAAGACGCATACAATACCGAGGTTACCTGGTATACAGGATTCCTGCCAAACTGTGCTTGCATCAGTAGGGTAACAACTTTCAGGGCATGTAGACGTACACTTTCACTCAAGGGTGCCAGAGCTAGGGGGGCACAAGCGATGGCCAGCATCGCCAACGTCAAAGACAAGATCCATTTCTCTCTTGATATGTCAAAATAGGCGGTACCAAAATCAGCCAGTACGGCGACTGAGGCGATATTGGCAGCAGCAATGTAGGTGGCAATATTGGCAGCTGTCAATATGGCATACTTTCGCCAGGTCGCAAAATTGTACGGGTGCTATACCTACTTAGCAGGCGTTACGCGATTCGAAACACGAGGACTCACGCCAGGATCATGTGGCAGCCAATCTATGATCGTAACATCCTCCTTCCCCTTCCCTTCCTCTAGATAGACTTCCTGCCGTAGCTCCAAAACCTCGTGCTCGCCGTGCCTTGTCGGTATACCATGTAACGACACATGTCTTCTGAGCTCATTCTGCAATTCTGCAGTCTGCGAACTGGTTCTCCGCTCGAGTGGGCTGAACACGGCGCCACCCATTCCTCTCGAGACCCTGGAGCTCGTTGAAGCTCCGCGTGAACGCCTGCTATTGGTGGCTTTCAGATTGGGCAGAGGCGGCTGTTCTAGTACGGTCGAATGGGGCGTTTCAGGCGTGCCAGGACGTGATGTGAAGGGGGTCGTCATTTTGTATTTCTCGGTTTCGCGGGCTGATGATGAGGCCATGGATGCTGAGGGCGGGGAAGGGTTGCGGACGGTGACGCTAGATGCCGTTCTGGTAGGAGATGGAGAGTTTTGTTGCAGGAATTTCTCGTTGGGAGAGCCATCCATGGTATCGAGTGGTGGTAAATTGACGCAAAAGTCAGATTTGAGTCGTCTGCGGTGGTGACGAAAATGGCATCTCGCGTAACCCAGGCCGTCGGCAAAAATCAGGCGTCGGACATCACCGACCCATAGTTCCGGATATCCGGCTAATTTTAAGGGTCAACCTCGGCAATTTACAGAGGGGTGCTACCAGCGTGCATGCGTTGAGTGAAGACGGGGCAATATGTTATCGAAGTAGAGACCCGTCAAAGCAATCATCCCCTCAGCTTAGATCATCGCTTTGTGCCATAAAGCAGAATGTTGCTCTTGGAAACGGGAGACAAACGATAGAAAGAGTAGCAGCTCAATCATGCGAATGCTGAGGTAAACAACGGACCCTTCCTTTGGGGGATGAGTCCAGCCGCCATGACTCCCCCGTGACCGGGAGCGCATTTCCCAGGAAAGGGTCGGCAATCCTTTTGGTCTGCAAGCCCCTTTTGAGAGCTTGTCATGATTGTCTCCCGGTCGAAACAACATATGGATGTTCTCATCGCACTCATGTTAGCTTAAAACAGTGAGCCGCTGGTACATTCTCTAGCGGATCTGTATACCCTCCTCAGAAATAAAATCCTCTCGTCAACATGTCGCATAATAGTACCAATCATTACATGCTCTTGGGAGACGAAGCCGAGTCACAGGGAGAATTAAGTTCTTCCCCAGGGCGGGCAAGTTTCAAGCACGACAACGATAAGACCGAGTCCCAAGCATTTCAAGATCATTCCACTCAGAAGCCAGATACACACCCCGAGACTCTTGCCAGCAAGCTCCGTGCAGCGGCGACGGGTGCTACCAATTCCGAAGGATCTGCAACGGGCTACCACTATACTGATAACCTGGCATATCATCCAGAGCATGCGGATGTTCTCGAATCTCGCGTCAAGCGTTTAGAAGTGCTCCATGCGCAATTGCAAGAGAACGACAAGACGGCTCGGTGGATGCACAGGCAGCTCACTAGAAGGCAGCATCTTCTGCACAGCATGCAGACCATTGGAGGATCTATTCCGAGCCAGCTCGGAGAGGCGTTGCTCAACGCTGCGGGGGAGGGAAAGTGGAATGAACTGGTAGGAATCGAAAGAGAAATCGAGGACGTGACGACCCTTATTGACAGTTATGGATGGGATTGGAGTGGACTGCAGGAGGCATTGGGGAGCGTTGATCAGCATAGGGCTAGCATGGGCTATGCTCATTCGCAACTGGACCCGGCCGAAGATCAATCAGGTCCCATATCTTCGCCGGCAGAAGCCGGGTCGTCGTTCACCTCGATAGTGTCGCCAGCTCATCTGAGCGAAAGAGAAACTCGGACTACCTGGTCAGAGCAGGCTCTACTGGACGCCTCCAAGGCAATTGCTACCATTCCTGCCTTTGATCTCCTTAGAAGAGATCTTTCAGAGTGGGGACAAAATGGTCTTCGTCCAGGGCTGACCCGCAAATCTCGAGACACGGCGATCCGACTCGGCCACGATCCTCTCTCACTTTCAGCCGATCTAGCCTTGAGTGATATGGTGGAGAGTATCCAGAAAGTCATGGACCGAAAGGACTCATGGGAGGAGATGGAGATACTGATGAACAAAAATCACAAGTTGTTTGGCTGGCAAGCTCCGAGGGAACGACTACTTTCGGCTGAGCAGAGGGGCAGCCTTTTTTCGGCAGGTGAAGTGTTCACTAGTTTGGACAAGTTACGAGCACTGGAAGGCTCTCCGACGTCGAAAGAGGTTCGAACGCTGAGTGACCTACTAGGGAGCGTTGCCACAAGGATGGAAGTATCGGAACATGAGTCCAAGAAAGTGTACGGGAATGGCGACTAGGGACTGATCCGACGTTGTCCTCCCTTTGCTGACTACGAGGAGTGTACGTGCGCGACTTGTTGATAGCTTGACGATGGTAGCGACTGGCCCTACTTTCCTTCCCGATGATGCTGTATACTGCGGAGCCACTGCCCACGATGCAATACCAAGTATCCAAGCAGAAATGTTACTCCTTTCACCTGTTTTGTGAGCACTTCCTTTGATCAAGCACTGTCACTCGAACCGCTAGGCAGATGGTTCATGATCTGGAGCATCATCCATGTACAATTATTACTAGATGACTATAAAGCCACAGAAGACGGTCCTTGTAGTAGGCGCAGGTGTGGCTGGCCTGGCCGCAAGCTACGCTCTTCGCCAGACAGACTCTTTCCAGCAAGGCAGGTGGAAAATCCGTATCGTTGAGAAAAGGGGTGAGGCTGAGACATCACCAACAAAACAACTCAACAAAAGAACTGATGATTTCCTAGTAGAACAGCGTGCAAAAGGGCGTCAGGGATATCCTCTACACTTGTCCAAGGTCAGTCATGCTCCTGAAATTGTGGAAGAGTCTCACTGTCAGCGTAGGCCGGACGAGAAGCTCTATCGTCTTTCCTCACTCCATCAGACGCGACAACTCTCCTCGAAGCCCGCCAATCCATCCCAGCCGCTCATGATGGTATCACAATATCCTCCCATGACCGCAAGAAGGTATTCTGGACAGTCCGAGAGGTTGGCGTAGATCCGATGGTGGAAAGGAGCGACCTAATGAGCGTTTTGAGAAACGGTGCAGGGCAAGATATAGAATGGGGCACGGAAGTGATCGGGCTGCAAGACACCGGCAGTGGTGTGGAAGTGATGCTAGAGAAGAAGGACGGGCACAAGGAATTAATCACAGTGGACGTGGTTATAGGTGAGCGTCCGTATGGCTGTCGTCAGCAAGGCTAAAGGGACGACGTCTGACATCGCGACTCGCTCGTCATGCAGGGGCCGACGGCATGTTCTCACAAACTCGCAATCTTCTTTACTCAACAACAAAACCGAGCCACGAAAGCTTCTTTCGTAAGCTACCGCAGACTGTGATCAACGTGCGCACCACCTCTGAAAACATGAGAGAATGGATCGACGACCATAATGGACTCAACCTCATTTATGGCGAATCTTTCTCCGCCACCATGATGCCACTGTCGTACCCGTCAATGTACATTGCGCTCACGATCCCATCGATCTGGCTCGAGCCAAGCCACCAAGAAAAGGTTGCCGAAGACAGATACAAACCCACCATACACGGCGAGTTCCTGAGGCAGCTAGAAAAAGACCCCGGCTGGAAGAAGAGAGACGCCTTCCGTCTGTGGACCGCAAAGCAGACATTGGGCGGAAGCGGAAGAGTGGTGCTGATAGGGGATGCTGCACATGGGATGCCCCCTTTCTGTGGTGCGGGGGCTAGCTCGGCAATCAAAGATGCCGTAGAGCTTGCTGGTGCATTGACCTTTCGAGAAGATGACGATGGTGAGCCCACCCATCTCCGCTCAAGGCGAAGGACCGCTGCTGACGCGACCAGAATTGATCAGCAGCTTAACGACATTCAGGCGGGCGATGTGCAAGAGGAATGATCCTTTAGTGGCACAATCAAACAGGCTTCTTCGACTGGTGCAGGCTGAATCATGGTACGCGAATGCTGTCCGTCGAGTAGTGTTCTGGGCAATGGAAATGGGCGAGCGCATTTCGCGGAAGAGGTATAAGCTGAGTGATAAGGGATAAGTCGAGGGGCAGATGGTTGCATGAGGAAGGATATGTCAAATTGTCATAGAGAGCGATGAGAAGAATTATATTACTGCATTACTGTACGCTTAGCATCAGCATGTTGAGCAGTAGTTAGAAATATATAGCAGCGCTCCACGGGGAGATCACGTACTGTACCGTTTTTTTTTTTTATGGAATATGAGAGTCAATAATGCTGCAGGGGGAAAGAGGTTCATTTCTCCTGGTCTGCAAGGAGACGTTGGGGGTCAGGCAGTTAGTAGTGCTGATGTTATGCCACACCACTGACACCACCAGCAGAAGCAAACCAGAAGTAAAACTTACGTAACACCTTCAGCGGCCGCCGGCCCACCGCACTTGTTTTGTTTTTCCTTCCAGTTTCTCTTGAGTTTCTCTCTCGTCGCTCTTGTATCCAAAGCGTCAGTACTCTCCTCTTCTATCCGATTCGGCTTGGCCGTATTCCGAGCCTGTGTCAGGTATGTGTAGCCTACTCTCACATATCAAATTGTCATCAACTCCTCCCTTCTATCACCATGTCCTTGACCATTTGCTAAGACCCGTCGCACAGATCCCCTCTACCTCCCCGTGGTCAACACCAAAAGCAGTCATGTCGTACCGAATTACAGATTATGGAGGGCAACCTCCTCAGACGGGCTCCTCCCCTCTCAATACACCCTCAACAACACTTCCCGCCCCTCCCAATGTACCCGGCGCCGCACTCCCTCCACCCGTCGAGCAACAACTTGTCACTACGTTCAGAGACGATCCGGAATCTTGGATCAAAGCTCTGGATATGTTCCGATCTCTGCAGACCTCGTTCGCAGCAGTGTCGTTACAGTTCCTTCGATCTGCGTTCCTTGACATACATCTCCAAGGCTATGTCAACTTCAAATCCTGGAGCGACAAGCTCAAGGACCTGTGCGTTCGCCACAAGGTCTATGACGTGCTCTCGGGTGAAGACATCGATCCCCAATGGCCTCGGGACTCGGATGAACACGACGAGCTCGTCTATGCGATCATCCTCAATTCCCTCGATCCATACTTCAGGAGGCGCTTGCCGCCCCACTTCCAGGCGTATGACAAAATGCGCGTCGATAGGTCGCAGATCTACCCTTACAGCAAGATTCTGTATACCCACCTAGAGGCCGAATGTCGCTCTCCCATGAGTTTTGCGGACCAAAACCGCACAATGGATGCCATCTTCTCTACGAAGCTTGCGGACCAAGGCGACGCCGTCCAGCACATCATACGACTGATGGACAAAAACCAAAGTCTTGAGGGGTCTGGATTGCCCATCCCCCAAAATGTACTTTGCCATGCTATCATCAACTCCCTTCCTCCCGCATACGATGGTGTCTTGCGTCACCTTGAGTCTGAACATCGCCGTGATACCTCAACAATTACGTTGAGCTATGTCATTGGTGAGGTCGAAGAGCACTATTACCGTCTTCAGACTGTCGCCACACCCCCTACTGCCGTTGCACCCTCCACCGCCAAGGCGCATACTGCCAGCAGAAAGCCAAAGGTCTTCTGCAAATATCACCGATTCAATCTCAGCCACACTACCAAAGACTGTAAAAAGTTGAACGCTCAGGAGAGCCTCGATGCCCCCGGTGTGTCAACGCGATGAGCATGCAACATCTGTATCTGTATCTGTATCTGAACAATTCATATAGCAAAAACGTCAAAAAATCGAATTACTCTTCTCAATACTGCACACCTCTTTTCAACCTTCTGACACTACTTGCACTCTTCTCCATCTTGCCCATTCTCAAAAACACCACTTCCAACCAGCATATAGCATATACTATCTACCAAGCTTTTCTCCTTCTAGCACCAACAGGCCTCCAATCAATAGCGGCCGCACTCCTCGCCGCCTTTCTGAGCGGTCTCGCGAAATTGCCAAAGTTGGCAGCGCGTTCAGCATCGGGGTCGGCAGAGGGGTTGTAAAAGTAGTGAGGGAGGAGGGGGTGGCCAGAAGAGTCCTGTGGGGGGTTAGCCTGTGGGATAAGAAGGGAGGGGCGAAGAGAGGAAGAGGGGAAGAGAGGAAGAGGGGAAGGGAGGAAGAGGGGAAGGGAGGAAGAGGGGAAGGGAGGGAGGGAGGGGACGTACTTTGCCAGAACGCTCGACTTTGCCAAACATGGGGTTATCTTCCAAGACGTCTTCGACCCAGATCGTCCACTGCTTTTCGTCGCCTTGATCTTTCAAATGACCCTGCGACTATTTCTCTTGTCAGCATCAAGTTCAAACAAAATGAGGGAAGGGAGGACTCACTTCAAGCATATGCCTGACCAGATCCGGTAGACTGAGCTTGGAGATACCAGAAAAGACGACGGTGCTCGCGATGATGGCTGGGAGGTCGACATCCGCAGGAGGAGGACGAGTCTCAACGGGCGTTGTTGATGCTCGTGCCAGACCGGAAGGAGAGTTCTTGCGCGAGGGCGCATGGAGGCCTTCTAACCGCTCCGCCTTAACGTCCACCGCATCACCCTCGCCCTCACCCTCACCTTCGAGCTCATCATTATCTTCATGCGAGTCATAGTCATCGTGATAGGGTGAAGATGGCAAAGCAGGGGAAGACATTTGAGCCGGGGAGGATGGTTCGGGCGCGGGGGAGAGGTTGGAGCGTTGGGAGACGGGGGAGAGGGGGGATGATTCGCGAGAGGAGGGGAGGGTAAATGTCGGTTTCGTAGTGGTAGTTGGGAGAGGGGAAGAGCGGGGGAAGAGAGGGGGTTCGGGGGAGCTTTCGAGGGAGGTGCGTTCACGGGGTGAGACGTCGACTTCATCGTCAAGGTCGACGTTGACGATAGGCGGACTCGATGGAGGCAGCGAGCTGGGGAGAGCTGAGCTGAGTCGAGGAGCCCGGACAGGGCTCGAGTATGCAGGCTCGACATCGCCTTCCATCTTGACAGCCACCTTGACTTTGCCGAAATTCAACTCTACCACTTGTCCACGAGCCAAAGCGACCTCAAACCTCTGGCCTTGCACCAGCTTCACACCCTTTCTCCCGTTCTTGCCTGGCGTAGGTGACATCCCACGGGGTGCCTTTATGCGCATACCGTTCTGGCCAACAACGAGGACGCGTAGGATCTTGTCGCGGTTCTGCGAGAGAGGCAGTACGAGCTCGACGAGTGCATGGACGCGCGACGCGTGGTGCGCTTCACGGGGGAGTGTGATGGTCTCCACCGCATTCTCCGGGTTACCTACCAGATGCGCCAGACGGCGAGGGATGACAGACTCGATAGACACGCTCTTCTTCTTCACCGACGCGTTGCGGACGTGATGACGCCCGAAAATGAAGCTGGTGCCAGTCTGGAGGGTGAGTTCATGGTCGGCCGGGGCACATGTCGACGCGTCGCTGTAGGGTGCGAAGCGTGCGTGGCGGGTGGGGGAGGAAGAGGCGAGGGCATTGTGGCGCCTGGGGGAGGAGGAGAATGCGACGGTGGAGGTGGACGGTGTGGCTGGGGCGGTGAGGGCCGCGGGCAGCTTGTGGAAGAGGGCGTCGTCGGTGTTGTCGCTGCCGGGTCGGGGGGTGTTGGGGGAGAGGACGGCGAGGCGGGGACGCTTTGCGGTGTGGGTGGCCATGTTGGGTGATGTTCTCGCTGTCATCTCCTCGTTGAACCCGACTTTCCTCTCCATCTCAATCTCGACGCGTCGCAACAAGGCACAGTCACGTGACGTCTATTTTGTAAATGTCGGTGTTATAGAACCGTGTGGCGCGATATGATATGGATTCTGGATGACCTGAGAGGCCTGCCACCTGGGCGAACAAAGTATGGATGGTGGTCTGTAGAGGAGAGGGAGGCATGTTACACCAGATCAACGCAACTGACTGCGCGACAATGCTCACCAGATGTAGGCGCTGAAATGATTCATCATCACATCCAAAGACACCGTCCATATCGCTCTACTATGTCAACCCACACAACTAGCGTTCAGAGGCTCTGAATATCGAAGGCCGAGCTCAAGGATTCTCCTGTCTCCTCGAACGAGGCTCGCCAAGTGAAGAAGACATTTGTACAAGACAGACGCGACGTAGACCCCCGGGCGTAAAGACGACACCTATCCAGCTCAGCAAAAGAGTTTGAGCACTGCTCAAAGATGCATACCAGCTCCAATTCCAAAAGAGAAGGCGAGATGCAATGACTGCATGAAGCATGTTTGGTTCGTGCCCGGGGCGGAGGGTGCCACCGCTCCAAGAAGAGCGGCGATGTCCGTTGAAATTTATCGTCGACAAAAATGTTGGCAGCCGAGTGATCCGTCTGCAACAAAAAGCGACTCTTGCAAGGTCATCCCACAGCATGGTCGCCGCATTCGACCCCCTCGCCCCCTCGCAGGCATCCTCTTCGACCGCCCCCGACAAGACTACTTTCCGTACTCTTACGAGGGAGCGTCAGAACAGGCATCCTCCGATCAATGCTGCCGACGTCCCTGCGCTCGACGAGCTCGTGGCCCCGCATATCAAGAGTTTCAATGCTTTGATTGAAGATGATGGTAACCCCGGGAACAAGGGGTTGTTGCAGATGGGTGTAGAGGATATTGGGGAGAAGGTGGTGTTTGACGGGAAGGGCGCCGAGGGAGGTTTGGGCACCAAAATCAGCTGTAAGCCTATACTAAGAGTGGTGGAGCTATACTGACAATGGGCAGTCCGAATTGACAAAGTGGCGCTGAGTAAACCTCTTGTCCCCGAAAAGGACAAGCTTGCCGTCGAGCGAAGAATATTTCCTTCAGAAGCTCGAGAGCGACTCGTCACTTACCGATCGAAATTGACCGTCTACCTCAAGTGGACCGTCATTGACGAGGACGGAAACAAGAAGGAGTATGATGAGATCAAGGAGTGTGGTCTGTTACCGGTCATGACAAGAGTACGTTCTGAAGGCTTTTAGAGGTGTTGCTGACCTCGATACAGTCGATAAGATGCAACTTGCAGGGCCTTCCCGCTACCGAGCTCATCAAGCACGGCGAAGAATCCACCTCTTTCGGTGGTTACTTTATCGTCAACGGTAACGAAAAGATCATCCGATACCTCGTCGTTCCCCGCCGACACAACCCCCTGAACCTCTTCCGACCGTCCTTTGCCAAGCGAGGTGCTTCCTATACGCCTTACGGCTGTCAGATCCGATGCGTCCGACCGGACGAGACGGCTTGTACCAACACCATCCACTACCTCTCCAACGGCGGTGCTACTATCCGATTCGCTTGGCGAAAGGTCGAATACATGATTCCCCTCATGCTCGTCCTCAAAGCCCTTGTCGACGCTAGCGACAAGGAGATCTTTGAGGGCCTCATCCAGGGCGAGTATGACAACACTTTCTTGACCGACCGTGTAGAGTTGCTGTTGCGAGGACAAAAGTCCTGGGGACTGCACACTGGTGCGCAGTGTTTGGACTATTTGGGAGAAAAGTTTAGGGTCGTGCTGGGTGTGCCCGATGACTGGAGTAATATCCAGGTTGGTGGGTTCCTCTTGAGGAAGGTCATTTTGGTGCACTTGCCCGCTCCCAGAGACAAGTTCAGGATGCTCTTGTAAGTCTGCTTTCATCCCCTGTGAGCATGGCTAATTCTTGATAGGTTCATGCTCCGAAAGCTGTATTCCCAGGTCTCTGGCGCCACTTGTGCCGACAACCCCGATTCTCCCCAACACCACGAAGTCCTCCTTCCCGGTTTCCTTTACGGCATGATCATCAAGGAGCGATTCGACGATTGTCTCAGCAGCGTCAAGGCGCAGATCACTGCTGATTTGAGAGATGGCAAGGCGAGGAGCTTTACGGATCGTAAGTCTACTTCAGCGTCTACGGGGCAATGTCTGACTTGTCACAGCCAAATACTTTACCAGCGTCTTAACCAAGACCAACTGGGATATCGGATCCAAGCTCTCCTACTTTATCGCCACCGGTAACCTCGTCTCGCCCACCGGTCTCGACCTGCAACAAACATCCGGTTTCACCATCGTCGCTGAAAAGCTCAACTTTTACCGATACCTCGCCCATTTCAGGTGTATCCACCGAGGTGCCTTCTTTGCCGAGCTCAAGACGACTACCGTCCGAAAGTTGATGCCCGAATCATGGGGTTTCCTCTGCCCCGTCCACACGCCCGACGGTTCGCCTTGTGGTCTGTTGAACCATCTGTCGCATACTTGTCAGATCGTCACTGCGTCCATCGACGCTTCCCACGTACCTGCACTCCTCACGGCGCAGGGTATGACCCAGGTCTTTGCTTCGTCCATCGACGGGCGTCGTATGGTCTGTGTTCAGCTCGATGGTCGCGTGATTGGTTACGCCTCTGCGCTCAAGGCCAAGCAGCTTGCCAACTTGCTCCGAAAGCTCAAGACTGAAGGTGACCCCAAGGTCCCCATCGACCTCGAGATCGGTTACGTCCCCGTCACCAAGGGAGGCCAGTACCCCGGTCTGTACCTCTTTGCGAGCAGGAGTAGGATGATGCGTCCTGTTACCTACTTGGAGAATGGCAAGAAGGACCACCTCGGTTCCTTTGAGCAGGTGTACATGGATGTGGCGATTACGAAGGAAGAGATTGAGAAGGGCGTGTCTACGCATTTGGAACTCGATCCGACGAGCATGTTGTCGGTCATTGCCAACTTGACACCATTCTCCGACTTCAACCAGTCCCCTCGTAACATGTACCAGTGCCAAATGGGTAAACAATCCATGGGTACCCCCTCCACCGCGCTCAACCGCCGTACGGACAACAAGATGTACCGTCTCCAGACCGGCCAAACCCCCGTCGTCCGACCCAACCTCCACAACCACTATGGGTTCGACAACTTCCCCAACGGCATGAACGCCATTGTCGCCGTCATCTCCTACACTGGTTATGATATGGAAGACGCGATGATCTTGAACAAGTCTGCGCACGAGCGAGGGTTTGGTTATGGTACCGTCTACAAGTCAGACATCTTTGACCTCAAGGGTGTGCCTGGTGTTAGCAGGAGCTCCAAGCCTACGCTGCACTTTGGTCTGGGCAGGGATATCAAGGAGGACCATGATGCGAGGACGACTGTTGGATCAGACGGTCTGCCGCTTATTGGCTCTCGTGTCAAGGCTGGAGACCCTCTGTGTGGTTACACCGACGACACTACTGGCCGAACCAAGTTCCACAAGTACAAGGGCGACGAGACGGCCTACATTGACGAAGTCCGCGTCCTCGGCTCCGACTCTGGTGACGCCGAACTCCAAAAGATCCACATCAAACTCCGTATCCCCCGTTCGCCCGTCATCGGTGACAAGTTTTCGTCACGACACGGTCAGAAGGGTGTCTGTTCGCAGAAATTCCCTGCTATCGATATGCCGTTCAGCGAGAGCGGTATGCAGCCGGATGTCATCATCAACCCTCACGCTTTCCCTTCGCGAATGACTATTGGTATGTTTGTCGAGAGTATGGCTGGTAAGGCTGGTGCTCTGCACGGTATCGCCCAGGATGCTACGCCCTTCAAGTGAGTATTGGTGTCATTTGGGTTTTGACGGCGCTAACAGACTTGCAGGTTCTCGGACAAGGACAGACCAGTCGACTTCTTTGGCGAACAGCTCAAGGCTGCCGGCTACAACTACCACGGTAACGAGCCCATGTACTCTGGCATCACCGGTGAAGAGTTCCACGCCGACATCTACCTTGGTCTCGTCTACTACCAGCGTTTGAGACATATGGTCAACGACAAGTTCCAGGTGCGAACGACTGGTCCTGTGGACCCCCTCACTCGACAGCCCGTCAAGGTAAGTTCAGCCCATACGCACGTGGGGTATCTGCTGACATATGGTATAGGGTCGAAAGCGTGCTGGTGGTATCCGATTCGGTGAAATGGAGCGAGATGCTCTAATCGCCCACGGAACGTCCTTCCTCCTCCAAGACCGACTCATGAACTGTTCCGACTACTCTACCGCTTGGGTCTGCCGAACTTGTGGTTCTTTGGTGTCGCTCGGTTTCGAGGAAGTCAGTGGAGAGGGCATGAAGGAGTACTGTAGGATCTGTGATGGTCATGCGCACGAGCATGGAGAGGAAAAGAAGGTCAAGGAGAAGAGCGTCGGGGTCAGTATGCGGGGTGGTGAGAGGAAGGGGACGATGGACGTCGTGCCGGTTCCTTATGTCTTCCGATACGTGAGTTTAGCTTGTTGCCATCACGTGAATCAATCTGACAGAGAAATAGCTTTGTGCGGAGATGGCTTGTATGGGTATCAGGTTGAACGTGACGGTGACATAAGCGGCAGAAGTGATGTTTCCATACTAATAGATAGCATGTTTTGTAAAAGGGCTTTTTGGATATCCTCATGCAGTATACCTTGATTGAAATCCAACGTGGGTCATCCACGCATTTTCCCCCAATCTGTGAGAATATATACACATTATTAGAATGGTCAATGCAAAACAAGATTGGAATCCCCCTCATAGCTCCTATGCATCCCATGTTTCTCACTTATCAATATCCAGACCCATTTCGTTCTCTAGTACTGCCATGCTCGAGGCAACAGAGCCCAAGATGTCGCTCAGCTGCTGAAGGGCCTTCGAAGTCGGACCTGTAACATTCTCCATCTCGTCCAAGAGGTCCAGCACGGAGCTCGCATATTTAAAGTCATTTGTCTCCATTGCTGACTGAAGGTTCCCTCTGGGCCCCAAAGAGTCATCAAAGTGATAAGTGAGTTCGACAAGTGACTGCAGACTGTTCCATGTACCTCTCTGGTTTCTGGCTTGAATCAAAGCAGCCGCCGTATCACATAAAGCCAAATCAACTGCAAGCGTATCAGAATCATGACCGAGCCTGAGAGCAGTTGTTCGTTCTCCGCGAGGCATTCCCTTATGGAGGCCATTTTGACCCCATTCTTGCAGCTGTTTGCCAAGAGGATCTTCATGATACTCATGAGTGGTGGTTGCGGCCGCAGAAGATTCTGCTATAGCTTGCTCTAGCCATGATCCTCTCACTTCTTTTTCTCTGTTCGGGGCTGAAGGTCGACTCTTCTGGTTGCGTGACTTCGTTTGGGGGATTGACCGTGTCTCGAAGATAGGTGGGTCTATCTTTTCCCCCACCCTCACCTTCCACTCTGTTGGCGATCGATAGCATGCAGTCCTTCGTTACACGCACTCCAGTCCCATCCATATGCGTCGATGAGACTCGATACTTCCCCAATCTCACTCTCGATCATTTTCACTTGGTCCCAGTCGCCACTCTGCGCAGCGCGCAAGACAGCGTCGTCAATATGGCTTGCAGATGTCGTCAATTGTGCCAGATCTGGTAGAGTCAGCTGAGTGACAGCCTGCAGAGATACTTCCAATGTTCATGTTTGAAAGTGCATAATTTGATGGATGGGAGGGGACGATTGTATACAAATACTGATGATAGTGTTGGTGGTGGTGGTGATTAAGAGATAGAAAAAGAATGAGACGAGAGATTTCGTTAGACGTTACGAGTATAAACAAGAAAGGGGTACTATAGTAAGGAAAAGAAAACGTGAAAACGACAAATGATGTCGTATATACAACTGACACAATGCAACGAACCGCAAGCCCGACAGATGCCCCAGTTGAGCTTTCGAAAGAGTCAAAAGCAGCTCGGGTTATTCGTTGGGGTCGGCGATGCCCATGTCGACATGCGGGACTTGGATGTCGAAAGTACCAGCTTCGCGTTCGAGGTACTCGGTCTCTTCACGGGCCAGACGTTGCTGTGGGGAGATCAGTCACAATTCGCGACGAGAAAGGGGCAGGGGATATTCACGTAGTCGAACCACCAATTCTTCTTGGAGAGGAATGGCTTGATGTAAGTCTGGAGCGTAGGCTTAAGCGCCTTGGCCCTATCTGTCTCAATCTAGACAGGCCGTCAGCACCGTACTTGATATACCAATCGACGAAAGAAGCAGACTCACATCAAGCTTGATAGCCCTCCAAACATCCGGCTTATCGGTGATAACACTCTCCACACCCCACCTCGCACACATCCGCATCTCCTCCGGATCATTCACCGTCCACACACAGATCTTCTTTCCATTTGCCTTGCATTCTTTGCGGAATTTGGCGCCTTCATTGGAAGCGAGCATCGGGTAGTGGATGGAGAAGCCATGGCTGGAGGTGAAGAAGTATTTACGGGCCTGAAGGAGGTCCATGGAGATGGCGTAGCGGGGGAGGTAGGGGAGGATGGTCGTAGCGGGGACGATAAACTTGGGCTGTTGTACCGTCAGCGCCATACTTCACGAATGACGCAGAGAGCAAACTCACATGCCAGATCCCAAGGATGATCCTCGGCGCCAACTTTTCCTGCCAACCTTCATAGCTCTCGAGCACGCTCTTGATGAGCCCAAACAGTCGTACCGGGTCGTTCTCAACTTTGAGGTCAAGCTACAAACACCCGGCCCGAGTGGGGCCCATCGTCAGCGTGGCTCGCTTATTAGAGAAGGTGTATCGTGAAACGCTGTGGGAAGGGGGAAGGGGGGTGAGAGGAGACAGTACTGACGTTGATCTTGACACGAGAGTTTGCGGGCTGTAGGATAAGCTCGATCATTTGTGTGAACTGGGGGATGGGCTGGTGGGGCTTGTCCTTGGTTTTCACGTGTCTATACAAACGTCAGAAACTGGCCATGCTGCGCAAGGGCCGACATACTCCAAGACGCCCTTCCAGGGGAGCTTATCGATACGCCCTTCACCATCGGTAGTCCTCTCAAGCTCGGGGTCGTGGAACATAACGAGCACATTGTCGGTAGTCATATGAATATCTGAGTGGCGTTACGAAACGATAGGGAACGCGAGGTGGATGTGCACTTACCAGTCTCGAGACCGTCGGCACCAGCCTTGCAAGCCTCGACAAAGGACGCGATGGTATTCTCGGCTGCATATTGCGACGCGTCGGGAGAAGCAGTAGACAAGGCCGACGAGAGAGATGGGGGCAATCGGTGATGGGAAGACACGTGTCGGACGTAGGGACAAAGTATAGGCGGGGTAGGGCAACACAAAGGGCAAACATCAGCAAGCGTTCGCGGTCGGCTTTGTATCTCCAAAGTGTGATGGCCGAGAGCGATAACACCGAGGCCAGTGATGGCGGTGATAAGGCAGGAGGGCAAGCAAGACTATGACTCACGGAACGAAGCACTAGCACCTCGGTGGCCCCAGCATTCTGGCATGACTTCCTTGCTGACCGCTGAGAGTCGATCGAACGGATTCTCATTCTCCAAGCTGAATTCAGATACCGCGGGAGATTGCAAAAGAGTCGAGAACGCGGGAGATGGTCCAGCAGAGTTGGAGGGAGAGAGGGCGGGAGTCTGGAGGGTAGAGTCGGGAGCAGCGACTGGCTGGGCGTCTTGGGCGGACATTGCGAGTGTGTTGCTGTGGGAAAAGAAACGGGATCGATCTAGGCGGCTCTATATAGCAGTTGCGGGTGGCAATTGCTGTCTATCTGTGGGGCAGCGAGTCAGTAGTGCTCGCTGAGATTGCTGGGGGATGGGGATATCCGGCGGCTGGACTGACCGATTATAAATAGTGAAGCTGATCGTGGACGTGCGCTGGGGAGAATTGTCCTTTCAACAGGAGGAAAGGAGTTGCGAAAGGTGCGAGCGGAGGAAAGAGGCGATCTATGCGCGGAGTGTCAAGTGCACTGGCCAGCGGGCACTGCGGGTGGAAGATGGCGTGCCCTAGGAGCTGGTGGGAAAAGAAGGAAAGGAGGAAAAGAAAGAAGAAAGAATCCATAGCATCCGTCGCCTGCGTTCCAATCATCGTTATCGGCAGCGGGCCACTCCACTTTGTTTACAAAAACTGCTCCACGTGCACCGCCCTGAACTCCGGCTGGCTGAACCATTTTCAACTTTCAAGAAACATCGCAAGGTTCAGCGCCACTCCCCTTCCCCATTCAGCAATCGACAAGCATGCCTGTTGTTGACTCGCTGGCCCCTGCTGGCCATCAAACTGGTGCATGCTTTGCCCCACTCCGGCGAGAAGGTCACCAAAAGAGCGCGACTTCGGATGATCAACTCGGTCTTGCCCGCCATCGTTCAACATGACCACTTTGCGACTTTTGCACGTTTGTCTGGTCACGCGACAGGCGAAATGACTGGACCAGGGAGTGTTTGATGAATCAATACGATGTGAAAGGGCACAGAGACCGGGATCCTGCTTGGACCAACTTTCCACCATTGCGATTCACGACTGCACGAGTACGGTACGAGTACCGCATCAGCCACAAGAAATCCTTCTTGCAGCCTCATATAGCCCTGTATATGTAACTGTTGCAGCTATCTTGCTGAAGATCAATCCACGGTCTAGATGGAATTACAGCGCACACCCCTGAAGGCAAAAGGAAAGGTGAACGTGAACGCACAGCGATCCGGACACCCCAGGTGGCGTCCAATGGAACCTGCCTCGGACCTAGGCTCGGTAGCAGCCGCCTCTCCCTCCTCCTGGCGTCGTCGGAGCGAGGGGCTTGTGTCGAGCCTACCTCGGACCCTCATCATCAGGCTTCCAGGCGTTTGGTGCGGGGATGTGGATGGAATGGAAACTGGTCCAGACCGACTTAATTTGGTACAGAAGGTAGCACTTAGAGTCCATACAGCAGCGGCAGGTGAACGGAACGTGGGTGCTGCACCTTCTTCAGTAGGAACATCATGCCAAATTGATCGTATTTCACTGTTGAACCAGAACGCACAGCGTTCGGGACACCCACCACATATATTTTGAATGCCCGGGTTGAGGCCTGAGGGTAGTACCAGAACGCACAGCGTTCGGGACAGTGGGGACACCCACCACAGCAGATATTTTGAATGCCCTGGTCTGGCCCTGGATTCGAGCCAGGTTGATTTGCGGGTTCTCAAGTGCGTGCGACTGGCTTGGTCGGGGGAATCTCTCCCGCTCATCTCCAGAGTGTTTACGTCCTTGTGATGTTGACTATATCTGCTGTGACCTCTTCAGTCGGTGCATGATGTGTGCCGGAGGTTGATTGATACCATCCAATGCATCTCTACTTGTACGTCCATGGGGTAGCCTGCTGCACAAAGAGATCAATGCAAAGTATCATGGCATGTCTATCGTTGTATGTTCAGAGTTTCACCGAAATGGATAACACTCGTTGCTAGAGGTGAGAGAGGGAAGAAGACGGAGGAGGTTCGGAACCATGAATGGCATCTACCTTTTGTTTCTCATTTTAATCCAATTATGCAAGTACTGCTTCTCTCAGAATGACTCTTCATTCACAATGTCAGCAGTCTGGACAGCAGTCAAGTGAACAGGAATGGAGAGAACTTCGTTCGACTTGTACTGGAGTACGCCGCATAGTACACGAGATGCGCGTCGGGCATGTTTGGTCCGAGCGCGCATCTCGATTATTCTCGTTGAAATTACTCCCGGTAGTTGATCTGCACCCAGAGTCACCGCCACAACTCGTTCCACAGTGCACTGGGGGGATCATCCAGCTTTTGGCTTCCCAGGCCATTCTCAACATGATGCAGGTCCCTGCTTATGTAACATAGGCGTGCCCGCCGGCCGGCGCGAGTCATAAAATGCCAGCCATCGCATTCGTCTATCTCTCCCTCTTCTACTTCTTATCCCACAATGCCCACTCTTCCCATCCTCTGCTTCAACGACGTCTACCGCGTCCAACAGAAATACAACCCCCAACCCGGCGCTCCCGAGGACAACTCGCCAGATCAGAATATCACCGTCTCTCAGTTCGCCCAGCTCCTCTTGACGGAGAGGTCGAAATGGGCCGACAAGAGTACACTGGCGGCGGACGGAGTGAAGGAGAAGGAGGGATTGGTGCTGTTTGCGGGTGATGTGTTTAGTCCTAGTGTGGAGAGCTCTGTGACTAGAGGCTCGCATATGGTATGGCTTGGCGAGATGTCCTGGCGTTCGTGGGTCGCTGATAACGTGCGCAGGTGCCGATATTGAATGCTATCAAAGTTGACGCCGCTTGCGTTGGTGAGTTGCTCCCCCCACGATGCTCAACCGCTTGCCCCATTGAGCATGGCCTTGCGCCGAATGCATGGGCTGGTCGATCCTTGATGAAGCCCCTCGGTCTTGAGTCGCGGCAGGCTACGAGCTGTGATGCGCAAGACAAATGCTGATGTATGCGTGCGTGCAGGCAATCATGATTTCGACTCTGGATATCCCCATCTCACCAAACTCATCCAATCGACCACGTTTCCATGGATGTTGTCGAATATCGTCGACGTCAATACGGGTGTACAGCCGGAGACCTTGCAGAAATACCACATCTTCGAGCGATGTGGCGTCAAGATTGGTGTCATTGGTCTGGTAGAGCAGTGAGTCTTTGCTCTATCGCGTTCTTGTGGTGCTCGAGGCTGATGAAGAGGATAGAGACTGGATTGCTACGATCCCATCTTGGCCGCACAACTTTGAATACCGGTCTATGACAGAAACAGCATTGGAACTATCCAGGGAGCTTCGAGATCCTAACGGAGAGCACCAGGTGGACTTGATCATCGCTCTGACCCATTGTCGAGTGCCCAATGTACGTCAACACTGTGACCTGAAGAGACAGTATCTGATGGCCCGCAGGATATCACGTTGGCGAATGAGCTGGGCGCAGTAGCAGGAAAGGGTGGCTTAGAGAACGAGCATGGGGTGGATCTAATAATAGGAGGGCATGATCATGTGAGTCAGACGGTCCTCTCCGAACGCAAAGCTGACAACTCTGCAGATATACTACGCAGGTCCACAGATACTAATCGGAGTTGCCTAGCTAACGTCTCGCAGATCGGTCAAGGCGCCAGCTCATGGGAAAGCTATTCAGGCCGTAAAGGTGCCCCCGGCACCCTAGAAGATATATCATGCCTCATCATGAAGAACGGCACCGACTTTAGAGACTTGACTTCCGCTTCCCTCGAGCTCACCCCATCCCCCCCCGGATCTATCCGTAAATACCTCATCACCTCTCTCACCGGCAAACACCACTACGTCCTCCCCTCCTCCCCTTCCTCCCCGGCATTTGAGCAACTGGTCAAATCCCTCTTATCCTCTGTATCGGAAGCGCTGCAGAAACCGGTTTGCTTTACGCTAGCGCCGTTTGATGCGAGGTCAGATGTGGTTAGGGTGGAGGAGAGCGGGTTGGGGAACTGGATTGCCGATGTGTTGATGCATGCGTTCGCGGAGAGCAATATTGCAAAGAAGGAGGGGGGAGGGGGAGGGGAGGAAAATGAAGATGACGAAGGGCCGGGGGCGGATGCTGCTATCATTTGCGGTGGTACTCTACGAGGAGACTCTCAATATGGTCCTGGAAAGATCACCATTGGGGACATCCTCGGTGAGTCATTGGAGACTGATCAACGCGTGTATGCTGACTCTTTTTCGCAGAAATTCTGCCCTTTGACGATCCTGTGGTTTGTCTTGAGATTGACGGTGCCGGTATCTGGTCTACCCTCGAATCCGCCCTCTCGAAATGGCCTGCCCAAGAAGGCCGATTCCCCATCGTCTCCGGCCTCGCCGTCAAATGGGATCACAAACGCCCGCCCAACAACCGCGTCATCTCCATCCACCAGCTCGTCCAGCCCACCCGGGAAACCGACGATGACTGGGAAGATCCAGAAGAAATGGTCGATTTTAGAGAACAAGAGGATGGGACGAGGGTGGTTGTGAAGAATAAGAGACTGAAGCTGGGGGAAGAGGTGAAAAATCAAGAGGGCGGGAGGATGTACAAGGTGATTACGAGGGATTATATGGCGCAGGGCTTTGATGGCTTTGAGCCGTTGAAGAACCGTAAGTTTATCGTCGATGATGAGAATGGACAGATCATGTCTAGCATTTTGCGAAGTTTCCTCTTGGGTGAGTCTTTCACTGCTTTTTGACGATATGTAGCTGACACTTCTGTAGGCTCTGCATACATTTTCCGCCACAAACAACTTGAAGGAGCTGCCCACTCTCATCTATCTCGCCGAACTTCCCAGGTCCTCTTGCGAGCTCGTGCCCAACATCAAACCCATTCATCACCTTCAGTATCCGTATCCTCCTCCCCCAAACGCGAATTCCTCTCTCCACCCAACATTCACACCCCGATGCGCCCGTCCCCGAATGGCGATGGCGGGTACTTGACCGCAGGCAACTTGAAAGCCCATGCCATGTCGCCGGGATCCGACGTGTCGAGCTCGTCGGGCTGGGGACTGCTGAAGAGGCATGTGGTGAACCATGATTGGGAAACGATCCGGAATGCTTTGCATGTTGCTAGGCATGAGCATATGAGCGGGATCGATAGCGTTGTGAGTGTCTTCGCTTTGCTACACACTTGGTGACTGACAACGAAGCAGCCGGGTCAAGCTATGCGGCAGACGGGCCATCACCTGCCAGGCGCTTGGTCTCCTGTGGAGGGGCCGATAGAGGAGCAGACATCAGGTCCAACGGAAGGTGTCCCACTGGATGATGGAGAAGACATTACCATCCAGGATCTGGCCATAGTCTGCCCGTTGATAGACGGCAGAATGCGAGACGTCTCGGCAGGCAAGGATTGATGTCTGGATTGTAAGTACTCGTGCAGCACGAGTACATTACGAGTCATGTAGATAGAACCAAACATAGCATAACAGTTGTACATACATAGCATGTCAAAGCATACCGTACCACACTCTACTTCTTGCTCTCCTTACCTTCCCGCTCTTCATCCTTCTTCATCTTATTCATCAACAACTGATACTCCCTGTTGCTCTTCTGCTTCTCATTCATCGTCTTTTGCTTTGCCGCCGCCGTGTCCTCCTCAGCACCCTCCTGCATCGGCATTCCCTGGTACGCTCTCCACTTGGCTTTGTTTGCTCTCTTCTCATCTGCCTTTGCATCAGCCTCGTCTGCAGCGAGGAAACTCTTGAGTGAAGGGATGGCTGATGAAGCGAGAGGCTGTAAACGTGTAGAGGGACCGTCTTCGTCGCTTGAAGGGGTTGGGGAACGGGAGCGATCGAGTATGGGGGCGTTGAGGAGGGGTGACAATGAGCGCGTACGAGAGCGAGCTCGGCGAGGTGGAGGAGAAGGTGAGCGGGAGTAAGAGTACGAGCGACCACGAGGACGAGGAGATGGAGAGTAGCGTCTTCTCGGGGACCTCGACCTCGAGTCAAACCTCCTCCTCGGCGGCGACCTGCTGTACGACATCCGGCGTCTTTTGTAATCACCTCCATACGGGCTACGCGAGCGCGAGTAGGAGGGGGATCGGTATCGGCGCCTTGGTGGTGATGGCGGCCGCCGGCGATCGTATCGGTCGTATGAAGGGGAGCGAGAGTACCGTCTTTGGTAGTCTCGCGAGCTTGACCGGGAACGGTAGCGGCTGCGCTCTCGAGATCTCGAACGAGACCTGGAATGTCTGCTCCCCGAAGATCTCGGACCCAGGCCCCTTCCATAACCTCTGTTTCTCGATAGAGACCTGTCTCGGGAATATGATCGGTCCCTTGAAAAGGACCTGCTTCGGCTTCTTCCTCTGGAGATCTCCCCATCTTCAGCGTCCATCTTTTCGTCCTCCGAATCCGAGTCTGAACCGACAGGCCCAGCTGCCGCTGCCAAGTCGTATTCACCAGCATCGCCAAAGATATCGTCGTCGTCGTCGGATTCGGGCGGCGGGGGAGTAGGAGCTTTGGGGGGTGATTTGATCGGTTCCTCGACAGTCGCCTTTTTGCTGGGGATGGAAGAGGGTGTCGCTGTCGTGTCGGGAACAGAGGCAGAAGCAGGGTCTGTCTTGACCTTCTTCTTCTTCTTCTTCTTCTTCTTATCCCCAGGAGCTGCGGCAGCTGCCTCTGCTTCGGCCTTTTTTTGCGCGATGGATTTGAACTGTGCGTTTGTCAGTAGCGTTCGTCTGCCATATCCAAACGGTACTTACTCCTTTGCCAAGCTCTTCTTCTTGCGGCTTTTCTTCTTCCTTGCCTTTGCCCGCTTTTGACTTTGCTGGTTTCTTATCCTTCATCTGCTCTTGGAAAGCCTCCAGCTCGTCGTCCATCTCCTCACCTTCCTCCCTGGCCAGCTCTGCCCTTCTTGCCGCTAGCAACGCATAATCCAGACCTTTGACCAACACTGAGTGCTCCGCGTCTCCTCCCAAATATACTCTTTGCTTCTCTATCTCTGCCAGCTCCTCTGCTGTGGCGTGTTCTTTCCGCGCTTCGAAATCCTCGAGAAGCTTTTCGACCTGTTGCCTCTTGTCAATGACGCATTCTCTACTGTAGAAGGGACGCTCACAGATTTGAACTCGTCGTTCACTCCCTCCCGCCTCAGAGCTGCCCGATCCTTATATCTGCTATCCTGCTCTTTCTTGAGGTGCTGCCGCGGGACGAAAGCAGGCTTGCTTTCTTTTGGAGGCTCGTCCTCCTTTTCGTAGCTGAAGACTATCAGCATGCGTGGTGTCATGGATAATAGGGAATTACTTGCCCTTCCTTTGCTTTGAGCCCCCATCCACGCTTCGGAGGCGCGCCACCCAAGACGCCTCTCCTCGAGGATGAGCTTTCGCCCGCCGGCCGCGGCTTGTTGAGAAGCGATCTGAAAGCGCTCTGTGATGGCCCATGTCAGTTATATGGGAGTAACAGCAGCAGGGGTGGGCTTACCTGGTCCATTACTTTTGCAGAGTCAGCGATGTACCGTTCCAATACCAACTCAATACCAACTACACATACCAACTCTTGAGCGGAATCAAATCGATATCACGTGATTCGATGTTGAGTGAGTTGTCAAACAACTTTTTTGTACTCTTGCACTAAGCTCGCATGCATGGTGGCGCTGCAGCTATTGTAACGTATATAGCTTCAGATAAGAATTCGCTAGTCGTAGCTACATTGCTACTGTATCGACGGATTTTATATGAATATTTACTTGTTCTTCCTTCCATATTACCCGACTGCACTCTTCTGCTGACCATACCCGACTGGTCTCGTCTTCTTGCCACATCACGTCATATCTGCTGGTGGTCTCTCTCGTTTCTTGCTTTTTCTCTATGCATACAGTTCTGACCATATGACATGAATGCACTAGGCACATTGTCTCATAGAAAGCGTTGCTTGTGATTCGATGGGGGAAGATACAATGAAATGGGCGGTTAATGGGCGGTTAGGGGGGTTCAAATATGCACAAAGGTTCGCCGATATCATGTTGAATATGACACACGTAATCCATCCCCTACTATCTACCCCCGCAGTCTCAGCTTTCTTGTTGTTGACCTTCTCCGGAACCTCCTTCTCCTGCCTCTTCTTCTCCATCCACTGGGACTTCAGAGAGTGGTACCATAGTAGTGCTGATATCGCTGTTGATTAGCCAGCTCAGATGCCCATGAGAGCTGCAGGGTGCAGTAAAGTACTCCCAATGGGGACCGCCACAGGCAACTTGATAAGAGTTCGTATCACCCCTTCTGTTGATGAACATATAAGGCCAGTGGTCAATAGAATCATTCTCCGTCTTCAGATAGCTGGTGACAGTATCCCCCTTCCAAGTATACTCCACTTTGATAGCCCTGGAAGAAGATCAGACGTATTCTCAGCAGGGAGGAGGGTCATCATAGACTCGGAAAGGAAAGTAATAACAAAGCTCACTCATCGGGCCTGCTCTCTGCCGCGTCAGTCGACCTGGCAGTCCCAAGGATATCCTCTAAAAATAAGTTTAACGCCGACATGTTCCCTGTCCCTGGTAAAGAATCAAGTGTGTACTGTGCTGTACTTATGAGAGTGGTTGCCAACCATACTGCGCCTTATATATGGATGTTTTGGGCTGGGACAGCAGCAGTTAAGTACATTGCAATGATCTGAATGGATTTCCTTTCCTCCATTTACAGGGTGATAAAATATGGGTTGATGATGAATCAGTCGGTGGGAGAAATCACTCGAAGGGAAATCGGTTGAAGGGAAAGTGAGCTGTCAGACACCTTCCATTGCTACTATACAAACAGGACTCAACAGCGATCTTAGCGTATCATCCTATGCAATCACATCACTGCCTAGACTGGAGATACCAACCTGTGAGAATGCCTTGGTCATATTTTCCACACCATCCTGAGCTAAAAGAAAAAGGAGGGTCCATGTGAACGGAATTGGGGAACGACGAGCTTTTTCCCAGCCGAATGCAGGGTATAGCCACGACAGAATATGTTGAGACTGCTGCTCCTATGCAGACGGACACGTTTTGTTTTCGTCGGCTTTCTCATCAGTACGAATACAACCAGGTTGTCGCCGCAGGCCGGCCTACCCGCTCTTCCTCCCCCGTAAGCTCAATTCTGTACAATCATATGCGTGCCGTCAATCACAATTGACGATATTACGGGCACCGCGGGGTTGGTGGAGTTTGAACGGCCGAGGAGGGATAATAGGAGGGGCGGCGGTAGGCCGGTCGAAGGAGTTCCCCGGGGTCAGAGGAAAAAGGGACGCCATAGGCGGTTCTGTATGCGATAATGTTGTCACGGCCGAGCTGGGACGCAGCAGGGGAGGGGACTGGAAAAGGTGTTTTTGGAGGGGAAAAGACCTTTTCGGTATTATCGCATAAGGAAAGAGTAGAACAATGAGATATGAATTGAGTATGTACACCGCGCGTCCTGCAACCATCCACACAACTCAGCGCCAATGCCACTTCAGGGAATTACTACGTGTGACACCCATCCCCTCCTCTCCGCATTCGCTGCTGCCACTATCATCATCGTTACCTAGACTGAGATTCATCGGTGACCATAACAGTCTTGATCTCGGCTATGCCATTATGATAACTACAAGGTGCCGTGAACGTCCCTTTGGCTGATCCAGGACCAGAGACGGTGTATGCGTTGGTATCGCCGTCGCGGTCGATGACGAGATCGGGCCAGTGGTCGATGGATTCGTCTCTGGAGAGGTGGCGGGTTTGGGAGGTTCCGGAGTAGGTGTATGTTACGCGGAGAGACCTGTTGGGGATGTTAGATCGTGGTAAGTCAGGTTTTTGTCTAGCAAAGGAGGAGGATGTATGATGGTAGTGGATTGGGCTTTGCTTACTGATTTGGTCTGCTGTGTCTGGAAGCTGCACCCGTCATTTTGCTTTCGGCTGTGTTGGTAGTGGTGTCTCATGTTCTTCAAAGTGCTACGCGCTATTTATACATGACGTGCGGCAGAGGCAGGGGTGCTAGTAGTAGACTTGGAACTCAGCGTTCATGTGGTGTCGAGTGGCTTGAACGATTCCCACATCAAACCGATCTGAGACCACGGCCGCACACAGATATGATATGATCACAATGGTGCCGATATTTGCAACACAACAGCTACTGGAACGATCCTTCGAGATGAAAGGAAGGTTGCCGATGGTGTCTGAGATGATTCCCGTATTTCGATGCGGCTTTCACAACCTTCGCGATCAAAAGCAATGTCAGTTTCATCATATCTCGGACGAGTAGTGCCAATCAAAGACCGACTCTCTTGACTTGACTGGTCTATGTTGAGCAATGCCTGTTGCCTTTAGCAGGTCTCTTCTCACGAACACGGCAAAACCCGTGAGGAGATGACAAACTGCATGCCAAAACGGTCTAACATACACAAAAAACACCCAGTACCCAGCTACCCACTCTATCTATCTCCACCTCCCTCTCCCAACCCATAACCTAATAGATCGACCCCTGCCCAATCCCCCACGTCCGCAGCTGCTGACAAGCCGGACTCTTCATCGCGCGCAGTTCCTTGATCTTCTCGTAATCTGCGCCGAACCCAAAGAAACCAGAGTTGTCTTGTATATGCGCTCTTCTGCGGTCGTTGAATGCTTCGCACTGTGCTTTTATCAGCGTGACTATTCTTCAGAAAGGGAGGGGAAGGGGAAGGGACGTACTTCGTTTTGTAGTCTCCTGACATAATGTCCCTCGACATTCTTCTCGAATTGTCGTACTCTACTACTATACAACGCCTCACTTCCCGCCCCCTTCCTCGCCTGCGGCACACTCCCCCAAACCTCACTCCCCTCCCACTCCGCCTTATTCACATAATAAGGTACCTTCCAATTCCACGTCTCCCTCCCCTCCGCCAGTCTTGTCGACGCGTCAAAGGAGAATGACGGGTCCGGGGAGCGGGTGGGGGAGAAGAGGCCTGGGAGGATGGTCAGGAGGGAGAAGGCGAGGACGAGGAGGATGGGCAGGAGGGCGGTTAGGGGGGAAGCTTCGGCGGCGTCTGCTGCTTGGCGGGGACGTCGGGGGGCGGTTTGGTGGATACGGATCCCGGGCCCGCCGAACGAGAACACTATTACTTATCAGCATCATTCAAGAGAGAGGTTAGTACGCACCATTGGCACCACCGAACGGCGACCCACCCCCAAACCCTCCATTAACCCCCCCTCCTCCAAAGAACATGTTGAATATATCCTCCGGGTTCACTTCTTGCTGATATCCGCCCCCGAAACCGGGGTGCATCCCACCTCCCCTCATACCCGACATGCCACCACCGCTAGGTCCAGGGTTGCGTTGTGTGGGGTCGTAGGAAGGGTTGGAGTCGAATGCTGCTCGGAGATTGGTGTCGGAGAGGACTTGGAAGGCTTTGGAGACCATTTTGAAAGCTTCGTCGGCACCTGGTGCGCCGCTGGAGGAGGGTGAGTATGGCTGGGCGCTTTTTTGGTTGGGACATACTTTTTGTCGGGATGCAGGGCGAGAGCAAGCTAACGTAGAGTCAGGAAAGAGAACTCCCATCGCAGCTGCACATACCTTCTTGTACGCCTTCTTGACATCGTTCTCACTACAGCTCTTTTCCACTGCATTCCGTCAGCGTCATGCGTCCAGCTTGCACCTCAACTCACCCGACAAGATCTCATAGTATTCGTGGTGCTTGCACGCCTTGACCCGCTTGACCACCTCAATCTGCTTGGGCGTATACTCCCTCTTCTTCTCACCAGCCCCTGCTGACTGAGCTTTACCATGCCCCGGCCTCGCATGCGCCTCTGTGACATGTTCCTCCACCCCGCTCGCCTTGCCTTTGCTCTCCCCCGCAGACGCCGCGGGTGCCGAACCGCCAGCGTCTGCTATCTTGATATCGCGCTCAATAATGGTGACCATGGCCTCGCCCTCGGGGGTGGAATAGAGGGCGACTGATTTGCGGGCAAACTTGAGGGCGGAGGGGTAGTTTGTGGCTGCGCGGTGTTTCTGTGCGATGGCGAGGGCCCTGAGGGCTTCTTCTCTGTTGACCTCCATGGCTGCAGCAGGGAACCAAACAATGAGAGTATGGAAGAGAGGTGTACTGCCAGCGAGATGCAACAGCAAAGAGGGTGTGTACGTAAGCACCCGCCACTCTGCTCTTTCAATTCAATTCGCATCCATTCTTCTCTATTCTTCTCTTTCATCCATACACCATGCTCATCCATCTCACCTACCCCGCCCCCCTCGCCAGGATCACCCTCAACCTCCCTGGCACCTCCTCCCTCGCCGACCTCCCCATCCCCACCGCCCTCCACAACACCTACCTCCGCACAGCCTCCACCGGTGCCCTCCCCCTCGCCACCCCCCTCTCCGACCTCGCACACAAAGATGCCCCCAACCACCCTGTCACTATCCATGTTACCCCGAGGATGATCGGTGGTAAGGGTGGTTTTGGGAGTCAGTTGAGGGCGGCGGGAGGGAGGATGAGTAGTGGTAAGAATACGAATATGGATTCTTGTAGGGATCTTTCCGGGAGGAGGTTGGGCACTATCAAGGAGGCTCAGAGGTATGCCTATGCACTGATCGTCGATGGGCTTTATTGACATGACATTAGGCAAGCCGAACTGCTCGAATCCGAACCCGCTCTCCGAGCCCAAGCAGCCGCCGCCGAAAAAGCCAAACTCGAGACCCTTGAACGCAAACTCGGCATCAACGCCGCCGAGTCCTCTTCCGCTGGCGGAAAGAGACGTCCCGAGGACGTCGACTTGGAAGAGCTGGCGAGGAAGAAGCACAAGTTTGAGGATAACAAGTTTTTGGAAGAGAGTCGGGAGATCAATGAGAATGTGAGGTCTGCGGTGTCTGCTGGTGAGTCCTTTCACATGTTTGTCGAGTATCTGTTGCTGATTACGAAATAGCGCTTCTGCTCAAGAAGAAGAAGAAGGCCAAGGCTGCTGCTGCCGAAAAGGGCAAGGGCAAGGCTACTGAAGATAAGTCTAAAGAGGTCAAGAAGGCTGTCCAGGACAAGATTGCCATGCCGCCCCCTGCCCCTGCCCCTGCCAGCACTGCTACGGCGGCTTAGAGTTTTGACCGCGTTTTGTTGTATACCATGTACATGTTGTGCTCACCATCGGGCTTCTGGTGATTCCATGGCGTACGGCAAAGCTCAACATCTTTATCACAGGCACTTCATAAATCAGATACCCTTCTACTCAACCGCCCTTACTCATTCACAGATCTCAAACTAACTTTTCAGAACCACCGCATCAGGCGCCTTCAAAAACCCCTTCTTCCTCTCTTCCTCTTCCTCTCCCTCATCACCCCCGTACCCAGCGACAAGCGTGGTATCCGAGAACATCATATCCCTCTCCCTTCCTTTCTCCGGTCCAGTTGCCGGGGGTCAGGTGCGGTCCAGAGCTGTTCCTCGACCCAGTTGGAAGAGTCGGCGAAGCAAAAAGCATTATATATCACAAGTCAGCCTATCGAGACAAGACAGCAGAAGAGAGAGCGAGAGCTGTACGTACATGTTGATACGAGCACCCTTGGCGGCATTACCGCTACCGGCAGTCACACACCACTCGTCCGCGTTGACCTGGGCTGTGTAAGATATGAGTTCTGGCTTTCAATCATATATGGTGGGGCAAGAGAATGATGTGGCTTACAGTGGAATCTCTGGCCAATGGTGGTAGAGTTGTCGGCTCGCTGAATGAGAGGAGAGGCGAAAGCGAGCATGCCAACAAAAGGGAGAAGAGCGAAGAGGGCGACCATTGTTCATATGTCTGGTAGTAAGTAGTAGTCGATAATTATAGGTTTCAGTTAGTTGATTTCGAGGGCAGTATGGTCACACTACTGAGACAGCTCTTATATACACGCTGATGGCGCGAGGCACAGTGTGATAGCCACATAAAGTCACCGGCAGACCGAAACCGCAAAGAAGTCCGCGTGGATCACCACTCAGCCGCCACGAAAGGTCAACGTGGGCGGTCCTTCTTCTACGAATCTTGTCGAGATGCTATGCGAACACGGTCCAGTATCGTTTCAAAATATGTTCAAAAGTCAGGATTGACGCTGGACGGGGAAGGTGCATCGCCTACAACAATCTAGTGACCTCACCAGGATCTGACTTACCGTCGGCAGCGCCTATCGAGTTCGGTCAGTCTCCAAATCCTTTCCGCCCCGGACGACACGTGAAAGCGTTCTAACCGCTCCCATACAGTAACAGTCTCAAATTCAATCTTCTCCACAACCTTACTATTGCAGAGTTTACTCCCAGTATCTGTCCTCCAGCAGTACCACCCATAATCCCTGTTGGGTCACTTCTTCGTCGAACACATGCGCTTACGTTATGATCGCAAGGCCCTTCGTTGGTTACACTCGCATCCGATTACGTCATGCATATATGCCGTGGTGGTGGTGCTGGTCGACCGAATGACATACCGAAAACCAACCTTCGCGCTCCGCGAGTTCACGTTACCGCAGATCCCGGTGACTTTCCTACCAACTTTCCTCCCCACCTCTCTTGTCCTCAAACATCCGCTCAACATACTCCTTCGCCTCCTCCTCCGTAAAGTCCCCAGCACCCTCTTCGGAGATACACCACGCTACCGCTTCTCTCACTTCTCTCGGCATAGCGTTCGACGCTCTGTTCGCTAGTCAGACGATTTCAGAAATGAAGATGAGGACGTACCCAGAGATGAACAACCACCCCTTCCGATCCACTATCCACTCCTTCACTCTGACTTTATCTCGCTTGATGAGATGCTGCACATACACCTTTTCATCTTGATCTCTACTCGCGGCCACTTCGACTCTAATTCCTTTTTGGCGATAAGTGTCCCATTCGGAGGAAAAGTAATAGTCGGATTCCGTGGAGCGACACCCGAAATAGAGAGCAGTATCTGACAGTGCTCATCAGCAATTATCCCACAACGGATGACAGAGCACATTATGACTTACTCTCACAAGCCCCCTGTTCCGCCCGCACTTCCACAAAAGCCCTCATAGGCGCCACCCCCGTCCCCGGTCCCACAAAGATACAAGGCACCTCCTTATCCTCCGGCAAAAATAACGTCGGCGCTGCAATATGGATTGGGACCTGCATGCCAGGCTTTAGGGAAGAGCTGAGCCAGGAGGAGCATAGTCCGACACGCGGGAGGGAGAGGTTGGTTTTGTATTGGACGAGGGCGATTAGGAGTTGGACTTTGTTTGGATGGGCCTGGAAGGTATGGGGTTAGTGGTGTGAAGGACGAGTGTGAGGTTTGCTCACTTGGTAGGAGCTTGCTATGGAGAATTGACGGCGACGAAGAGGAGGTAAGGCTTCTAGAAGATGAGAGAGTGGGATACGGGTAAACCGAAAGTCGGCCAGAGTCTCCACCAATGTCCGGGACGGTCTCGTCGCATAAGTATGGATCTCGTCCTACACCATCATTAGCGATTCCCATTCGAGGGCGAGTGAGTCAAGACGTACAGGATCAGCGATAAACTCGTCCAGCCGTTCTCTCTCTAGCTCTTCAGGGGAGAACCGCCGGAGCCATTCGAAGAAGCTTTTGCGGGGGCAACATTGGATGTCGAGGTGGTTTGTCAGGAGGGAGCGGATACTTGTTGGAGTGCCGGCAGGAGGCAAGTGCGCTGGCAGGGGTTGTTCTGCCTAGATGTTAGCCCTGAATCCGATTGTTGGGAAAAGAGATACGAACCAGGGAGGAGAGATTCAATAGTGAACAGATCGTCGGCTTGGGATTCAAGGTCCATGAGTTCGAGGAACGAATTGACGTCGCTTTCTCTTGACTGAGGTTGGAGGGAGCATATTGATCCTGGCGGATAGGCATTCCTACTCCACTATCAGCCCAGCTCAAATTGTGCGAGGAGAGAGTCTTACACATCCTCCTCTTCGAACTCCAGCTCTATGTCTCTCACATCCTGCCACCAAAGCTCATTCGTCACCCTCTCGTTCTTCTTCAAAGTCGCCCATACCCAGTCGTCCGGCTTGACCCGCGAGCCGGAAGCCTTGTTGCGAATTTTGTCTTCTTGTCGTGTAGGCGCTGAAGTACCGTTTGGAGCTGGGGAGATGGAAAGGCGACCGAGGTCGAGATCATCGGCTGGAGGCTGGGTGTACTTTTTCAGAGCGTATATTGGGGGCGGCAGATCAGTCGTTGGTAGAGGGGAAGTGATTTCGAGTTTCGCTGGAGGGAGGTAGGGGATGAAAAGATCCAATGTCTCTTGGAGCCATGGGACAAAAGCATCTTCAATTCTACTCACGATTAGCAACTCTCAGTTGATCAAATGACGATACGCACCCGTTGGGCGACCGCTCATCTCCCCAAGCCGGCTCGCTCATCTTATTAGCCCCCAGCTGCTCCATCCTTCGCAGCAGCATCTTTCCCGCAAAACAAAATCTCTCATAACTCGAGTCCCCCAGGCCAAAGACTGCAAAATGCACATCCTCCAGAATATCTTCCGGCAGAGACGTCCTCAGCATGGCTTTCCATAGCGGGAGCATAGCTGGCGGAGGATCGCCCCGACCGTGAGTAGAGGTTATAAGGATCAGGAGATATGTGTGGGGGAGAGAGGAGATGGGAAAGGCGTCCATGGGGAGGCAGGAGACAGCGCGGTTGTTGGCTCGGAAAGCGCGAGCTACGCGTTCGGCCGTATCTTGGGCGTTGCCTGTTTCGGAGGCATATAGGATCATCGGGATCATGACGAGGGGTTATAATGGGTGCAACCGGTGGGTGGCAGCTATGACTGTGAGCGCAAGGACAGTCTTTTGAGAGACGATGATGGACAAATTATCTTGAATTCTCGAGCCGAAAGAACGACCGGGAGTCATGATGGCGGCGATGGCCGATCTGCTTTATTGTGACACGAATACTACGGTATCATTCGGAACACCTGTTTTCTCCTTCCATGCCAGCTTGGGACCATAGTCAATCTCAAGGATGATGTAGAAGATATGCATGGACTATGCATAGGGTGGCTCTGTACGGCTGTTCAACTGTTACAATGTTGAAGTCACGTGACACACCGTCATCGCCCGGCCTTCCGTCGCTTTCGTAGCGATACAAAAGCTCAACTTTCTGTTCCTTCACTTTATTCAACAAGAATAACAAGAATACCCATCATGACACCCCCGCAGCTCTTCCAACTTCCTCACAGGCGGGTCTCTCCCCAGGATAAGCAAAGGTATATGTCCTGAAGGCTCCATTGCGGCACTGAGCTAACGGAATGTCTAGCTTTGCCTACACCACCCTTGTCAAGAGGTGAGTCAGATCAGCCTCTGTGAGGAGTGCATACTTATACAAATACATAGGTGGCCTGTTGTTCTCACGAATGTCATTTCCACCGTCTCTAACGCCAACCACGAAGCCCACGTCGGCTCCGCTCCCGACAAGGATCAGCGGGTGGAGGAGGGCAAGAAGATCATCTCTCAGATCTCCGAAATGAAGTATGAGATGGGACACGATGCCATTCTCACTCCCATCAAGGAAGACGGAGATATCAATGTCCAGTGCTACAACGAAGAACTCGCAAACTTCCCGGAGAATGAGAGGACGTGGGGTACCGTCAACTGGCTTTGGGCTGAGTGCTACGTGTAAGTAGTTTAATGTCTACCAGGATGTGCTGATCTGCGCTAGATACCGACGTTTGAGGAGCTTCTTTGCTGCCACCACTCTTTGGAAAGAGTATGACCCCTTCTTTGACCAAAAGGCCGAGACCTACAAGTCTAGTTCCGCTGCTATCGTCCGTGAGTACTCTCGCATTATCGGATATGCTCCTCATACTGATGGAGGGTTCTAGAGCTTGCAAAGGCCATGAACACGGCTCATGGAGAGAAGGATGACCTGGCCAGGGACTCTGAAAAGACCGGGTCTGCTTTGGAGGTTGCCTTCTTGTAAGTGTCTTTTCGTTGTAGTCCGACAAGGATATTGACGTATGACTATAGGGAGATGCTCCAAGCCGATCTCTGGGGAAACGCTACTGTACGTCTATCTGCTTGTATGAGAGAAACTGCTAATCATGCTCGCGTAGGACCTCTCCCTCCTGATCGACCTCAAATATGAAGACCTCCAGAAACTCCAAGCTGTCGGCTCGGAAGCGCAAGCGGAGCAAGCCAAGTTCATCTTGCGAAATGATATGAGCAAGGCTTGGGAGCTCCTCAAGACTCTTAGGGATGGCCGTGTTGATATTGTGCTGGACAATGGTAAGCAGTACCGCTTGGTCATAATCAATGCAGATACTGATATGCTTTGTAGCTGGCTTTGAGGTGAGCCTGATGCCAAGGAGGTCACCGGGAGGAAGTTGCTGATGTTTCCAACAGCTTTACACTGATTTCATCTTGGCCGACTTCCTCGTCTCATGCACCCCCTTCGTGAACGAGGTCGTCTTCCAGTAAGCCTCCGCCAATACAGTCGACTTTAACTGACACATCTCCTAGCCCCAAGGCGATCCCATGGTTCGTCAGCGACGTCCTCCCCTACGACTTCACCTGGGCCATCGACTCCCTCCTCGACCGCTCCTTCTTCCAAGACGCCGCCACCCCCCTCTCCTCCTCTGACCTCGATTCCCTGACCACCATAGCTCAACGCTGGAAGTCGCACGTCGAGTCGGGCCGTTTCAAGCTTTCGGTCCCGCTCAATACCAAGCTCGGCCAAGCACCCGAGGTTGGAGGATTCTGGACGACGCAGTATGCTTACCAGGACTTGCCTGCTACGGCGCCGGAGGTTTTGAAGGAGTTGCAAAAGTCGGACTTGGTGATCTTTAAGGGTGATCTGAACTACCGAAAGTGAGCCATACTCACTGCAGACTTGACTGGGCAGGAAAGCTGATGGCAATTTTAGATTGGTGGGCGACGCTTGGTGGCCTACTACGACACCGTTCGAGGAAGCGTTGGGTCCCCTTGCCGGTCAGATCAACCTGCTCAGCTTGAGGACCAACAAGGCCGACACCATGTGCGTCCCCTCATCTTCACGAGTCACTTCAGCTGATAGATGCATAGTGCTGGTCTTGATGAGGGCATTGCCGAGAAGCTCGACAAGGAAGCGCCAGACTGGAGAGTGTCTGGAAAATACGCTGTCGTGTCTTTCTCCAAGAGACGTTGAGTCTAGATATAGAATGTGCATGTAGCTCGTTAACGGTCATTACTCATCACAGCTTTCTCGAGGGACCAGCCTCTCGACCTTCTCCATTATCCCTTTCTTCTTTTCAATCATCTAATCCCCTTGCGCCATGGAATCTGGCCATAGAGGCGGCGCCTTTCTCCTTGCCGACGTTGGCGTTGCGGGCCTGGGCGTCTCTGCCTTCAATCTCTCTACCTCCTCCACTTCACTTTCGCTCGTGACCGGCCCTGCTCTATTCGAAGACGGCGGCGTGACAGGTCTCTGAGCGAGCCCGAAAGAGTTTCGAGGAGACGCTTGATACTGCTGCACCTGCGCTTGCACCTTCTCCTTCTCTCTGCTCCCCGCCTGCCCGCCTTGTGACCCCCTCCTCCGCCTCGTCGGCGTCGCATGGATATCCATGGGAAAACTGATAAACACCAACTTGCCCGTCGGCTCATCGAGCGATAAACTCAAGTTGATCGAGCTTGCCGTCAGAGGCGCGGTAGTAGTGCTCGATGTGGTGTCGAGGTGCAGAGGGGAAACGGGCTGTTGGCTCGGGTTTCGGGAGGAGCGCCGGCGAATGGTCACTTCCCATTTCATCTCTTCCATCTCTTCGCGGTCGTCAGAGCAGTTGATCTGGACTTCGTAGCTGCCATCTAATGTAATAGCACGAGATGCAGATGGGGGACGGGTGGGTGTTGAGATGTTTCGACGGGTCGGGCTTTTGAAGCCTATCTCGCCATCTGAAGAGAAAGCGTCGGTACTGCTCGAGGAAGTCGAGGAAGAAGACACATTCCTGTCCCGAGCCGTGGACATGTGTATACGAGGGGATTCATCAAGCCCTTTAGCCCGACTTCCATTCTTCGCAGGCCTCGGGGGTGTACCGTAAGCGAGAGGGTTGGACGGAAGGGGAATATTATCGGCGGAAAGAGAAGGAGTGTGGCGTAAACGCCCACTGGAAGGTTTCCGCTTCAGCCATTCTGCTGTAACCACCGGTGTGCGGGGCGGTTGTGCCGGTTGACTCAGCGGACGAGGAGACGTGCTGGATTTGGTAGGAGATGGTGATGTCGGTGGGGCAGGGGAGGCCGCTGGAGGATGGGCTTTACGAAGAGGGGAGCTGACAGTGGTAGGCGTCACAGGCCGCGAAGCTGGACTTGCGAGGGTTTCATTTATACTGGAAGGTGCTGTAGAAGGCCGCCCGCCCTTCTTCTGCTGGGCGTGGAATGACTGCAAGGCGCGGGGGGAGCTGGGTATAGCTCCTCCCGGTCGTCGTGGAGGTGATAAGGGTGTAGGGTAGGGCGCCAGGAATGGGTGGTGGAGTGGGGGCGCCGAGTCTGGTGGGGTGAGAGACCGTCGATGACGTGAACTGCCAGTCACGTAGTCTCTCTCTGTCGTGAGTCTTGCATTGATATCTTTAAGGGAGTTAGAAAAGTATCACACACTGAGCTGCAAATACGCACCATATTTCTCCTGAGAGCTTTCCTCGCCCAGCCCCAACGCGCTCACAGGACCTCCCATACCTCCAAACACATCCCCATCCGCGTCCCCATTGCCTCCACTACCACTACTTTGGCTGCTGGGGCGATCCGGTACATCCTCAATAGCATCCCCTCCATGCAGTTGTCTGTCGTAAACCCAAGCAGCCCTCTTGGACGCCGAACCTGGTCTTTCGGCGCGACTCTTTCTCCTGGGCTTGCTTTCACTCTTCCTCCTCGGGAATAACTTGAACCCCTCATGATCACTTCCCTCCCTCTCTTCAACCCCTACCGTAGAGGACAAGGGAGGAACCGTCTGCTGAGATTCCAGGACCGAGCCAGAGCTGCTCGCGCTGACTGGGGGATCGAAATCACCTGCGAACGTAGGGGGCGGAGCATCCTTCGGCGCGCTCACGCTTGCTTTACGACGAAGGAGGCGAATTGGGTGGTATTTGGAGGCGGGGGAATCGACAGTGGAGGAGGTGGAACCGGTGGACTGGTGGTTGGGGCGCTTTGTTGACGTCGGGGAGATGTGATCCGAAGAGGGTGGAGGTACGTCTTTATCCTTATCTCTATCGCCCTTTCTTCCGAAGGACGGTATATGTGGAATGACCATTTATGCTGTCGCCCACGAGAGGCTTGGTGGAGGAGCGGACTGGGTTCTAGGCCGAGGTCGAGCCAGGTGTGTGTAACGGTGGATGGTATGATGCGAGTAGACTGACAACAAGAAGAACAACAACAACGAACCTGAGTGCTTCCTGCTTCCAGGCCGCCGTTTACCGGTGACGTCCTTCTTCTTTCATCGTTCGCTTCTTCTGGAACGTCTAGCCGAGTCTGGAATCCAAGACTAGACTCGAATGCAAGTTGCCCCCGTGACTCCAAGCCTGCTTCTAGTTTCTACGGTCGACGCGGCTGAAACGTTTGCATATGCCATATGGTGACGGATGGTACTCGTACAGTACATAGACGGTATATACGTATTATGGGTCGTTGAGAAAATCCCCAGTCGCAACCTCGCAAACGGCCATGTCATCTCTCAAATCGTATGTGGCGAAAGCGAGTCAGGAAAAGGTTTGAGGTTAGCAGCTACATAGGGATCCCGTATGAGACGCGTCAGTGGCGACCGACGACGCGTAGATACCCTGTAAAATCGAATTGATTTTATCACGTATGGCTGTAAGCTCTGTAGGATCTGCGATTTATGACCTAAGCCGCGACGCCAATGCTCGCGTGCAAGGTATAGGTGCAGGCTGTGGGAAGTGGGAACTGTATGTGACTTGTGCGTCTCAAGGAGGTACTATCAGCTGTATAACGTCAGCCTAATCCAAGGAGACTGATGCAAATTGCAAACTGGGGAAGTCGACGGTTTCTCCATGTATTATCCGCGCTCATTCTCACTCTAACCCCAAGAGTCAGGATATATACGCCACAAATGATGCCATTATGAACAGGTACTGCTGACGAAACGGTGATAATCCGGTCGCGGGAATATTTACGCGTCGTACATACACTACTCGTATTTAATGTCGATCGACGGCGCTGACCGAGGGAATTGAAAGCCACAAACAAAACGCCCAGGGCGCGGTAAGCGGCCCAAGCGGGAAACCCAATTATTAGACTCAGCTAGCACGAACCCTGCCCCTGTCCGGACGAAAAAGTCTTTAATTTTCCCGCAAACTCTGTTCCGTGCAAGATTTTTTGGCTGCATGCAGCTCTCATGCACAGCGACGTCTTTTGAGAGAAGAAAGACGAGGCAAAAGCTGCATGCTCTGGAGTACGTTCGAGGAGTACGAGCATGCACCAAAAATATCAGCTCTCAGAGAGCGAGAAGATCTGCAAGTGCGCAAATGCAAAGAGTGGCAACTTCCTTCCCCCTGCTTCCGCTACGAGCAAGCTGAGCCGGGAGCGCCTCACGACCTTTTTAACACATTTCCACTTTTATAAATACAGTTCTCTCGAACATTGAGTAAGGAGGCTTGAGGCACTGATAAGTAGACAAAGAGCTTGTTGTGCGCCGAGCCGCCATGCACCTACCGTTTAACCGTTCATCGCACATCGCGCATGCAGCGTGAGCCTCCTCTGTGCATGTTATCAACATCCACAAACTCGTAAACCTCAGTGTACGGCAGAAGATGACAAGTCAAGCAGGATAATGTTACATTCAGATGGAAGCCATAAGGCTAGATCTAGTACTTTTATGTACAGCAGTGTTATGTTAAGAGAGTACGATATTCGTCAACAAGGCGTTAAAGCGTAAAGATAGGACAAGATGCCAAAGACATGTAAGGCAGAATATATTTAGGAAAGAAAGATGAGAACCCATGCTAGATACGTATATGATATGCAGGTAGGGCGATGCTAAAGATGTGTGATAGATGTAAAATCGAAACCAGAAGACCCGAAAGATGGCGAGAAAGGCAAGACCGAGACATGCCAGTATTATTGAGCAAAGGCAGAGACGGGAGGGAAGGAGTAGTCGACAAAGGCAGTATGTTGGATGCTGACTTTGGAGGTAGGACACGAGCCGTCTTTGGAATGGATGAAGACATCATCACTCGATAGACAGTCGTCCCATGAAGGGGTCACCTGAGAAGGGATGAGGTAATCTTCGCTGGCAAACTCGGGAGTGGGGGGCATGAAGTCGCCAATGTATGATTGGCAAGGAGATACAGTCTCCGGATAGAGAGGCGAGCCCGTATCGCTTTGCAGCGAGGGCGTCTCCATCTCATCGTCATACGCAAAGTGCCCCTCGATGTTCTCTTCCTCCAGCCACGCATGCTCGTCCTCCACCACAGATAGCAAAGTCCTTGGCTCGGCGGTAGCGTACTCTTGCTTCTGCCTCGCCGCGACATGCGCCTCGATGACTTCCTCCTGATCCATCGTGAACGTCTTGATCTCAACCACCAGCTTTCTCAGCTCGGCAAGGGAAATTCGCTCTTCGGGGTTGATGGCGAAAATCTGGTTGAGGATGTAGAGACAGTCGCGAGAGACCGGGAGGATGCGCCGCAGGAAGTTGGGGTCGGAAAGGTAGGAGTTGAACGACTCGTCGGCGGGGGAAGCGATACGCCAGGGGTTTCGACCAGCGACGAGGTTGACGAGGATGACACCGAGGGACCAGATGTCGCCAGAGCGCGTGGGGTACGTCTTTCGATCGGGAAACCAGTCACCAAGACATTCTGAGAAGCGGTCAGCATCGCAAAGATGGGGGGTTGAGAAGAGGGACGTACCAGGAGCAATGTAGAAGGTTGACCCGCAGCCAAATTCGCTCGAATATTCTTCAGAAGTAGCCAATCCAAAGTCGCAGATGCGGACCCTGGTGCCATTCTGGGAGCAGACGATGTTCTCCGGCTTGATATCACGGTGGCTGATGCCCAGGCTGTGCATCCAAGCAACGCCGTCCAGCAGCTGAAGGAAGATGCTCCGTATGAGCTCGTTGTCACCGAGGTACTACCAAACAAGTCAGCAATGAGCCAAACAAAGGGGACGTGGTCGACATACTCTGTGCTTGTCGGTGATCATTGAAAACAAGTCGCCTTCTTCTCCATACTCCATTACGACGTAGGCATACTCACCCTCCTCGAAGATCCTGTCCATGGAGATGATACTAGGATGCTTTGAGGCAAGGCGGTGAAGACCAATCTCACGCCGTTGAAAGTGCCTCTGCCTCTCGTCCAAGCCGTGTCTGCGCATGCACTTGACCGCCCGGTAGACAGGCTGGCCGTACCGCGAGTCAATAGCAAGGTACACAACGCCGTAGGCACCAGTGCCAATCACAGCGACGAGTTCGAGGTGGTTGTTGTCGATGAAGCGTGGGGAGCCGCCAGCGACGTGGGAAGAGCTCGATGAGGCGGACATTGCGGAATGAGGGTAAGGCAAAGTTGATATTATTTGATGGAGGGTGATGATACGATAACAGGACGAGGGAAAGTGGAGTTGTAGGTGGGTTGAACGCGTGACAAACACCAGTGGGTTTGCACAAACAGGGAGAGGATAGCCGGTGGAGAGATGGGGGAGTTGTTTGATATATACAGGCCAGGAAATGAGTGTGGTTGCGTGGTATGAAAAGAAGTTGAAGGAGATTATATGTATAGGAGCAAGAACAAAAGCAACGACTGTTTTTACGGCAGTTTCAGAAGGGGGAGAGGGGCTGGCAGCCGGGAGCGAGAGGCGAAACCAAAAGAGGGAAAGAAAGTGCAGATTCAGGGAAGGGTACCGTTTTCCAGGTACGTCGGGGAGATGTTGCATGTGGAGGCAGGGTCTTCGCTGTTTTCGTCGTGGATCTTAGGCTCTTGGATCGGGGGGGATCTCGGCAGACGAGGCCCAAAAGGGCAGGGTCATTTGCCGACTGCTGCCGAGGCAGCCGAGCTGCGAAGGGCGAAGGCAAATGCATCTGGACTTTGATGAGGACTCAAGCAGTTCACTTATCTTATCTGCACCCGTTTTTATTTTTGTCAGCTGTCGCAGATGTCGCTGTTTGAGACCCCCTGGAGCAAACATCGGCAACCACTGCTTTCGTGCTGCTGCTCTGCGCCCCCTGATATCCCAGATCTGCTCCACAGCTGTTTCTGGACCCATTTTCGTACTCATGCAGAAGAACCTAATCAGTTGCCAGCATAACGTACGAACGACTGCTTGATTATTATACTTCTCTGAAAAGTGAAGAGCCTTGGGTCATGGTCACTGGTGGGTCATGGGGTCATTACGTCTGCCGCAATATGCTGCTGCTAGTATCTTTTGCATCCTGAATGTTGGAATGCTGCGACGGTCTCCGATCCTGGGATGTTGCCGCGCGCGGGATGATGAGAGCAGACGTGCGACGCGTGCGTTATGTTCGGGCTCGAAGGCTATTTTCCGCTGCTGTTCCGCCTTCCGTTGTCTTTATGTACCATCATTTCAACTCTGTCGTCCACCGGGGTACGTGGGCCATGGGCCCGAACAGCAGACAGGAATTGGGTACGCCAAGGCAGTAAAATATTTCAAGCCAAGGCACCTGCGGAAGGATGCCAGCGTTGCTCATGATGATCAACAACGTAAGCAGTGGAGATCAATGTCTGGATGCACTGGATACTTTTCAAGAGCTAGAAGTGAGAGATGCCGTCAATCCAATTCCAAAGACGAGAGGCAGTAATATCAAAGAATGAGAATGGTGGGGAAGTCGCAGAAAGCTGAAGGTGGGAGCGGTCAGTGCCCTGCGGCGCCCGGCTTGCGGAGGACTTTTGCACTGCTGACTTCTTTCCGACTTCTAGTTCGGGACATGCTTCTGCTCTGGTGTAGCTGTCGACTCATGGACACTAACTCATGAAGTCATTGTCTGGACTATCCTCCTTTTAGGCCTTTTGGTGGGCCTCGGAGGACTCTCTGCTCTGCGTCTTTCTATGCTGGTCATGCTGACGAGCACAAGCCCCCAAGAATCCTGCGTAGGACGAGAGGCTGGCAGTGCGTGCGCACTGCACGCAAGCTCATAATTACCACAACGATCTATTCCGAGACCATGTACATGCAGTCGTTTCTTGAGAAGAATATCATCAGTAGAGCCGGCGCAGTCGGGTGAGCAGCTGAAGATCTGCCTGCTTGTTGGCCTGGTTCCTGCTCCACTGCACGTCCAGTATGTACCGCCGGCTCCACCCATACTGTAATAATCCTCCGCTCCCCAAGATCTGCGACAGGATCTGCTTACAACTTGAGATAGCCGTGAGCCGCGTGCATGATGTGCACGATGGCGGTGGCCGGTGGCCGGTGGCCGTGGAATGGTAAGAAACTAAGAACCATGCAACGTGCAACGTGCAGCACCTAGTGCTGCCCTGTGCATCGGAAGGGCAAGCATAATTTAATAAAGAGAGCGAGCTCCACAGGCCACAGCCCACTGACCTTGGGGCCTTGGGCCTTGTGCTCTTCGCGTTCGCGGAGACTAGTATAATAGATCTTTTCGGAGGTCCGAATGATGTGCTGTTGCGCTTAGCGCCTATCGAGCTGAGCCTGGACCAGTCTCTGTTGTACATCGGTAATATGTATACATAGAGCCAGAGGGCCGAGGTAGGAGGAGGTGGACGGACATCGAAAGTTGAGAAGCATGTGCTGGCTCGACACAAGCCCTTCTGTGTCGAGCCAGGAAGCATGTGATGTAGACGGATCTCGAACTCGCTTGCCGTTCTTCTGCCGTTGTTGTCTCTGTGCGCAAAAAGTTGAGTCAAGCTAGCAGTGATGAGATGATATCAGTACCATCGCATGAGGTGTTGATGATCAATGAATGTTTGAATGATAAGACAAAGAAGCCCATCAGAAGAAGATAGGCGATGGCCGTCGAGCAATTTGAGCTTTTCCATGATCTTGCGATCACGTCCTTCGTTCATCTATCTCCCCAGTGAATTCACCTCGTGTCTTCACATGACGTTTATAACGACAGTCTGCTTTCTAGTGACGACTGCATCAGGTAGATCATCAGTCAGCCGTGGCCATATTGAAATCGGGCTGATACAACTACACTCTGTTGCAAGTTCTTCCAGCCGGCTATGAAAGGCTATGGAGCTGTTGTTCGGTAGTATCTCTATTTCAGAACGCTTCAACGTCACCAGTCTGCGCCCCTTTACTGTCGGCATTATGTGATTCACTGGCCCTCCCTGATCTTCAAAGTTTTGCGGCAACTACTGCTATCGTTGAACATTAAACATGCAATAAATATGTCACGGGTTACGGCTGAGCCGATCATATCGCTCATCATAATAACGTCAAAAAGACTCCAAGGTCAAATGAAGAAGATGGCTGCCCGATTATACCGAGTATGTACCGAGCACGAGTGTCGAAAAGTAATAAGATACACCCCCGGTCCGATTATAAATGCCGTACATACTGTACGATATCACAAGAACCAAGAAAATTCAAGCCAAAGAATGCTTAGCAAATGACGTTTTTCATATTGAGGATTATGGTAGAAATGCTAATATGTGTGCACGAGGCCCATGAGGAATTGGCGAGATACCATTTGCATGATTTACATCCGAAGCGATCGGCCACCACCAGCACCCAGCAGCAGGCAGCAGGAGGTCTTCCATCTCACATGTCGTTGCTCGTGTTGACCTCTATTTTTACCCCCTCGCCGTAGGTTGATCGCTCCTCCAAACCCCGGAAGCCGGAGGCTGTTCTCGTCACGTTATGTTCGAGTGCTTGGTCACGGCTCGGTCACCCAGGACATGCTCGAAGGACTGCATGGTATGGCAGGATGAGCCAACATGAACTCTCAATACACGCCTCTATGTTCTATGTCATCTATGATTATCTATATGATCACTTTTATCATCTCCAGCCCACCCATCCCACCCAGCGCGGTTTCCTCCCCTCCCCCCAGTCCCCCATATCATCCTCCCCAAGCCTGACTATCGTCCAAGGCCCGCTGGGGTCGTCGATCCAAGTATTCAGAAACGTGCCGATCTACTTCCGTCGTCAGCTTCCGGCCACATCCAAACCAACCCAATCGACGAGCTGCACAGCGTGCGGAGAGGAACGTACAACATCGGCACTCCTTAACTCTACTACGACCCAAACCACTGTTCGGCTCCCCGGTTGGCAGTACTGGGCGAAAGTGTCGATGAGGGGTTGGATCAGGTGTTCGTTGTAGATGCAATCGACGGCGAGGATGAGGTCGTATGTTTTGGTATCGTCGGGCGAGCGGTAACGGCCTTGGGACTTTGAGACTTCGACCCAGTCGACCTCTTCCAGCACGACTTCCTTCTTGACTTCTCTACCCATCCCTTTCTTGTCAACTGCGCTCTCGCTGACTGGAGTGGAGGACGAGAATGAGACGGGAATATCGTTCAACTCGAGGTTTCGCTGGATGAGTTTCAGGTTGTCGAGTTGGTCTGACGCGGTATATTGACCACATAGCTGACTGAGTAGGATTGCCAGGAGACCGGTACCACAGCCGAGCTCGAGTATGTGGGCAGAGTTCAGGCGGTCGATGTCAAGGAGGGGGTTTTGAGGACGGAAGAGGTGGTGGAATAGGACATGTCTTGCCAGATGTAAAGAGCTGCGCCAGAGTACGCTTCCTATCATAGCGTCAGGTATCTTACAGCAATGCTTTCAAATTTGAGACGTACCAGTATCGCCTTTCCGGCCTCGCAAAGCAGTCAAGTCCTGATTCAAGACAACTGGTATCGATACCATACTGTCCTTGCCTCCCTCTTTCTTGGTCCCCTTCCTTCTGCGACCTTTCCCATATACAACTTCCGGAACAGCTGAAGAGTCTTTAGGAGGCTCAATGTCGATGAGGAGCTCGAGCACAGACTGCGAGGAGTCGAGGTATCCCAAGCCTTCAGAGCTTTTCCCAAAGTTTTCGTGTTGCGATTCTTCTTTTACGCTGGCGAGGCTCATATAGAGCTCCATGAGCTGATCGCTCTCTGTCAGCATGTACTATACTATAAGAAGAACCATGTACCTCTTCATCAGGGTCAGTCACCAAGACAGAGCCTGGCGAGAAGTTGAAGATGCCATTGGGGCAAGACGGTACGCCTGTGTCGGGGTGATCTGAAGTCATATGTCGAGTCGGACCGGCCGGATCAAACAGTAATCGAGTCCATATCGGAGAGAAGTTACTGCGAAAAGATTGATGTACGCGAAGATATACGCATGCCTCTATTGCTTTCAAATGTTGTCGCAAAGTTGTTCTAAAACGTGGCTGAAATTTGATCCCGCCGGATGGCCGAGTAGCATATGGGCGATGTTTCGCTGAGCATTTGTTTACATTTCAGACATCCTGAGCTACCCAGAGCCATTCATGTCGCCGCCATGCTGCCCCCACCACCCACAACCCCCAAAAGCAGCTACCCCTACGTGCCACAGCGCACCGTATCGCGCCAGCCATCCACCGCATCTCTCCAGCCAGGACACCAGCGCATACCCTCGATGCGATCAGTCGCGGAAACTGCTCTTGGGCTCAAGCACGAGAGGCGCGATAGCAATGTAGATGAAGATGCGGAGGATGAGCAGCTGAGGATGGAGATGGCGATGGACCATGAGGGCGCGGAGGAACAGGGAGGGCGAGGGCTGGAAGAGACGTTAGAGCGGGTCGGCTTTGGTGAGTTGTAGAAAGTATGATGGGGTGAGAGATCGCTGACTCCTATGATGTAGGAGCGTACCATTGGAGACTACTTGTAAGCTCTCAAAGTTGGGCAGCAACTGTCAATCTGACTGACATGCTTGGCAGGCATTGTGTGGTTTTGGCTGGATGAGCGACAATTCTGCATTGCAGTGTATAGCGGTCATTCTACCAAGAGTACAAATACATTTCAACCTGTCTTCTCAAGTGGTCGGACTGCTATCAGCTTGTACCATGGCTGGCGTAGGTCATTCTGCCCCATACTGAGACGATCCGCTCACGGCTTTGGTAGATGATGATCGGCGCAGTCAGCTGGGGTGTCATCTCGGACATCTTGGGCCGGTCTATGCCTTTTAACTCGACTCTGTTCCTCACTGGATTCTTCGGTGTCTGTGCAAGCTTCAGTCCCAACTTTACAATTCTCTGTATATGGATGTTCTGGCTTGGAAGCGCCGTCGGGTCGGTCTTCTTTCATCCGAACCAAAAAGGGTGCAGCTGAAGAGTGTCACAGAGGATCCATGCCAACCGATGGAACGCTCTTCCTGGAGAATCTACCTCATTCGAAGCAATACCTACTCACTCTTCTATCTGTCTTCTTCTCACTTGGCGCAGTCTTGTCATCCGTCATCAGCTGGTATTTCTTACCCGGTTTAAGCTGTAAAGAATTCGAAGGCTGTGATTTTTCCAACCACGCAAACGACGGCTGGCGAAAAGTCCTCTTCTCCCTCGGCATATTCGTATGTACACCCTCCCCTTCCCCTCCTTCCCCCTCTCCGCCCGCCCGGTCGACTGCTGACACGCCCAGAATCTGATATGCGCCCTCGCCCGCTGGTTCCTCTTCAAACTCCAAGAATCCCCGCGCTACCTCGTCTCCACAGGCCGTTCCCAAGAAGCCATCCTCGCCCTCCAAACCATCGCCGATTTCAACGACCATTCCATCAGTATCCAGCACGCCGATGTGCAGAGTAATGAACCTTCTGCTGCTGACCCCAGTACGCGAAGGCCGTCGTTTATGGGTCTTGGCGGTGAAGGAGGAGGGGCAGGGGAAGGAGGGTCGCCGGGAGCGGAGCAGGATTATGGAGGTGTGGGAATGGGGCCGGAGAGGAAGGGGATACCGTTGCAGACGACTACGTCGTTCTACAAGACACCGGGGACGGTAGACATCGAAGAGTCTCAGAACTTGTTTGATCAATCCTTCCACGAGAGTATCAGCGAAGAGAACAGGGCGTTGCTGAATGAAGACTCGGAGGAGCCAGAAATGAAGAGAGAGAGCGCGAGTGGTGGTGGTGGTTGGGCGGAAAAGCCGAGGGATTGGTGGATGAGCTGGGTGGGACAGATGCAAAAGCTGTTCGTACCGCAATGGAGAAAGACGGTCATCTTGATGTGGATCATCTGGGGATCAATGTCATTCGGTGAGTCTCATATCTCGCGAAAAGTATTCATACTGACGGTCGCAGCGTACACAATGTTTAACGTTTGGTTACCTGCTGTGCTTGAAAGCCGAGCGTCTGGGGATGGAGATGATGCGATCACAGAAGCTCTTGGTGATTTCGTCTTGTATTCTGTAGCAGGTTGTCCTGGATCTATCGTGAGCGCCGACTCTGCCACTGGTTGCGAAACCATACTGATCATTTCTAGTGCGGTGCGTGGATGATCCAAACCCGTTTGGGCCGCCGCAAATCTCTCGCTATATGTACTCTTGCCACCGGCTTGTCGACATTCGCGTTCATCAACGTCGAGCAGAAATGGGCGGTCGTGGTGAGCTCGATGGTGATCTCAGCGGCGGCCACGGCCATGTACGCTGTGTTATGTAAGTCATGACCGGCCTCTTTTGCTTTCCTCGGCTGATTGGATACAGATGGGATGACGCCCGAGACGTTTGGAACCAACATCAGAGGAACAGCCTGCGGCACATCATCCGCTCTGAGTCGTTTGTAAGTCCCACCACCGCCTTTCAAAATCCCATCCCGACTGACTCGCTCCAGCACTGGCGTTTTGGCCCCGGTTTCTGCAGGGTTTCTCATCACAGTTTCTCCCTCTCTCCCTGTCTTTACGTCGGCCGCCATCTTTTGTATGACGGCGGCTTGTAGTCTGGCGTTGCCTTTCGAGAGAGTAGGTGGGCCGAGTACTGGGGGGTTTGCGCATTGATGGAGGATTTGTCGTGTCTAGATCTGTAGCATAGAGATGATCACATATGTCACGATTCTGATGAAGCGTTCGTGAAGCTTGCAAGGCGTTGGTTGTCGTTTTGATTGTGCCACATCACGACGAATGTGTGATCAGCGAGGTCGGACCGGACCAAGAGAAATGCACGCTTTTCAAGTACAAGGGACTGTGTTGCAGTGGTAGCATTCAAGACTTCGAGGTCTTAAAAACTGGAGTTTCATCTTGCGGTCACGGGTTCGAATCCTGTCGGTCCTTGTTTTTTGCTCTTTTTGGTGGCTCTCTTTCTTCCTGTTATATGTACAGTTATGTGACCCATTGTTACAGCACACATAGGGTATGCCCGTCACCCAGGCATGCGTCGCCTCTCTGTCGCCGAACTAACGGCAACTCTAATAAATTTTGTTTGTGCTTTGTGCTGTGTCACTTTCAGGGTCTTCGCGGGAAACCCCGCTTCACCCCACCGAGGATCCAGAACTGGGGTCACCTATACATCTGACATCTGTGTTTACAAGACCTCTCGCTCGAAAAGATCTCCTTGACGACCGCCGTGGCCATCCCCCGAACCGTCTTCCCTGCCACCGTCGCCCGGTGATACACATCGTCCCTTGATCACTCAAGCGGAAGGCATCCTTTTATTCCACTGTCCGGCTTTCGGATCGATCCTTTCATCTCTGGTCAGTCAGGCGACGTGGCCGCATCTTGTGCATCTCGCTGACAAATGTTTCCTCCTTCTCTTTCAATCCCGCGTGCCTCCCCGTCTACCTGCGACGTATCCCCGCTCGCGTCTCTCACGACCACTCCGGCCTGACAACTGAATCTTTCTCGCCTTTTTCGCCATGTCTGGGCTATTGGACGATGTCTTTGGCGGCGCGGATGCTGGATCTGATTCTGATACTATTGTCGATCCCAATACAGATTCTACAACTACTGCCATCCACGACGCGGACGCGTTAGATACTACCATGGCCGAACGCACGTCCACCACCGGCATCTCTTCGACGAGGAGCGGGACATCCTCTGCTGTGTCGACCAGTGCTGCAAGGACCAGCACCGTCTCATCCTCTGCTACATCCAGTCGCGCAACGTCTTCTGTATCAAGCAGTGTGTTACGTTATACTTTCATTACCAGACCGAGCTAACGTGATGTTTTGCCAGGACGAGTCTCGTCGAGCACTTCCTCTTCTGCTGCGCGTTCTTCTGCTGTGACTTCCTCTCGAAGATCGAGTGCTGTCTCCTCCTCCGCTACCAGCTCGCGAGTCAGCTCGACCAGCTCGTCTCGTACCTCTTCTGCGCGAACTTCTACCACTTCTTCTCGAACTTCGAGTACCAGAAGCAGGCATTCTTCTACCTCTTCTTCCGAAACCGATTCGGCCACTTCGACAGACGCCTCCAGCACTCTGGCAACCACTTCAAGCAGCTCTGCGACCTCCAGCGCGACTGCCGGGCTCGGTAACGCCAACTCCGGTAGCAGTTCCAACGGCTCCAGCCTCAGCACCGGGGCTGTAAGTGAAAACGACCTTGGCGTATGATGGGCGGATTGCTGATTGGCTTGGCAGATTGTTGGTATTGTCATTGGATGTGTGGTCGGTGTTGCTTTGCTGTTCCTTTTGGCCACTCGATTCGTGAGGCAGAAGCGAAGGAATGACAGGATGAAGAGGAGGAGCTCGATGTTTGACTGGCCTGCCGGTGCCGAAGCTCCTGCTGAGAGCTACGAGAAGCCCCAAGTGAGTTGATTCTCCGGCCACGGGGTACCCGAGCTGACTTTGCAACAGCAGCAGTACAACCCTCCGTCCGAATCTTTCGCCATGTCCGAAGCGAACGCTCAAAACCCGCAATCCGTCTCTTACCCCACCACCGACACTTACGCCGCCGTCCCCGCCGAATCCTCCACTCCCATGTCTTACATGGAGCGACACAACCCCCAAGCGAGCTACAGCAACAGTTACCGAAACTCGTTCCAGGCCGTCCCTGGGTTGGCGCCGAGTTATCCGCCTGGTACGCAGATGCAGCCCGGGCAGGTTTATCCTCAGCAAGGTGCAGGGTCTGGGTATGGGGCTGCTGCTGCGGGTGCTGGGGCGGCGGGTGTAGCTGGTGTGGGGGCTGCTGCCGCCCACGGGTCTCCTTCTGGTGCACCCGCTGCCGGCGCGCCTGCGAGAAACGTTGCGCCCAACTCTTGGGTCGCTGTCAAAGTTGGCTTTGTCCGCTCTCTCGACGATGAGCTCGGTCAGTCATCTCCCCATCACATTGAAACACGTACTAATCGTCTTTTGTAGCTGTCACGCCGGGCCAGAAACTTTTCCTGCACGACATCTACGACGACGACTGGACGCTCTGTGAGGACGAACAGCACAATAAGGGTGCAGTACCCGTTTCTTGTCTCGGACCTCTTGCTGGCGGCGGTGCTGCGCCAATCGGACAGGCCTTGCAGAGGACAGCGAGTCATCAGAGCACTCGCAGGGAGAGTCTCGCGCCTGCCGCTCAGCAATAAGGTATCCTGGTGATACTGTCTCCATTCTCTACTGGACTCTTTCGAATACACGGTGTTCTTATTCATAATCTTCTCATGGACGGTTTTTTTTTGTAGAAGGACATTCAAACGGTAATCTTTTCTCGTACTTCTCTAACTCCATATATTGTCGGTCATTCGTTATTTCAGGCTGTTGGCAGATATCATATCTCTTTACTTGTTTATCTGTTGGATGTATTGGCGTCCTTCTATGCAGCATATATCCTCTTTAATAGCACACTATGCACAGGTTCATACATGTACAACAAGACTAGTCGTCAAGATCGATCATATCGTCGTCCTCGGGCGGGACCACAGGCTTCGCAGGCGCCGATGGCGGAATGTTGGTTGGCTGTGGGACAGCACTATCCTCTCTCTTCCTCTTTGCGGTGAAGTCGCGTGTACCCTTAGCACTCAGCCCTTCCAGGGTCGCTATAGCTTCGATCTGAAACGGTATCAGTACAGAGATAAGAACAGGAAGTACACGAGTGGCTCACTCTCTCTCGATCTTCCTCCTTGGTAAGCTGCCCCGCCCGAGCTGAAGGATCAAATCCAATCTTCTTGATAGCCTCCGCCGAAAACACCCGCGTCTTCTTCTCCTCATCCTCCTGATCCTTATCTTCCTTATCCTTGCCATCCTTCTCTTTCGTCTTTCTTTCATAACGCTTGATGACATTCAAATACCGTCCCCCAGTCGTCCCCCCTCCGCCCATAGCTTTCTCCCTCTCAAAAAGCTTTTGCAAATCCCTCTCCGCCTCTTGCTGCTCCACCTTTCTCCTCTTCTTCCCTGCCCGACCCCGGCCTATTCGATCAGCAACATTCTCATCCCCCGGAGGCCCTCCTGTATGAATAACGCCCCCTCCAACGACGTAGGTAGCGCCGCCGCCGCCATTGGCTTCCCCTCGCGGAGTAGCGATCCGGCCGTTGGCTGGTAAGAGGTCTTTTCGGGGTTTGGTTGGAGCGGCACCGACTTGGGATTTGGAGTGGGTGAGGTGGAAAGCGTTGGTGCTGGGGAGATGTTAGTGATATGGTGAGCGATATGGACAGACACGTACCTAGCTGTGAATTCTCCTCGGCCGGCTTTGCCTCGTTTCACGGCAGCATGGAGATGGTACTCGCATACAGCATTCAGACGGCTTTCAAGAAATCAGCGCCGTTCTAGAGCTTACGGATATACTTACGTATCGACCCAGGATTTACACCTGTTCCCGTCTCTTTGGATAGCAGAACAATGTCCAAGATCTCTAGATTGGCCGATGAGCATGATAGAGTCGTCCGAGAAGGGGTTCAAGCCAAGAGGCGATTCCATTGGATGAGGTTTGTGCGATCCACCCTGTCTCATATCAGCTTCGCTCCCTGTCACGTAGCTGCACTCACCCTCAAATTCCGCCACACCCGTGGATTTAAAATGGCAATCACACTCCCCTCTGCAATGTTGCACCACTTTTCGTACGCCCCCCCCGATCCTCCTCTATACGACTTGTACGTCCCGCCCTCTCCATCTTCCATCGCCACAATGTGGTCCGCTTCAAACAAAAGCATGTGGAGGAGGACATCGCCAGTGGAGGTGGTAGATCCATACTTGCGGCGAGGCATGGCGCAGAGGGTGAGGTTGATGTATTTGCGAGGCCCGCGTTTCTTCTTCCAGTCGTCTTCGCTATCCTCTTTCGACTTTTTGGCCTTCTTCTTCGGCTTTGGCTTCCACGCTTTACCATCCGTCCCGATGAACGGCTTGATATCAGCCACCTGCTCCCCATCATCTTCATCATCTTCCGACTCCTCCTCAGGGCCCTCATCCTCATCCTCATCCTCATCCTCATCCTCATCCTCGTCGTTCTCATCATCGCTGTTCTTTTCCGTCTTGACTTTCGTACCGCTAACTCTGATCGGACTCCTCTGCGCGACGACGGCGATGGTCAACCATTCATCGTCGACGGGGACGTCGTAGGAGGTACCGTCTCGGGTCAGGCGGGCGACAGAGTATATCTTGGAAGGAGGGAGGTAGTATCGGCCTGTGAGGAATTCTTGGACTTCTTTGTGTGGCGTTGTTCGTTTTCTACGTATAGCCCAATCAGCAGCGCACATAATATATTGCGCGAGAGACGATACCTTAATCTGATACCCGAATTGGGCTCCACAGACGCCCACTCATCATCCCCTTCCGGATCCCTCCCAAACTCTTTCGGTCCCCTCTCCAGCTCTTCTATGAGCGTGCTATCCACGTCGTCTCGTCGGTAAGACTCTTTCTTGTCCTCGACCTCCAAAGAGTCGCTCCTTTCGCGTTTGGCTCGAGCTCGAGAAGAAGTTGCTGTCGGGTACGGAGCAGGATTCAGTCTTTTGGAAGAAGAGGGTTTCGATGAAGCGCTCGCGCTTTCATGTGATGATCGGCCGGGCGGGGCAGCAGATGAGATACCTTTGCGAGCAAGGAGAGATGGGAGCTCCTGGACGGGCTTCTTTCCATATTTGTCTCGCGCCAAGGCTGCTTCGAGGTCGTCTGTCCTCCGTTTGGCTGCGGCTTTGCTTTCATTCGAGCTGGAAGAAGCAACGGGCGCGGGAGCGGGGGCGGGATTTCTTTCTCTCGAGGTGGAAGGCCTCGCAAGGGGTGGTTGGACACGGGGTACTGCTGACCCTGCTCTTGAAGATCTTGAAGACCCTGAAGACCCCTCCCTGTGCATCCCAGCAAGACGAGCAGCCATAGACGACTTTGCAGATTCCGGGGGAGGCGCAGGGGCAGGGGTCGATGCTCGTGAACCGTGTTCTGACCTAAGCGCGGGCTTCTTGGAGATGAATTTTGGCTGAGCTGCTGGTGGCGAGTATGACCTTTGGCGCTTCTCCTCTACACAGAAATAAGCTGCTTGACACTGCAGTAACGGCAAGACCGACTTACCTCTGCTGCTCGCTTTGGTGGGAGTGTCCTGGACGAGGACTTTGGCATCTTCGGCCTTGCGGATCCGCCGCTCCTTCTCCTTCTTGGCCAATTTAGCGTCCATCCTCGCTTGCAAGGCAGCCAACTCAGCCCGAAGGGCTTCAGTTTCTTCCTCACTGTCGGACATGGCGACAAAAGATGAAGGGAGGGGAGTGTCGAATAATGAATTTGTCTGATGGAGAATCAAAATCGAAGACTTGATCAAACGCGTCGCGTCGACGCGAATCTCAGAAGTCAAAATATGTTCAAGGAGATCGGTGTTTCCGGCGAGCAAGAGAGTGTGAATGCACTGACACATACATACAAGAAACCCTGGGCTATGCAAGAAGAGGGAGGGGAAACAAAAAGAGCAAAAAACAAGGACCGACAGGATTCGAACCCGTGACCGCAAGATGAAACTCCAGTTTTTAAGACCTCGAAGTCTTGAATGCTACCACTGCAACACAGTCCCTTGTAGATGGAAGAGCGTTAATGGCTTGGACATATTCCAGTACAAGGGTAGATGACACAGAGACAGCATACTTGTATCCACAGACCCATTTCGTTATTCCAACTGTACTTATCCCCGCCATATCCCACCCCAGCATGACCGACAGTTCCTCCTCCGTCGTCGTCCCGCCCATCAACTTCTCCCTCGTCGCCCGGGGCATCTACCGCTCAGGCCATCCCAACCGCAAGAACTTTGCTTTCCTCAAACGCCTCAACCTTAAGGGCATCATCTACCTCGAAGGCAGCGATCCATACCGCCAAGACTCTCTCGACTTTGTGGAATCGCAAAACTTGACCCTGTATCGATTCGACTTTAGCAAAGAATCCGACCTTTATACGACAGAGGGGCAAGAGAGGCTGGGAGGGTTGTTGAGGGTGTTGTTGGATAAGAGGAATCACCCGCTTTTGGTGCATGATGATACGGGGAAGGGGAGCTGTACCCTCATCTGTGCTCTGTTACGCAGGTTTCAGTCTTGGAGCTTGACGGGGCTGTTTGCGGAAGGGGATATGTTCGCTGGACCTGCGGGCGGGGCGGAGGGTGTTGGCTTGGGGGATATCGGCATGGAGGTGTGCACTTCCTCAAGCGTTAAAGCGACATTGCTGACTGGGTTGTCAGTTTATTGCCGCTTTCCAACCAAAGAAGGTCACCTACGACAGGGCGTGGCGGCCTGAATGGGTCGACTACTGATCGCCCCACCCTCGGCAAGGCTGCGCTGCAGGAACAAGCAATCAAGCTCGTGGATCCTTTCACCTTTCCGAAACTTCCAGAGGGCGATATACTCGGGGATGAGTGTATCAGCAATAATATACTTCTGGGATATGCGCTGAGACGCAAAGGAAGTCAAAGGAGATGTGGCGGCAAAACGTGGACCGGTATGTTCTGCCACTTGCCTATATGCCTAGGTACTAAAAGCTGACCAAGTGTTCATTGTCTCTTGACCTCAGAGTCTTTGGTATAAACCACCATCTATGCCCGACAAAGCAGTCTCGACAACGTATTGCCAGTGGCTACCATCAATCCCATAACAAGTGCTGGTCACTTTCTTCGCTCTCATCATGATACCAGACGGCTACATCTCTCCTGGACATCCATTTGCCACCCCCATTGTCCCCTCATTCCCCATCACCCACCGTCCCTCACACCCTCGTTCCGAAATTCCATCCTCAGGCTCTCTACCCAATCCAGAACCATCCCATCGACCGTCTCTCCGTATCCAAACATCCCTTCCCGCTCGGTTCGAGCACCCACATCATCTGCCTCCTCTCCGCCACTTTGTGTGGCATTGTAAGACAGCCCCGCTATGTTTACCCTCCCAAGGCTTTGTGGACGTCCGTCAGCAAGAGTTGGGGTTGGGGCTGGGGCATGGGAGGAAAGCATCGCTTCATCGTGAAGCCTTCATCGTCCTAGGGGACGACTCGCCCCTCAGCGCTAGTCTTTCTTCTCACCCCGCGCCAGCGCCAGGTCCAGGTCAAGGTCTAGGGGTAGGGATACGACCAGGGGTGCCCAAGGCCAAAGGGTATGGACACGCGCGCCGATTGAGCGATAAATTCAAACACCTCTTCTTCCCCGCTCAACGCAAGAGATCAAACGCCGATGGGGGTGGCGATGGCGAACAAGGGGTAGACATCACTCCTGCTGAGATCCTCAACGCCCGGATGATGGATGAGAACACCCACCGCAGACATACCGGTTCTCAAAAGACACTCCCCGCCGAAGACGATGTCGATGACGAGTTCAGCCTACCGCCGGAAAGACCTCACAGATCCCCCGGAACAGCTTCATTTCTCATCCACCGCCCTTCTCTCCCTCCGCTCCTCAGGCATGCTTCAGGGTTGAGTGTATCGACCATTACCTCAGGCTCAGGGACGTCGAGTTTGTCGTCTTTTGCCGTACGCCCGCAGTGGGCAAAGAAGGCTTGGGTCTTCCCTCATAAGGGCGCGAGTGAGAGAGGGGATGGTGCTGAGAATGAGAAGGGGAAGGAAGGGGGGATGATCAGCCGCTTCTCCCTCTCTTCTTCTTCAGGATCAGAAAGTGGACAGACGTTCAGGTCAGAAGAACGCGCTACCAGTTCTCTCGCCCTGAACGATCCCGAGGGCGTGGTATCAAGAGCTAACAAATTGGGCGCTGGATACGACGAGAAATGGAAAGGGAAAGGTGTGGATGAAGTAGAAGCTGTGGGGTGGAGAAGGACGAAGAGGTTGAGGCGGGTGAGGAGTATGCCTGTTGTGAGCTTGGATTTCGTGTTTTGAAGATGAGGATCTTGGTCTGTGAGTGTACTCTGCATATGTTTGGGAGTGGAAGCTGATTTCTTGATAGAGAGGCCATGTTCTTCTGCTTGCTCTGAAGTCCTCTGTCAAGTCTCAGCTCCATGGACGGCGGCACCGGGCATTCGAGACGCTTCGGCCCGCCGATACGCTAGGGCTGATCTTGCTCCGAAAGTCAGCGTGGACACATGCACTCGTCCGAAATCTCTTACCATGAGTACACCGAGCCGCACGAAAATCATGTCTTGTGACCAGAGTTGCACTTGTCATGCATGGAGCCTTCGTAATGAATGCGAGGGAGCGGACCAACAAACCACCTTCGGCGGACACTCGGCAAAAATACAAGTGTGCCTGGAGCGGGTGTATCATATCATCTCTTACTCGTCGAGTCACCTCTTGATTTGACTTATTCTCGCCGAATGGGTCATATTCAAACACTAATCCGTTGGCATATCTTTGTGCTCAACCTCATCCGACTCGGATATCCACCACTCAAGACGGATAATCAAGACCTTCCATCGCCCGCAAGATCATTCACCCGCGCCTCCACCGAGATGGTCCACCCGCCCTTCCCCTTAATCCCATCATCACCTGATTTGATCTCTTCCTTCTTTCCCCTCCTTCTTCATCGAAAGCCCTATATGATCTACATTCGTCATGCAGCTCATCGAAGGCCCGGCCCGCGCCTCGCCGCTAAGGCACTTTTGAGACGATGCGATGCGAATGTTTGCAGGTCTGCGGGCTTGGACCGTGGACGCCCATGTTTGTTGGCCGCCCGGCATGAAAACACGCACTGAATATAAAGAGATCATATACGACTTTTTGTAGCGCCCAGCCATCAAACGACAAGATGTGGAAGCAATTGGGATTGTTTGCGATACTGGGCGGCGCGCAGAGAGTTGTAGCCGAGATCAGCTACTCTGAGAGCAATGACAGTGAGTGTTCCTGTCAACGAGATTCCACTTGCTAATTTTGCCACTTCACCTTCAGCCATCGCTTTATCCTCTTCCAGGCTCACATTGCAGTATGCCACCTCCCAAATCTATCGTTTGCTGTTGATGACGCCCCTTTGCGTAGAGTCAACAAGACACTCGGTGCGCTTACCGGCTTTGAATTCGACGGTATCGATGTTCTCGGTCCGGTGTCTGGCCGAGTCGGCATGGGCTATCTCGATTGCTACTGTATCCCTGCCGTCAACGCTTCTGTATGGTCGCCCGATAACCCGAATCCACAGTCTTCTCGACACTGTAAGACAGAAAGATTCTCTGCCCGAGCGCGTACTGATACTTGGTGTTATTCAGACTACGTGGGACAATCACAGAATGCTACATTCGAGGTTCATCAGGGGGACGATACGTCTAACAACTCGTGGATCGGACTCATCATGAGTGAGACTGTAAGAGCTCTTTGACAAGTAGTCGCACTCGCGCAGAAGGCTGATACAATTCTAGTACGAAAGCACCGGACAACTATTCCAGCAATGGTGGTTCCTTCGCGAAGACGAACCCGGATTCCACACCTTCACTAGGCTGCAATTCGATAACGGGTCGGAAGGCGTTGATCTTGGTAATCTCCAAGAATTCCGACAAGTTGTGAGTCTACGCGTCTTTTGATGGGCGGATGACGAGGTTGACGCTCCTGGCAGATCTCACCGAACAGCCCTATCTGGACTCACCTTGTGACGAACGGGATTCAATACGGCCATCTACCTTCCGCCGCAGCTACAGCGAACGAAACGTGAGCATTGATCCTTCCTTGTTGCACAGAGAATACGAAAGCTTATGTGCTGGGTACAGGACTGTGCAAGATGCTACTTGGTACTTCAACGTCAGTGACAATAACCCATACAAGTCCGAGAGGTGAGCGAGACTTCTCCTGCTTTCTGTACGATCGTGCAAATGCTGATGGTGATGTAGCTCCGATTACTTTACCAAATACGAATGGGCAGACTTGTATGGTACGTCAACCATTCCCCCGTGTGATGACTGTGAGCTGAGCAGTGTTTCGAGTGCAGGCGATCACTTTGCGCACGGTTTCTACGCGGATGGAAGCTCTTCCAACAGCTCGTTTAACGCCACAACCAACGGCACGACACTCGGTCTTTGGACAGTGTTCAACAACCTTGAGGGGTATACCGGGGGACCTTTGAGGTCTGATTTGGTCGTAGACACCAACATTTACAACTGTACGTTCTCATTTGATGCGTATAAAACAACAGAGAACACAATGTCTGATGCTTTGTAGACTATGCTTCAAACCACCGAGGAGCTTCCACGATGAACATCACATCCGGCTTCGACAGGATCTTTGGTCCCACTTTCATCTACCTCAACAAGGACGGTGATCTTCAGAGTCTGTACGCTGACGCCAAAAGCTACAGGTGAGCATCATCAACCCCTGCTCAGCTTGCCATGGCCGGATGCTAATATCCGGTGAAGCAATTCGTCCTTCGCTGCCGACTTCTACGACGACGTGGCCGACCTTATCCCTGGCTACACACCGTCGTCACAACGAGGCGACTTCAACGCTCAGATCAAGCTCCCGGCCAATGCGACAAATTCCAAGGTTATTTTAGCACAGAATGGCGTAGACTTCCAAGACAACGTTGACTTCTGTAAGTTCCCTCCTCCTTCTCTTCACCCCCTTCCGCTAGCTCGCAGCTGACCGCCGTCAACGTAGCTGTCGGCCAGTACTGGGCCAACGTGTCATCCAACGGTACCGTATCTATCCCACGCGTTAAAGCTGGGACGTATCGAGTGACTGTCCATGCCGAGGGCGTGTTTGGTCAGTTTGAGCAGGATGATGTGGTGGTCAGTGCTGGGGATGGGAATGAGGCACCATTCTTCATCAAGTGGAAGGCTGAATCGAATGGTGAGGTACTCTTCGGCTTATGGGTATGGATTGCTGACACATATACAGGAGCCGAACTTTGGAGGATCGGTGTACCGGACAAGGTGAATGGCATACATGTCGTCTCGTGAGAGCACAGCTCATGGGTCGTTCACAGACTGCTGGAGAGTTCCGTCACGGGTTCGCCAAGGACAGCAACCACTCGTTGCATCAAGAAGAGTATCGTCAATACTGGGGTGTTTGGGATTTCCCTACAGACTTCCCTAACGGCGTCAACTATACTATCGGTAGAAGCGACCCCGCCAGAGACTGGGTGCGTTCACATTCCGACTTCTCTTGTCCGGGAAAGGCGCTGATAGACTGTTACAGAACTATGTTCATTACAGCATCTACGGAGGAACCTATGCGCGACCTGGGTATGTGGTGGACAACGTCAATGTTTGGACTGTCAATTGGGCGCCTGATGGAGACTTGAATGTGACAGGAAAGACCGCGTGAGTAGCCATCGTCATGAGCCCAGCGCAGTACACTGATGATTGAGCAGCGCTCTTACGATCCAGCTTGTACGTTATATCTATGGCTGGGTATTTCCCGCTAACTTCAGTTCACAGGCCGGTGCCAGGACCGCCTCAGGTAACTTGGACATCCCAGAACCGACATCAAACTACTCCAACGTCGACTACACCGTACGAGTAAACGACAATGACCCGCTCGTCTGGACCATCAACTACAACCAGAGTTCGAGCTGCTCGGACCGGAGTGGTATCGCCTGCTATACTTTGAGCCATCTGTACGCTTTCTTGCGCAACGGTTCGGGAGTGTCCGGGCTGATCGTATTCGAACAGGTTTACCTTCCCAGGAGACTGGCTCAACAACAACACCAACAACGTCTTCAAGCTTGAGCTTCCTTACAACGCCAGCGGGGGCGACGTCAACTTCAGAGACTACTCTGTGTCTGTTATGTGAGTACTCCGTTGTTATATATCTAGGGAGATGCTCAATGGTGTTACAGGTATGACGCCATCCGGCTTGAGATTTCAGACTAGCTTGCTCTTCTGTTAGCGCCGGGCTGCCGAGTGAGAGTTGGCATCGTGTACATGTGATGGGGTCCCAAAGTATGTACAGTACGGTTTCATGTCTATAATGGGAACTGTGGACGTATGAGATACAATATAATACAGTATTATATGGATGTATAAGTTTACATTGTGGAGATCTCAGATACACGTGAACATACATGAACATAAATGAACAACATCGTACAGACAGCATCCGCTACGATGACTCCTCTCTTGCATCGTTATCAAGCGGGCTTTGCATCCGGTCTCCCTTTCCCCACCCACCAATCATCCTGAGAGATGGGCGGAAACCAAGACACATACTTTTTGGGTGGCTCCGGCGGCGCCGCTTCAGGAAGTGGTATGGGCGCATAAGCTCCAGGCATGGGCGATGTCATACTCGGATAAGGTCCATACCCAACCATCGGCGGAGAATATCCACCATACCCTCCAGCATATCCACCATACCCCATCTCCGGCCTGCTTCCCCACCCATACAGTTCCGCCGTCCGCTCCCACATTGCATCTTCTTCCGCCTTCTTCTTTGCCTCTTCATCTGCCTTCTTCTTTGCCTCTACGTTCTTGGCTTCGAGCTCGGCGAGAGTGTGGAGGGAGGCAGCGAGGGTGGTGATGAGAAAGTTGAGGTTGGCACCTGCGGCGTCTGGTGGAGGCTCTGAGAGGGGTTCGAGGAGGGGTGCGTATGGAGCGAGACGATCTCGTGGGATGAGCTGCGTCAAGAACAGAGCATCAATGAAGGTTAGCAGCTGTGACTCCTGTCGAGCCAAGAGATACCTTGTGATTAGCCGGGAAAGGCCATAGTCAATCGCTGCTGCAGGATCCCATCTATAATCTCCAACGCATCTCTATACCCCGATCAGCCGTCGCACAGCACCCCCACATCAGTACTCACGGGTTCTTCACCCATTCCTGAATACGCCTATACATTTCCATGTTCACAAAACCCCCTTGGGAAGGATCCGAATTCGTCGCCCACTCTGTAGCATCGCGCACTTGCGATTGCAGTTCAGATTTGGCGATGACGGCGGGGTCTGTACCCTCAGGCCAAGGTGCGTCTGGGAGCGGTATGGTGGCGGTCATCACTTTCTGTTATGCAGCCCTAATATCTTTTGAAAGCAGATGATTGCTTGCTTTGTTGTGGTGTGCAGTCGATGAAGGATGTCGTAAGCTAAAGAGAAAGTCAGAAATCATGTTCTTTTTATACCAGTCCCCGCTCTCACTACGCACAGTAGATGGAAAAGGCCTTGATGAATCCACGACTGTCCATCGCGCTGCGACAGCACCCCCCGGTCCCTAAGCTCCTTCCGGAGAATTAAACGCGCCTTGCTCGTTGCCTGACCGTGGCCCGTGGTAGGGGACAGACACAGCCAGTTTCATACGTAAGTATGCGATATGCGTGTGGCGTTTTTCCCCTGCCCCTGCTGGTAAGATTAGAGTTGGGGCGTGTTGTCGTCGTCGCTTTTGCTCTTGTTGGCGAAGCAGGTATATGCCTGCACTGGAGGATGGAGGGGTACGACTGGCGGCTGATGGTTGATGATGGTAAGACACGGTGAACGAACCTAGTAACGCTTTGGGCACCAGACCTACAACCAACATAGCTCATAGCCAGCGTGGGCCGCAGAGGCCGCATAGGTGTGTAGGCCACGTTGAAAGGGACTTACTTGTCCGCTGCAGACTCTCCGCTTGCCGGCCGCTCGACGACCTCAGGGTTCGAACCTCAGAGATGTGGGGGGCAGCACGATAAAGTTGAGGGAGACATGAGGTCTTGTAGCGGTGTGGCTGTGGCTTTGAGCAGTGTGAAGCTTGCTGTACTGCTGTCCTGCCTCATCACGCCCCTATTGCAACTTGCCGTCTGCCCTGAGCTGGATCAACTGCGAGACACTCACTCCCGGGCGGTGATGGTTACTTCTGGTGCTATTGTATATATCCAATCGTACCGCGGGCCGCAGGGGTGCCCATGCCTCCAGTCTTCTCGTAGATCTCGTAGACCGGCAAGTGGTAGTTGATTCGACAGACCAAGATGTGGTGTGTGTCGAAGTATAGCCATGAATCAAAAGCAGGGAGCAAGCCAAAAAGCAAGAAGAAGATACATTATGGTGACAACCCCTGTGTGTGTATGAGCCAACGCTTAGAACGCCACCCACGAGCCGCGACACTCACAATAATAGAACGAGAAAGAGAAAGTACCATTATACGACTTGTACAGGATTGCCCCTATCCTCGCAATGTACCTCTCCTATGCACATGCCGATTCACCAACAGTGTAAAGAAGGATACTCAGGTATCGGGCCATTGATCCACCTCCGCGAGGTCCCCATCTTGCAAAGCCATCACCCACGAATCCCTCAACGGCATCCCCTGTTCCAACCCCCCTCCCCCACCCCCAGCAGCGGCAGCCGCAGCCTTCATCGCCCGCTCCAACCCCTTCTCCCTCCACGCCACCATCCACAACGTCTCCCCATCCGACCCTAAAAGCCCCATCACCCGCAAGGAGGGCAGGTTGACAGAGAGCACGGTGGCGAAGCGTAGACGGGCTGGGGTGTCGAATGCGTAGGACCCGACTTGGAGGAGGTGGAGGTGGTGTAAGCTTGTGAGGGGTTGGATTAGGTCGAGCTGAGGGGGGGGGGGGGGGTTAGTATGATGGTAGAAAGAGTTGGAGGGAGGGACTTACGAGCAAGCCGACGTCTTCTTCGCCGCTGACTGGGATCATGGAGCCTTCCATAGGCCGATCGATGAAGAGCTCTCCGATGTCATCATACGTATCCCCAAGATTATGCAGGAAATCCGCCTCCCACCCGTCTATAGGCCCACATAACATCAAGCTCAACCGTTTCCTCCCACCTGCTGGCACTTCCCTCGCCGCAAGCTCGCGCAACACCGCGAGAATGTCGGAACTGGCAGTGACATACGTGTTGGTGTCTAGCACGAGAAACGACAAGTTGACAGCGTGCCGGATAAAGTGGTAGATGCAGATGAACGTGGATGTCTGGGAGAACTGATGGAAGAACTGGGGAGGGGAGGCGCGTTGGCGCCAGCCGAACGACTTGATACGTTGTGCAAAGGGGACATGGCCGGTAGAGTCTGTATCCTCGAGGGATTGCCATGAGAATGAATTGGCGCCACTGGCACTGGGACGGGCGGAGGGGATGAGGGCGGCAAACATGAGAGAGAGGGTGGTGTCGTCGGAGGCATCGGCGAAGAAGGAGATGTGCTCGAGATTGGGCAGGGCGGTCAAGAGTGATACCAGCAGAGCCGACTCTTCCCAGCAAGTTCGAGGGTTGACGGGGGCCTCTTCCAGGTCTGGATAAAAGTCTTCGTGGCTCTGCTGGGCCTCAAACATCGAACAGTCGATGATGATACTCCTGATAAGGCTCAGCCTGCGACCGGGAAGAGGGAGGGGAGCACTCACCTCACGTACACCCCCCACGTCGCATAGTTTTCAATCATCTCCTTCGCACATTCCACAGTGCCCACCCTCACGCAGGTAAACAAAAGCGGCTTGACCTCCCGGCGTATCTTGCGACACGTCAAGCCGAGGTGGATCAAGCTTCGCAGACTCTCCTGCCTTTCCTCGTGCATGTCCACCGTCGAAAAGATACCCCATGCTACGCAAGCCCAACGTCAGCCAGGCTCCCCATCTCTAGAGAAGTGCACGAACTCAGCCTGTCTTGCTGGGACAATTCCAAAGGGTCATAGATGGCCAGCGCAATGACGCTCAGGACTTCCCGCGGGAGGTCTGGGAGCGAGCAGGCGGTGGGCGTCGGCATGACTATAGGGGTGAGGGCGACGGTGTTATGAGGATGAATGCGAATCCATGGTGGGGACGGGGAGGGTGTCGGAGATCTACACAACCACAAGGAGCCTGGCAACGTGGTGATTCCACGCGCTGCGGTACCACCTCAGCAACGCTCCCTCCCATCCAGCACACCCACCCCACCCCTGCTGTCGATGCACAAGTCCATGCACCCCTTGCGATGCATCACCACCTCATCAACACCCGCCGGGAACAACACGCTGGCCCCAAAGGGCGATTACGTAACACCCCTCGACTGCCACAGCCCACAACCGAAAATGAATCAACGTCGAACGTCATATTGGATGCCGACGCCCTCCCAAGCTTCTGGCTCGTGACTCACAGCGACGCTCCGGAAGATCCAGGAGCCAGATTTTCAAACCAGAAGCAAGGGAAAAACATCAGGGATAATTAGGAAACAGGAACTATCTATTGGCCCAATTGCCCCCAAACTGTATGGATCCGTGTGAGGCTTGAAACCTTCTTGACCCGTTCTCCCGTCAGACCGTCTCCCGCATTTCCGCCCTCTCGTCTCCTGCCTGCAAGACTGCCTATCTTCAGCACCTTAATAAGCTTGCCACTATCAATTCAACTATCATCATTGGAGCGGGGGGGGTCCAGGAACTATCATTCTATGCGCGGCTTGGCACTCAGTCTTTTTTTCTTCAATAACCTTGTAGAAGTGTATCTGTCATATCATGGAGCGGTGAATGCGACTTCGCGCGACCTGTGCGTATGCCAAGAAGGCTGATGCATGAGGACAACCCGATAACCAGGAAAAAGGAACAGAATCGTCTGTAGCATGAGGACAACCCAATAACCAGGAAAAAGGAACAGAATCGTCTGTAGCTATCATCTACAGCTCTACACTTGATAATGTGTCGAAACAAATTGGATGGAGGGGAAAGAGTTATAAGCCTAACGAAACAAAAGGTTGCGAACGAAGATAAAAATATAGCAAAGATAAGAGATCGAGATGATGAGGAATGATGATTGACAAATAGATGAGGGTGGTATTACAACGCGTTGGAAGCACAAGTGAACGGTCCCCTGACACTTGTAGCGCTAAATGAAAGTCAGCTCCGCCAACACAACAAATCAGAAAAGAAGACCTACTAGTCGGCAATGATAGCATCGACACTGGTGTACAACCCAGGACCAAGCATGAACAAACCAAGAATGAGGATGAAGATGTTGATTATCGTCATCGTCGTCATCTTCCAGTTTGCCCACAACCTCGTTTTGTTCATGTGCCAATACGCCACAGCCCAAAAGATGAACCCGAAGAACGAGTCAAAGGCCGCAGACATGATACTGAGGAAATCGCCCATACTGGGGATGACGTTCCCGAGGATGAAGCCGATACCCCAGATGAGCACGATGATGGCGACCCAGGTACCCCAACCGACGAAAGAGTGCGAGTAAGAGTGTCGGGACTTGCCGAGGATACGGTTGAACACGAATTTGGCAGCGACGTGCGCGTAGATACCGCCGATGATGACGGTGGGCACGAGGACAAAGGCGAATGCAGACTTTCTGTGGTCGGAGTTGGCGAGGGAGCCGATGACGGGGGCGGTGGCGTATTGGCCGAGGAAGTGGTAGCCGACGGCGGCGGTGATGGTGAAGAGGATGAGCTCCATGATGGTCAATGCGGCGAGGGCCTTGGGGAAGTCTTGGGGACGCTTCATCTCGGCGATGAAGGAGGGGTAGAGGAGCTGCCCAATCCAGAGGAAAGTGATGCTGCGAATGGGTTAGATGAGATCAAAGAGGGGAGGAGGATGACTCACTTGAGCACAGCGTTCAAACCGGCGACGAAACCGGGTCCACCATCGGGAAGACCGATAGAGGTCGTGACTTCGCCCAACTCGGGGTAGTTGCCACCGTAGCCATAGTAAGGCGCATCCTCGACACCAGCATAGATAAGAGAGAGGAGGATGGCGATGGCCATAGCGGCAGCAGAGATGATGGATAGGGTGGACACATGGTTGAGGGTTCGGGGGAGGGAGACGATGACTGAGATATGTCAGACGGCGACACAAGTAGGGTTCGGATGCACTTACTACCGATGATGGAAGTCACGGCCTGGAAGACGACGGTACAAGCACCATCGTTACTCAGAGTGTTGAGGACTGAAAGACGGTCAGTAGAAGGTCGAGCGGATACAACGATCGGCACTCACTCTTGGCACCAGTGAAGGCGTGGAATCCGACAAGAAAGATGTTGTTGAGCAAAAGCATGACGGCGGCAACCTCGAAAGCGATTTTGGGGATGGCGGGCTGCAGAGCATGAGTTCATGAACGATTGAGAATGCTGAGAGGACTCACGAAAAGAATCGCAGCAATGTCACAGATATCGCGAGCTTCGGGATGTCTCATGCAGAATTGCCACAAGACATAACTTGTGTCTGCATATATCCGTCAGCAGTGCACATGCATGGCCCGGAATAAAACCTACACCATGTGATGATACCGAGACCAAAAGTGATGAAGAAGCCACAGACCTATGGAAAAGGTAAGCATGTGGAGGTAGATAAAACAGAGTGCAAAGGAAGGTACTTACCCAGCCGAGCACACTCCAACTCCACGCCAGCGCAAGGATGGCAAGACAGACATATTCGCCAAAGAGAAGGATCGCAGCCTTCTGCCAGCTTAGTGTTCTGTACTTGATATCGTGGTCCTCCTCCCTGTGGACGAGAGCGGTGAAGGCGTCCGTCGAGTCCCTGTTCTCTGCTTCATAGCCTCCGTCCTCGGCCTTGCTGATGCTCTTGGTTTCGGCGGCGTAGGTATCCGACATGGTGAATGCGGAGGGGAGAAAAGAGGTGGATGGAAAGAGATATGAATTGCGAATGGAATGGTGGGGCGCTTTCGGAGATGGTGATGGAATGGCAGTTGCGGAAACTTTTGCGATATGCATGCGCGAGATATGCTGTATCCGATTACAGAGGTGAAATCCTGCATAACAGCAACTCTGATGTCAGCGCAAATGGTCCCGCATTCCAGATAATCTCCAGTCTCGACAGATAAATGGGCCACCTCGCCCACCCCCGCTCGCGTTGCCCCGGCGCATCAGATGGCGTGATGCTCAACACGCACGACGTGATACGATAACCGGGCTTGGGACGTCAGCGAGCGCCAATTCCAGTGGAAAGATCGGTGCCTTGATCGTCTTCTACGTCACAGCTGCCACAGCCCGCAGGCCAAGCTGGGCGTTTCCGCACCTGTGCGCATGTCGTCTTCGCTCCGAGAGCTTCCGAGACTGGGTAGTATTGCGCGCGTTGCGCTAATCTTTTCTTTCAACTTGGAGCGCAGGCAGGGTACCCTAGAGAGGAGTCGGCAGCCAGCCCGGCAGCCCTGCCCGACAATGTGTAGAAATCGCGTGTTCGCGCCACCTCTATCGCCGAGGTTTAAGCGTATCGCATGTCAGGCACGAGATTTCAAAAATTACCTCTTCCGGCAATAGCTTTCGATCAGACGCTCGCCTATATGGGCTATGTATGAACCTCTAGCATGGTTTCTGATCGACGCCTCGCATATGTGAGGGGATAGCTTCTCCGTGTCCGATACCTGCAAAAAGAGTCAGGAGCTCGCTTGTATGAGATGGGTCATGTTGAATGAAAAAGAGGGAGAATGCGCGCTCAGTGTTGGAAGTGAAAGCGTCTGAGAGCTGCAGGGGGTACTCTGTGGTCATCCGAGGGTCTCAAGCAAGATTCTCGCAGAGGGATAGGGCTCGCCACATAGAAGAGGGAGATGAGGGCAATGCTAGAGGAGAGACCAGGATGGTGTAGTCAACAGCACCTACTTGATATATCAGTCCATGTCAGCTTCTTTGCATGTTTCTGGCTTACTCCTCCTGGATATCGGTGGACCGAAGTGTAGCAGGCGAGGTCCTAATTTAATATTCGACGCAAAGGCTCGCCGCTGCTTGAAGGTATGATGAACGTGCGAGGATGGAGGAGTGTCAGAGTCTGAAAAACCGCTTGACTTCATCTGCGAAAAGCAAAGTGTCAGTCATTTGCGTATGTTGAAACGTAAAAGCAGCCTCATATGACTCACCCTTTTTCGACAATCGGAGTAGAATATGCTGTCGTGTTCCCTTGTCTCCTCGCCTTTGGGGTGCCCATTGGTCTTTGCTTCTCATCTAGTACAAGGTTTCGACCAAAGCACAGAGCTCATCTGAGAGAATAAGCTGATGGCGTGCTCTAAAGGACTGGTCCGAGTAAGCCTAGCAGAGAAGTCGAGAGAGCGTCGTCGTGGCCTGGTGAGCTAGAAAGTCTGTATGTGCTGGCTTGAGTATGCTTCCGAATGCGAGTGTATGCGAGAGCATGAATATGGCAGGAAAAGAGAAGAAAGAGAAAAAGAGATACGAATGCGTGGTTGTTGTGTATTTCGGAACAGTCCGAGCGTAGTCAGAGCACGCAAGAACGAAAGGAGGGCGGAGGTCGAGGGAGTCCATTGTGGCACACGGGCTGAACCGACTTGATGGAGGTATCTCGAGTTATGTGATGCTCTCTACTAAGAGCCTCATACATATTACAGGTCAAATTGACGACGTCCTGGACGTTTTCTTTACTGGAGACCAGTCTCTCGCTTGTTGCTGCCATAAGCTCGCGTTGTGTACTCGTACTCCCAGTACGTACATCGGCGGAAAGCCGGAGACTATGTGATCGTCATCAGATATAAAACAAAATACACATATCTCGGAAGGCGTGCTTGGAAGGAAGGGAGTAGTTACACGTTGTGGAAAGTGAAGCGAGATGTGGCTTGTGGACGACTACGTGGTCGGTCGACCTTCTTTTCAACAACGCAGGTGAATATCCCTTCAGAAACTGAGTCATGTAACACAGCGAGCTCACGTGTGTGCTATCGAGCAAATGAGATTTATACACCCATGGATCATGCTGCATTGCTATACGATCGGTTTGTTTTTTTCTGCGTGATCAGTAGTGAAGACATAGGTACAACACTCGAGTACTGTATATGACCGAAATCTCTCTTCTCTATGACTTTCGAGGTTTGAACATGACGCCCGTGGCAGCCCCGCCCATGATTGTCACAGCAGTATAGATCAACAGTATCCCCTTTGCCATGTCAGCTTCCAATTTTGCCTTTGGAGTCGATATTGGAGCACGGCCTACTAACATAGTTGATGAAGCCATACGCGCCGGTAGCACCCTTCATAGCATCCACTTTGAGCAGAGCTCCTGAGATGGGACCTGAAAGGGGCGTCAGCAGGATACAACGAACGGATGGAGGAGTGAGACAGGGCTCACCGGATGTGATATTACCCACACCGCGGAAGAAGGCGAATACTGAGAAGATCATCGTTGGTGCCACGGGGTCGTCTTCTATACGCAGCGTACAGCATGTCAGCTTCCAAAAGCAGAGACAGACAATTCAGGGCAGACGTGCTCGCAATGATACTGATCATCCCACTCCAAAGCGCACTGAAGCTCGGGCCCAATAGCCCAAAGACAATCGCAAACACCACCAGCACCGCCGTATTCGTGCCCCACCCCCATAGGAGAGCGCAGGCAAGAGAGCTGCCGATGGAAGAGATGGAGATGACCACGCGAATGGAGAGGTGGTCGGAGAGATAGCCGAGGTGGGTGGTGCCGGGGATGGAGGCGGCGTTGAGGATGGAGACTAGGGCTGTGCCGGAGGGGTGAGGGAGAGGTCGTCGGCGAAGGCTGTCATGGTGCGATTCATGAGCAGCTACTTGGGGAGAGTGGACGAGGTACGTACCAGGAAGCCACAGAGTTGTAGCAAAGCTGCTCACACTCGTCAAGCGAATGGTAGTGATTCCCAGGAAGAACGATGGACGCTTGACAGTAGATAGATTGAGCCTCTTCCTCATGCTACTTCTTCGGCTCTTCACTGTTGTTGGCATATCGCGAGATTGGTATCCTCCTGTCAATAAAGATCAAAGCCACACCGCCGAGAACAGCGTAAGCGATACCCAGAGAGCACATTGCCGCTTTGTATCCAACTCCCTTGAGCAGACCGTCCATGATGTAGGGGACGATGGTGCCGCCAAGTCCAGTGCCGGCGTACATGATGCCCGTGGCGAGCCCTCCGCGCTCAAAGAACCACTCGAAGAGGAGGGTCGCACATGGTACGTAGAGGGCACCGCAGAGGGGATAGATACAGCCAATGCTTACTAGCAGATACCAAGGTTGCGATCAATGTCAGGGGCGGCTCCATGCGATAGATGCAGCTCACCCGAGTGGCGAAAGCGCTCGAGATAAGACCGACAGAGGCAGAAAGAAGACCAATAGCTTGTGCCAATTTTTGCCAACGTGGGTTGGCCGCAGAGAGTAGCTGCGAGCGTCAAAGTGAATGCTCCTTCGCCGGGAAAGAGAGTGTTGGTCCAGTACACTATCCAGGTCAGCCTCAACCTACCCATAGAATGGTGATACACACCGTGCAAGATACCTGAATGAGAAAAGTCAGCAGCTGGCACCATGGAGGATGGTGATACGGAACCTACCGACAGCATAGGGAAGCCCCCATACCAGCACCGCTATGCAGGTAGCAGCTACCAAGAATAGCCAAGCCCGCCTCCCTCCATCCACTGGAGACAAGGAAATGGCATGAGCAGGCTCTTCATCTATATCCTATTGATCCCTTGTGCTGGATTCCGGCATCAGTCTGCGAGGCGTTGGTAGGTATGGTACCGAGCTCGATCGATTCGGCCATAGGTGGTGACTGCCGGGCAAAATGATATCGGTAGAGTGTATGATTGAAGAGATGCAAGAGGGATCAGATGCAGCGGACTGCTCGCCCTACATACCTCCCACCGGCGCCTTCTGTCTGGCGCTCCGGCTCTCCGACACACCAGAGAGTACGACTACCGCTTCCACGAACCCAGTCGGGCTACCTAGAGCACACCCACAGTAATCTCTATCCATGGGTTAGAAAGATACATGCATAATGCGATGAGATACTTGCAAGTTGCAGATACATCATATGTTCTCAAATGTGGATCAACCACAAATAATATGCACAAACGCGTCGAACAGAACTTTCGCGTTTCCTTCATCTTCTCTTTCATCTCCCGCCTTCTCCACAAACCGTACGTTTCTTCCACATCCCTCCCCCTGCCACCTCCTGCAAAGGATCTCCGTCTCTATGATGATATTGCTGGGGCACCGACTCCCATGACGCCAATACCAGCTTGCTAATCGCGGTCTCCAAGCCGTACCCATATCTGAATCTACTCTCTCCTCCATCCCCACTGTGATATATGAATGAGAGCTGACAGCACACAGGACATGATTTAGCACTCCCCGTAGTATGTCAGACTCTTACGACGACGATGACGATTTCTTCGACAATCCCGAAACTCTCCAGCTGCTCGAGCAAGCAGAGCAAAAAGCCGTCCAAGCTTCTCAAGCGCCGCCTCGGAACGACATCCCGCAAGAAGACAAGATTGGGAGAGTGCTTCTCGGGGCTCAGGGCAATAGGAGATTTCAGCATGGATTTTCTAACTCTTCCCGTCCGCCTCAGCCCCAGCCCCCTCCCCAACCGCAGGCGGGTCCTTCCAGATTCCCTCGAGCTCCTCCTCCCAAACCTGCCTATCAACCTCCCCCTCCCCAACGACAAACAAGAGACGACACTCCACCTCGCGATGTCGTCCTCGACCAAACAGGCCGGTATGCGCTGCATCAAGGCTCGTCGCAAGAACCTGTCATCACCGACAATCGTCGAGCGCAGACGCGGGCGTTGCAAGATCGGATGTCTACGACATCGGTTGGCGGAGGAAGAAGCAGGGAGGGCAGTGCGCTACCGCTGAGTCAAAGTGAGCAAGCGAGGGAGAATCGTCGGCAGGCTATAGCAGAGGCACTGGGCGGGGCTGCACCTGCTGCCTCTCAAAGCTTCAATCCAAGCCAGTCCCGCGTCTTGTCGAGATCCAACTCGTCCTCGAGCATCCCGCTCCGGCCTGCAGCCAATGGCCAACCTGGGGGATTCAACCCAAATCCGAATAGGCAACTGTCGAGGTCTATATCGACTGGATCGCAGAGTTTTGGAAGACCGTCTCAACAGGGTCAAGGACAAGGGCAGGTTGTGAGGATGCCCACGATCCCCTCTGGTTCTCAGCCGCGAGCTCCTTCGCCCGCTGGGCCAGGCCCGGATGCGCAAATGCAGAAGCAGCTGCAAGAGTTGCAAGCGCAATTCCAAGCTGCTCAAAACGAACTGCAAGCTCTCAAGAAGGCTCAGGCTCAAGCTCCTAATGTACGTATCATCCCCTCGTCTATTACTTGTGGTTATGAAGCTGATTTGATGAACAGGCGAACGCGGGATTTTCGAGAGCCGGGGCGGGTACCAGTGGTGTCGGAGGAGAAGATCTGAAGGACAAGATGAAACAGCTGCAGGCAGACTTTTATCGTGCCAAGGGAGAGGCTGAGATTATGCGTCGAGCCCAAAAAGAGGTGCGTCTATCCCTTTCCCGTTTAATTCCACTTCACTGACAAACAAAAAGGCCAACACGAAACACCTCGCCGAACTCGAGAAGCTGAAACAGAGCCTAGCCGATAAGGAGGCGCAGATGAAAGAGAAGGAGAAGAATCAGAGTCGACTGGTGGAGAGTATCAAACATCAAGCTGTCTTCTCTGTACGTCTCCTGACAAGGCGGTAAATGAAAGGGGAGGCTGATGCGACATGTAGAATCATGCTCTCCAAAACTCCGCCATCAAACCCCGTCCCTCACAACGTCTCCCAACCCAACATTCAGGCTTCCCCCATCCCGCTGGACCGTCAACGCATAACCAGGCATTCTCCCGCGGGGTGCTACCTACGCCAGTTCGCAACGGCTCCCCTTCCCATCACCGCACTCCTTTCCACCTCGGCGCCAATGGAGAAGAAACGCCCATTGCATTGGGGAGGAGAGGAAAAGGCGGCATGGCGCCGCCGACTACTCTACCCCGGCACACCGAGACTCAAGCGAGGCAGGGTGTTCAGCCTGGTGCTGGTGGGTTTTACAATGCGTTCGCGGGGACACCGACGATACAGCCGAGAAAGAAGCTCAAGACGTCTCATCCTGCTTCTGGAGGGTCCGGTTCGCAAACACCTGTCGCGCAATTGTCGCGCAGGACCCCTGGTGTGACGGGGTCACCGTCGAAATCACCAGCTTCTTCGCCGACCAAACGGACCCAGATCGCACTCCGCTCCAAGGGCACGTCGCAGACGAGCAAGAGCAAAGGACAAGGGAAAAAACGAGAGATGGCGAGCTCGCCTTTTAGGTCTTCGCCGCCTTCAGCGTCGACTAGGAGGGGGAGCTCGCCGGGGATGGAAGTGGAAGGAGAAGGAGGGGAGAATGAAGCGGATGATGATGAGGATGATTTGGAATGGGATGGACCGGAGCCAGTGGATATTGATGAGAGGTCTGAAGTGAGTGTCTGCAGACTGGAGCGTGGACCTTTACTGATGACCGTGGTAGCTGCTGTACCACATTTTCAATCACACTTGTCTCTCAGGATATCAGACGACAATTTTGTCTGGACGGACTGCTTTCTCGCCTACTCTTTATCGTATATTGAACTACCAACCACCAATTCCTTCTCGGAGACGCAAACCCAAAGACGCACCATCGACCCACCACGAAATATTGGAAGAGCAACTACGAGAGGAGTTCAGAACGCAATACACCCAATGGTGCGGGAGGATCCTAAAGCTGTTGGGTGATAGTGGTCTAGAGTTTGAGGCTCTGGGGAAGGGGCTGGTGGAAGTCTGGGCGGGAATGGTGCGCCACTTCAGCGCACTTGTGCTCACGTCGGCGAAGTATGATGAAGAATCAGAATACGAAGATGATGAGTACAAGCTGAGATACGAGGAGATTGCTATCTTGCAGAATGTCCTCGATCTGCTGTCCTCTTCGACTTACCTCTTCCCAGGACTGATACCCTTCATCCTCGACTCTGACTCAGGAATGGGACAGGGAGGTATCATAGCCTGGATAAGACAGCTGGTCTCGGATGTTCTCAGCGAACCCGAAAAAGTGGAGGCGCTGGATAAGATGATGATGCGAGAGCATATTCGACAAGAAGAAGGCGAGGAGGATGACGAAGAAGGCGAGAATCAAGACAGGGACGCGAAAGAAAAGGAGCAGGAGGAAAGGGCGGAACAGAAAGAAGGACTCAAGGGGTGGGAGTTGGAGTTGAGTGATAGTGTGGTCAGGCTCTGTGAGGCTCTCTGTTGGTTTGGGGAGCAGAATTCTGTTTGGTACGTCAATCACTCTCTACACTGCTGCATGCTGACGATCTGGCGCAGGCAAGGCGACGAGCTGGTCGATATTATTCTGGGCTTTATCAATACTAATCTCGACCTCTACGTCGTCAAACGCGGGATCGATTTGTTTGCTGCTGGATCTGTCCGTGAGTAGATCCATTGTCGAGCGCGATATTGAGTCTGACGAGCTGCTGCAAACAGGTGCAAACCATTTCCAAGCCCTCATCAACTCCTCCGCCAGATATCCTACTCAAAATGCTGGAGAGTCACCCTTGATCGACCAGTTGGGATGGTACCTCATCAACGGCCACGATGCTGCTCAACCACATGAGGTCCGTCGTTCCCCAGCTTTTTTTCTTATGGTCGTGCTGATGCCAGTGGCGTAGACACATGAGATGAACATCACCATCGTTCGGGGCCTGGCCATGATGTCAGCCTCTGTGCCCGATGCTCCTATCTTGATGGCCGCGAGGACGAACTTGACGGCCTGTCTGACCATACTGCTGTATGGGGAGAGTAACAAGATCTGGGGTGTGCACCTGGAGGAGGTTGTCATCGAAGAGTGAGTGCTGCGCACATGGTGTTTGAGCAACGCTGACCTCCGTGACTAGGGTCTTGAGGCTACTCCAACCATCCCTAGCACTGCTCCACCACCTCGCCTATCCCTTTGCCCCTTTCTCCTCTCAAACCAAACTCGCCAGCGTCTCCCAATCTCAACGTTCTACACTGACTCCTGGCCGCATGGGTCCCTCCCAGCTAGACCCCGACTCCATCATCGGCGTCGACCTCGTCGAAAGGCTGAGGACGCTGAATATGCAGAAAGAGTTCAATGGGCTACAGCATATGTTTATCAGTGGGATGGGGTGTATGGCGTATGGGATCTTTGACCAAGGGATTGGGGCTGTGGAAGGGGCCGATGGGTCTGTGGCGGAGGAGGACCTCAGAGTCATTCAGGGTGAGTTTCCTCATTTGCATCGAGGCTGCTGCTGATACAGCATTAGCGATGGGAGGTGACCTCCTCGAAATCGTTGTTCCCGGTCCCGAAGGCGATCAGGTCTACGAAATGTTCGTACAAGACGATCCCCCAGATGAAGATGTCAGAGTCCACGTGGCACCGGGAGAAGATATCGACATGATCGATGACGAGCAACTCGAGAGAGGAGACAATGGGCGGGAGGAGGTGGAAGATGAAGTGGATGAGGATGTTTATCGGAATATGGCGGTTGATGATGATAGTCGGGAGGTCATTGTCGTTTCCGACGATGATTGAAG